TTTTTGCCTTCTGTTTTTGTCTTTTTTTTAACTATCCGGGCACCACCGAGCTCTACACGGGGTAGATCGTCGGCAGCGTCAGAGTGGTATAAGGGACAGGCGGACGGTCCGCTCATGAGTGGCAGAGATGTGCTTTTACGTGTGGGCGTTTTTGACGAAGGGAAACAAAAACCCATCATCGTGACGACGGGAATATCTGCTTACCTACCTAGGTATTCTTCTCGCGTCGTGGCTTCCAGGCCAGGTCTATACACAGTTAGTGTGTATTGTATATCGTAATACTGTATGTGATACTATTACCTCTGCATCTGCATCTGCATATGCATATGTACATGTACATGCGAGATGCGGACGAGTCGGGTTGTACAAGTACTTGTAGTTGAAGGTACCCATTTCCCACCAAAAAGGACCTGGTAGTTGGTTCCGTCACCAAAGTATACTGGACTCGGTACCTCGGACCGTCCATCTCGATTATTTCATGGGTCATCATTGAGTTCTAGTTCCATTTTGGAAGAGAAAAAAACATTTGACACACTTAAGTAATTTGTTTTCAACAGATGATTTGATCTTGTTCTTCTCTGGTGTTGGCTAGATTCCAGGTCGGAAATCTAGAGGGGTATCATATGTACAGCTATACCTAGGTATATGTCCTTGAGGCCGCCCTTGCGGCTCTCGTGCCCGTGCCATCCTCATCATCAACGCCTTTTGGCAATTGCAATTCAATACAATGCAACGGAGAGGCGGATATTGAAACCTTTGAACCGTCATGATTTTGCAAGATAACAACAAAACGCTCAATGCTCAAACGCTCAACCGTGTCACGCAGAGTCGCAGACCGGGAGCTTCATGATTAAAATCCATAAACAAAGGAAAATCCCAAAAACGGGGACAACGCCGTCGCTTAGAAAAGAGTAGAGAAGGTGTGGAGGTATGGCTCAGCCAAAAGCTTCGACGAATAGACGGGTTTCTTGTTCTCGAGACCAGACGCGCGGCTGCTGAGACCAGAGTTGTTGGTCGTCGTCGCTGTGCGTGTACGTGTATGTGTATGCCTGCGGGGCTGAGGGGCTGTAGTTGTAGGACTCTTTCGAGCAGGAGTGCGCATCTCTCCAGTCCGAGTGGCGTTCGTAGTAGTGGCGGTACTGCGAGGCAGACTCGATGGCCGAGGGGTCGTAGTAGTCGTATTGGAGGTCACCCTCTAGATCCGAGTCGAGATCAAAATCGTCGTCGGACTCGGTCTCAGTGCTACTCGCATCGCTCTCCACCTCTTCCCAGTGGCCGTCTCCGGCGCCCGCCACCAGCGGTGTCGTTGTTACCACGACGCCGCAGAGGCGGGGGGATTTGAGCTGAGCGTACCCCTTGAAAGACGCCACTTGGGCGGTTTGCAGCAAAGACTCGTGTGTGGTTGCTGATGACTCGACATCGTCGTCGTCATCCTCGGGGACGATGTCGACAATATCGTCAAGGGAGTCGTCGAGGGAGAAGTCGTCATCGACATCCTCGATTTCTTCCACCGACCCCAGTGACGGCGATCGCTCAATCTCTGGGGTATAGTCATGCATGTGTTTGATGATGTACCTGGCCGCGTTGTCGTAGACGGCGGCGTGGCCGAGGAGGCGGTGGAGGTGAGGCGCCGTCTTGGCCGCCTCTTTCTGAATCTTGGATCTCGACAAGGTTCCAATTTGATATGCTATTTGCCGGGAGTGGGGGTGGGAGTATGATGATGATGAGGGTGACGACAATGTGGGTTGGAAGGCATATCGACTCTTTGAGTACTCCATTGTAGGGGGTTTGTGTGTGTGAGAGAAGACACTGCTAAGTGTTGCTTGAGATTAAAAGATAGAACCGAAATGCTCGAGTCGAGATGGGCTGGTTCAGTGATGTTTGATGTGCGAGAAGAGGTTCCTTTATCAAGTCTTTTGGCAGTGAAGATACAACACTATTGCAATTGCACTTTATTGCATTAATTATTGCATTCGTATGATCCGATATTCTACAAGTACTCCGTAACACATCCGTCATCCCACGGTCAAGGCGGGGGGGAGAAGTAGGGAGGAGATACCAATCGGATGATTCGAAATATGTCCGAATTGCGAATGGATGGCACGATGGTCTGCGCAATCACGCACGGAGCACGGAGCAGAGAGTACCAAGGTAGGGGGTTGTGTGGGGACAAGCAGTTAAGTAGTTTGTTAGATGTGGCTGATAAGAGAGAATAAAGATGTCAGATGTCAGCCTACGAGTATTGACGAGGAGCGGGAGACACGTGCTACACAGTGAGGGAGATGGTGGTGTGAGCTGGAGGGGAGAGACTCGAAGTGGTGGTGGTGTGACAACCTTGGAGCCCGGGACTGGCTGGGACGGGCAGCTAGCTCAGCTGGTCCAGGTACCGCTAATGGTACTTTTAGGTATCATTATTACTTACTAGTGCTACTCGGGGATTTAACGGGGCCAACTTCGGGGTCGGAGTCAATCTCTTAGTGAGTAGCCAAGTAGCCAAACTCGCCAAGCACTCGTATTGGTAGTGAAAGTGGCAGGCCACGTCTCGGGCCTCGCGGCAACCATCAAACTTCAACCATCACAGCATCTCGGACAAAGTCTGGACTTTACGAACTGACTCACTTGGACCTCGCAGATCGTTTCCAGGGGGATTTGCATCCTTCTTCTTACTCCTTACTACTACACAGCGCCAGAGTACGAGTGCCTAGTTACACAATGACGAAACCATCGACAGTCCTTGTTCCTCTCGCAACAAGAATGGCCATGGACGCCTTACTCGTACTCCAACTGCGCAGTTTACCTCGTATACTACCAAACAAAGAGGAGGATGAGGTTGAATGATGGCCACCGCGGGTCATCTCTATCTACTCGTACATCTCGGTCGCTACCAAACTCCCCGTTCGGCAAGGCTGATCTGGTGCCCCGAACTCGGATCGAGATCGATTAATCTTCACGATAAACTTCTTCTACTTCTTCCTCTTCTGGAGAGTCTCCAGGTCTGTACAAAGTAAAGCCCAACCACCTTAAACCAATTCCAGCCTGAGATTGCACATTTGGCTGTCGTGGCTGTCCATTCCCCTGGTCAATATGCCGAAAATGGACATCACGAGCCGCTTACTAGTAGTTCGCAGGCACTACAACCAAGGTTTGACGCCAGGTGAGTAATATACTCTACTTGTATCCTCTGACTGATACACCCTAAGGCCTAGGCCTTTGGGCCTCCTTTTCGCTTCGTCCCTTTGGGCCATCCACCTCCCGATTTGCTACCCACTCACCGCCCACTTGGTAAGTGGTAGGATCGATCACCCGCTGTCGAGCCGTATCAACTCGGCCTGCCACTCGCTCGATCGACGGAAATCATATCCACGCCCAATTCTTACTCGTCAGCTCCCCCAGGACGGGTTGGTGGTGAGGGTAATTCGCCGCATTGTCAGACCACATGTGGCGCAACGATTCGAGACCTTTTTCGCACTATCCCCCTTGCAGCCATATGAAGGGTTTCCTGATTTCTCTCACCCAGCAGGTAACACGCCCATACCATTGCGGGGAGGGGGCGCGGGCAGACAATCCAGCAAAGTGTGTCTCCCAAGTCACGCAGTGGCTAAGACCACCACACAGCAAGGCTTATTACTATGCAAGAGGAATTGCCAACCAGTCTCTACATTTACGTTCTTTTGCCTTTATTGTCTATCGGTTTCTTAGAAGAGCTGCTCAAAAGCGAAACAAGACCCATTTTCAGATCGATCTGATTCCTTTTTTAAAACCAACCCCCCCTTTTTTCTTATGCCAAACAATGTCGCGCGCTCTCGGTTTCAGTGGGAGCCCGTCTCCTACCTCCTTGGCAGAAGCGTGCAAACTAGCATGGCACACCTTCTATGGTATGCAAAAAGCGTCTGAAGACTTTGAAAACCTTCGCTTCGAAGTCTGGACCATTGCCATCAGCCTCGACTCGTTACACAGCGTCGGGAGCACCTCGCTCCTCATAGATCGACAACCAGACCACAAACGATGGGCCCTGACATTTTCCAAAATTTTGACTTCGCTGAACGCCGCCCTGCGGCCGTTATACAACCTGGTCAAGCTGTACCTGTCCACCTCGACCAGAGATCGCACCGCCGTCAAGCAATGGCTCACCAACACTGACATGAACTACGAGGGCCTCACCGTGCAGGATTTTAGGAGGAAATTGTCCATGCTGGTCGAGAGTCTGAATGTGTTTCTTTCCAGCCTGACTCACGCCGAACTCACCCGCGCCCGAGCTGCCAGTGAAACCGAAGAATACAGAGTCCTGTCTGAAGTCACCCGAAACGTCCTCCAGAAATGGGATCAAAGCAGAGTCACGGGGGCGTCCCACGATACGGATCGGGCGATCAAATCCATCGAGACCGTCACCTTTGTTAGTGACAATGTAAAGGAAAACAACACATCATCGACACGCGGGGATTCGACCCGGCCGAGAACGCAGGACGAGTACCCCACCCTCTGGCCAACCCACCAGAGACCCGAGTATCACAGCGGTCCAGGTGGCCACGCTGCGGAGGCGTTGAATTTGGACGGCATTGAAACGGGTTTTCGCAAGCACATGAATGCCATGCGGCGGATTCGAGAACAGCTTCGCCTACAAAAGGAGAACGAGCACCACCTCACGGAGCAGAAGTCGAGCCATTTCCCCGAAGTGCACGGTGAAGTGCCCATCACACCAATCACATCCTCGCACCACCGCACCATGCCCGAAAACCCCACGGCCGCCTTGTCAGAGCTGGCTTCGGATCATGGATATACGTCGAGCAGTGGGACCAGCTCCGCGCAGACCTCCGAGTCTGGCAGTGTGATTTCAGGGGCGCAGGAGGAGAACAGGCCGAGAAGTCCCGCAGGAGTTGGAGGGGGACCACCGCCACCGACGACGGCCAACCACACGCGCTCGTCGTCTGGCGAACTCGGGCGGAAGAGGGTGCGGACGCAGGACCTCCATCTCGCCAACGACAGCGACGATTGGCAAAGACATCGGCGGCCGCGGAAAACGGCGCTGGAGGAAATGCTCACGGCGGCCTTGTTCTTTGACAGTTGAGGAACGAAGACGAAAGGCACGGCGTCGTAGTGAGTGGGAGGAGGGAAAAACAGCAAGGCTAGAATTGAAAGGGGCAGTGGGTCGTGATGACCTTGCTACCTAATGGGTGTTTTCGTGGATTGGCGGCGCCAATTCGCAGATATTTCACAGAAATGATGTCAGGTTTGTTTTTATCCACATTGTCCCGGCGGTGTTTGGTTTCGGGTCGAGTCGTCAGCAATCAGGTGGGATGGGAAGGGATGGATTAGGTTGGATTTGGTCGGTTGGTGTCATGTCGTTACGTTGGGTTGGGTTGGGCTGGGCTGGTTGGCACATTTGATTCCCGGCCTTCGCAGCACCTTTTCATCACACACACGCACACGAACACGAACACGAACACAAAACAAATACACACGCGCGCACCCCCGGGGGAGAAACAGGACTGACTGGACCTCTCTGTTGTCTACGAAGAAGGCACAAACAGCCACGACACGACGGGATTTTCACGAGAAAAACAAAAAGCAATATGAGAGGGCAGAGGAGGGGAGGAAAGGGGGAGGTATACTACATATCCTACGTATAACTACGTATAACTAGCCAAGTAGCCGTGACTAGCCATGACTAGGTATCTAGGTATGTAAGCATCGCAGCACTGGGTATATATACCCAGGCAAGGAAAAAATGGTAATGATGACAAAATCAAATTCACAATCACAATCACAATCACAATCACAATCAATGGATATATGCACCTCTTACTGAAGTATATACCTAGGTAGGTACACAGATAGGTAGGTAGTCGGTCGGTATGTGACAATGTAACTCCATACTCCGTGTACCGGGTAGCCTCGTCGTGTTTCATACTTTCTGGTTTATGCTCCATGTTTATTCCATACACATTGACTCCATTACCCTCGCACTTGAACATGAACTTGTACCGGTATCTGGACCCTGTACCTGTACCTGTACTTCAAATACTAATGTAGTATGGTCATGGGTATGGTCATGGGTACGGTCGTGGGTACGGTTGTGGGAATGGTCACAGGTACAGTGTATGTACCGAGTGTGGATAAATACCCTAGGTAGGTAGGTATATCGTATATTTTGATATGCAGTATTGGATGGAATGCGACGAGGGGAAGAGGTCTTGGTCTTTTTTTACCCCTTTTGGTCAAAGACTCAGGTCTTGGACTTGGACTTGGACTTGGACTTGGACTTATACTGTCCTTGTACTGAAGGCCGAGACTGCCGGGGTCTGTATAAGTACTGGTTTATTTTTTAACTTGTTCATCAGGACACCACGTATCATGTAATATCTAATACCTAATATACGTGTGGCAGTTGTCGACATTATGGCCACAGGATCTATCCCATCTACCGAGTAACATGGCTAGGTCTTTGTATCTCTGTATATCTGTATCTTCTTCTGGCTTGTGCCTTGTCTCTTGTGCCTTGCGACTTGTGTCGCTTGTGAGTGTGTCTTGAGTGTGTCTTGATATTGTGGATTTCTCTCAAAGGGTGTTGTCAAAAAAACTCGGACTCTTTAGCATTAATGTCGCTCCAGGCTCTCGGTGCATGTACATGGACATGCAAAGTGATGTACCCATGTACCCATGTACTCGTGGCCCTGTGCGGTAAAAGTAGCCCGTACCCTGTGCCTTGTACCCATGGACCCTGACGCCGTGGCCTGCCTCCCTTAAAGTCCCGTCCAGTAAATTAATTATCCCCGGGTCCGTTGCCAATCCACCAAACCTGTGAACCTGTTTGCTGATAACGCATCAGGTGAAAATACTTGTCGTGATAAGTGTCGGTGCTTTGAATGGCCAATCTGGTTCTGACATGACATGCATGAGCTGGCTCGACTAGACCAGGTCAGCACTTCCCACTCGCATGGGTCCAATCAGATCTGATCTCGTCAGTCCTGGTCTCCTTTCTCAGGCACGTCCGCCTTTCTTGGAGTCTTGCCATTGCTTCCACATTTGCTCGTAGTTGTCGAACCACGAGGCGCCGTAGTTGTGCGGTTGGTGAGCGGCCTGGTATTGCTCAAACTGTAATCTCTGGTTGTTGAGATTCTCGAACCAAGAAGCGCCATAGTTGTGCGGTTGGTGTGCCGCCTGGTATTGTTCAAACTGCACTCGCTGTTCGTTGAGGTTCTCGAACCACGCAGCTCTGTAGTTGTGCGGTTGGTGTGCTGATTCGTATTGCTCCCTCTGGTTGTTCAGATTCTCAAACCACGCGTCGCCGTAATTGTGCGGTTGGTGTTGCGACTCGTACTGCATTCTCTGTTCATTGAGATTCTCAAACCAAGCAGCTCCGAAGTTGTGCGGTTGATGTGCGGCTTGGTACTGCTCGAACTGCTCCCGCTGGTTGTTGAGATTCTCAAACCACGCGTCACCATAGTTGTGCGGTTGATGCTGCGACTCGTACTGCATCCTCTGCCCGTTGAGGTTCTCGAACCACGCGTCGCCGTAGTTGTGCATTGTCTGCATATTCATCGAAGATGTGCTGCTGGTGTTGGGGGTGTGTATTGTTGACGATGCCATAAAGTAGGTTGTTGTGTTGGAGTGTTTAGCTGTTTAGCTATTGAGCTTTGATCGATGTGAGTGTATCACTTTGTTAGTGTTTGGTAAATCTGTTTGTGTGTGGTTTGGTACAAAAAGCATGAAGGGGGAGGGAAAAAAACAAAGAAAGCCCTCTTATACTCCCTGGCAGAAAGTGATTCCACAAACCCTCATCAGATGTTCCATGATTGCTCATGTCTGTAAAGCCTCGTCTGGGGCGGCAACGGCGAGACCCGAGCGACAAAACGATGCATGACCATTGACCGTTGACCCAAAAAACCAACGAGATCCCGTTCACCAGCGGAGCGGCCAAGAAGGCGACACGTAGATCCCCTTCGAGAGTCAGCATTATTGGCGGGCATTGGGTGATGGGACGCCGATCGTGCTTGAACGTGGACGCGCGGTTTGATAGTATTTGCTCGCGGTGTTCCAGAATTGAGGGCGTAAGGGCTTAGCAAAAAGTGTATCGGACGAGCCATGTACCGCAGAGACTTGGTATGGTACTTGGTACTCGGGTACATGAGGTGTATGGAGAGGGAAAAGGTGACGGTCACACCACGGGGGAGTGGGTAGGCACGTGGCTTTTACCCAGAGAGACATTCCGGGCGAGAAAGGATCGGGTTCGGGGGGTGGGGGGTTGACACCCAAGACGACACCAAGGGTCAGTGAGGCTCTTCCTTGATGCCCTAATCATGCCAATAATGCCTAATAATCCCTCGTCGGATCCCTAATTGTTCCGTTATAGGGCAAATGCAGGGTCACCCATCACCCACCCAACGCCCCCCCACTTTGGCATGATTGTGGCCTGGAACAGATCGACAACACCGCCTGGAGAAGTTGCTCATGCGCTCACACCACTACCTAATTACATACTACTCACCCACTGTGGTTGTAAGCCTTGTGTTGCCTCATGGCCAAGCCAAACACATCACACTCCTGTCACCCACCTGTCGTGCCTCACTTCGATTTGTCTTCTTGGCCTGCATGCAAGCCCGAGCCTGATGATGCAGGTCCCTGACTTTGTCAGCCTTGTACTCGTTACTCGTTACTCGATACACTCGTGCGGATGTTATGCTACAAGTTCGAGTGAAAGAAATAGACCACTTCAAAGAAACAAAAATAAAAACACAACCAGGGTATATTCAATCAGTTACATACAACGAAACGACCAAACTCGCTCGAAGAAGCTAGTACTGACAAAAAGACCCGATCAGGGCTGGACACTTGCACAAAGATGTATATATCCGTCGAGAAACTCGACTCCTGGTTGTTTGCGAGGTAGAACGGACAGAAAGAGAAATGAGTCAACGACAGGCTGTTCTTGTATGAGACGACGTGTTTTCGATCAATATCCCTGCGTTTACCGGGAGTTCATTAAGATAATGGCTATTGTGTGTTTGTGTGTACATGTGCGAGATGGTTCTTCTGTAACTCTGTTTGATGGTGGCTGCCACGAAACAAAGGCCATATGGAGAAAAAGAGGCAGTCAAGTTTGTCGTAACACAAGTCGCCCAGCGAACGCTTCCTCTTTTCCATGTTGTAATCTCCCCAAAAGAGCGCCGGGTTCCTTCTTGTATGGTGTGGTCCAAACCCCCCAATGCGGCCGTTTCCAAGTAGTACCTGTACCACTCTGCACCGGAGAATTTTCACGGTGGTCTCCAAATTTTCTCCAGGTATCGAAATCACTGTAGGATGCCTTTCAACCCCCCTCGTCCAAGCAGGGTACCGCTTTACACGGGTGGCATGGCCATCGGCGGCAGACCGTACTCGTATGCCGTGTAGATACCAATGGGGCACTCATCCTGGTCCTGGAAGAACCAGAAGTTGGTGTCGTTGGTCGAGGTCATGCCGGCAACGCACGTCCCCGCGCCCACGAAGCAAGGGCCGACATCAATGGTGTAGGCATTTCCTGGTTCCATGTGGATAGCCGGGAAAGGAGGGAATGGTCCCGGAGCGGGCTGGTTGTTCCACGTCGTCTCAGGTCCCGGGCAGCTGCCGGGGTTGTACCCCGTGAAGAAGAACGAGCCAGCACCCTCGTACTCAAAGTTGGACGTCTTGAGCTGCGACTTGAGAGGGAAAATGAATTCCAGCGTGCAGTTGGCGTCGGCGCGAGAAGCGGGCACGTCGAAGCTGAAGATGGAGGCGATGTCGTTGGGAGTAAAGACGCCGTTCAGCTGGGGTCCGAAAGCCTTGTCGGGTTGCGACTTGGAGATCTGCGTGATGTAGTGAGGGAATTCGAACTGGCCAGCGGTGAGTTCGGCGGGACAGCCTTCGCGCGGTGCGAGGGCACGTTTGCGCAGGACTTCTCCCGGGTAGGCGGCGGCCAGACCGGCCAACAAGACAAGAGCTGCTCCGGTTCTCATGTTGAAAATTGTGAATCTGGTATGCTGTGGGGGTCGATGACAAGATGTCCACGAAGGACACGTAAAAATGCTGGAAGATAGGGGGTAAACTTGTCAAAGCGAGAGATATGTGTAGCGAGCGACTGTAGCGAACGACGGTATGTATGTCAAGACAGAGAGAGTACTCAGGTATAACAAACCAGCAGAGAAGCAAACAGAGGTCCAAGTGGGCGTCAGAGCATATAATAGCACCGTGTATGGGAGATTGCGCCTGGTACCACTGGGGATTCCCACGGGCCAACAGTTTCGCTGCTAGCTACCAGGAATTGGGGATAGGGCACAAACAAACATGCCACCACTGTCACCACGCCTCCAGGGACGCAAGGGAGGGCAGCACGAGGCTGAGTACCGTGGATCCTGCTGCTTGCGGCAGTGACACGCCAAACAACACCCTTTGAACCAAAGTCTATTGAGCAATTTTTTGAGCCCACTCCCACAGCAGGATTGGTGAGACACGGGTCAGGGAGGCTAGGCTGTTGGCCAGAGGCTCCAAAACCACGATGTGACCTACCACGAAACGGCGTTGGTGTCAGTCGACAATGAGGTTGCCGCGTGAGTGGCTGAGTCTGCGACGGTCTGGATATCCGGGACCTGGGACAGGTGGAGGCAGGAGAAAGGCAATATTCTAGCTTCCCCATGTGAATCTCATGACCGCGTCTCATTCGTAGAGGTGGATAAGGGATCTTCACGCGGTTAATTTAACCAAGCGAGAGTGTTTTGCACTACGAGATCAAGCACCAAACTGCCAGTTGCTTGTGCTCGTCTTCGCCCTCGTGGTCGTGTTCCCCGTCGATGTTATCTCAATTGTACTCGGTAGTTCCCCATTGCAAAGCTCTTCAGACCCTCCAATATAACATTTTGCATCAAAACAAGGTCGTCTTGGTGGATTATTGTGTTGTAAGGAGTTGTCGTGTCGTCGCGTAAATTGCAGGGCCACGGAGTAAACGGCCACAAGGCCAAGCTTCAATCGGTTGCTTGCTCATCTGTCTTATGGTTAGTGAGAGCTGCTCCACTACAAGGGAAACGATCTCGCCTCGCGTCGATTGCGCAGGATTGGATGCCACGATTGGAGCACGCCACCGATTGAAGTCCCGGATTAGGCATGTCCCTAGAGGCTGTGTACAAAGTTCTCGTACTGCGCACTGTGAATCCCGGAAACCCACGCAACGGCAGAAACAAACATCTGAGTGCGCGAAGATTCAGCTGCGAAGCAGAGGCTGAGGTATAGAAAGAGGGAAAAGATCGCCACAACATGACAGTTAAACTTCAAGTCGAGACCCTGCGCCCCCAGAAGATAGCACCAGAGATGGCAAGCAGATGCGAAAACATGCGGCCATGCGAGTAGAGCGGATGTCGTGCAGGACATTTGCTGAAGTCAAAGAGTATTCGATAGGCGGGTGCCATGACAGATATGGGGCTCATTGAGTCATTGTGCAAATGATCGATGGGAACCCAGTTTGCCAGGCCGTCTGGCTGTCTCAAAGCAAACAAAATGCGTGTGACCAGTGAATGCTCCCTTTGGGGTCATGCAAACAAAGAGTCACGAATCACCTGCACCGTTCAGACTGTGCCCACGTCTTTCGGATCTTGAGCTCGATTGTCGACTCTGTATCTTGGATATTGTTTTCATGTCCCGTCCACCGTCTGTCATTATTGCGGCGCCCCTTTCTCACGTCAACGCATACAGGTCAATTTCCATTCCAATGTGCCTCGTATCGTTCTAACCAGGGCTCTCTCGTCGACACTTTACTAAAGCCCAATCATTCCATCATGCACATAGAATCCCTCGCCGAACCTAGCCAGACTCCGCGCTCCAAGAACCAAATCTCCAAACTCCTTCGGCATCATCCAGATACCAACACAGGGGCAGGTTGCTTCCTGCCCTCAGCAAGCGATATTAAATCCACATCACACTGCAGACCCCATCGATCCGCAAATCCCTCACACACCTCCTGACATGTCCGTGCCGCCTGTCTCTCCCGACACCTTCGATCCCAATCCCCTGCTTGTATTAACAGAATGCTGTTCTCCACCAGCTCTTCCTCGAGTGACATGTCCTCCACCATGTCACGGACCGACTTGAGCTTCCTGGTTGCAGCACTGGCAGCGAGCCGCGACTCTTGAAGCAGATCGGTCAGCGAGCGCAGGGTGTGGGTGAGTTCGTCGGTCTGCGATGCCAGGATTTGGAGTGAGAGCAGTGGGTTCTGTGGGCGAAGGAAAGGGAGCGTTGCGGATAAGCTCGTGATGTCGTCTAGGAGTAAGTCGACCATCTCCTCTGGTACTTGCCATAGAGTCCCTCCGTACATCAGGGAGTGCGACTGCGAGAACAGATCTCGCGTCTTGTGTGTTCGGTGAGTCGCCATCGACGTATATGCTGTGATCAACTGAGTGACCCCGTACTCAATGTTGGCCTGCGGACCAAGATCCTTAAGCCCATGGATGACTCGCCGGACAGTACCACCACCCTCACTGACGGCGTCTTCGGGGTTGACGCACATGCGTGTCAAGTTCTCGATGTCGCGGATTCTTTTGCGTAGTATTGGTGGGATGGCATCGTCTTCCTCGTCTGCCTCTGAATCCGGTCCATAATCTGAGCCGTCGTAAGCAGACTCGTGTCTCTGATGTCCAGGCTTTTTGTTCTCCCGAGGTTGTGAATTCCGTCGAGACGGGGGGACGCGTAGTGTGGAAGCCGACCCATCATATTGACCATGCGGGCTCTGTACGACCATCCCTAAGCCAAAATCATGCATGTCGTTCACCTCGTACGGGCTTCGCATGTCGCGGACCATCGACGAGTCTTGGTCCACCTCGCCTTCTCTTAAACCCTCGAGAAAGTTGGAGTGGCCTTCGCCCTCCTCTTCGTCGTCCCAAGCCTGCTCTAGCTCGTCGGCCAAGTTCCCAAGCCCGTTGCCGTCACCGTACGGCTCTATACTTCTGTTACTGTTTATGCTTGTCCGGCTCGGCCTGCGCTGTTGGGAGAATGACGGAGGTCTGGATGACTTGGAGGACATGGGGCGAGGTGTCACCGGGGACCGAGGCTGGTATGAAGTCTGCGACGTCCGCGATGACCTCCTCGAGTACGCCGTGCCATTGGTGGTCCCGCTGGTATAGGGACTTGGAGATGCTGCGTCTTGGGATTGTATTTCGACGCCGGAAAGTCGCAGCGACCTGCGCTTTCGCGAGGGCGTTGTCGGGGAGGTTGGTGGAGATAGGGCGGTCATCCTGCCTTTCCGCGTGTTTAGGCCTGCAAAGGTCGAATATGGGTGACTGCAAGGTTGTCTATGCTCGTCTAAACGAAGAAAGCTGTATCATAGAATTGAAAGCATGTTCTCGATGCTCTAATTGTGTGTGGTGAAAGTACTTGCTGTTCGGACAACTGTGTACCAAAGCAAAGTCAAGGTCGACCCGACCGTATTATTTTGGCCCGCGAACCGGCGGGCTTGTTGGAGAGCATCTCGCGGGACGGCGCGTTTCGTCGGAGTCACAGATTCCTCCCCACAATCACCAACAAAGTCCTCGAGAAAATTGATGCTTCGCACCCGTGACCCTCTGCTCGACCAGACAACAATGTTCCTTGCAACAAAGGAATAAATTGCCATGCCGACCATCCGCAGAGTCCAGCCGTCGGACTTGTTCCATCTGAACCTGTGCAACCTCGACCCGTACACGGAAAACTATGACCTGAACTTCTATCTGACATATCTGATGAGATGGCCTTCGCTGTTCCAATGCATCGAAGAGCACGGCCAAATTGTCGGCTATATCATCGGCAAAGTAGAGTCGTCGCCTGCTCATTTGAAGTAAGACACCGTCTTCCCTTGCGAGCCCAACAAAGAGTCCCTGACAGATATTTCTTGCAGAGGAACACCACATTACTTACCGTGGCATGGTCACATCACGGCCCTGTCCATAGCACCACAATATCGGCGGTTAGGGTATGGGAAACTCCTCAGCGAGTCGCTTGAGAAGGCCTGCAACCAACAGGACGCCTGGTTCGTCGACCTCTTTGTTCGGAGGAGCAACAAAAACGCCATCAAAATGTATCAGAGCATGGGCTACTCGACGTACCGCACTGTGGTCAGGTATTACTCGGATGATCCGACTGGAGTCTCGAAGGACGGAGAGGATGCGCTAGACATGAGAAAGCCTCTTGATAGAGACAAGGACCGAGTCCATGTCAGGGAGAACGGGGAGAGTTTCAAGGTCGATCCGGAGGACGTCTTTTGAGGTGCTGGCACAATGATGAACGACCAAGACAACAAGAGATGAATGATGAACGACGGCCAAGTGTCGAAAACGACTACGATTACCATTCCCATATTTTGATGCTCCCCGTACTGCCGCACCCATTCTCCGCTCCCCTGCACCTCTTGCGGTCAGTATTACTCTTCTCCGCCAAGGTTCCTCCCCAGGTCTCCACTCACAAAAATCACAGGGATATATGTTATGTCTGCGCAAATTTGGTCAACATATAAACCCAGAAGTGGGCAAACAGCGATATAAAGAGACCTTCATAAAAGCTACCACTTCGAGTCCAGGGGATATGTGTCCGAGATAAAAAGGATTCACATTCTATCGGGTTTGGCGGGCGGGGCCTTCCCCCCTCGGTTGATGGATGGTATGAGCTTCGCTGTTGCCAATAGGTAGCAGAAGGTCTCAGGCCATATCATCCATCAACCCTTCCACGGTTGCCCCCCTATGGGCACTGTAGCTTCAACTGGGGGCTACAGTGCCCATAGGGGACTACCGTGGGAGACAACTGGTGAACCCTCCAAGGAGAGGGACCAGTTGGGAGGGGGGAAGGTAAGATAGACGCCAGACCTAGGGAATTTGAATCTTTTTGCCATTTGAAATGACTGGGTGTCATTTTTTGTTTTTGTTTTTTTGAATTTCTTCGACTAGTGGGATGTATACACCGTGTATAGCTAAATGAAGTAGTTTTACGTGTATTTCCCCTACCCTTCCTGTATCTTCCCTAAACCCACCCCTTCACTCTTCCCCGGATTCCTCTCCAAATCATTCGGTCCGAAACTCATCGGTAACAGCTCCCCAATGGTCATACGCACCACCTCTCCCTCCACCCCGTCCTTACCGTACATGTAGATCGGCAAGTCCCGCGAGGTGGCGAACTCGTTGATAAACTGTCGACACATGCCGCAGGGGGAGGCCGGCGGGAAGATGTCCGTGGCGACCCCGATGGCGCGGATGACGGGCATGTCTGGACGGGGCATCGAGGCCACGATTGGGGCGATGGCGCATCGCTCCGCGCAGATGCCCACAGGGGTGGCAGCGACTTCGACGTTGGCGCCCGTGTGGAATGTCCCGTCCGAGAGGAGAACAGAGGCGCCGACACGGAAGTTGGAGTACGGGCCTAAGAAGAAGATGGGTGGCAGAGTCAACACATGATCCATACTGGGCAAAGGTAGGGTAGAGGGCTGATGGCCGGAGAAACAGCGGCCGGGCAAGATTCTCTTCATTCAGCCCAAAAGTAGGCCATTTTTCTTCTCTTCTTCAGGGAACAGGTAGGTCAGAGCCGACGGAGCGCGCAGCAAAGCAGTGCTTAGGCCTTTCTTCGCTCTGATTCTTTGGTTTGTGTTGTCACTTACAGTATGCTTTTGCCTTGGCCCCAATTGCCAAGTCGGCCAGCTTGTTCAATTCATCCTCCGATAAGGGCGCGAGAGTGTTGTTCGCCATATTAGTGACACTTATGGTCTTGATATCGTGTATTGGATTTGCCTCTCAGAGTGTGACACAGCGGAAAGAGTGTATTAACTTAATATTTTACAGAGTTGTGGAGGATAAAATGGTACGAGGTCGGGAATGGCAGCCTTGCCAAGAGTTTTGAGGATTCCGCAGCCTTGCGGACCAGGAGTCCAGAGGGAGTTTCTGTCGCTATATCAGCTCCTACAACCTCTCGATCCTAGCCACATGGGTCCGTCACGACCAGTTCAGTTGCTAGCTGCTAGCTGCTAAATGCGCAGTTCGAGACCCATGTCTTTCCTCAATCGGAGTCATGGGCTTCCTTTTCCGCTTGTCGGCTCAATCAGTGGCAGTAACTTTGGTGTTGGCATCAAAATAATGTCGCTCATGCACTCCCGGATGTACACGAAGCTGTTCCAGGGATTCTCCCACGTGTCAATGACATAATGTGGCAGATCCAACGAAGTCCATCCAACCACTCCCCGCAATCGGGCCTGCAACGCGAGTGTTGTCTTGCCGAATCGGTTGGGGTCTGATCCGTCCATTCTATATTTAGTCGCGAGCAGATCAAGAAGCATCAATTTCTCGTCTTTCGTCGGTTTATAAACCACACCACCAGCTTTTGAGGCCTTTTGCGGCGCGTCATTGGGAGCGTCGACACCTGGAGCCACCACCACCGTCACGAGATTGTACTCGGGTGAGAGACGGTTGATTGCTTTCTGGACCCGATAATCTTGATCTGGCGTCGTGGCGCCGTTGGAATCGGCGCCGAAGACATCCCCACCTGTGTCTACTATGAGAACAGTTTCTATTGGACGCCGAGCCTGATCCAGCACAGCATGAAATTGATCGGTAAGATCGGCCTTGTCGTCCTCGGAGATCTGAGACCTAGATTCGCCCTGGTCGAGGACCATAAATATCTGGGAATGATAGGGGAGGGGAATGGCTTCGAGATCGCGGCCCTCGGCGGTAGTGTCATTTTTCACTCGAAACGTTCCAGCGACAGGTCGCCCGTGCGCTTCCACTGCTCCACCGTGATTGTATACCTCACGCTTGATCCCCAACTTTGACCCCTTTTTGCCCTGAGATCCCGTCGCCCAGGTTCGAGTCGAGACCAAAAGATCCATTTGCTTCTTATGCTGTCGCAATAGGTGCCCCAGCAAACTTGCACTAATGATATCCGAGCCTCCGCCCCCACCGATACCGGCATACTCATGGCTAGGCCACTGCTCACCGGGTAACAGATCGGAAAGAGAATGCAACGGTGACAGGTTGTCAAAGGACATGGGATGGACAGGCTTCCACATGGCCCGTAGTGGCGCCACATCATCAAAAGTGGTTTCCAGCAATATTTGGTCGTCAACAACCTCCTTATGCAAACCAATTTGATCAGCAAGAAGTCGTAGATCAACACACGGATTTCGTCTGAACCCCTCGTAAAGGATTTCACCTTTCCGGGCAGCGGCGATCTCCCGACACAAAGCAACATGGCATTCATCGTAAACCCGAGCCAGGGTGAAAAGAGCTAGTTTGAGTGATAACCGACGGAGGGCTTTCATCAGTTGATCCTCGCCAAGAAGTCGACATAGCGGTCGAGCAGTTGTTGGATGAACGGTGTTGATATACTGTCGCCGCAGGACTGTGCGCACATTTCGAGATCCGGTGGCGTAGACTCGCTCTACGTCGTCCGCGAGATGCTGGAGACGAGCCGCAAGGTTGGATATGAGGGTGTGGTCGACATCGTCGGCAGCTTGCACCATGGCCGTTCATCGGACCAATCTAAGACGAAGAGATGCGAAACCGGTGGATTAGAGGAGAAATTCGGACGCAGGTGGCTTCCACAATGTAATGTGAAGTGCTTTTAGTATGCGACGAAGAGGAGAGAGACAATGAAGTCCAAACGCGACATGTACGAGGTAAAGGTGAAGGGAATCGGCGGTGCTAAGCCACAAAACGGGAGGGATGACTACTCCACGCATTAGACGGGGGCAAAGGGGGCCATGAGGGCCATCACTTTCCCATGGTGTGTGAAGGGTTGCGAAAGGGGGGGGAGGCCAGGCTCGGAAAACGCAGGCTCGTGACTGGCTGAGTGGCTTAAATGCGCCGAAGTTCCTTGCAGGGCTTTTGGTCAAGTTGTCACAGAGGTCGGAGTGGCTGCCTATCTGACCTCTTGGAGTCATTTAAAATCGCCTGCCTGTCAACAAATTGGCCATCGTACAAGAAGAGGTTGAGGTGCCCGATTGACGAAATGGTGTTTTCTTTTTCCTGGGAGGGTTGGACAGGTCTGTCTGAGTAGCTGAGATGACAGTATTAGCATGAGAGCTAGGGAGACCAGGAATAAGCAAACTGCGGCCTCCATCCAGCTGACTCTCACAACAACTCTGAACGAAGGATGAAGGGTTTAATGCCTTGTCAGACAGAGACCGGAAACTTGCCGCTGCTTTTTCCGCCGTTGTGTCATGTGCGTGCGACCGTTCCAGCGGCAAGCGGCTAGTGCCGTCTTGGCTAAACTGGGTCTTGGCAGACTTGTCAGGGAACTTTGGTCAGCCGCATCTCGAACCTCATTTCTTCCCATCTCTAACCCCTCCTCTTGTCTCGTGCTACTTACCTATTGAGTTCGACGCCCTCAACGGCCCTTTGGTATTCAAATTGTTCTTCCGTGCGATATAGCCTCGTGTGGAAACTAAGCCCGCTGAGCCTCCTTTGGATTTGTCTTTCTGATTTAGTGCTCGATCCGCCCTTCTCGACCTTTTGCCTCCCCCATCAACTCTATGACTCCGCAATCGTGCACAACTAGCAATTTCTGAATTGATGGCATCTCCTGGTAGAGACCAGAGGCGCGCTCCCTCGGGAGCTGACTGGGAGAGGTTTCGACCGGTCTTCACTCACCTGTACCTCGAAGACAATCGTCCTCTGCCTGAGGTTATGAAGATCATGAGGGAGCGCCATGGATTATGGGCAAGGTGAGCTCCGGCCCCAGACAGTGTCATTCTGGTACTAAACGTAGTCCCTCAGTGAGAAGATGTATAAGAACAAGATCAAATCATGGGGTTTGCGAAAGTACCTCAAGGAGGGCGAGGCTAAGCAGATCATGGAGGGGGAGGTTCCGACAACCAGCAGAGACTTGGATCTGGATTCCCTGAAGAGGAAAGCTGAACGTGCGTTGAAGCGGAAACGGAGTCGCAAATCATCCCAGCCACAAGCTTCTCCTTTTGCTTCAGAGTTATCACCGACAGCCTCGTCGCCTCCACCTTCTCCAGCTTCCGAAGCGGTAGTGCCATATTCAAAGCCAACAGAAGCACTACAGACTATTGTCGTTCCGTCGCCCGAGGGATTTCGTATTGCGAGTGTCGCCGAGCAATTCCTGTTCAACCTACGTGGCTGGACACATGATGCATTTGTCCACGGTGATTGGGATGCTATGTCTTCTACCCAGCATAACCGAGGGCGCCAGGCATCGCGGCTCCTATCATCGAGTCTAACCGCAGGGATCAATCTTTTTGACAATGGGAAGCAGGACCTCGCTTGGGCACAGTGGGGAAAGGCCTTTGCAGGTTTCCAGAATTCCGAATTGTTCAAGTCGTGGTATTACGAGATACCGATGGCCTTACTTTTCGAAGTGGGTCGGGTGGCTTTCAGTGGCCACCGGCAGCTTGCCGAGTTGCTCTTGAAAAGTGTCAAACGATGGGCGCATACATTTTTGGATCCAAAAGATTCCCGCCATGCCCTCTTCAGCGTCTTCGGCGAACTTGAGGTTGAACAGCTACGAGACCTATATACCCGTGCTGCCCGCTCTATGTACGACGGTCTCGAGACGCGAATCGACAAGCGTAACAAGCTCTTGTACGAGGTTCGACTTAATCGAGCTCTGGACCTGCTATGGTACGATCCAGACACAGATCTGACAGAATGGCTACCACAGATCTCAGAAGTTGATGCCGTGTCTCCTGGGCTTTCTGTCTACTTTATGCTCCTGCAAGCTTACAGACTTGTCGCCCAGGATCAATATGATGAAGCCGAAGAGATCTGTTCCCAAGTCCAACGGAGATTGACGACCTTGCGAGAGATTCCAGGAAGCATAGATCTCTGGCGGGTAGGACTTGCTTATCGCAGACTTGGGCGACAACAACATGCCAAAGGGCGCTATGCAGATGCACGCCGAAGTTTCAACACAGCACTAAAATATGTGCAGAACAACAACGAGCTGTCAAAATCCGTTCTGATTGAGATCTGCCAGAGACAGCAAAGCATGGCAAACATGATGCAAGACACCGAGGATGTTTTCTTCTGGACCAGAATGCTTGAGTCGTTGGAGCAGGATACCAAAGCACAAGTAATCGAGGAACTTGACGTATCAAAGGACGACGACGACGACGACACCGAAAACGAAAAGCTCTTGGTGAAACGGAGGCGAATATCACCTAATCCCAGCCGGAGTTCCACGCCTGCCCGCCGGGGCACCTGGTGACATTGACGTTGAAAGGGCTCCCGAAGCACAACATCTTTCCTCGACTTTGAGGTTTTATGATGACCACGATTTAATGAAGAGACGATTTCTACCTCGTTCGAACGTTGAGCGATTTTTGAAGGAGTTTGGTTTTCGAAAAAGAATGTGAGCGTCAATTGGCAGTCTGTACCCGCGCGGTTTCTCCCATCATCCCATGTGCTTGATATATTTATCTATCTCATTTTCAAGGAGGACAGAACCTTGGGCACCAAAGTCTGGAAGTGGTTTTGCCAACTTTTTGGCACAGTTGGGAACAGAGCAGGCCACATTATTAACAACAGTGTTCCGACCTTCGAAGTATGAGTTGCGTATCTGGTGTAGTTATACATACATGTGTTTCTGAGTGAGAGGACTCCAGCGTTTTATGAAATTCGAGAAGGAACTTTACATAGCCTTGTAGTCATCCCAGTTCTCTCACCAATGATGGGTTTGTTCTCTTCAGCTTCCGTCCACTAATGGTTCTCTTGAGCACCTGCTGCGCTACTGTGCTTGCCCAATCCTAGGATGGCGAATTCCCTTCCCTTGCCCTTGTGTGGGACGGGCTTTCCAGTTAGCCTGGTTCTGAGTGGCGATTTTTCCGAGGTCCGGATCCCCGACAGTGCTGTACAATTTTGAGAGGCGATGGTTGGAACATCAAAAGGGCCACCGCCTCGGACTGCTGCCTGAAGCATATACATTGTGTTGTACAGTCATTCAACTGCCTGCCCGAATACAGCATCGCGTTTCAAGGAAGTGGGCGAAGTGCCGGTCGTATGTATCTTTTTCGGCATTGAATCCCAATTGGTTTTCTCGAAAACCTGATCAACTCAAAGTCCATTGTCTCTTCACGTCTCTTCATTCGTCGTGTCGGGCTTCTTCTTCCTGCTGGACAGGATCTCGTCGACGACGCCCATCTCCAGGGCCTCCTCGGCGCTCAAAAAGTAATCGCGCTCCATCATCTTCTCGATCTCGTCGACTGTCATCTTTTTCTTCCCCGTCAAGTGGCGCTCGTAGATGCCGTTCAGCTGCGCGCGTATCCGCAGGATCTCCTTTGCGTGGATGGCAATGTCCGCCGCGGTGCCGTAGTGGCCACCGCTGGGCTGGTGGAGCATGATGCTCGAATGGGGGAGGCAGTAGCGCTTGCCCGCGGCGCCGCCGGCGAGGAGCAGGCTGCCCATCGAGGCGGCCTGGCCGAGCGCGAGCGTCGACACTTCGGGGACGATGTAGTTCATGCAGTCGTAGATGGAGAGTCCGGCCGTCACGCTCCCGCCGGGCGAGTTGATGTACATGGAGATGGGACGGTCAGATTCGGCCTCGAGGTACAGGAGGGACGCGGTGACGGTGGCAGCCATGCGGTCGTCGACTTCGCCGTAGACAGCGACGATGCGCTCCTTGAGTAGCCGCGAGAAAAGGTCCGTCGTGTGCGTCAGGCCCGCAACTGTCTCGGTGCTGTATAGACACCAACGAGTAACGGACTCCATGTCAGCTTCATTTCCCTCTTCTAGGAAGGGCTCCCCGAAGGAGAAAGGGCCAAAAACAACACTCACACAAAAGGAACAGGCAGCCAGGATCGCGAAGGTGTCGATCTCGAATATTGTCGTCTCTGCGTCGTCGGGATTTGCAGAGCGCCGGCACCACTGATAATGCATCCCGCCCGCGCGCTCACCCGTGCAGACAGCTGGGGCGCTGCCCGGAGAAGATGGCGCATCCTGTTGTCGCAGCGCAGTCAATTGAAGGGCGCTGTCGAAGAAAGGCAAAGTAGAGGGTTGGGGGGTTTGGCTTGGGCTTTTTGGACGATTGATTTTCCCCGAGACGTTGCACTTGCACCACCTCGCGCAAGGCTGAGCACGGCGGAGCACTCGACGAAACGGGACACAAGGCTGCAGGCAGAAAAGCGATCCGATTCTTCACATTTCCCATTTGTGCTATGAACAGGAGCGACAAGGGAAGTAGATATCCGTGTCTAACCGAGCCTTATTAGGTTCTACAGATCAAGGTACTTTTTCTCAATGCTCTGTACAGTTCTTAGTCCACGCCCTGTAAGAGAGAATTCTATAGCGGAACGGACAAGGCCGATAAATATGGTGTCATAGGAACCCCGTTGACCCTGATGCTGCTTGTTTGATTGTGCTGTGACTTTGACGAGTATAGAGCCTTGCTTTGCTGCATGATTTTCGAGGACTGTCTCATCCGGGGGTCGAATTCATGACTGGGCAGCGAGGCAAGTCATGTAACAGCTCTCGCCATATATCGCAACCTTTTTGAGACGGAGCGCTGTCTTGATTTCTGCCCCCTCGCTTTCTTCCACTTCAATATTGTGGAGTGCAAATAAGAGGTGAATGAGAAATGGTCGTTCGGGTGTGTCGCCATGGAATGACTGTCTCTGCTCAGATAGCTCAACCACCCCATCATGCGTACCTTCCAGAGTCGCAACCATGACCCCTGAATACTATTGAGCTTTATGACCGGCAGAGATGAGTGATGGCCTGGGAGGTGATCGTGCCGCAGCATGCACCGAAAATCTCCTCGAGGATATGATTGAATACCGCTCAACAACGACTAGCCAGGCTCTGGACGCTCCGAACAAATTGACATCTTCCCCGTTGGGAGCCGGCGCCTTCAACCCGCCCTTGCCCTCGCAGCGGCGAGTCTCAAGAATGCGGCGACGCTTGCACGAGCTTGAGCATTTTCAAGGGCAGTAGGCGAAGCCACAGGAATTGGTCTTCTGAGTAGCGCCTTGATGCCCTTCTTCAAATCCAGTAAAATTACATCGTCGTCATCTTGTGTCGATTCTGGTTGTTTCTGGTGGGCTGGAACGTCTTCCCCCCTCCCATCGGGCAAGAGGCTTTGCAGCTCGATCCCGTCCTCTGACTCTTCCACTTGAGCATGAGCACGTGACCTCAACTGCCCGGCTTCTTCGGACTCCAGGTCCTGCGGCTGTGACTCTTCCCGTGCGACAGCATCTCCAGAGGCAATTTGTCTCTCATGCCCGGCCACGAGCATAACCAATTGCAGAGAGAAGAGTATCAAGTCCAATATCAGCACAGATGTCCGCGATCTTGGGACTTCACCGACGAAGTCCACGATAATGCCTCCATGGAGTCGCTTGATCCCCGACCTGCTCTGTAGGAGATGTGTCACGACACAGATGAGGTTTACCACGATAACAGGTGTGATAGCCGCCGGCCGATGCTGAATGTGGACCACTTGGTTCAACGCGCGCAGGACAAGGAGGAATGTAAGATTGTCGCATACATAGAGGAGACCCAGGTGGACAAAAATCAAGGAGTCCAGCAAGCGGAGGAGCGAATCGAGATAGTGTTTCTTTTGATCTGGAATCTCGAGCCTGCGTTCCAGGGTGAGCGAAGGGACGAAAGAACCGTCATTCTCGGTCGTATTATTCATTCCCAAACCTGTGGAAGAGAATGATGGAGACGCCAAAGTATCATTGTCGCGATCGTATGAGGGCTCTCTGTGATGAAGAAGCTCTCATATCTCAGGAATGGGACGTTGCAAGTTGGTTAGTTGTCGCTATTGGACTGTCACGACTGCGCAGTTTCACTATTGCTGGAGCGACTTGCTTGACCCCAGTTCCGTACCTGGCTGTAAGTCATGCCGCTCTATGAGTATTTGGGGTCATCCCGCATTGGGCGGGTTCCCACTGTGATCCCAAGCCCAGTATGGAGTCTTTGACTGGCTGCTTTAGTACTATTACCACCCTCCCTGTTCCCCTCCACTTTACCGTGCTTCATGTAATTGAGAATTGCTTCAGCTTACTCATCGAGACTACCTAGATTGCTTGAGAGATTCCGAAATGGAGGAGCCATATCTGGCCAGCTATGTACAGATGTACCTGTCTCACCGAGTAAATAGCCTCTCACGTGTCTCCAATATTGCCAAATTGCCAAGCACCACTGGAACCATGGAATATTGTTGTTCCGTCGCTGTCCGAAGGTCAACCACAGCCATGTTTCCAACCTCAATATGGCTTGCCAACTTGCACACAAAGTTCCTCCATCACGACACGTCCAGCTCCATGCACAATGCGCAGCACGACCAGCTGCTCGAATATTCAAGAATATCTTGCTCCATATCGTCCAAAGGCTCTGCCGTTGCCATCGTAGCCCTGCTCCAAAATCAAACGTCACGTCAGCCTCTTAACGCAACCCCTCAAACTGTTCAACTCTCTGAAACAGCCCATCTGAGGCAAAGATCTTCAAAGATCTTCTGTGCCGGTTGCGTCCGTAGTCGTCAAGGTCATTGATCGAGCAATCCCCTCATTTATCCTCATCCTTTCGAATGAGACCATGCTCCCACGCCGGAGCCGGTGTGTATGTAATAGTGGTTGTTCCCACCTTTGTCCTTCCGATCTTCGCTACAGCTTCGAGAACGCCCTTGGAACTTGACATGGTGAGTTCAATATCCACATCAATGGCAATGTAGCCGGGATAGGTTTTCAAACCAGTCCTGGCTTCTGCGCGTTTGCGGCGTGCAATGTTGGTAATATCCACTCGGATCACGCCTATCTCCTCGACTGCTACACTGTGTCAGCTTCTTTTCAACGATAATAGAGGCAACTCACCAGGATCGTCCACCCGAGATGGAGCGATATCTTCTGCACACCTATACAGAACCTGATCGATCACCGGCCCTTTGACCTCGGCACGCGCGTTTTCCAGAACATAATAGCATCTCACTCTCGCCTTCATATCAGGCTTCAGCTTCTGGCCCTATTTCTGCGGTTAGCATATTCGGAGGCCGGAATATCTTGCTCACCTTTTTGACTATCCATTCCATCTGGTTTTTGGCCCTCAACCCACGCTCTGGGCACTCGAACCTATCTTCAGGCCTATGTTTGGCTTCGTCCCACGCGCGGTGAATTTGTGTGCCAATAAACTCCCGTGATCGTCGGCTCACAATAGGCGAGCATCCCTGGGCGGCGAGCACCGCTCCTCGAACCACAGCCGTCAATGGCTGACGAGGAGCCAAAACTTTGACGGAACCATCCTCGAACAAGTTGCCGACAAAGGCATTGACCTGGTTGAAGATATGCGGGTTACAACTAAGCCCCCCACACATTGCGATGATCTGTCGCATATTAGCCCGCATGACTGTCTAACCATTTCGCAACTTACTCGAAGAGAAGTAGCCGGCCTGGCCTTTGCGATTCGACGGGCTTGTCCACGGATTATCTCGAATATTTTCTGGATCACAGGTTCGAACATATGATGCAAATCGGCACTATTTTCTGTCAGCAGGTCGATTGATCGAGACAATAGCTGACAGGAGAGGAAGTCAGGGAGAAAATACCTTGTGATCTTCGCAGCCAGGTCCATGAAATCATAGCGATTCCGAATGTTCTCGTCCTGATCATCCAGTTTCCTCATATTGAGGCGGAGCCAGAGATCTTTGTTCTCAGTCTGGCCATCATACTTTTTCTTGTGTGTTTCAAAGTCCTGCATGAAGTGACTGGTCGCTGCTACCTTGCTGATTGGGAGTCCGCTGAATGCGACGCCGAAGTGTTCTTGCATCAGGGCATGGAGAGCCCGGTCGATGCTTGTTCCCCCTATCTTCGCACCTGAATTGGATGTCAGCAACGACCCCTTGGGCATCAGTCGGCAATACCACCTTCGCCAGCACAAGCCTCCTCTAGCTGCAGAGGCTTGGAAGAGGTTATTTTGTACGAAGCACTGTCGATTGTGCCTCCCCCACAGTCTATCACCATGACACACACTCCCTCCTACATTCTTGTCAGATAATACTCGAGTCGAAATCCATGAGACCGCACTTACCTCCAACTGATCTGCATCGGAAGATTTTTCCAGCGATTTAATCACATCCAGAGCAGCTGCTTCGCTCTCATCGATAATGATAATCTCGTCACGCTTACCCTCCCCAAATCCGGCTTTAATCGCCGCCTGATGAGTGGCTTCCCGAGCCGCTGGCGACCATGTGGTCGGAACAGGAACGCAGATGCGTTTCCGGGCATGCTTTATGGCTGTCTCGAGGATGGTATTGTCCAAACGTTGAAGCCAATATTTTCGGAGGTTGGAGACAAAGTCCTCGATAACCTCGGATGCAGTCTTCCCATCAGGTATGTGCATGAGACCGTCTCCAATGGCCTGCTGAAGCAGGGGATCGTCGAAATCTTCCTTGTTCGTGTTTTCGTCAAGTCGGAGCTTCGGCCAGTTGCAAATCTGCATTCCGCTCTCCACCTGAAAGCCCCATTTATCTGTCCTGAAGTCATTTTCCGCGGCATAAGCCATTCTTGTTGGCACCTTCACAACAACGTGGCCTTCATAGCTGTCCAGAACGCAAATCTCCTCTGGTGAAGCGATGCTTGCCGCATACGCAATGGCTGGGATCTTTAGCACACAAAGATCAAACAACCCATTGGACACATACCTGAAGCCGTCGTTCCAATGTCCAGTCCTACACTCAAGAATTCCTCAGTCTTTTTGGGCTTATCGGAGTCTCCTGGCGTTCGCTGGGTTTTTGCTGTCTTCTTTTTGGGACGGGCTTGGTCTCCACCACAGGTCAGACCGGTTCAAGATCTGCTCGATATCACACTGACCTTCACGTTTCCTCTTCGAAGTTGGTGTCCTAGTGGGAGCCTGAACTTTACCTCTCCCTGGGTTTGAGTTTGATGTCAGTTGATAGGAGTACAAACAATGCCCGATTGACATACGGTCTCGGATCCCCAAGGGTTTGTATGCTGGCGCCATGTTGGTGGAACCAAATGCTGGCCTAGGGATGATGAGATAGCACAAAGTGATCTGAGATATGGGCGCTTGTGGGAGGTAAGTTATCGGATAATGAAGCTACTCCAGAGCAAAGAGAGTACGACGATGCACGAAGAAAAGGGGATTGGAGAGGAAGGAGAATTGGTTTTATATGTTAGAGATGAGCCACTTTCACATGCTTCGAAAGGCTTACCTCAAGATGGAATTGTCTATCGCTCAGATGAGGATTCTATCTCTCCTCAGATCAACTCACAATCACACTGCCGGAAGCACATCTCTCACTATACCTTGATCCTGACTTACACTAGCATCTACTTTGTTATCTCTCTCTTTACCGGACAGCAGAGGTAATCTGTTACAAACGTGCCAGGTCGCTTTCACTCTTCTGTCATCACAACACAATTAGCAACACTTCAGCACACATCGGTATTCGAAATGACTATGGCACCTGCAAAGAGTGGTGGCGATCTGGAAGTCGAGATACCGAGCCGAATGCAAGAAACATCGTCGGCATCGCTGACTGCTGGCACGACTTCCGCAACAATGACGCTTCGTTCCCAGGACAAAACGGGAAGTAGAGACCCTCCTCCACCGGGGAAATCAGGCTCCGTGGTTAACAACACTGCTGGGTCAGACGACAACGACTTCAGTGATAGCCATGGACCAGACCCCGACTACGGAAAACCCGCACCACCCAGAAAGAAACAGACAACTTCAGGATGCAAGAACAAACCAGGCGCCAAAGGAGCTGTAAATTCTGCAAAACCAGCCACAGGCCGTGCGACCAAGGGGAATCGAGGAAAGAAACAGGATCCTCCAAAAGACAAGAAGGAATTGGACCGACGAATGAAAGAAAATCCATCTTCAATACCCTCCTTTGATGGGAGAAATGATACAGCTAGTCCAGAGCGCCAGTGGGAGAAGGAAGTTCGCAGGCAAAAGCAGGAAACGCGGAATTACAAGAGGAAGTTGGAATCAGCGCAAAAGGAGATCAAACAGCTAAACCGACAGGTTGACAGCTACATGAACGATCGGCTGGGGCTTATGTCTAAAGACAAGGAAGAGGTTGAACTGGATCCCGATCTGGAAAACAAATTCAGGGATATATTCCGCGATGTTGGGGTTCTCTCAAGGGCATGGAGCGTTTCAGATTGGCGCGAAGTCGACCGGGCAACAGTGTTGGAGGTCTTCTCAAGCCTCTCGAGCACAATGACGAGACCCTTTGCCACCGAAAAGCTCCTGCTAGCGGTCCAGCACGCGACGATCCCGCCGAGGATAGTCTTGAGTGCATTCATCAACAAGGAGATTTGCGCCGAAACATTTGCCAGGCCTTTTGCACACCTCCAGTTAGGTCTATATGGTCGAGACGTCGATCTGATTGAAGTTATATTAAATGAGGTTATGAATGGTGCCGAGAAGAGTGAGTTTGTGCAGTTTGATATATGTGTCGTCAAACAGCTAACGCAGAACAGAGTCTCCCGATTCCCAGCATAAGATGAGGGTTACAATTCTCCGCGCCATCAGCGATAGTCCAGCAGTGGAAAAACATTGGGTTAAATCTCGAACACAGCAAGCCATGGACTTTGCGCAAAAAGAACGATGCAAGCATATAGCGTCGAGTCTCATCCAAAGAATGGGTATCCTATTTCGAGATGTTACAAATGAGGAGCGAGACGGGAGGGACCATCAAGTTCTTGATGTTGTAGAGAAAGCTATGCGGTTGTCGTGTGTTCTCAACATGCAGTATCCAAACATCCAGTTCGTCTTTCTAAACGACCTGTCCAGGCCAAAATTCACCTGGAAGGACGGTCGATTTCAGCTACACCAAGCTCTCGGCATTGACGAACACGATGAAGATAACCCCAACGAGGCACACGCTCTTGTGGGTCAGCCTCTTGACTTGGTTGTGGCACCGATGGTCGAGAGATACGGGAATAAAGACGGCGAGAGCTACGATACGAAAAACGTCATTCTCCAGGGCACGGTGTGGATTGTGAGGAACAGTAAGTCATCCTCTCATTCGGCAAACGCGGATCCAGACGAAGAAGTGCAACACGACGCGGAAAGCAGAGAGTCCGTCGAATCTTGCGAACCGATGTCAGGAAGCACAGTGCCGCACACCAGCCAAGCAGGTCAACAGAACTCGAGAACGCGGGAGCCTACAGACCTTGCGAAAAAGGCCTATGGTCTCCGCACCGAAACAATGAGAACGTGGAAGGCAGCAGAGGCGGAAGCGCAGAAAGGCTGTCGGCGAAACCGTTCAAAGGGTAGTCAGGAGACGACCAGGAACTTAGAAAAGCAGAAGCACACAACAAAGTGTTCAGCAACTGCTAAGCAGACCGGGGCACCAGTGGACCACGATGTCATTTGTCTCGCCGAGAGAGGAAATGTATCTGAAAGCGCGAAAAAGGACCAGACGCAGCTCCCATCTACCGAGGCGAAGACTCCCCACGAAGATGCTGGCTCGGTTTACGAGGACGAAGCCCAGCCTACTTGTAAATCGCCGGTAATTACCGACCAAGAGCCAGACACTGAAGTTCCAGCTCTCGAACAGGACACTCGGGCCTCTGGAGGGAAAGCAGCAATAGAAAGCCATCCTGAAATTTCAGACGGTAGTCCTGGAGGACCTGACAACTCCGGCTCTCATGCGTCGACCTCGTTACCCATCTCCACACCAGCATCGACCCTTGCACAAGATCCAGCGACACGAGTCCAGTCAAAGAAAGATATACCGGAACCTCATTCCAAGCGTGAGTACGCCGAGTGTGGACTCGAGGAGCGGGTGAGAGACGGGGAACATGCGGAGGATGAGCCGCCCTCGAAAAGACAGGCAAGTCTCCTTGATGCGCTGCCAATGACTTTATTTTGCTCAATGCCCGCCCAGTAGCTAACGAGAACATAGAAAACCACGGCGACGGAAGCAGACGCCGTCATCAGCGTTGTCGTCGGTGAGTCCGGAACGAGCAACACAACCTCTACGGGGGAAGCGGAAGGCAAAACCGTGAAGACACCAGTGGAGGTAAATCATGCCACAGCAAGGGAGAAGACCGTCCAACTGGCACCGCTGGAACAGGATCGACCCAAAGTTGAAGAATCTCAAAAGAGCGGATCATCTCGACCAATTCAAAAAGCAAGACCTCCCAAAAAGACACAGCCTGGCTCTGGCTCAGTCCTGATGGGCACCTTGGCTGAACTTGAGAAACCCCCAAGGTACTAGTTCTGCCAACAGATATCTCCTTGGAGTGATCCCTCACCACCAAAAACTGGGCGACATAGAGCTCTTCCAGTCAATGTTTATCGAATGCCGGCATCGAATCAGCCATGAGGAAACATATCCGGACGAATTTACATCGAATTATCGACACAGGATATCACATTTGGGCGCCAATACTTGGAAACCAGCTACCAGAAAAGAGAAAAAAACAAAAAGATATAGTACGAGAGAACTACACTGCAGACCCAACATGCTTGTGAGGATACATTCCACCATTCCACCATGCGAATCGAAGCGGATCGGACACTCTCAATTCCGTCAATAAATCCGGACTTCAAATCATTGTATTTGTCGAGAGTTCCAGGGTGCCCGGTGGATTTTCCCTGGTGTGGAAACGGGGGAAGAGAACAGAAATGGACAGCAAGGGAGGTTGAGACCAGTCGTTGTCCACGAAATCGGATCACTAGCTGAGGAGACCAATGAATGTAAACGGATCGTCACACTCTGGAGTGTCTGGGCTATTTTGGCACGGTCTGATCATATGGAATCCTGGAAAGCCATGGCTGAGACACAGCGACGATAGGGTGGTGGTCGTGGTGCGCGCAACCGGCTTGTGAAGCGGGTGGAAAGCTGCTTGGTTTTGGCTTGGCTTTGCTTTGCTTTGCTCTGCTCTCCTCGCTCGAAATCTGCTGTGCTTGCTTTGCTATACTGTACTTTTCTTATCCTGGACACATTCTCTGGTTCCTCACTCATGCTGTGGTGGCTGTGTTCAGGAGAGACGGCTAGGGGCTAACTGCTTCCATTCTCGACCATTAGCATTGGGAGAAGGATATCGGACATTAGGCATATCAGTTTGGTGCTTGATTCTTTGATACTCGATACCAAGACACGCAGCGACATTGGACCATGTCCTTCGAAACGAGGGTTTAAAAAGTCGTGTCACATGGCATAAACTCCTTCCCTGTGTATGCCCTCCAAATCGGTGTTTTTTTTTCATTCCCTGCCCAGTCCGTCCATATGCCGGTCCAGTCTGTCTGGGGGAGAACCACCGCAAACGCCGTCGCTGATGCAGGCATAACGAACATCTATCAATATCCGCCTCATACTGTAAACGCCCCCCTCTGTAAACGCTATTGTTCAAGCAGCCAGGACGCCAGCCACTTGACAACTCATGTCGAGTAATGCGAGATGCTCGTCGACGCCGTCAACCAGCTTCTTGTCGAACTCTGAGAAGATGGCCGTCAGCTTGTACTTTTTCCTCATGGCGGCGTCTTCTTTGCCGTTGACAGTCACGTCGTCTTCGCCAAGCACCACGGCTGAATACAGAGAAGAAAGGACCTCATTGGCGGCATACCCGCTGGCGACGATGTCGGTGATTTCGGATGCGATGTTGTTATAGTTTCGGGTGTTGCCCTTTTGCAGGATTTCGATAAGGTTGTCTGTGAGGCTCGGGGGAAATGTACCTGCGATGTCGTTGATGTCGGCGATCTTGATCATGTTGTTTGACGGAGAAGGTTTCGACTTGGCGGCATCGACATCTTCCATTTCTTCGTCTGATTCATCTGCGACCACTCTCTTCTTGTGGCCGTTGGAGGTTGGTATTGAGGCCGAAGCACCAACCAGTCGGGCAGCGCTCTGAAGGAGATTGATGGCGCGTCGAAGATCCCCGTCCGACACTTTCAGAGTCCTCTCAATGACGCCCTCCTCATATTCCACATTTTCCGCCTTGAGAATCGATTCAATCCGCGCGACCGCCTCGGATCCCTCGAGGGCCTTGAACCGAAACTTGGAACACCGCGAGGCGATGGGGTCGATGATTCTCGAGACGTAGTTGCAGCACAGCGCAAATCTGGTGGTTGCGCTGTGAATCTCCATCACCCGCCTCAGCGCCCCTTGCGCATCCTGTGTGAGCTGGTCCGCCTCGTCCAACAAGACGACCTTGAAGTTGGGGCACGGGTACTTCTTGCGGTATTCGTCCGAGAACGGGTGCGTTAGGTGTAGCGACGCGAACTGCTTTACCCGTTCCCTGATCACCGAGAGACCCCGTTCGTCGGAGGCGTTGAGTTCCAGGACGCGCGATTTCATGAGCTCGGGGCCGAACAGTTCTCGGCAGAGGGCGAGGATCGTGGACGTCTTGCCGTTCCCCGGAGGGCCGTAGCAGAGGAGGTGAGGCAGGTTGGAGGCGTTGACCATCCGACGAAGAGTCTCGGTGGCATGTTCCTGGCTCTTGACTTCTTCCAGACTCTTAGGTCGATACTTCTCCGTCCACGGCTGCGCGGCAGGGGGTTGTTCGACGGCCGACTTGGGGCCGGCAGTCTTGGAGCTTGACGCTGCAGCGCGGTTGCGGTCGAAGAAGTTCGCCATCTTGTATTTGCCAAAGGTTGCGATTGGGGTCGTCTGTAGCTGGGTTATTCGATGACGGACACCTCCAAAAGTTGTCGGTGCGGGACGCGTCCCGGGGATGAAGGACGCGTTAAGTGGCTTCTAGCTTGGCAATGTTCTCCCAGGAACGCACGTGATACTAAAGCACATGCGAATCAAGCACTACTTCAAAGTGTTATGAGCCAAAGGACCAGAATATCCGAGCAGATTTCCCCCCCAGGTAATCATTGAAGAATATATCAGGCAAGAGTCCTAGTCTATGCACCTGACAATGTGTGCAGTGGCTTGGCACAAAATAATGTCAACACAATGACACGAGGCTGAAGAATCCAGGAGGTCGTCTTCAGCAGGCAGGGCATAAGAGTTGTCTAAGAAGATACAATAGAGTCTGCACAACACCAAATTCATCATAGCATCAATCATAACTCGTCCCTCACTTGCTCGACGTCAACTTCCATCATCCTCTTCAACGTGTTTCGCGGCTGTTCTTGTTGTGCCTTTCTTTCTTCGTCCGTGATATCGTCTACATCTGTACCTTGGTCTTCCACTATTCTTTCAACTTCCTTGATGATATCCCTCGCTGCTCCTTCGTGTGAATATTGCTGCGGAATCTCTGGTGGTGGCCCTCTTCCACCTCCCCCCTTCGCTGGGAGCTCCATGCTCTTGAAATAAATGCCGGATTTGTGTGTTGGCATTCCCCGCGCATTCATGCCAGGCATTGAGACTGTAAGAGAGGGCACTGGAGCAGGCGATGTTGTGACATCGGATCTGCCTCCCAGTCCCACAGCTCCCATACTTGTCAAAGTGACCCACCACATCATGCGCAAAGGCCACCAAATAAACAACATCAGAGGGCCATAGAGGATTCGTCTGTAGAAGAGCCAGCATATCGTGACAGCAAGTAGATAGAAGGAGGATCTCAGAAACCAAGTGTCTGACTTGTTGCTCCGTACTAACTGGCCAAGAAACCCCCTGCTTGCTTTCAACAAATCCGTGGTTCCCGCATAGCTTTGCGCCAAGCTGTCCAGTGCCTGTTGACTTTCTTCCAAAGTCTGCTGAGCGAACTGTGAGACTGATAGCTCTCCCTCGAGTTGTTGGTGTACTCTCCGCAACGCGATGGTAACGTCTTCTGCTGCCCGGAGGGCCAGTTCGTCCTGCGTCAACTTCTCGTGTGTAGGTCTCCCCCGCGACTGCTGTTTCCCGTCCTGCTTCCGATCCGCAAACAACTGCTCTCTCTCTTTCCGCTTTTCCAAATCTGCAGTCCTCTTTGCTTGAAGTTGTGCTTTTCGAAAACTCGCCCGCGCGCTCTTCAGATCCTCTGTGAGTCGCGATAACAAGTCGGCATTTCTTTCCCGCTCACTTTCTCGGCTCGAGAGGTCTCGCCGATGGTTCGGAATGGCATCATCTTCAAATTCTTGCCTTAAGATTTCTAACCTATCTTCTTGTTTCTTAAGGTCGTCATGGATTTCGGTAGCGAGCTCGAGACGTCGTTCGTCTGGATCGCCGGTAGAATATGAGCTGGCCGAGAACTTGCGGAGTTCTTGGATCTGGGAGGATATCTCTTTGAAGGAGTCTGCCAACGCTTGAAGGCGTTGTGAGAGGGAGAGGGACATCTTTGCACACAATGACAACTAGGGATTCGTGCCTGTTTGAGAGGTTGACATGTATCCAGAAAAGCGATGCATACGGTGCAAACAGAGCAAACAGCTGAAAAACAGGCAGGTCTGCCGAAGGGTTACGGACTAGCGACCTTTTCCGAGAACAATTCCAATGCGCCCATGTCTTTCCTCCAAGAAAACACGCAACAAGCCACCCGTTGATCCGCAAACATGATAACGACATATTTGACCTCGTTAAAGGCGAGATTCAACCCATTCAGTGCATCATCCAAAATTCCTCGGCTGTTCCTCACCCTCCTCCCCGCCGATGCTCACAAAACTCTCAAGATCTCCTCCACTGCACTCCCCCGAAGCTCCTCCGAACCCAGCACCTTGGAACTCGGATTTAAAGACGGCAAAGTGGTGAAATACTCATGGGGTGCCGAGGCGCGGGCTTCTTCGAAGAAGGGATTCGGGGAGAAGGTCACGCTAACCGATATTGTGGAGGAAGTTGACAGGCACGCAAGAGTATTGGCAAGGAAGGAAGAGCTGGCCGGCTGATGAAGGGCCCGATGTCGAAGAATATACAGAACTTTATGAAGCGTATCCTGGGGTGGATGGTCTCGCAGGCGGTCTGTCCTGGAACCAGACCATCGGAGATCGATGGCGCATCTAGCATGGCATTCAAGCTCGCGCCAGCGTACACTCCCTGCTCCTTACAACGTCGAACAAGATACAGCAACCTCGGTCTCGAATGTCACCAGAGCCCAGGAGGGCAGACGGGTGCTCAAGTCAATGCAGGCACTGAGGTATGCGAATATTACCTTTCCCTTGAAGGGACAATCCCGGATATCTTCCTCAACATCAATGGATTTCAGGATTGCGGTGGCGGCGGTGTGAGACGATAACTTTTCGGAAATGGATCAGCATGTATTAGAAAGAAATCTGGGCAATCACAGCTGTGTCCATGTCTATGTTGTTGTATAAATAATTCAGTGACAAAATCCTTGTGAATTGTGTTTCGGAGCGGGAAAAGCATGAAGTGGGATTGTGTCTTCTATACAGGCCAAAGTAGAACACAGAGGTCGTGTTACTCGATGATTCAACGTGTCTTCCGACGAACTATTCGGCCAGGCCTTGTGGTGTCGCCTCGCATTCAGCTCGAGTGAATCTGGCTCTGGTAAGGTCATTCGATAAAGAGCCAAAGCTCCGAATGCCTTTTGGTACTCTACCTCCTCATATGATGGGATGCGAGAGGTATTTCTTGAGCCAAGGGCCGTCAATTTGGTGAACGGAGCATTTCAGAGAATCACAATTCGTCTCGACAGATTTTGCTCCGGGAGCAGATCAAGCGACGTCGGATCTCCCATCACCCCATGCGGAGGCTTTGGATGCCTTGAGACGTTTCCGTGACACCAGGATTTTCTGAATGTCTTGTAGAAACCCAGGCATCGAGCATACACGCCAATTCAGGCGTGGTGCAACGAAAGCGGTGGTCCCATTCTGGGTCAAAAGCGATTCCAGATGTTGAGAATCGGCACCCATCGACGTACACTGTTACTGCCAGCTCACGCTGTTACCGCCAAAGCACCCTGGCCAACTCCATCGAATCCTGCATTCTCTGCTGCGATTTCGCCCTTTTGCTTCTTGTTCCGCTCCTGGTGAATGTGTTCGTTCTCGTCACTTCTTTGTTCCAGGACCCTCTTCTTTTCTTGTTTCTTTAAATGGTTCTCTCGGTTCTCCTGTCTGTGCTGTCGCTTGATATCTGCTTTGGTTGTTTGTGGAGTTCCCAGACCAAGAATGTGATCGATCTCTGCTGCCTTCGCCACCATCTCGGGATCAGAGATCTCCAATAGCAAAATGGCTTCTTGATAGCTTCGCGACTTTTGAACCGGTTGGTATGCGGGATTCTTTCCAGGCATGAGCTGGGACAAGAGAAATTTCGTGTTACCCCATTTGTTCTCGACACTCATCGCAAGCTGCAAATACTCTTTGACCACCTCTCGCCACGGTGCCAATCCACCGTTCTCCTTGCTGCGAAAAACTGATGAGTTGGCTTCGGCGGCTGTGGCGATCATTGCCCCATCGACCCCATACTCCGTTGCCAAAGCCAACCCTTCCTCACGAGATCTCACGTCTCCGTTCATCAAGCAAGCGACTCCATGGCTTCTACATATATCACCGATCATCCGGAGTTGATCCCTGATAGCGCGCTCTCGCGGTCTCATTGGCGTAGTTCTGCAATGAATGGTCAAGCCGATGATGCCAGTTTTACACAGTTTGTTGACGAGCTCCGAGGTCAGTTCAGGTGTCTCTAATAACCGAATCTTGACGCTGATACCGATCTCATGAGGCGTTCCCACTTTCGTGACGAGAGCTGTGAGGATGTTGCACAGACGATCAGGAGTCCGAAGTAGTGCCGCGCCCATGCCTCCTGAAGTAGAGAAAGGCTTTGGACACCCAGCATTCACGTCGATCCCACGAACATACGGAGCAACAAGTGTCGCAGCTTGAACGGCGTAGTCGGGCGAAGCGGTGCCAATTTGATAAATTAATTTGTCCGACTCTCTCTGTGGATCAATGCGGTATATCACACTTGTTGAATTGTTGTTGGATGTCCGCGTCCATTCTATGCAGCCAGTGCGAGGGTTGGTATTTTGAGTAGTTCCAATCATAGATCGATCAACCGTCTCCGGACCCCATACCAGGTCAGCACCGTATTTGAGAGCCAGAAGACGTGATGGAAGTTCCCCGGAGCGAACCATGGGAGCGAGAACTATCTTTCCCCGGTAGTCAACACCTTTCGCGGGAATAGGGAGATGAGGAACATCTTTGACTGGGAGCGGGGTTGCCATTCTCGGAGCTAAAGAGGGCCAAAGGTAGTCTAGGAGGGATAGAGTGCGTCGTAACAGAGACTGCGGCCGAACAACATGGCCGACAGTCATAAGGAGCGCAGTGGTGAATCAAATGTGGAAAAGCCAAATAAACGATTTGTCCGCAGAACTAGAGACGTCGCAGTTGCGCAGGCGGCAAACATGTACGTGTATCACGTGGAGATAAGGTCCATCTCCCATCACGTGAAGATAGCTAAAAACTCGGGATCGATTGTGGCAACGCAGTCATCGATACCAGATCAAAATTCAATAGTATTTTCGGAGTATGGGAAGCTCTGGTCGTTCTCACCGACCGAGGTGGAAATATTAATGTTGCACAATCGGAAGGCGAGACTAAAGTCCTAGATCCCTCGGATAGCAAGTCTAGTCTGGCCTATTTCATCCTTCATATGCACATGTCTCGAGTGTCTGGCATTCTGTCTAGAATTCACACTTCGCGCACCTGCAGCAGCCTCCCGGGTTTCTCGTCCATTCAGAACCAGTCGTCATTTCACCGCCAATTGTCAACACCGTGCCTCCCACCCCGCGCCCCTACCTCCAACAAGGTTGCTCATCGTTACCTCACTGGCACATTCGCCCTGGCTTCCACCAAGCCGACAGAAAATTCCATCTCTCCTCCCCTCCGCCACTCCACCTCTACAACCATAGCTTCCCAACGTTCAGAAGCCATCGTTCGGCACCTCTCTACTTCTGCTTCATTACCACGTCCAGCGTCTGCCACGATGTCGTACAGTAAACAGCCTTCGGAATACCAGCCCAGAAAAATTGGTGCTCTTCACACAAATGAGTTCAGGTGCTACATTGAGAAAGATGGCACTCCGGTCTCGCCCTTCCATGACATTCCTCTCTATGCAAACGAGCAGCAAACAATCCTAAACATGGTCGTCGAGATCCCCAGATGGTCCAACGCAAAACTGGAGGTAAGAAATCTCGAACTTCAAGGTCTTCAAAAATGTAAATGCAGTGGCTGACCGCTCGCCAGATCTCCAAAGACGAATTCCTGAACCCCATCAAGCAAGACGTCAAGAAAGGGAAGCTCCGATTTGTTCGTAACTGCTTTCCTCACAAAGGCTACCTCTGGAACTATGGTGCTTTCCCAAGAGTGAGTGGTGGTCAAGGACAAAAGAGATGGGATTTAAAAGTTAACCAGTTCACAGACCTGGGAGGATCCCAACGTCGTACACCCTGAAACCAAGGCCAAGGGTGATAACGACCCATTGGATGTCTGCGAAATTGGTGAGCTGGTTGGCTACACCGGTCAGATCAAGCAGGTCAAGGTCCTTGGTGTCATGGCACTTCTCGATGAAGAGGAGACTGACTGGAAGATCATTGTCATTGATGTGAGTTGTCATAGCACGTATCCTTTTTCATCCATCCAATGCTAATATCGCTACAGGTCAACGATCCTCTTGCCCCCAAGCTGAACGATATCGAAGACGTCGAGCGACATCTTCCTGGCCTGCTCCGAGCGACAAACGAATGGTTCCGCATCTACAAGATCCCAGATGGAAAGCCTGAGAACCAATTCGCCTTCAGCGGTGAATGCAAGAACAAGAAGTACGCCGAGGAGATTATCCGTGAATGCAGTGACGCTTGGGAACGTCTGGTCACCGGCAAGCAACAACGTGGTGATATCAATCTGGCCAATGTCACGAATACCGGCTCCCCAGATCGTGTCGATCCATCTCAACTCTCCAAGATCCCTCCGGGACAGAACATCCCCCCTGCGCCAATCGACGGCAGCGTTGACAAGTGGTTCTTCATCTCCGGTGCGGCTGTCTGATCTGTGGCGCCTTACATTGTTGGCTGATTTCATTCAGGGAGTGGTGCAACCTCGGAAGATTACGTCAAGAAGTGATGGCCAGGCCTGAATAGAGCGTGGAATTTGCAGTCTTTGTCAAAGACGACCCATTGTCATAGACCAAAAACATATGTCAATTTATGTAGCTGACCCAGCCAGGAAGGAGAATGGTTGCATAAGGAGTGCCTGGGTGATCAATCACCACGTGGGTGCCACAATCTAAACCTTCCACATCTGTTAACCGGAGCATTTACAAGCGTAAAAGTAATAGTCGGAAGGTTTACACCCTTGAAACCAGAGCACCCAGCTCGCCAGGATCACTGGTCCGGGGTGCCTGATTTTTGGCACACTGATCTCGTCAATCACTGTGTGCTCATTGCGAAGAGGACAGAATACGTCATTGCGGACAAACAGAAACGCGTCTGCGCAACCTTTTACATATTCATTATGTGACACGCGACCTCCAAGACAAAATGGCATCCACCGCCGAGATAAAGAAAACCCCCTTTTCCAGGGCCATGGAATCTAATATTATACCCTCGTGGCCGTCGCTGGTGACAGAAGAGAACTTGCAGTTCTTACGCTCCAGTGCGCCAGTATCTTTGTTACCGCCGCGGTCAGCGCAACACGGTTTCCTCCCATTCTTTCCCTCATCCCCTCGATGAAATGGAGAAAACTGCAACATGGAGTGGCACGCCCTCCATCAAAGGCTCAACTCAAGCCATCCGTATGTGCTTGCTCACCGCCTCTCTGGTCGGCATTCAGTATGTGACACTACTTCCCTCTCGACTTTAGCGACGAATCTGTGAAACTAACAAGTGCTCAACAAAAGGTTCTGCTGGGGCTTGGAGAGTAGGTCCCTCTCCCTGGACAAATTAGTCCGGTGTTCATTCAATTGCGCACGCTAACAGCAGTTGACAGTGACTTACGGAACTCCCTATCTTCTCCAGCTCGGTCTCACAAAGTCGAAAACATCCCTAGTATGGATCGCAGGACCACTTTCCGGCTTGATCATGCAACCAATAGTTGGGGCTTACGCGGATAAATCAACGTCAAGATACGGCAGGCGAAGACCTTATATGGTCGGGGGTGCCATAGTCACAGGTGGCGGATTGCTGCTGCTGGGCTGGACATCTGAAGTTGTGGGCTTCTTCCTACCCGAAGGCGACATGAAGAAGACCATGACCATCCTGGTCGCCGTCATGTGCATTTATACCCTCGATTTTTCAATCAATGCAGTCCAGGCGTGTTGTCGCAGCTTGATTGTCGATACATTACCGGTCTCGCAGCAACAATCTGGATCTGCGTGGGCATCGAGGCTGGTCGCAGCAGGCCATCTAGCCAGCTACTTCGTCGGCACTTTTGATCTGGTTGCGATGTTCCCACCTTGGATGGGAGGTGATACTCAATTCAAGAAAATGACGGTTATTGCAACATTGATTTTATGGTCCACAGTGGGCATAAGCTGTTGGGCTGTTACAGAGAGAGTGAGGTTGCCTAGCGAGGGCGACCATACCTCGGTGAAAGAGGTACTCTTAGGTCTTGCGCGGAAGACATTTGACCTCCCTACACGCATACGCGCTATATGCTGGGTACAATTCTGGAACTGGGTTGGATGGTGAGTTAAGTGCCCATAGTGGTTGTCAGTGAAGGGCGAGAGACTAATGTACCGGTTCTAAGGTTTCCCTTCCTGTTCTACTCAAGCACATTCGTCGGGGAAATCCACTATCGCTACGAGGCTCCTGCTCGCGAACTGGGTGTCGAGGATGAACAAGACGCTCTGGGGAATGTCGGCCGGATAGGTAGCCTCGCATTGGTGTTTTTCTCCTTGACCACCTTCTGTGCGTCGGTCATATTCCCATTCCTCATCAAGTCACCAGAAGCACCCGATACGAAATTTACCCCTAGGCCCCCTGCTTCGATTCCCAAATTTTTCCAAAAGATTTTGGCGGCGGCATACGACATTCGACCCGATCTGATATCGGCGTGGAGTTTATCGAATCTTTCCTTTGCCATCATCACGATATTTGCCCCATGGGTCCGGACACTTTCTTCTGCAAGCTTCCTGGTAGCTGCTTGTGGCGTACCGTGGGCCATATCGTGTTGGGCACCATTTGGCCTGCTGGGTATCGAAATCAATAAGATGTCTTCCGGATCTCCTACCAATATCAGTGGTTCAACTGTGCCTGGTTATACGGCTGTCCGTGGCAGCATCGATGGGAACTACGGTGTCGAGATGGAAATCGCGCGACAACATCGCAGGACCTTTTCCGAGGATGTGCTGCGACTCAATCATCCCGATGAAGGTGACGCCCATTCCTCAACAGGAGAGCTTGCGGGCGTCTACCTGGGTGTGCTGAATGTATATACAACGCTGCCACAATTTGTCGGGACGTTTGTCAGTTGGATTGTCTTCTCGATCCTAGAACCAAGCCAGCATTCTCCAGTCGCTGATGGGGTCTCCAACCATGATCGGTGGCTCACCCTGAAAAAGAACGCGCCAAATGCAATCGCCGTGTGTATGTTCATCGGAGCGTTGTGCTCCTTGATCTCAGCAGAAGCTGCTAGACGGCTGAAGCATTTGACTTGATAAAAGCCTTGTCATGTGGAATACGACTTCATTGCAGCCATTCCTGTCCAGTCGACTTTCGTGGCAAAAGAGATTAAGACCACTTGACCCGAGCACCTCGATCTATAAAGAACAATGTCCTACCTGATAAGATCACACTAATCACCCGGAACGGACGGCTCCAGTGCAACAGGGACTCAACAAGCATCGCCCCCAGATGGGCGTTCTCTGCGTGAGGCTAGAGTGTGGCTGACTCTGCTCCCATTCCACCATTGGACAACCAAGTTGCGCGACCCCTGTTCGCTCCGCCGCCTCAGCCCATTATCTCGACCAGCCCCTGCAGAGAGTTGCCAGTTTCGTTCAGCATTTTCACACCAAGCCAAGTTCAAAGCCGGCCTTATTGGTCGTGATCTCAATGCGGCTCCATCAGCTACATTCTCTTTCTACCAGAACTTTGGCTCTTTATATGCCAAAGTGGCTTACCCCGCTGGAACTCGTTTGGGGATACTTGATCGTGCATTCACGGAAGAAGCTCAACTGCCTCATTGACGGTGAAGGTGCGCGACGAACGCTTTGAACGCCATATCTGAAAAAGGCCAGGCTTGCGCTACCTGATGCGGCCAGACCCAATCATCCGCAGAAACACCCGCAAGGCCATCCTACTTCGCGAAGTTGGCTTCCCTTGAAGTCCCTCACTGAAGCTCTTGACCACTAGTAGTGGTGGTGCCAGTTTATGCAGGCTCTCATTCGAGAACCCTCAACAGGTGGATACCGTGTAGGACTCATTGGGGTCATGTACAGCAGAATACGAGATTCATGCAAGCCTCTTGAGGCTTCGAATCGGGCACAGCCCCCACCAAAACACATGTCTTCCCATCATGTCGCCTACCGGTCAAACATGATCGTATATATTGCCCTGCTAAATCGCAATGTTCCAGCCCGATGATCTTTACTCGATCAAAGTCTCTCAAAGCAGAATCATTCGCCAGTGTCGGAAGGACTGCATTTGCTGTCTCCCACATCACAGTCATTTCAGCGCCTCAGCCTTATCCAGCCTACTTCCCCGGCACCCTGCTGATATGGCCAACAATGTCAATTGTATGCCACAGGGCCTTGTTGACAGAGCTGACCTCACCAATTGTCCCACAACCTATTCTCTCCTTGCCTCGATTGCTATCTTCAACGCCGAAGTGGCCTTACTTTCATTAATCTTTGGTAAGGCTGTGTAATTGCGCCGGATTGGCCGTCTGTTTGCTCTCGATCAAGAGAAGCTAACATATGCTCCGCTTCTAGGCCACGAGCGAGTCCGCAGAGCCGTTGCCCGATACAGCTGCTTTCCCAGCGCTCGGTGGACACCCTTTGCGGGTGTTGTCACAGCCATTATATCAATAGGGGCCATGTTTGCTGCCACCTACCTTCTCCGAAACAATGGCTTTCGTCCCAATGCCTTCATGCTCTTCGGCTTCTGGACCATGCGACCGCGAGCCACCGTCTTTACGCTCCTATACTTTATTATCGCTCGCGTGTGCTTTGGCCAAAAGGGGAACCAGAATACTTATTTGTGGTCGCTCAAGGACCATACAGTTGAAGACACACTGCTCAACATATTCAGTCTGCCTTTTGCGCTCTGGTATATCCTGCATCGACCCGATAACTTGAGTGCCGGTGTCTGTTCAGACAACACCTCATACCTGCGCTTCTGGAACTCCTTCTATGCCATCGCCGGTGCCGGTGCCATCAGTGTACTCCTCGGGGTGGTTATGTTGGGCCACGCCTGTTCGAGGAGCAGGAAGGAGCGCGCCAATGGCATCATGTATAACATGGTTGGGTACATCGATGCGGATTCGCCGCTGTCGACATTCTGGAGGTTCGTCTTTACTGTTGCCGGCATCACCATGGTCGGCGTGTTTGCAACAAATTGGGTCATCTGGAGCAGTAAGTTTTGGTCCCTTGGCCCCATTCTCTCCCGGCAACGCAATGAGGTACTCGTTCTATGCGTGTTGCGTTACTGACTCGACATCTCGAACAGCATTCGTCATCAACGCTGGAACCGACTTCTGTCCCGGCAGCGTCGTCGGGGAAGGCGTTGCCTGGGGTGTCGCCCTCTTCGCCAACGCCCTAGTCCGACCTCTGATCGGTGGACCCGACTCTTCATGAAATCGTCTCTCTTGATCAATTTTTTTCGCTGGGAAAACTATATATTACGGCGGCTGCATGCTTGCGATATACGGCGTATTTGTGTATAGATAGACGCACCATTTCTGTCCGCGAGGGAGCGAGCCATCGGCGTCACGAACATTGCGACTTTTGGGGCACTTTTGCTTGGACGTGAGCATTTCGCCGGCGAGCGAGAACTTTGGGATCGCCCTGGCCACCTACAGTATGTACGTGTCCCCGGGCTGGTGAGACTGGGTTGGTACATGAGAGATTTTCAGTAATGTAATATATTGTAATGGCTATATGACACATCGAAGCCTTTTTTTTTCTAAGTTGGGGTTCAAAACTTATCGAGTGGCTCTCCTTACTCGTAACCTACTCACTCTTTCTTATTGAGGGGGTCGCAATTCTGGCGTCGGAGTGGAAAGTCACGATAAGCTCATGTGCGAGCGATTTCAAGTGAGTATCTCGCGGTGTATGAGGGTCTTGGAGCATAGAAGAAAAAGAAAAAAAAGAAAAGAAGAGAGAACCAGGTACCAGGGAGAGTGAGTAACTCGAGTCACTCCCCTTGCCCAAAAGCCGACGATAATGTTGAAAGATTCTCTTTTTTTGTGTGTCATTCCGTAGCACATGCATAATGAAACAAATGCTGCGCTGGGGGAAACTCGCGACCAAGTTGACTAGTCATTTTTGCGCCCATTGTGCCTGTTCTCGTGAATGCCATGCAGCAGCAGCAACAGCAGCAATCGCACCACTCCCGGCATCTCAGCATTCCCACCATTTCTTGCGCCAAGGGGCATCGCTTTCGAGGAGAGCCAGAGACCGAAAGTGGCAGGCTTCGTTGTCTAGCTCAACCTCTGAAGCATACCAGGCATGAGGCGATTACAAGACGTTTTCCCCATCATACCTCGCATGCACCGAGGCTGACATCTCTTTCGCTTGTGCCTCGTTCGTGATCGGTCAATCATGTTTCTTACCCGCCCCTCTCACCAGTCCGTCCATTCCCAATGCCCATCACCACTCATCCGATGCCAGGGAGGACATCTTCTGGCGTGGGGAAATCAGCACCACTCCCCCCTCCCATCCACACAAAGACAACCAACTCATATCGAACTGGGATAAAGCATGATCCGCACGCCCGCGCCGAAACTCTTGGGTGGGAGGTTATGTCGGAATTTGGCGCGCACGATGCCGCTGTTGCCGTGAGGGCGGGTGACTTTTCCCCAGATCACGCGGATCTTGCTGCCTTGTCGTTCTGCCGAAGCACGGTAGACATATGCAACGCGTTTGCCCAGGTAGAATCTGCAGTATCATAAGTTAGTGAACAAAATCGTTTCAAGGCTCGCAAGATTTTCAGTTCAGCAAGCTGCATATCCCTCAAAAAAAAAAAAAAATAACGTGCGGCGAGAAAGTAAATCGAGGACGGAGGAAAGTTGCGTGGTATCTGGAGCTGGAACTCTAGAACGAGCGAGGTGCGTATTCGAGGTATGCGCAAAGGGATGATCCCAAGCTCTCAAACCCCGATCCTCCTCTTTTGCTCTGTCCCTTTCCTTCGAATTGACCACGTATCGGGGAAGTGAAGAAGATAGAGATAGACAGGGCGGTTGCTCAGACTGAGGCGGAAACATACTTTGCAGCATTCGTGTCATCGACACCTTCGATCTTGAGTAGCGATGTGTTTGGGTTCGTGTTGCGCTTGCCTCGCTGGTAGGAGAGGTGCTTGCCCTTCACATATACTATACGGCGCCCCAGGATAGTCAGCTTTGATCCCAACACATTCTTGCCGCCTTGCTGATTGCACCAATATCATGATCAAATCCCAATTGCGACATTTGATGTTCTTTACAGGGAACAGCAGGGAGAGTGTGGTCGGGGGGATGCACGTACATCTGTGGCCGCCGGCGGAGACCATCTTGACGGCGTGAGAACTGGTTGACGACGAAAAGCTGAAAGTGAATGGGACGTGGTCGATTCTTTGGATGTCTCGTCCAACTCTCGAAATGTTGGTGGTTGTGACTGCAGTCTTGCCTGCGAAAATTGGGATTGTGTGCAACTAGTCTGTGTCAAGCTTAGCCTGCCAAGATTTCATTGACGTCACGTGATTTGATTTGGAGTTACTAGCTGTTCCGGCGAGATTTACCTTTTATATCGAGGGTGCCACGGCGCCAATGTAGACTATTCCTAAGTTGTCCACAAAGTCGGTCAAGGAAACACCGTTGCGTGCCGTCGCAGAGGCCATGGAACAATAACAGGCTAATACTCTGGTTCCTCGGCAATCAAGCGGCTCGATTTCTCTTTGAGGAATCTATTTCTCAGCTGCAAAACTTACAACCATCTCCACTGGGAGAGGTGAGCAAAGACGATGGTAAGCTGGCTCTGGACAAGGCATTGTTGGACCAAACCAATCCAGAGAGCTCAATGGCATTCCAGAAACTGTCCAGACTTAGCAATCTGCAGGGAGAAGGCGATTACATAAGGGTGGTATAGTGACGAAGCAACTCAATCTCCTCAGACAGGCAAACACGAGGAAAGGGTCAGATGGGTTCTCAGGGGATAGCCGAAGATTCCGCCTGGTGAGGGTGGCAGATGGGTTCTCGATAGGCTAGGAAACGACACCAAGCAGAGGGTGCTTCAGTCATGGACTTTCATGGGTGCGGCGGCTGGCATGCTGACTGATTAGTGACGAAATGTGGCATCTGGCTCTTGCTCGTCAAGATATACTTGCATTGATAAAACTCATGCCGCCTGCGCTGAGCAATGATATTCCTGTCGCCTCATCTTTTGTCTTTGCTGTAGGTGCTGATAGCACTCGAAACGTCGACGAAACTCACCAATATCCATAGTGCCTCAACACCGGGATTGTTATTGCCGAGCCAAACTCCGGAGGGCGGTCTCGAAGCATTCGCGGGGCACCAAGGGACAAATTTAAGGTGTAGGGAAGGAGCTGCCTGAACAACCAAGGTAACTATCTACCGCCCCAGTGCCTTTGCTGTCCTCCCCCCGTGCAAAGTGCGCTCTGCCCCACCATCACCATCAAACATTACTCAACTTTCAGCCCAGCATTGAGTAGCGGCACCTCATCATCTCGACCGCGGCGGAACTACTTGCAGCATCAGAGTCCGGCTTCCGCAGTCATAGCCCAAATTCCCCCATTGTTATTTCCGGCGACCAGCACAGCTTTGTCACCCTGGCGCCGCTAATCGTCCATCCCACCGCATATTGACAGAACACCATCTCAGTAAATTTTTGAGCCGACTTTTTCTGCTGATCTCACTTCCATCCCTATCTCACTCATTCATTAACATCGCCTATCACTTCAGTCACCATGGCCGACACCATCATTCATGCCGATGAGCTGGGAGATGCAGGGTGAGTACATCGATAAAGGCACGGCGGGCGGTGTCGATTCTCGCTCTCCCCCACCCCCCGATGTCCTTGGAAAATTGTTGAATGGGATCTCACTAATGCGGACCACCGTTTGACAGTTCCATCGAACTCAAGGAGAACACGGTTATAGTTGTGCTCGGCGCTTCAGGTGATCTGGCAAAGAAGAAAACCTTCCCAGCACTGTTCGGCCTGGTCAGTTCCACGTTGTCCTCCCATTGAATTTGTGGTGTTTGAGAAGGTTGACTGACACATCTACTACGACAGTTTCGCAACAAATTCCTCCCCAAAGACATCAAGATCATCGGATATGCCCGAACCAAAATGGATCACGCTGAATACCTGCGAAGAGTTCGATCCTACATAAAGACTCCCACAAAAGATATTGAGGAACAACTCGACCAATTTTGTTCTGTCTGCACATACATTGCTGGGCAATACGACCAAGATGAGCCATTCCAGACCCTGAACAAGCATATCGAAGAGATTGAGAAGGATCGCAAGGAGGGCAACAGAGTCTTCTACATGGCCCTCCCTCCCAGCGTCTTCATCACAGTCTCGGAACATCTCAAGCGGAACTGCTATCCCACAAAAGGTATCGCCAGAATCATCATTGAGAAGCCATTCGGCAAGGATTTGGCAAGTTCACGGCAGCTGCAGAAGGCGTAAGTGGCAAGCTTGTATTGTCGGCAACTGCAGCCAGACTGACCTTGAATTTGCGCAGCCTCGAGCCTGATTGGAAAGAAGAAGAGATCTTCCGTATCGACCACTACCTCGGGAAGGAAATGGTGAAGAACTTGCTCATCCTCAGATTTGGTAACGAGTTCCTCGGAGCGACCTGGAACCGCAACCACATCGACAACGTCCAGATCACGTTCAAGGAGCCTTTTGGCACCGAAGGACGAGGTGGCTATTTCGACGAGTTCGGTATCATTCGTGATGTCATGCAGAACCACTTGCTCCAAGTCTTGACTCTCCTTGCTATGGAAAGGCCAATCTCTTTCTCCGCTGAAGACATCCGTGATGAAAAAGTCAGAGTCTTGAGGGCTATTCCAGCCATTGAGCCTAAGAACACCATCATTGGCCAATACGCAAAGTCTCTAGATGGGACCAAACCTGCGTACAAGGAAGATGACACAGTCCCCAAGGACTCGCGGTGTCCGACGTTCTGCTCGTTGGTAACATTCATCAAGAATGAACGCTGGGACGGTGTGCCCTTCATTCTGAAGGCCGGCAAAGCTCTTAACGAGCAGAAGACTGAGATTCGCGTACAATTCAAGGATGTCACCTCGGGTATTTTCAAGGATATTCCGCGCAACGAACTCGTCATCCGCATTCAGCCCAACGAATCCGTCTATCTTAAGATGAACTCGAAGCTTCCCGGCTTGTCCATGCAGACGGTTGTCACTGAGCTGGATCTTACCTACCGTCGCCGCTTCTCAGACCTTAAGATTCCTGAGGCGTACGAGAGTTTGATCCTCGATGCGATGAAAGGAGATCATTCCAACTTCGTCCGTGACGATGAGTTGGATGCCAGCTGGAGGATCTTCACCCCGTTGTTGCAGTACCTGGACACCAAAAAGGACATTGTGCCTATGGAATATCCTTATGGTAAGCCTCGTCCTCCTCGAAAGGTTTCTGGCTAGATTGCAGCTAACATAATCTCTCCCTGCAGGCTCTCGCGGTCCGGCTGTCCTGGATGAGTTCATCGCCGCCTATGGCTACAAATTCAGCGACGCCGCTGGATACCAGTGGAACACCCAGAGCACGCCCAACAAGTTGTAGACTGGAATTTTGGAGCTACAGTCTCATTTATCCTTATCTACATCGATCCCGTTGGAATGTTGCATGAGCGGGCGAGCTTGCGTACTTGAAAAGCGATCTTCTGGGTAGAATGTGGAAGCTCGAGTTCAGGCCCCGCTCCTGGTATTGGCGAGAGGTCTCGACGACCAATATGTTGCGCAGTTGTGCAAAAGGCGAGAGACAGTTGAGAGCTACAGGGTATGCTTTTGCATTGGCGTCTACGAGTGGCTCGGGCAAGGCAAGGCTGGCATTGACACTAGGACGAGATCAATCAATTTTCTAGCACCAATGTGATGCAGGTAGGCAGCGTGGCAGCACCCGATAGATAGACATAAGCTACACATACAGTCTTTGTATCTGCAAAGGTTAGCAACGTAAAAGCCAGTGGAGTTTGGAAGTGTCCTTGGGTCCCCTCGAAGAAACTCACGCACGTGCATTACGAAACTTGGATCTTCTACGAGCACACCCAGGTCTCCGGACTGGAACCGTTCTTGATTTCTATACACCTCTCTTTTTGGCCGTGGGATCGTCTTCAGCACATGGTCCCCGTGTCCACTTTAGGCATTGAATGAATGACACAGTCGGCAGGCGTGGAGGACGAAGTTGTGAGAACTTCTTGACGTCATTTGTAGACACCCTGTTGTAAGTCGCTAGCATTGGGACGTCAGGACTGCTTCGATAGTGTTGGCGTTGACCATGAACCAGCTGTGCTGACCCTTTTTCCGAAGAACTCGAGGATCTTGGAGGCATGTACTTCGTAAAATGAGCTCGGTTGTCGATCTTGAGCTCCGAGCTCTTTCGAAGACGACCATGGCTCTCTCTCTCTCTCCGCGACAGAGGCTTGGGGCCAGCAGTAAAGTAAGTAAGTGCCTTGGTAGCCTTTCTGGCTCGGGAGCGGGAAAGGCGGATGTCTGTGGATGTCAATCTCAATATCACTGTCACTGTCACTGTCAGAGGGATGCGGCGACTATCTGGAATCTGGATGTCTGTGTCTGTGGCTGTATCTGGTTGTGTATATTGCAAACGGACATTAGCCAATTGGCGACGCTCCACCAAACTCGATCGATATGCTGGTTCCCTCCTGCAGGTCAAAGACATTGAGCATCTCCGGTTTCGCGATTCCCGTACCTTGTGTCTCTTCCTCGGCCCAAAGATTGGCAAAATATTGACCCTAGGCTGGAATGAAACCCTGGCAAGATTGTAGCTGAGGTCGACGAGTCCATTATTGTAAGGATGGTCTTTTCGACATTTTAAAGGGGACATTCTTCCTGGGTACCACCGCACCGTGGGTAGAGTGAAGCCGTGGTTTAGACATTCTCGTCACAAAGAGCGTTCTGGTGTCCGTCATCCCGCCACTGACCTACCGCATCTGTTTCCATATCCTGCGCGGGGACAGTGGAAAGGTGTAGTAGCATGATCTTGTTTGTTACACGTTTATTCATGGTAGGACCTGTTAAGCTGCCCGTCCACCTTTCGTTCTGAAAGAGTAGACTGCTTTTCTCCATCTTCCCATCTGGGAGGAACTTCTGTCCAGAAGGTTCAAAAGGCAGTATTGCCATGTCATATCATGATATGATGTACACAAACACAAGACACTAAGACATTCTGCACTTTTCTCTCTCAAACCTTTTGTCATTGGCTGGACAGCAAGCACCACGATTGTCGATGTCGATGTCGTGCATTTGCCAAGTTTCGACCATGGAAGCTATTTCCGGACGGCATTGCTTAGATGGTGCCATCAGTACTGTGAGGGGGGGTGGTATTCATGAAGGGTCCCAGCCAGGTAGTCACCGTTAGTGTAGTGCCAGGATGGAGGAAGGGTAAATGTGAATAGATAGATACATATCCACCGATGTACGAGGTAGGTACAACAACTCGATAGATAGGGCGAGGGAGAGTATGTTTGATCTTCAGGAGGTTGTTTCAGAAGATCGTTCTCGAACGAGTTCTAGCATTCCCGATCGTCCGCTACGAGTTTCTGAGGACCTCGAGAGGCCTTTGGGCATGCACCGGCTGCTCTTACCTAGGTATGGAGCTGTGGATGGTGGATGGTGATGTCACAGGAGCTTTTCATGATGGTGTTTACCGAGAGAAGCCACATGGCGTGGCAGAGCAGACCGGAACATGCTGCAGCGGGGGAGGGACATATGTGTGTATGTGGTGGCTTGAGGGCACATCCTGTGGATGCTTGATAACCTCGCTTGTGGCTGTAGGGCCATCCATGCCTTGGGTTTATACGAAGTACTACTCAGTACTAGGTAGGCCTGTCTGATGTACAAGGTAGAGAACACCGAGCAACTGCTTTCTGCTTTTGGTCGGAAAGCAATACATGGTAGGGCCTTTTGTACTTTCATGTCTATCAAACTATTTTCTGTGTAGGCGCAGATATCATTGGCTCGGTGCCTGGCAACCAAGGCATACTAGCAGCTAGTCGGTAGAGATGGAGCTCCGTGCTCTAAAGCCAAAATAATGAAGCCCTCTCATGATAACAAGCATTCACTTCGGAAGCTCCGGGTGGCAGAAGCACGGTTTTATGCTCTGGCAAAGATGGAGAACAGCAGCTTGTGCCTGAGACCCATAACTCCGACGAGGGATTCCACCGTGATACTTGATAGTTCAATCGATGTGCTTCCTCTTCGGTCAAACAAGGTTAAGGTTGGACGGATCAGCCACGGAAGACGCAGCATGTCTCAGAAGTCATGATGCAAAAGGTGTCTTGGTACAGCGGGTCGGCTGCATGCTAAGCTGCAAAGTCAATGCGAATATACGTATGCAACAGGAGAAGAGAATTCTGATGGGGGGATGGGGGAAGAGAGAGTGGGCCGGACAGTGTCTGGAAAGAAGAGAAAAATGCTGAAGAAGCTGAAAAGCCGAAGACCACGGTGGATAAACAGACTTGACGGACGCGGCTATGGCTCCATCGCGTGTTTGAATCTTCTTTCTGCTGGGCTTCCTCTTCTAGTGTGGGCCGCGCGTCCTTCCAGGGACAAGAAGATTTGGGGGATGCTGGTGATGCGAAACAGAGAGTGAGACGGAGTTTTGAGGTGCGCCAAATGCCAGTTACAACCAGATGCCAGCAGTGCCAGTGATGCCAGTTCTTGATTTTTGGCACAAACAGAAGCGTTTAACGAGGAAGCTAGAGACAGGACGAGTTAGACAGAGATCGGGGGCTCGGGGCTCGGGGCTTTCGTCTTGCTGTCTTCCTTGTTTGTATCATGGTACTTGTCACTTGTATGCTCAATGATGGCAGGCGTCGCATCCACGCGGATCTTGTCAGAGAAAATTGGGGGATTTGTGTCCTAGTGGAACCCAAGGCAACGTTTTTGTGGTGCATTTCTGCTGCAGTTGAGAACCCTAACTCGCGATATTGTGAGACTGCCATGGCATGATTGGCGATGATTTTCAGACCAGGTGTGAGATGCAGTGGCAGATATGTCGCTGGGATGCCTGGCCTGGGTTTGAGATTGCCAACTAGGCGAGGATCATGATAGGAACCCATGTCCGCAGTGTCGCAGGGAGGGAGGCCTTTTACTCTGAATGTACTGACAAGTCTGTTCACAGATTCCGCAAAAAAGCCTGTAAAAGGAGAAGTTAGAGAGCTAGTTGCACTCACTATGGAGCAGTCAGGTACCTCCTTGTACGAGTAGGAATGGAGAGCACTACCTGGAGGGTTGGAATTGTCGAAAAGAGAGATGGCAAAAAATACTAAGAAGGTCAGTGAAGAGACAGGGGAGGGAAGTGGGAGGGTGGTGTGGACAGCCAACGGCCGCCGTATTGGAGGGCAGAGCGGGCGTCTTCCAGGCCTACCGTGACCTATCGATAGAGGGGATGGCAGCCAAGGGACCATTTACCGGCTACAGTCCACAATCCAGAGACCAACCCTGCACTGACCAACAGACCCAGCCGTGTAACCCACAAAACCCAGGCACAAAGGTGACAGGGAGGCTAGTAACACCTTACCAAGCCCAGTATCGCGCAATCGGCGCTTGGGGGTCTTGTTGGGCCCGGTGGCACCAGTGCCACCCGTGGTGTGTTGGTGGCCCCAGGGCGAGTGCGAGTAATGCGCGAATCTTCTCCATTCCAATGGCCGCCAAATGTCCCTTCGCTGGGCTTGTGGGATGCATATCCGCATAACATTTGATATAGGACCATGCTGGAGCTGTTGCTCCCGAACCTTTCTTTCTTTCTTGTTGAGCTTGATGTTTCCTAGGTCTTTGCTCTGGATTCTGTCGTTCCGCGAACTATTCCCTGTGCGTTCTGATTCCGTCCATCTGGTCTAGAATCGAACCCCTCGTTCAACGCAGCTCTCTTTCTTTTCTCATTTCACTTGAAATCATTTCATTTTAACCCCCCCAGCCCTCGCGCGGCAGACAGGAACTGCTGGGGACAAGCACGAAGGAATAAAACCCAACGCTTTACGTCAGTCGCTACGCAATCGGAAAATCGTGGGCACGTCTCACCACCTGGTCTTTGCTGCCCTGTTGTGGCTTTTTGCGGACCCTCCGTCCTGAAACAAATCTTCGCCAGCGACATCATCCCTGTCACTAATAAATCCTCCGCCAGCCACCTGAGCGTTCCATACCACCTCGAGCAACAAGAAACCGTCACGTCGTGCTGGCCACTGTCGAGGCATTACAGGATTCCTCAGGGTGTCGCTGCACAAAGCAATAATATCACCTACCCTCCCTCACACCTGATCGCCTCCCGTCCTTTCGTCGTGTCGACAAACTCGTTCAATCGCGGTTATTCAATCTTGGTCTAAATACCAACCACCCGCTCACACAATCTCACAAATCCTTTTGCGCCCCGTCGTCGATATCCACCCCTCGCCCGCGTCGGATAACTTATCCTAGTCCATCCAACTTTGAATCAGTTCCTTCTTATCTCGACGTGTTTATCGCCGGCACCATGACAACCATGTCTCCTCCAATCTCCCCACAGCCCTCCGAGACCCGCCCGCGGGCTGGGACAGCCATGAGCTTTTCTTCCCAGCGTTCCCGTCGCAGTAACTCTTCAACGGGCAAGATCGACCTGACGGAGACTTCGCGGGATAAGAAGAGATTGAATACGAAGGCTGATCCTTCAAAAGCCATAACTGAGGCCACCCCAGGTCAGCACGCCTCTGTTGTTGCTGATAGACAAACAAGTATTGACTTTGTATCACAGTGGAACAAGCACAGGAAGCATCTACGGTGGATGATTTGCGCAAGATGTTGCACAAGGACAACGAAGGCAATGTCATCAGTGAGTGATTCCTCAGGCCATCTGGCGTCTTGGAGTCTGTCTGTGCTAATCGGGCTCTATAGCCGACCCTGACCGTTCCAACCCAACCCGTCATCGCCTGGAGCGCCCTCTTGACACCATCCGTGCATTCAACGCAGCTGCAGAGGGGACCACTTCACGTCGTACGTCCATGAATAGCAGGCCAGGTATGTTTGGACTCCGCGCACTAGATGGGCCATAACTGATTTCTGTAGGTTCTCAAGTCGGCTGGAATGGAGATATGAACCGCAGAACCAGCTATTACTCAAACAATGGCTATTCTCCGCAGCGACCACGAATTTCGCCAGCTGGTGGCTACTACCGCAACTCATCATACGGATTTGGCCCACAGAGTGCAGTTGAAGAATCTCCAGGGTCGTCCCAAATGTTTGCCAGACCCCCTATGCGTCAACAAACCTACCCGTATCCAGGCTCTCACCAGAATGGGAACCCGAATGGTCATCAAAATGGATATCATAATGGAGAGAGTCCCGTGTCATACCACTCGTACCACCAGTCCTACGAGACAATGACCTCCGGCTCAGAGGAGTATGGAAAATCCACCAACCCCAGTTCCCAGAACAGCTCCTTTGATCAGCTCCACCAACTACGCACCAAGCCCGAAGATTTCACGCCAGAGAACCCGTACGCAAACGAGATCAAGTTTAACCAGGTATCTCCGACAAAGCCACTCACATCATATGGATTTGGTGAAGACCACTATGGTCAAGAGATGGCACCTCCAGCAATCCCAAGCAAAGGATTCGCTCTTCCACCCCCAAACAATCCCCGGCAACCTATTCCGCTTAATTCTTCTCCAACCGAGATGACTTCACCCACTAATGCCGCTTCCCCCAAGAAGCAGAGCTGGATCAAACGGAGGTTCAGCAGACGAGATCATTGACAGGACACCCGACTGGGCAACTAGAGCTGATACCCTCTTCATTTTCGGCGCCTGGGAAAACTCTCCATCGACATCACTGGCGTTCTCCTTGCATAAGAAACGGGGGGTTTGTGTAGCTGGGGCAGGAGCGCTCTTTTTACGACTAATGTTTGATGTAATTCTTGAATGATGGGTTGGAAATGAGTCGACGTGGCTGTCACATGAGCAACGGTGGCATGAAAAGGTGTATTACATGTGTGATGGCTCTGCAGGCTTTGGGGAAATACGACCTGTGAAGCTGAGGAAGGGCACGCTCTCGCAAAACATATTGTGCAGGTCACACGTTTTTCCATAGCCCTGCATAAAGATCTGAACATGACACAATCCCGCTCCTCTCACAGGTCGGCAAAGAGCTTGAAAGCCTACTTTCTTCTTCAGTCTCGTGGTTGTCGGCCTGCTATTGAGCCTTTTTGAGTTTCTTTTCTGCTTCAATATTCTCGCTGTCGTCTTCTTTCCAGGCCACGATAATGTAGCCGATCAGGACAACATTCGCCACTACAGCAGCAAAGGCGCCTGAATATATGGCATTTCCTAGTGTGCTTTTAGTATACAATCATTAAAAAGGGATCAATCTGCCATCGCATCGCCTACCTCTAAAGACAGAATTGAGCAAAAGAAAGTATGAGCCGATCGGCGCACAGATCATGGCCACGGTGAAGGCGAGAAGCTTGTAGATGACGGCGCTACATTTTTGCATCAGATCGGCATAAATGTGAGGCAAGGCATTTCTTTCCGTCGGAGCTCTCAACTTCTTGTGTTCACTTACGCTGGAACGGCTGGCGATGTATCAGAGACTTGGTCAGAGGGTGGCGGGCCACCTTGTGCCTCCGAGATGGTTTTCTCGCTGGCATTATTACGTCTGGTCGCCATGGTCGCCTGCGTCGGGGGGAGAGAAAAGCCTCCTGTCGTCGCCCTGGCGCAAGGTGGGAAAAGGACTGTCGAGGTGAGAGATCTGGCGAGATAGGCGGCGGACGGACATTGAAGAGCCAGAGAGTCAAATACGAGTACAAGGCGAGCAGGCACGGAATTTAATGGGGCTCTGTCTGACAAAAAGGAAGATTCAATGCTAGATCCAAGGCAAGCTACCTCCTACTTTTCCATTTGAAAGAGCCCTCCAGAAAATCTGTGGAAGTTGTGGCACAGGCGTCCCATTCTGCGCCAAAATACATAGTTAGCCGCCTATTCTTTCTCAAGGAGATGTTTTATTCTTCTGAGCGGTACTATTCGCCTGCTCATGTATGCGATGCAGCCATTGTTGGTTGGATGCCAGCCTCGAGCGCACGAGGGGAATTCAGATAATTAAGCTTGGCATGACGCGCTCACGCTCGGACGCGTCGATTCGAAAGACGGACGAGGGTGTCCACAGTAGTAGAGCAGGTGTTGGGAAAAGTATTATACCCGTAATGTTGAGAACCTTTCCAGGTCGGTATTTGGGAATACCAGCAAAGCCAAGAGTCTAGAGTATTAGCCATTTTATAGTGCTTCAGTTGATATCTTGACCCCTTCGATTTGCTGAAGGCGATAGCTGATCCCCACAAGTAGACTGACATGCTGAATGCATCCAAGTAGGACACCTGCCCAGGTGCCTGTAAAGCCTACAATGGGTTGCCTCACTAACAGGACCATCCTCGTGGTGATTTATCGAGCAATATTACACGCGAGTCTACACGTTATTCGCACGTTTATATTTGAGATCGAGTTTGAGAAAATAAGGCATCAAGGTCGAGTAAACTAACCTGAAAAGACGTTGTGAACTAACCACATCATCCGTATAAGACTACACCACACTAGTACTATAGTGTATCTTTCGAGAGGATTAGTGGCCTGGAAGATTCGTAACGAGAAAAAACCTTTTCGTTGTAATACCCGTGTTCGTATGTCCGATAACAGGTCCTGAGTAATTTATAAACACCGCTCAAAAGACCCTCTTCTGCACGCTTCGTGCTTTGGCGGTGGAATCCATCCCTGCGTCGAGGGGGTGAATAGTGCCACTTCACGAAGCATACTTTGACTTATTTCTCGAAGATGTACTCGGATTTTTAATACAACCAACTCCCCGCCTTGTGCAACTTGCCTCACCCGCAGCAAATCCAAGCACCGGACCCTCCCTCTCCCTTCACTGAGCAATGTCTTCCGACGACTCTCTGTCGCAGTCGGACGATGAACTGTTCAATCCAAAGTACAAGCCTACCCACGAGACGGTCGAGACGCTTCCTCTGTATAGGCCCGGCATGAGTGACGACGACTCTGACATCGAGACCCTCGCAACCCTGCCGGTTCATCGTCCTGGGGTAAAATCTCAGAACATGGACATGATCCGACAGACACAGCCAACTCAAATTATTGATCGTTCCGCCGCAAATATGTCTTCCTCTCCTTCCAAGCCCGGCGTCGTCCAGGTCGCTGCCTCCTCTCCGATGACCACCCCCAATTTACCACGGAAACCCACAGGGATACTGGCAAGCGCTATGGCACCTGCAGGCACGATGTTCAGAAAACCATATGTGGCGCCTCAGCCTCGTGCCGTTCCCATAACGATCGACAGCGACGACGAGGGGCCCACCTATCGTGGAGGGTCGTCAGACAGCGAGGGTCATGGCATTCGGTCGAATGATATCAAAACATCTACATTTGTGCGGAAGAACAAGTCGCCAGGGAAAATTCCCGAATCGCCGCAGCCTCAAAACGTTGGACTGAGTCGCTTCATGGAGATTACTTCACGATCCGTGTTCAGGGGCTCTCCAAACTCGACGTCTTCGGCTGGGTCGAGCGGAGTGAAACGCTCTGCGGATGTTAATGCAAACGCTTACGGCAGCATTTCAAAGAGACCGCGACAGACTGGGCCTGCCCGTGCAATGCCCGTGGTGTCGTCACCGCCGGCTGTCCAGCAAGAGGAAATGGAGCTTGATGATATCAGTGACTATAGCACGAGACAGAAGGTGAATCGATTAATGTCCATGCTTCGTGCGGTGACGGTGAGAGAATGTTACGAAGTCCTGCTCTCGAAGAAAGGGGTTTACGAAGATGCGATCGATACGCTGCTTTTGAGGAGCGAGAAACGACAATCTCAGAACAAGAAAAGCGCTGTCGATTTGACCGGTTCAGACGACGAGCTGATGCCAACCCCCGCAGCCAACAGACCCGTGCCTCAACACACGAGTACAGCAAGGCAGCACGCCAAGGTACCGCAGAAGAGCATCACTGAAAAATGGAGCTCTACTCAGAACATCAGAAAGCCGTCAAAGACAATAGATGTCTTCGAAACCCCACCTCCACAGAAGAAGAAACGAACGCTGGTGCGTGGCAGGAAGCATTCTTCTTCGCCTCAGCCTGTGCCAGAAGAAGTTATACAAAAGCCAAAACGCGTGGTCGCCATACAGTCGGATGATTCCGATGCAGATGTATCACCAGTCTCATCGGACGACGAGAGCAAGAAACCCTTCCAGAGTCGTGTCCTTGATCTGTTCAACACTTGCTCTGCCGCGGATTTGGCTGACATTGCTTCCATAACCCGCGACCGAGCCGAGCACTTTTTATCCAAACGGCCTTTCAAAAAGCTCGATGCCATCAGACAAATCGAGGATCCGAAATTAAAGCCTACAAAGATGAAACGTAGGACAGCTCCCATCGGTGAAAAGATCGTCGACAAGGTTGAGGATATGCTCGAGAGCTATGAGGCTGTTGATTATCTCGTGAAGAAATGCCAAAATCTGGCGAAACCGTTGGCTGAGGAGATGAAGAGTTGGGGGGTCAAGCTTGCTGGCGATCATGAGGGAGAATTGGATATAGCTTCGCTACAAGCCTCACTCCCAGGTCATGACTCTGGCATTGGTACACCTGTGAGTGACGACGAAGACATCAAACGTTCAGGGCAAAAGAGATTCATCGGCCAACCTTCGATCATGGCCGACGATATAAAAATGAAGGACTATCAAGTCGTGGGGCTCAACTGGCTTAATTTGCTCTACAAGAAAGGACTGAGTTGTATCCTAGCTGACGACATGGGACTGGGAAAGACTTGTCAAGTCATTGCCTTTTTGGCTCATCTTTTCGAGCAGGGGAAGAAGGGACCTCACCTTGTCGTGGTGCCCGCAGCGACTCTGGAAAATTGGCTCAAGGAGTTTCAACGCTTTTGCCCAGCACTGACTGTCGAACCGTACTACTCGACAAATCCCGGCGAGCGGCTAAGGCTGAGTGCATTTCTCGACCAAAACCGCGACGAAGTCAACGTCATTGTCACCACCTACACTATAGCCAAGGGCAAAGACGATGCTCCCTGGTTGAAAAGCTTTGGATTTGACTGCACAATTTATGACGAGGGCCATGTGTTGAAAAACGCCGATTCTCAAGTCGCGAGTAAATTGGTCAAGATTCAGTCCAATTTTCGCCTTTTGCTCACCGGGACTCCCCTGCAGAACAACTTGAAGGAACTCATCTCCCTGCTCGCTTTTCTAATGCCGGCTCTCTTTCGAGAGAAGGCACAAGCACTGAAGAACATTTTCACTCACAACTTCAAAGCGCTGGACAACAACCACGAAATGCTTCTGTCGGCACAGCGAATCCAACGTGCGAAGAGCATGCTCACGCCGTTCATCTTGAGACGGAAGAAGTACCAAGTCCTCAAGGATCTGCCAAAGAAGGAGCGAAAGGTGGAGTTCTGTGACTTGAGTCCTGAACAATCGGAGCTCTATCAAATGTGGCTTGACAAGGCTTTTGAGATCCGTGCGAGGCGGGAGAGAGGCGAAAACGTGACCCAGGAATCGACAAACATCTTGATGAAATTGAGACATGCCGCCATTCACCCATTTCTCTTCCGGCGCCTCTATCCGAACAAACAGCTGCCTGTTATTGCAAAGCAGTGCCTGAAGGTGGACCTATGGCGAGAATCAAACCCTGATCTCATCGTCACTGAACTTCTCGAGTATAGCGATATGGAAATTCATACGTTATGCGATAAGCATGCACAGCTTCGACGCTTTGCACTTAACGGCGACGAGTGGCGTGCAAGCGGTAAAATCCAGAAGATGATGGAACTTTTGCGCAAATTCATCTCTGAAGGCCACAGAACATTGATCTTCAGCCAGTTTGTCATGGTCCTCGACATTCTCGAGTTGGCGCTGGAACGTGAGGGCATCGACTCCTTCCGACTTGATGGTGCCACCAAAGTATCAGAACGACAAGACCTGATCGACGAGTTCTCTGCCGATGACAACAATACGCCTGTCTTTATGCTCAGCACAAAAGCAGGCGGCGCCGGGATCAACCTCGCCAAAGCGAACAAAGTCATCATCTTCGACAGCGGCTTCAACCCGCAGGATGACATCCAGGCTGAGAACCGAGCACACCGCATTGGGCAGGAGAAGGACGTTGAAGTCATCCGGTTGATTTCCCGGGGCACCGTGGAAGAGCAGATCTACGCCATGGGTCTGACGAAGCTGAAGCTTGACGAACAAGTCGCTGGAGACGGGGAAGAGCAGGCACCGAGGCAGGACAATGAAGAAAACGAAAAGGAGGCCGAGGGCCGCATGATTGTCGAGAAGATGTTTTTTGAGAAGATCGACGTCGAACCCATCGAGCAGGTCAAGGCCGAGGCCGCCAGTCCCGTCAAGCAAAGGGCGGATCAGCACTCGGCAGTGTCGGAGCAACTGCAGGATGATGTTGAAGATGACCACAAAGCCCGCCCTGGCACTGGACGGAAGAAAAGCAGTGACTTGCCCAATCGTCCGCGAGTCCGCAATGCAAAAACAAAAATCGAAAGTTGAGCTGGGGCCAGGCAGGCAGGTATTGTCAGGTACTGTCAGACATGAGGTTGTTGGATAAAATTGAAGACTCTGCTGGCGGTATTCTGTATTGGAGATAGAGATGGAGATGGAGAGCTAAGTGTTTCAAATCTACATTACATCATTGGAACACGACTCTTGTGTACGAAGACAGGACAGAAGAGGCTGGGTTGCTGGTCACTGCATAGTCACCACTCAGAGCTGAAGGTGAGGTGGTCTTTGGACATGACAATTCCCAGTCAGGTTCATCCCCGACTCGAATCAGTGAGTGAGTAAGTGAATGAGACATGAGACATGCACATAAATACAATACAATACAGATGGTCGGGTCGGTTTATACAGACAGTCACGGCCACCGACGGTAAATTAGAGAAGACATCTTTTATGGCTCTCTACTTGTCTGTCTGTCTGGCTGCCTGTCTTCTGCGCGCAGATCAATTCGTTGGGCCGTTCAATCTCTTTTGTCGTTGTTGTTGTTGATCTTGACTTGATATCCGTGTCGAGGTTTGATTCGGCCATAAGTATTAATACTTTCCATCCCGTCACATCCTGGGCAGGCCATACCATGCCATACCATGTCATGTCAGATCATGGCAAGTCAAAGACATCATCCATATTCCATATCCTATGTTCCATATCCCATATCCCATATCCAGCGTGCCCGACCAGAGACGAGTAGATGGTATGCAGAGCAGATCCAGATCCAGATCCAGCAGATCTAATACATCCGTCGTGACGCCCCAGCGGTGCCCTACAGCCCTGTGATCTGCGTCTTCGTATACGCATATTCCCGATTCCGGACTTTTTTTCCCCTTGTTTCTTTCTTTAGTGAGATGTGGATGTGGATGTGAATCTGAATTTGAATTCGAATTCTTAGGGTCCCCGGACTGGGCTGGGCTGCGGCTTCACTTTCCCTTTCCGTTTTCGTTTCCAGTTCCAGCCCTCCAAGGATCCCGCGGTTGACGACGATGGATGATGTATCAGACAACATAAAATCCGCATCAAATCAAATTAACTCTTGCCTCCTCTGGAGGATTTGTCCGATTCGGGCACTGACCATCCCTCAATGACGACGCCGCCGCTAACGCCGCCGCTCGACGTCGGCGACAAGAGATACGACTCGATCATCAAGCACGCGTCCGGGAACAGAGGCGTCAAGACGGCGTCGGACCATAGAAACGAGCGTAACATCTCCAAAATATCCCGCTGCCAGTCGTCGGGCCAGCTGGCGTCCCTGGCCCCACCGCGGTACCTGTACGTGTAGGTGTACCTGCGGGCCAGGGCGGTGCCGAGCATCTCGATGAAATGCGAGCGATTCTCGCTCTCGAATGTGTTGACCAGCCCGACGAAGCAGGCCCAGATATACAAGTCGATGTAGTTGGGAGAAGATGGCTGAGTAGGAGGAGGGGGAGGAAAAGGAGGAAAAGGCGAAGAATGGGAAGAGGAAGAAGAATAAGAATCATCAGTGATACCGCCACCGCCGCTGGGAGGTAAAGTGTCGATAGACTCGAGTGTCGTCATGTAGGCCAAGGTCTTGCGCAGCCGCGAGATGACGGCGACCACGATCGGGACCAATGGCCCCGCGTGGAACAGCGTCGTCAGCCGCAGCAGGTTCATAGCCAGCACGACGGCCTCGTCCAGGGAATGCGAACCACGTAGCCGATAGGCCAGGCCGATGCGCTCGATGGTGCTCTTGTTCAGCAGTTGCATGAGGTATTTGTATTCGGCGATAGAGAGCCGGCCAGTCCGGGTGGCCGTGTCATGGGAGACGAGGAGTAGTTTCATGTCGCGTGCTGCTTTGACCGTTTCTGGCCCGAGGAGGGAGTTGAAGGGGGCCGGGACGGCGGCCACGACGGACAATTTCGCCAGCGACGGCGGCATCGGCGCGTCGTCGTCGGCCCCTGTGGGTCCAAGCTCGCCAAAGAGCACGTCTTCCCCCAGAAACTGCGCCGTGAGAAAGTCGGCCCAGAGAATCAATTGTCTGATGGAGGCGGCCTGGCCGATCGACCCGGCGCGACCGATGGTGCTGAGACCTCCACGCGCTGCCACCAGTGCTTGAACACCGGCCGCGTGCCGTCTCAGGGCGTCGGGCTGGGCGAACATGGTCGCCGTGGCCCAGAGCAGGACAGCCGACAGGATAGCTTCGTCGGTGACGGCCGCTTGTCCCTGACCCAGCAGTTTTCGCCGTAGCGACTGCAGGGCTTGGGTCTCGTACGAGAGGTGAGCAAAGGCTGGGCTGTGGCCCATCAGGTACTCGACTCCTTTCCACGCGGCGATGACGCTGAGGCATAGCGACGTATCGGTCATGACGGGCATGATCATGCTCCCTCCGATCTCGTTCATGGCGAGACCTTCGGGTAGAGGGAAAGCGGTTGCGGCTCCCATCTTGGAATGGAGTACTGCAGTGCACCACAGGGCCCGCCCGAGGATGGGCGGGAGATTTCAATTAGTTTTATTGTTTTTTTTTTGAATGGCATGGCATACCCATAGAGAAAGGAAATGCTCCGCCACTCGGGTGCGCAGACAGAGGTCGATAGAACTCACAATTGTAAACCGACTGATGTAGATCGGCTCGATGTCCCCCAGACACAGGCAAGTCATGGAATCCATCCAACCTGCCAGCTCCCAACGAGGGCGGCGTGCTCGTATACGCATACGACTTGACGAAGCTTGTCTCGAGCAGCTTCGACTGGCGCTGTGGCTGTGGCTGTGGCTGTGGCTTTGGCTTCTGGTTCTTTCCGGGCTCGAGCTCATCTGGCTTTGTTGTGGGTTTCTTCGTGACTGTCACCGCGGATATACTGCTGGTGTTTTTGCGGCTCCGGTAAGCAAGATACGCTCTGTGCGAGGGCAGCGGGCATCGCGGTCGCCGACACACTCCACATGTTGTTGGATCTTGCTGCTGCGACGATGATGATGACGATGCTGATGACGACGACGACGCCGATGATGGTGATGGTGATGGTAACGACGTCTTCGTCTTCGTCTTCGTCTGCCTTGTCAGACCAGCTACCGCTACGGGAATGGCGTGACTAAGATCACGTTGGGAACCTGAAGCCATGCGGACATGGGGGAAAGGCCCCGAGATACCTGCATCTGCATCGTCGCCGGACCGCAGGGAAGAAGGAGGGCGAGGAGGGCGAGCGATGGGCTGAATCGAGACGAGGGTTGAAGAAAATTAGCAATCTCGCCGAGACGCGTGAAGCGAAGGCGAAAGCGAAAGGCTCGTCGTTTCTTCGTTTGTGCGTTCGCAGTTTGGTAGGACTACGGAGTAAGGAGTCCCTGGTAAGGTAAACGTGATCTGGTGTAACCTCCGTACTGGAAATAGACGGAGTTGATGCTGCTTTTCGGTGCCGAATCAGTCGACGGGAGATGAGGGATCGAGTCTGACTCCTTCTTACCGTTTGCGTTCGCTTATCACCAAGCAATGCCTCTTGCTGCTAGGATTCTAACCCAGCGGAGGCAAGGGCCCCCTTTCCTGTTGCGAAATTGCGGTCATGTGATGAGGACCGAGAACGAGTAATCAAGACAATGGTGACTAGAAACCAAATCATGACTAAGAGCTGAGAATGACTTGACCAAGTCTCACCATTTCGATAGTCCGTGTCAGAGCAAGCGAGGAACCATGTGACAATTGACACGACGGCGTTGTCACCGGGTCTTGAGATCTAGAGGCCCTTTCTATCTAGTGAAATGTGTATAAGTCCTGGCTTGGGATGAATACAAGGCCCTTCACAGCTCCATCTCGCACATTACCCCCAATTCCTCGTCGCGTTACCCTCTACCGTGAGTTGACTCTATGTCTAGATTCGAGAGAAACGGACAGAGACGGTCTCTCTTAGGGCAGTCTTCCTCCTACACGATCCTGGTTCAACCTTCGACTTTCTCGCTGGCAGGAGACGAATCAGCTTCATAGTGCGTCGTCTCACCCCCTTTGACGCCATTTGGTGCATGTGCTGCGAAGTCGACCTCGAGATCCCTTTGATAGATGGCCACCTCATCCTCATCGCCAAAGATGGCGGCAACTTCCTCCAACGGCAGGCCGTTGGTGTCTGGGAACCAGAACCAGATGGCAAGCCCTCCAAGTGTGCCTGGTATAATGAAGCAGAGATAGAATTTCCAGCCTATCGTCTCGAAGGCGGTAGGGGCGCTATGTGCGTGAGGTTAGCATGGAACTGCGGCGAAATTGATAGGTGGCATGAAGACGCTGCCAGGGCCATCATACCTTTGTAGCCAAATGATGTTCATCAACGAGATCATCGAGACACCAAGACAGACACCTTTGGCTCGCAAGTGGGTTGGGAAGATTTCCCCCAGGTACGAAAACTGCGTCCCATCGAGACACAATCCGTAGAAGACCTGGAATATGAAGAACATGGCCACTGCCGCCGACAGCGCCGACTTGTTGTTGGACGGCACAAAGTTGGCGACCAGTGCTGCTTCCACAATCAAGCTGGCCATGCAGCCCAGAATTCCAAAGGAGATGAACTTGTTCCGGGGGAAGCGGTCTACCACCAGCATGCCCATGACGTTCATGCCCAGGGCAAATGTGAGCCAGGCAGCCGGATAGAGGAGTTGTTTAACCGGCGAGAAATCGAGGGATGCGTACAGCGAGGGACCATAGTTGTTGATGACCAAGACGCCAGAACACTGGATGATGCCGGTAGTCCCGAGGGCAAGCAGCGCCCGTTTGCGGTACGACGGCTTCTTTATGATGTGCAACCACGAGTTACCCAGGGTTCGGTCAATCGCGAGCTGCTTCTGGATCTGGAAGAACTCGGCCTTCGCAGCCGTGTTTTCGGGATCGCTGGGATCAGCATGGAACTTGAACAGGACAGCCTCAGCTTCCGCATCACGTCCGTTCATAACCAACCATCGAGGCGACTCCTACAGACCGACAATATCAGTACATGTTCTTTGGCTTCACTCTCGTTTCATCCGACTTCGTTGTCGGGTAAAACTAGACATCGCTGGACTGCATCCCAAAGAGCGTCTGACTTACAGGGACGAAATATAGACCAACCAACAGGCACAGTGGCCAGAAGCACTGAATTGCGATGGGAGGCCGCCACGTATTCGAGCCTCCATCCTTCCAGAAGTAGAAGCCAAATCCAACCCAGCCTTGAATGGTATAGCCGAGCACTAGCATGACTGCGTGAACGTCCACAAGAGCACCGCGCATGTGGACCGGGACAATTTCGTTCATCAGGATGGGCACCGCCGCGAGGATCATGAAAGCCGCAGCACCGGCCACAAATCGAAAGGCGATGAACATGCCTACATTCACACTGCCGGCCATGATAGCACCCGACACGATGGCAAGAATGGAGGACTGTAAAGCAAGTCAGAACCGCTCAAGAGTGGTAGGAATTGTATCGGCCCTTACCACAGCGCAGGCCCATTTACGACCCCATTTGTCCGCTACCGTAGGGAGTAGTAATGTTCCAATCACACCTCCCGTCTGGAAAAGGCCATTCATGGTGGATATCAAGTCGGTTCCATTGGAACGGGTTGCAAGGTCAAAGTATTCAATGAAGGATGGTTGGCCTATATGCAAACAACATGAGTTTCAACCTCTCCAAGGAGACGTCAAGATACGTACCCAACGTAGTTCCAATAATACTTGCCGTGTAGCCATATGTTAGAGAACCAAAGCCCAATACAGCAAGCACGGCGCAGGTATGCACATTGAGCTTTTGTCTACGAAGGAGACCTTCTGATGCTGAGTTACGACGCATGCTGCAAGGTCTTACTGCGATCAATAATGAGTATTTGGTCAGATGTAAGGATCACAGTGGAAGCTGGAAGGAGAAGGGGAAATTATAGGCATATGAATAGAGTCTATAAGAGCCGAGACTTAGTACAAGAGCCGCGGACCGCGTTGTCTTTGACACCAGTCACTGACCCGTGACTGGTGCTCCCAGCTTACCTTCCCCCAGTCTCCGCGAAATCCCCGCGTTAGGCAAGTTACAACCAGGGGGCAAGGCTCCGGTGGATCAAAGGTAGACCATATGATTGGTGGTGGTCGTGATTGTCCTGGCCACGCTGGTGATGCTGCCCTCGGTACATCTTTCCTGACTCAGGAATTCTGGAGTCAGGGCGAAGGTTCTTATGTGAAGGAGTCGAGGTCAACGAAGCCACCCAAAGCCATGGAGTAAGTGCTTAGCGATTGAGCGCCGGGGAATTCCCACATGAGCAATGATTCCTTGATCTTGGTTTAACTCATGCTGAATGAGTCTCCCGTTATGACTCGACAACTGATCAAAAATTTCGAAAGATCCAGACCAGGCCCGGAAGAGCAAAGTCGGACCTTTTGGTTTGAAGCGCCCGAGCAAGCTTGTATTATTGTACTCGGGACATGGAAGTGAATGGACCCGAGATGCTAAGCACGCTCTGGCTCCATACATTTGAGCGTTTTGCTTCGAGGAAACCTGGGGCGACAAAGGTAGAGCAGAGGGGCAAGGGGATGTCGTGGTCAAGCCAGAGTATGCGATATTTGTGAATCGTCTCGGTGTCTTCCCGTCGCGTCAACGGTCAGGCACAAGGCTGATCGAGAGGTGCAATGCGTGTACGCTTGACGAGAACAGACAACATGGATGCCCACGTGGATCCCTTGCACCTGCGGTCAATTTCGACATGAATATATAGTCAAAACTTAATCAGAGATCTGCTTGCTGGGAAGCTCTTCGTTTGATTGCGAACTGCAGACCGCATCAATTATGCGGAAATCTTTGAATAGCCGCTGTTATGGGCAGGTCAGCAGTAGCAATTGTTCAGACAGGAAATTCGAGGGACAGTCAAACAGCCATCGATTGATCACCAGGAGACTGGTCGAAACACACAAAGGTCCTTGTTTAGCCATTCAAATTGGAGCGCCTCGAGTCTTCAGAACCTCCAGATATTTCTTCTTGACTGTTGCATTGCCGTATCGGTATGAGCCTTTGCTTTCCATATACTCAGCAACTTGTTTCCACGGTACTTTATTGACAAATTGACCAATGGAAACGGCATCGAGATCTTTGGAAACCTGAATGCTAACTGAGGTCGACTTCGAGCAATAGGAAACTGCTTCGAAAAGGAGCCGAACCTATTACGTAGCGCGTTAGTATCTTGGGCTTGCTTCCCAGGGGCAACTCACATCTCGATCGCTCCATTCTGGTTTCCTCAGTCTTGCTTCCCTTGGTTTCGTCAGAGCACGATATCGTCCTCTCAAGGTTGATTCAGCCTCCTCGAACTTCAATCGCTCCTTGATAATCTTGTATGACAGTCCTTGTTCTTTTAACTGTACTAGGAGCGTGTCTTTTGAGGTGTCGCGCTGTCCACCCTTTACTCCCAATTGTCTACCCTGGGGGGTTGAAATGTTTGTCAGGCCCGTGGGTGATGAGGAGGTCGCTTCGGAAGCCCAGAGATCTGGATACTGGACGCTCTGATCATACGCAGACGCATGTTCCAATTCCTGATAATGAGCAGTCGGAAGGATTTGGTCCGCAGAAGGGGCTGGAGGGTCATTCTGGAAGTCAAAAGGGTCATCACCGTAAGAGGGCAGCTCGGGTAAAGGCGGGTAAACTAAAGCAGTCGAATCATATTCAATCTGTTGTGGCAGGGGAAATGTAGGGTCGATCGGGCAAAAATCGAATCCAGGATCCAGATGTGACTGGGCAGCACAATGTTGAGGTGATGTGGCCGCACCAAGTACGTGCGACTCGTAGTTCGTTGCAATAGAAGGCCAAAGCTCACTCGAGCCAGGGGTCTTTGCTTCCAGGAGAGTCTTCGGGGTGGTCAAATCGTCACCACCGATGAGCTGGCCATCCCGCATGCTGCTGTCCGGCATGAAGATGTCAAACTCGTCTGGAGATAGACTTTGAAAGAGTGAGTTGAAATCATCCGGTCCGAGGGGCGTTCGCTGCTGCGCATAGGATGTGTAAGCCGTCGACTGCCGCATACCCATATCAATAGCCATTCCAGTTGTAGGGGGTAAATGCGTGAAAGCCTTGGCCTGGTCTGCGCAGCCCTCATTCAAGGAGGTACTGAAAATGTCGAGACTGTGCAAACCTGCTGGCCGTGTCGGGACATGGATGACACTTGAGAACCCTGACCCCTCAGACCGCAAACTGTTCCCGACTTCGCCCTGGTCAGTGTATGCGCCATAATTTCCAGTTGACCTAGTGCGGTTGCCGTGTTGTGAGGATGGACAGAAGTGCACATTGGCGCCGTAAGAAGCTGCGGAGTTCATGGTTTGATGCGCTGGACGCTGCATTGCGGGCGACTGGGTGTGGGCGAGACTGTGAGAGTTTTCAAAGCAGGTGAGATTGACCGAACTCATATGGGAAGCAGGGCACGGGGTTCGAGCGGAGTGACAGATATGGAGTGTGTCAGAAGACGCCGCTTGGGAATGGTGAGTCGGAGCTGGAGTGAAGTAACTCGGTGCAGACCATCTTGGTACGTGACAAGGAAAATGAGCCTGTCCACAACAGAACGTCTTTCCCTCGGTGTAGGTCTCAGAGTATCTTGAATCAGCTGTACTCGGGGACATTTCTGCGAGCTGCAAGGCTGCGCAGTGCAGAAGCGAGTGATAGATTTGGCGACTACAACTGGCGAATGGGCCGGAAGCAGTGTGCTGTGAGAGTCTGAGCGACAGGTTGCGTTTTCATGTTGAATCATTGGCCACCTTACAATCAGCACCTGCGTGGTCATCCATGGAAACGGAGTCGAGTCTGTTCGTACTGCAAACAGAACCCATCCACGGCATCGGGATCGAATTAAAAATCCCCAAGGACGTGAAGACGAGGGTCTGCGTGGTAAGAGTCAAGCTTACCTTTTGATTCCATCCACAAGTAAATGTTTCGCATCAAGCTCTGCTCCAGTCTTTGATACATCGGCAGAGGTTGCTCCTAGTCTGCGGAACCTTAAATGAATCGGGTTGTTGCACAATAGCTCCTCGATAGCTGGTCTGCTGCTGCGTGCTGTCTTGATGGCCCACGATTGCTTGAGCCAACAACTCTGTTCCCACATAGGACACAAACAAGCCTAGAGAGCAGCGCTTTGTCACCATATCCTCCTCTTATCGTGTCCTGCTCTGTTTTCCACCATGTACTTGTCATGGCTCATGGCTCGAAGTAGGAAAACCCATCAAAAGAAAACATCGCCTATTTGGGGCAAGGGAAAGCATTCAACACAAGATAGTCGCGATGTGGCAGTGTTCCGGTGGCCCGTCTATGCCAGCTGCCACGGGGTGTGAGAAGGGCAAACAGGAAGGCTCTATTTCGATATGTGTGTTTTCTGTGGATGGCAAGCTTTAGGTAATCAGTTGGCTCGGTCTATTACCTCTGGCACTTCTTTGGAGTTTTCTGGGACTGGGGCCACGGGCAAGTACCAGAGCGAATTCGTGGATATGCTCAGGGTTCATCCATTCGTGATCAGCAAAGGTAGGTGATTCGCCGAGGGGGTCACCAGGCGGGAGATATGGCAAAGGGCAAGCAAACATCAAGGGCACCGTGTTACATTGTTTGCCTGCTTGTCAATTTTGGGCAGCCGGTCTGGTATTAGCCTGCGGGTCCGCTCCTTTGGGGGATGGCATAGACTGCGCGAGTTGGGCGCAGAGGGGGGATCGTGATGCTTTGCGAGGTGCTCTCGGGTGAATGAAGAGGAGTTCATGGTTGAGCACTGTAGGCCATGGATCGTACCTGTTCGCTCGATTGGACGTACCAGGGTTGTGGAGCTGTCATATCGGGACATTGCAGCGGGAAGCAGACGGACTGTCATTTGATATTGGTTGGCCGATGTCCGGAGCCACGATTAGCTCCCCTCGATCTGGTCCCCAGGATATGTCTTATCGAGAGATGACGAAAGCTGGTTGCAAGAGACAGTGTTTCGCACTTCATTGTGCTCAAACCTTTTTTACCCGCTGTCATCCTTCAGCAACGTGTTTGCCACACTCTGCGCGCCTTGAATCTGGGTCTGTAGACCTCCGCAGGAACATGGGGTGTCGCAGTGGTTATCCTGGGCTGTGTTTGGTGTCAATGAAGCAATCATACAAAGGGCATTGCACGGGGTGGCAGGTGCGATGAGATATGGGGGCCGACATGTATTGTGATTAACTTGTACTGTCATCTGATAGGAGCCATGAAGATATCAAGTGGCCAGGATCTCAAGGTGTAGGAAAAGGTATCGGGAGGTTGAGATGAGGTTGTTAAAGTAGCGACGCAGTGACGTTGTCCCAGGCCATTATTCAGCATGGCTGCCAAGACTGCAGCCGCCGAAGATTTGCCTGGCAGGATCACAATGGCCTGATGTCCTCACAACGACTTTGTTTTGAAGGGATCTTGGAGGATAATCAGATCACTCTCCTACCCAAAGACAATCGACTTGACGTTCTCGCGGTCTCGGCCAGCGAGGAAGCATCCAAGTGGGCACAGAGCACGGAAAGTTTGATGCCATTGGCTCTATCTTCGACCAGATTTGACATCAAAGGGACGAACCATGACCGAGACAGCCAGAATGCTAGGTCTCACCGAACCACTACACCAGAGGGTGTCCCAGAAGTTCATGACAGCCTTCAAGGCCAAGGACATTCTATTCTCTGAGACCAGTCTCGCATACCTCCAAGCTCGGGGAGGAGCTTCGGTGAGTGCGGCGCCATATCGGCAGGGGAGGTTTGGGTGCTCATGTCTGTCAAGTTCCAACTGCGATACTGCCCTGCGTTGAAGAAGAAGCCCCAAGGAGACGGCTTTGTCCCCAAAAAGAAGCCACTGAGGCCTCACTTTGATCCTTTCGAAGACCCGCCTGCAGAGCTCCTAATTGCTCAAATCCCGGCCCACAATGCATCGCACAATTTGGTGTTGAACAAATACCCAGTCATTCACAACCACTTCATTCTCGCCACCAAGGCCAACAAACCGCAAACAGACCTTCTAGAGGCAGACGATATCGGCCTGACACATGCTTGTCTACGCGCCTGGCACGACCAGCGGCATAGTGGAGACCCTTCCCGTCTCTTTGCTTTCTTTAACTCTGGCGAACACAGCGGTGCCAGCCAGATGCATCGACATTTGCAGTTCCTACCTGTCGAGGATATGGCAGGTCCGAACAGTCGAGAGTGGAGGCTTCTCATCGACCGCATGACTGTGCCGGCTCATCCAGACCTACCACTATTTCAAGATCCATCGTTGCCCATCTTGCATTTTTCCACGCCCCTCGAACCCGACGCGTCTGCAGCCGACTTACACGGCCGATATGTACTGCTCGTGCAAGCAGCGCTGTCTGCTGCCGAGTTCCCCGGCCAACCTCTAGAACAAAGCTTAGCAATTGAAAGGAACGGCAAGACACTGATCTCTTACAACCTTGCCATGACGACGGAACGGATGGCAATCTGCCCTAGGAGACAAGAGGCTGTTGACATCCCCGGCGCTGGCCCAGAGAGCTCCGTGGCCATCAATGGCACAATACTGGCCGGAACCCTGATGGTCAAGGACGAAACGGAGTGGGATGTGCTTCGAGAAACCCATTCCCTCCTCGACGACATGCTGGGTGCGATCGGCTTTTCATTGACATCGTGGAAACAAAATGAACGATCATCAAAAGCATAGGCAGAGCCACCCAAAGGTACATGCCGCACAGGGTCAAATTGCCTTCACACTCAAACGAGCAATCTTGCTTGAGAAGGCACTCATTAACCCGAGAGCGCGCTGTCCTGTATCTCCCAGACCACCGTACCGCCGTCAAAGCGCAACTCGCAGGCACGCCAACTGTGAGAAGCGTGAGAGGAACACCGCCTCCTCAGCTCGGCGGTACACCAAACCCCCGAGACTGAGCTCCTCCTTTTGCACACCTGAGCGCACAACCTCGACAGAGGGATGGGTAGCTGGATGAATGGGATCAGCTGAACGATAATTCTCACCTCAGCATCCATCAAACCGAACCTGGTGGTGGGCTTGTCTACAACGGACTCCAGCACTCAAAGTGATCAGGTCACGGAGAAGGGTTGGAAACAAGTGGCTTCGCGCGAAAGCAAGGGTCTCGCGCTCCGGGCCAGAAGAGGATGCGTTGAAGATGAAGGAAAACATACACCACACCCCTTTGCCTTTGCCGGGAGGAGGCTCCCTCTACATCCATCCCAGATTGGGTTCGCTCTGACACTTCAAGTCGTAGTGTTCACTTCAGGTGCGGTTGGGGGGCCGCTTTGGGACAATCATGCCATCTCAATACTGATTGATGGCCGAGAGTTTAAAGAACGGGTGCTAAGCCCAGCGCCCTTTTACGAAGCAGCTTATGAGGACTCTGGAAACAAGTCTGTCCAGCCTCGTGCCATTGAAAAAGTGAAACTTTGCAGCCGAGAGCTGCGCAACCAGTACAACTGATGACTACCAAAATCATCAACAGCTTTATCAACGCTGGACTACTGTCGATGCCAAGGTGGTTGATACCAGAAACTAGCACAGAAGTGAACATTACGCTGTGTCCAAAGAGGTGCACGGGCGTGCACGAGGGATCTACAGGCGCAAAGTCATCTTGTCACTCCACCGCAACGATAACGTTCTGTTGAGAAACCCGCATGGCGCGGAGCACTGACCAGACAAACACGAGTGGATGGACTCGTGCAGCAAAAAACTTTGAAAACTTTTCTGACCGCATCGACAAAGCAAAGGAGTTGAGGTGAAGGTGTCATAGGCAGTCCAGACCCCGAAAGTCTCGCTTGTTGCGCAAGCCACAAAACACGCTTGAGGGTACCTCGTACTTGGGCGGATATCCAAGCCCTGGATTGTGCGGTCGAGAAGTAGCGAGCTGCCCGCGTTGTTCTGTCAAACAGGCGAGACAAGGGTAGGTAGTGATCGGGCGTGGAGCAGCACGCCGACCGACTGGATAGTGACGGTGATGGGTGGGAGGAGGCGGAGGGACCAGAATGACAACACGAGCAAGAAGAAAAGGCAGAGGAGTTGGGACTCGGGGTCTGTTCGTAGGGCTGCAGATTTTAGCAGGGCCAAAATGGGCTTTGGAATTGAGCGGGGTTCATGATTGCTCCTCTTGCCAAAAGGTCTGGCTTTGTGGTGGTCTGGCTCATCTCCCTTGGGCTGCTGAATACGAGGTTTTGACATGCGGGAGGCGAGCCAGACCATCACCCTCGGCGCCAATCTCGCTCCTCCCTCTCTTCCTCGTCTTCAAATTCGTGTGCGCCCATGTGTTCGTTGCAGCTCGGCTCGGGTCCGCCTTTGGGATCATGAGGCTGATTGTCTCTACCCTGTTTGGCTGCGCGCTGCTGCATGTTGCTGTAAATGGAGAGAGTGTGGGAGGATCTGCAGGAAGACCGGCCAGCCAGCCTCGATTGACTTCAGTTCGGCTATCAAAGCAAAGAAAAATCCAGCAGTGAGGGAAAAGTAGTGTGCTTCCGTGTACGCCTGTGGTTTGTTCCTTTTTCTTTTTCCACGTCCTTCCGACGACTGAATGGGGAATAGCAGGCTTCGCCCAACAGGACTCTTGTGCATGGGATCTAGACCGTCAGTGACTGTGTATGTTGGCGATAGTGTATTCGATGGCAGCAAAGGACACCACTTGCACAGTGTGTTAGCCAATTAAGTCAAGCATTGACGGAAGGGAAATCAAACAGCGACAAGGACGAAAAGGGTTAAGTGATGTGGTGACCTCGAGGATGATGGTGTCCAGAAGCACCGATTGAGAGAGATGGGAAACTTGCAGGTTTCCCAGTCTGGCAATTCTTGGCGGGGCAGAAGGTTTGAATCAACCAGGCAGTTAGGCTTGTTTGATATGATAGGCAGGAAAGGCCCAGAGTTTCTCCAGAACCTTGTCGGCGTTGTTGTTTGCTAGAGTATCACAATCAAATCAAGACCAGAGTAGTAATAATAGCATGGAGAGGATTTGAAGATTTTCGGATTGAGGCGGATTCTTGCACCACCCCATGCCAAAGCTGCGAGGGGAAAGCATTGGTGTGGGAAAATGAACACGAAAACCAACCTTTTCCTTCGCCTCGCGTGCATGACGCATCTCTGAAAAGGCGACAAGAGAGACTTAGTAAACTTCCTGGGCTGTCCGGGGGCCAGGGAGCGGTCTGAAATTGAGATATACATGACCACGAAGCAATGAGGAGGCAGAGATTGTCGAAAAAGAGTGGGGCATGCAGCATGGTTGGTGGGAAAGGGTCATGACAGACCGCGAGTTCTTAGCCAGTGTCAACCGATTGTACTTGTAGATGGGTTTTGGGCTGGCGGAGAAGGGGAAGCTGCATGGCTAGAACAACCAGGATACAGTAACCAGAACAGATCACGCAAAGTTAGTCGAACCTCGTGGGCGGATTGGACAGCGCTAGAACTGCAGTCTGAATGCTTCCGGGGAAGTTACAGAACAGCATGGGGAGGACCAAGAGGGTGTGGGAGGGAAAAGCACGAGCGTGAAACGGTAAAGGTTTAATTCTTGCGTCTGTGCTGCTGGGAAAGGAAATTCGGTGCGCCCATAACCAATTCTTTTGGGTGTGTGGCATGTGTAAACAACGGATAACATGGCACATGAGAAAACTCCTATACTTGACCCCCAAGATGATGAGATGAGTGGAAGGTACTTGTATCAACCTATACGAGGTACTTCGATACAGGTATTTTCATACCTGTACCGGATACAAAGGAGATCTCTGGCCTTGTCGGAGAATCATAATCCCTTCATCATTCAAAGCACGCAAAGTTGGGGGCCGATGGAGTCTTCAGCCCTACCAGGGGAGTTTCATCGTACGAGTAGATGCCTCAAACTCACCAGGGAGTGGTTTTGGGGCCAGCGACACGTTGACGATAAGCATGCATGGCCAAACAGTCAGCAGGCAAAAGACAAAGGCAAAGGCAAAAGGAGACGAATAGCACAGTCATCCACAGCTGCAGGGCGTGCAGGATCCAGTGGGTATTGGCAGATTACCACATGTGCTCGAGTCATTGATCCAAGTCACTGTTGATGGGCGGTAACACAGGAGAACGAGCAGGAAGAAGGGCCAGGACAACTCGGTACTTGATGAGCAGAAGGACTGCGAAGCGAGGCCTGGAAAGGGCAAGGCAAGGAATGACAGGGCCAGGATGGTAGGATGATGGTCCTTTTGACAAGGTCGCCGATGTTGTTTACGAGAGCAATTCTGGGTGTCTGGTTCGGGGTCCAGGGGGAGGAGAATCAGAGAAGACGGACTACGGGGGGCTTGTTTTGGTTTCATGGCGGCTCCAAACCTCCAAACACCAATTCATGGGTAGTTCGCCCAGGCCCAAGCCCATGCCCAAGCCCATAGGTTTCCCGCCTACGAGCAGCCCACACCCCCCCGAGCTCCCCCAAGAGCAATAGTTTAGCGACAATTAGATCATGTTTGTGAATTTGTTTCTCCATTCTTGACGAGAATGGTGGAATTATTGAAACAGAAAACCAGGTTCTCGTATGTACGGGTCTGGCCCCCTGCCTGACCATGATGGAGCAGTCAATCGCGTGTTTTCTCCCTATTTTTCTCATATGAAAAGAAGCCGTGGAATCCATTACACGTGCCATAACGGAAGACGACGGTGTCTGCCTCGTGTCTCCAGTAGAGTCCAGGTACACAACCCCTCGGTTATTCAGAAGCACCATGGAACGAACAAAGGGGGGCCTCACCACGGTGTGTCCTCTGCAGCAAAGCAGGAGGTGACCCTATCGACCAATGACCTCACCATTTCGTCAAAGCATGGAGAAGTTGGATCCAGGAGAGTTACAGCAGCGCCTCACCAGAAGTCGGTGACCAAATGGATGATGTAGATGTTGTGCATCAACCCGCCACAGTTTCACAGCCCCCGAGACCACAACGGAGGCTTTTGGGCGGTGAATAAATAGCAGCAGATGTGGCTCAGGCATGGCACAGCCAATCACACAAAACATCACAGCCACTAAATGGGCCCTGCGCCATGACCAAAGAGCTTGGACTGGACACTCCGAGCCCCTGAGGCCAATCAGGGGGTTCAAACTGATGGGGACACTTGCAAACCACGTTTTTACAGGGGCCCAGCAGACCGCATCCTGCACGATGGCGCCAATCGCATCGGCCTCGCCTAATGACAACCACCCAAGGCCCGCCATCACCTTGAAGAGAAAGCGTTCTAGGGAGGGGAGCCACTGAAAGCCACTGAAAGCCACTGGAGGCCGGGCCCCAAGACCCCCTAAACTGCCCATGTCCCTTGGGCCAAAGGTCCCTTCTCCACTCTACGTCTACACTTTCCCTTTGTCCTGCTTCTCTTTTGGTGACTTCTTCGCTCAATGTGGCAGAGCCAAGCTCCCTCCACTCAATCAGGTCCATGCCCCAGACACGAGCCATCGGGGTTTTCGTCAAGAACCCACTCCCTCCCAATTCAGCATCTCCAGCCTAATCCCTACCCTTTGGCACCCCCATTGACACCCATTGGCAGCACCTCGGGACCACGCCTAGGCTTCCTCGGGCTCCAATGGGGCTTCTCTTTGGCTGACAATCCGCAGTCCTGGGATGTGCCGTCACAAGCAACTGACAATTTGACGGGATCAACGGGAACTCACTCCCTGCTACAACAAACAAAGCACACGAGAGGGGAATTGGTCCCTGCCCGTCTGGGAAACTCTACTTTTTGGTGCTAACGATTGCTACCAAGTGACTAACAGAGTCATCCTCCTGGTTGATCTGAGAAATCCATTGCTACTCTACGATTAAACCTCTCAAAAGTGAGAACCGGCCAATGGTAATAATGGGTACTTTTGTTCAGAATTCTTCAAGGGTGGTGGTGGTGGTACGAAGTGATGAAGGAACTCAGGGAAAAGAGCAGGAAACCGGAAAAATACAAAGTTCCGGCTCTGATTGATGGCTGCTACCCGCCTGTGGTTTGTATCTTGCTTTAATTACTACCTAGGTAGAAAGTAAAGGCCGCACAATCATTTCCTTTCACTCTACGCCAAAATGAAATTGAATTGACTGAATCACTGCAATGATTGTTTCTACTCTCTTGGCCAGCATATCCCTTAATGTTCCCAAAAAAAACCAGGATATTGGACCTTTCTGCTTTGTCTGCTTCCTGCTCCTCCTTCCTGCTTACGAGTAGGCCTCTCCGAAAGCTAGCTTACTTGGTGCTGCATTAGCCTGTCACAGTGACACTCTTTCCGTGGTGTATTGCGTTGTTACAGCCACACCGCGACACCCCTGCACCTTTAGCCTCCGAGGGGTCACGGACTCACGGTGAGGACCCTGGGCTGCCTGGTCCACCCTTGCTCAAGCCCCGGTCCATGTCCAAGCCATAGGGCTAACCGTTCAAATGTATAGTTCACTGGGTCCATCTCTGATCTGAGAGAGACTTTGGCTCATCTGAAAGCGACAGGGCCCCTGCTTTCGGTAAGACCCTTCTTGTTCCCTTAGCTAGTTCATCATGCTGGTACAGATATTCCAAACGACTATATCTCACGATTTCGCCCCCCATCTGCCAGTCTAAGATCAACTCTTACAAGAAATCCTCTTCAAACACCTCTTATTCCCTTCGCTCCCCTGGGACATTGGACCTCGTCGTCTGTTGCCCAGTTTTGACCTGCCTGAGGCAGCACTTAACGTCCAACACAAACCTCGAACGCACCCGCGCGGCATCCGTCCCTCCTCCCCTTCCCGCAGCCAACCCCATCTTTACTCCTTTCAGTATTGATCGGCACTTTCTCAGCAAGCCTCACCAGCTCGCTCTTTGTTTGTCAGAAAAGAGAAGAAACCCTCCGTCCGGTCCCAAGAGCATCTAGACCTTGGAACCTCGTATTCGTCGGCGCTCTATCGATATCGCTTCCGGAGCCTCAAGAGACCTAGAACCCTCGCATTCACGCGCCTCCCTCGGCCCCCTCCGCGCGCAGCCCTCACAGAGCCCTATCTCGGCCTACAAGCCTTACTGTTGTCATTCAAGGCCATATACTCTCATCTTTCCCCAGCTCATGCAGTCGCATTGAACTTCAAGAGTCCCCCCTTCAGCCCATACAATGCTCGCTCTCGAGCATTCTCGGCGTCAACAATTTGACCCAGCATTCGACTTCGAGCAAAGCATTCAAGCGCCCTTCCCCAGTCTGACCATGGATACCTTCGACTCGACCGACCCCATGATCAACTTCCATCCTCTCCCATACTCGTTCTTTGACAACCCATCCATGTTTGCGACGGCTCCCATGCAATCACTCAAGCAAGAAATGCCGCCATTCCAAGACCTTCCGCCGGCTCTAATTTCGTCGGGCTCGGCACCTTCAATCCCCAGCGCGTCGTCCTCCACAGTCGGTTCTCCATACTCGGGTCCCTCCCATACCGTCTCAAGTCAGGACGGTTTCGACCGCACAGCTCCTCCATTCGGTCTGGGTGTCATGCCAGCTATCGTCAATCACGAAGCCTTTTCGCATGACATCCTAGGAACTTCCATGGAAGCCGAGCTGTCGTTGGGGAGCCATGAGAAGCTCCCCGACAGTTTTGTGGGTGAGTGTGCAGATCTTTCCTCTTCTCGTTCGCAACCACCGACTGGTGCCATTTTCAATGCCCAATCCCTGCAGCCACATCCATCATCTATTAGTGCTTCGCCCGAGTCACTGTCCATCCATACTTTCTTTGATCAAGGCGTGTCCACCGTGCCTTCAGTCGCTTCCCTATCGGGGGTTTCCACTGGTACCCAGTCCCCTTCATCCGAGCAAACTTTGGCAACACCGACCTTCAAGTCACCCACCACACCTGCTTCAGCATGTTCCAAGCACTTTTCCGTTGTTTCTCCCGTCAACGCGAGGAGCTTCTCCCCAACCTTGCGCTCGCAGACGGCTCCCATCTTCCACCCTCATATGCTCTCTCATGACGCGCATGTTGCACCGCATCAACATCAACATCACACGAGCCGTTTTCAGTCTCATTTTTTTGCCCAAAGCAGCGGCAACTTCATGCCGCCGCTGGAAACATCCTGTTCGTCTCTTCCGCCTGTCTTTCCTTGCCCTTCCACTCGTTTCATTGCTCCGTTGTCATGTGTCCTTCCTGGTGGTTCCGGTACCCTAGCCGCTTTCATCGTTCCTGCTTCGATACCAAGGGCAAATCAGACTGATGCTTTTTCCACAGATCCCTCCTTGATCCACGCGTCCAGGCCGTATGGCGATACGGTCTTCGCTGACCACGGCGCTTTCGCACCCAGCTTACACTCCTTCACCACGACGTCACCTTCCGGCTCACCAGCACCATCACCTCAGCCATACAGCGTGTATCCCCCCACGCAATTTTCCGAACCCCTCACCAATGCCAACTACTATCAACAGCAGCAGTACATGAGTCGACGACCTTCGCTGGCTTCCTATGTCTCCGGGGGTTCCCATCCAAGTCCGACCTCAGAAATCGACGACGATGGCCGGGACAAGAGCCGATGCCCTCATCGCGACTGCGGTAAAGTCTTCAAGGACCTGAAGGCTCATATGTTGACTCATCAAGCCGAACGGCCAGAGAAGTGTCCGATCCTGACTTGTGAGTACAATCAGAAAGGGTTTGCTCGCAAGTACGACAAGAATCGACACACCTTGACCCATTATAAAGGTACCATGGTCTGCGGGTTCTGCCCCGGATCAGGCTCTCCGGCTGAAAAGAGCTTCAACCGAGCCGACGTATTTAAGCGCCACCTGACTTCGGTCCACGGAGTCGAGCAGACACCACCCAACAGCCGGAAGCGCAGTCCATCTGCAAGCAACCGAAAGCTCTCCAGCTACTGTCAAGATGCCACCGGCAAATGTTCCACTTGTTCAGCCACCTTCAACAATGCTCAAGACTTTTATGAGCATCTTGACGACTGTGTGCTGCGCGTTGTGCAACAAGAGGAACCGTCCGAGGCGGTCAACGTTCAGCACCTCTCTCAAATCAACAACGACAAGGACGTTCAAGAGACCTTGGACCGTCATATGATCAAGACTGAGGATGCCCCAACCAGCTTTGACGATGAAGATGAGGAGGACGAGGAAGACGACGAGGACGATGACGAGGATGATGACCCGTCGTTCAACAGTCGATCCGGCAAAGGCATGATTAAATCCAACAAAGCCCCTGCCTCGTCCCGTGCAATCATCGGTGGCGGTGTCTCCAAACCCGGCAAGTCATCAAAGAAAGGTATGACTTGGTCCAAAGGTGGAGTGGCTCTCGTCGGCAAGGGCCGCAAGAAGAGAAGACATTACCCGCCGTCCTGGGGCATGGCTGCCGAGAAGATGCGGATGAAGAAGCGTGTGCTTTGTGTCTATGACGGCCAGCGGCGCTTGTGGAAGGATGACATGATGCTCCACAACGAATTCGAGGTCCGGATGACCCTGCCTGACGGCAAGAGCTACGTTACCGACCTCGATGTCGAGACTCTCAAGCGAGCTGAGGCCTTCCACAACGCCACGCCTGAAGAGAAGGGTCCCTGGATTCCGACGTCAGAGCATGAGAGTCAAGGTTTCGACCTTAACGCGCTCATGGCTTGATTTATTGGAGTTGACATTTTTCCTTGTACTAATGACGTGCTTTGAGCGATATGGATATGGACAAGCTGATCTCGACAATTCCTACCCTAGGAGAGATCCTTATTCTGTTTATTCTTCTAATATCTTTTGAGATCATGGCTGCTCCCGAAGAGTATGCAGCGATGGCAAATGTGGACATGAAATTTCTCACCAGGTTGAAGCAGCCCTGTGGAAAAAAGTTGGCAATGCTTGTGATGAGCACATGGGTTTTGGGAAACCATTTCGTGGATATGGGAATGATTTTGGATGTTATGTGGAAAGAACCGTCTTGGATGCCAACAAGAAGATACCCGTCACTGAAAGCTCCTCGAGGTTTATGAAAAGCTAGTGTACGATAGATCCCTTGAAAGGGCAAACCAGGAAGCGCTGAGCGCTACAGTATTGCAATGAAGGAAGTTTCCTTTGACCTTTGACAATTGAATCCTTCATGCTTGTTTTGGTATCGCTAGAGGGGTTTCACTGGGTTCCCCTCACGGCTGTATTGTAGGGTGTTTGGGGGTCGCCCACGTCACGTCAGGCAGGGACTTTACCTAGATGGCACTGACCACTAGCGAGCCAGTTAAGAGCCGAACCGCGCCAAGCTTTCCGTCATCGAGACTGCGCCTGGCCAACATCATTCACCTTCGGACTCTTTGAAGGAGTGAACGCAAGGCTACGAAAGCCCCTTTGGATGCCGATCTCTGCTACCATTACTCGGTAGATTCCTTCCTGGTCATCAGCAAAACTCCATATCAGAGGCAGAGTCCTAGCGATAGCTGAGCCAACCCTTTGATCTCAGCCGCAGGCGCGGCGCCCACCCACACGACATGGCGAACGATGCTCAACCAGACCCTTACAATTATGGTGTCGTGGTACACGGTACACCTACGCACTTCTCTATGTGCTAGAGGCCAAGCTAACGGGTTTCATCACAGAAGCCCCAAAATTCGATCTTGCCGCGTACATCTCCAACTACAGAGGTTTGTCACTCTAGTCTGGACGGAGGGATCTTGATCTTGCACTAATTTCCCATCTCACAGGTCGAACCGTGTTCAGACGACTCCACCTGATTGCATCATGCTCTACGGTCCTGGCAGAGGAGGCCGCCCGAATGGCCGTGCTCGAGGCGAAGAAAGGCAGCGATGTGCGGAACTACCAGGAGGCGGTTACACTGCTGGAGCGGGTGTCAAAAGGCAAGAATATTGACCACCTGCGCGACCCAGCATGGGCTGCCCAGCAAGAAAAGAAGAACACCGCCGAAACTGCACGTCTGGAAAGTGAACTGAAGGGGTACAAAAATAACCTGATCAAGGAGAGCATACGAGTGAGTTGAATGCAACTATGCCGTGCAGAGGGGGACATCTACTGATTCTGCGCGCAGATGGGAAATGAAGATCTGGGTACTCATTACTATACCATTGGAGACCTGTACGATGCAGTCAGAGCCTATTCCCGCATGCGGGACTACTGCACCACCACGGCTCATATCACATCCACTGCGTTCCGAATCATTGCGGTTGCCATCGAACAGCGCAATTGGCTAGCTGTTCAGTCTCAGGTACAGAAGGTCAAGAATATTCAACTCAAGCCTGAAGACATGACAAGAAACCAACCCAAGATCCAAGCGGCCTCGGGTCTTCAGCAAATGTCGACTTTCGAATACCACGAGGCTGCCAACAGCTTCCTCAGCACTGACCCCAGCTTGGGAGATAGTTACAGTGATGTATTGACGAGCAACGACGTTGCCGTCTATGGTGGTCTCTGTGCGTTGGCGTCCATGTCTCGGTCGGAGCTGCAGACCAAAGTCTTGGAAAACAGCAGTTTCCGCAATTTCCTTGAACTGGAGCCTCACATCCGTCGGGCCATCAGCTTCTTCTGTGCCAGCAAATACAGTCAATGTTTGGAGATTCTTGAGTCCTATCGGGCGGACTATCTCCTAGACATCTATCTACAGCCTCTTGTCGCAGACATCTACACTCGAATCCGAACCAAAAGTATTGTCCAGTACTTGCAGCCTTTCAGCAAGGTCACGCTGGCAAGCATGGAACGCATGTTTGGGAGGGCATCGATGCCGAACGGCGCCGCGAACGGCGCCGCAACAGGACAGGACTTTCTCAGTGAGATTGTTTCTTTGATCCAAGACGGTCGACTCGGTGCCCGAATTGATATGGAGCATGGAGTCCTGGAAACTGTCGAACAGAATCCTCGCGCCCAGGCGCAGCAGGCGGCACTAGACACAGTGGACTCTTTTGTTCGTGAGGCCCGTTTGAAACTGATTCGGCTGCAGGTCATCAATGCCGGGCTCGAGGTCAAGCCGGCGCCCAAGAAGAAAGCATGGGGCATTGATCAAGGGGACGGCACATGGGACGAAAGCGAGGCTGCTTTCCTAGGGCCGGGCGGCAGAGACATTATGGCAAACGATTTGGAAGGAGCGACTTACCCTCAGCGCAAGGGCGGATAGGATCAGTCATGTAAGCGGAAGAGAGGGATTTGAGCGATGAGATAAAACCCACGGATCCTGAGGTGTGATGTCTCAGTCAATCTGGACATTTCCCCAAATCACAGACCACCAAACGGCCCTGCTGGGGACGAAAAAATCGCCGCGTGATATCGCGCAACAGACGCCAGCATAGCAAGGGGCAGATTCCTTTTGCCAGAGATAAGCCGCTTGAGGTGGGCGACGTGCTCGAGATGGGGTCCATGGGTTGGTGTCCTGACGGAGGGCCTGATACGGTCCCGTGGGAGCAGAATGATATGGACGAATAAACGGGTCACGAAATAACATTAGTTGCCACGACACCTGGTCAGGATTCCTAGAGATTTGGTGCATTAGCGGTAGGGCTGACAATACCACGACTGAGGATTGATTTGGATTTGGCGGAGGCCGAAAGCGAGGCGATACGCCTCAGTGCCCGATACCTTTGCCCCGTGCAGCATCGTTTGAGCCATCCATCCACAGAGCACATTCACGGGACATACTGAGGGATGTAAGGGATGTAATATTCTGGCAATAAGTTGTGCCTGACCCCAGCGGGGTTCCTCCCCTATCGCCCAAGAATCCTACTGCCAGCATGCTAGCATGATAGACATGGCAGTTGTCGAGTTGCCCGTCTCGGAGTCTCCTTTTGGACTTGATTACCTACTACTGTAGCTATGGATGTACCGAGTAAACTCGATACACCAGATACGGCGGCGGCGTGCTTCGTCAACCCAGAGGAGAGTGGCGCTGATTGATAGTTGCCGAGTCATCATGTTTTCTAGGTCTGTACGAGGTACGTCGTACCGAGTCCGAGTATCACTTTGTTCTGGGTACTCTGAACGAGATGACTTGCATGGATGGTGCATGGATGGTGCATGGGTACATGGATTTTGGTGACCCCAAAGGGACGAGTACAAGTACCGAGTAGACTGGGAAACTATGTCCTACGCGCCTACCTAGGGAGTATGAGGGACTAGGGGAAGGAGAAGGAGAAGGAGATACGCCGTCGAGGGTTTACTCGGACGTGGACATGGACTACGAGGTAATTACTCGACTCAAACTCGGAGATAGGTTGTAGTCAGCACCAGCACCAGCACCAACACCAGCCGCGGAGTAGATCCTAATCCATTTTTATTGCCCTTTGCGTGTGTTTCCCCTACCATCCTTTGTCCCGTTTGAGGGATTGTTTTGGTGGAAAAAGACTCGAAGTCGACATGGCTGACTCGGTATTGGGTAATATTCCACACCTCCACACCCCCCCCCCCATCGGGGCACTGGGCTTTTAGCGAGGAAGGGTGTACAATGCGCGAAGGTGACAAAGGTGACAAGGTAGGTAAGTTAGTGACGGAGTTGGCTAGAGAACCAAAGTACGGAGTAGGTAGTAGTCGCTCGTGGGTAGTTTGTACCTCAATGGCTGGTGGGTAAGGTGGTGCGTCGTGCGTAGTGGATTGTGGGTTTGGTGCGCGTCCAGCAGAGCAGGGATCATGTCACTTGGGAAAAAGGTGTGTGGGCAGTAGTAGGCAGTGGGCACTTGGGTAAACAACACCAAAAAAAAAATATTTATGGGCTTTTGGGGGGGAAGGGGGGAGTGGGTTGTGGATACAATGAAGGATGGAGGGGATCGACAGGGCTTTAACTCCCAAGTTAACCGAGTACGAGGACGAGATGACCCATACAGCCATAGTAGGACAAGCACAGGTATGGACAAAGACAAGGTCAAGAGTTGTGTTGTTTTTGTATTTGCACTGCCTGCGAGAAAAGAGAGAGAGACCGGCGAGAGGGAGGGAGAAAAAGAGAGAGAAAAGGGCAGGGGAGACCCACTATCCATGATACATCGCCATCACTCTCTCACTCTCTCACTCTCCGTGTCGGCACGTACCCTTTACTCATGATTATTATCTCACAAGGACTTTGTTGGTTTACTTACTACGAGCGAGGTACGAATAACTCGGTTCCTGTACAAGTACGAGAAAAGACAGACGCGGCTCGGGGAGTGCATAACCGAGGATGGCACGGATGGATACCACCTTGACCACCAAGCAGGGGGGAAAGGATGGGACGCGGGTACCTAAGCAACTAAGGTGGTGGTGGTGTGGATGTGTGAGATCACTTTCCAATTACGGGCTAGATATTCAAAACTACCTTGGTAAAGCGGGAATACCGAGTCTTCCGTACTGTTGTACGTAAAGAAACCTGCCCAGCCTGCGCTCGCTAGGTGCTCGCTAGGGCAGACCAGAACAAGAGGCTCAGAGGGACCCATGCCCATCGATCTCCCCATGCCCATGGCCTACCCTTGCAAGGAGAGATAAACTATGGCTCGTTGCGGAAGTCGGATGCTGGCAACAGCGGGATGGGGCATTTATTTCCCTTCGTTACACTAATATCTTCGGGGTATGAGGTACAGAGGATGTTCTACGAGTACTCGGTCCCGAGTAAGGTCGAATAATCGGGGAAATGATCCCGCCGGTGGGTAGGTATGAATGAGTACTCCGTATGAGTAACCTTGGTATCGGAAGTCGAGGTATTGGCGTTACTCGTAGACAAGCGCGTGTACAATACATTACGCGCATGCATACGAGGACTCCGCTTGTGCTCTGATCGAGGTACCTACATACTCGTAGGGCTGGTGGGCTTACGAGTACCTACAGTAGGTCAACAGGATCACTGGTCTGGTGGAGATAGATGCATGGCCACGAGGGGGGATGGATTTGCAGCCAGGCAAGGCCATGATGGGTGTGTGCGAACATGTACCGAGTACCTGCAGTACAGACCTCCTCCGCCAGATGTACTGTACCTACGAGGAGCTATGTGCAGAGGGATTTTGTAGCTTGATAGTGACCAAGAAAAAGTCCCCAAAGGTGCAATTGGGAAGTAGGTAGGTAAGGAGGGAGAGGAACAGGGATACATACCTGGGTGCATACATACGTACGTACGAGGTAAAAGGTATTGAGTACAGACATGTAATTGTCCTCGTATATCCCAGATGCAAGAAAAAAGGGGTATGTGTGCAGTAAGGTAATACAGTATGGGAACACTACGTCTAATCCTCTCGTTGGGTATGGAAAGCCTTATTACCTGGGCGGCGAGGGACTTTTGGGCTTGAATGGAGATAGATGGGCATGGGAATGAATAGGCATGCACGCATGGTAGGTACGTAGCACTTGACTATTGTAACGAGGTACTCGGTACTCTCTGCACACACCATCCATAACCTGCGTCTACTCGCTACACATCCCCCTTTTCCACTCAGCCCGAGAGCGTCGCATATTCATTCCCATACCGAGATCATATCGCAGCTGCAAAGAGCATCTTTCGAACAAGTCAGGCGCTCATCGAGACATGATTCTCTCAGAGATCATCGCGTCCTTCCTTCACGGCGCATTTCTCCTCTCATTCATGCCTTCTTCTGGGTCTTCTCTTGCATCTCTAGCTGGATCGAATGCTTCCTAAGTTCGAAGGACAGAGGATGGAGTACCCGACGTCGATGTGGCGCTGCATCTCATTTTGTGCTGGTGGTCGGGATTTGTGTCTCGAGGCCACTTGAGGAAGTGTACACCTCTAGAGGAATGATCTCTAAGGCCAGGAGATGTAGTTCGTCCGCATCGTGACAGGCATATCTTGGTGGTTGATCTCGGGATGGAGAATTCATTTCATCCGGCCATGCGGAGACTTTTCTCCTCCCATCTTTGCAGATGTCAGATGTGTACCGAGTAGGTACGTGGGCACATAGCAGACCTCGATCTGGTGACGCGTTGATTCCTGCTAATATCAAAGAGCAAGACACATCGAGAGTCAGAGTTGTATTGATAGAGATGAATGTGATCCATTTGAGTTGTTGAAGATGAAGTCCTGAGATTTCCTGGCGACAAATTTACCGGCAATTCCATCTCCCAAACCTGCGTTGTCCATCATACCAAGACCTGAACGACGAGGACTAGAATGGCCGCGACGCACTCTCCGTCTTCTATCTTTCTACGAGGTGGCACCGTCCTAACACATGATGACCACGACCATGTGGTTCCCCTGCGGAACACTGACCTCCTTGTCTGCGACGGTGTCATCACCGACATTGGAAAGAACATTTCCCCTCCCAGCATCGACATAGAAGTGATAGACTGCAAGGGCAAAATCATCTCTCCCGGCTTCGTCGATACCCACCACCATCTCTGGCAGACGCAACTGAAGGGAAGACACGCGGAGCAGGGGTTGGTATCATACATGTACACCGGTAGGGTCCATTTGCCTCAGGCTTCGTTCAAATCAAGGGCAGCCGTCCCGTGCGGCGGGTTCTGTTGACCACTGCAACACTAGGCAATATGATGTCCTATGCATATTCTCCCGACGACATGTACTGGGGCCAATTGTCGGGCTGTCTCGAGGCCATCCACGCCGGTACCACGACTGTCCTGGACCACGCCCATTGCGCCTACAGCCCTGCCCACGGTGAGTTCCATAGCCACGCTGCTTATCGCTTACTGAGGCTCAATCGTCTAAAATAGCCGCATCGGCTCTCAACGCAACCATCGACTCCGGCATCCGGGGTATCTTCGCGTACAGTATTCCCATGCGCATGTCCAAATGGGACCAGTCGCAGTGCATCCCGGACCAAGACCTCCTTCCGGAGTGGGCACTCAAGCAGATTGCGGATCTGGCTCAGACACACAATCAGCCTGGTGCAATGGTCGAGATTGGCATGGGGTTTGACTTCTGGTTCCTCCCGCAAGAGATGGTTCTGGGCATGCTCGCGAAATTGAGGCAAAGTGGACTAAGAGTCCTGACCAGCCATGCCGGTTGTAACGCCTTTATGGGTGAGTCTTGCTTGCCCGTGTTTCGGATGGAGCGGGCATCAAAGTCCAGAGAGATCTCTGAATAAGGGTTTCTTCGAAGCTCCTCGCGCTGTTGTAGAAAGCTGACTTCCCGACCCTGCAGGTCTTCAATCACCCGTACCCAAACTTCAGTCCTACAGACTCCTCGGCGCGCCCTACCCACCATCAGAAACCGCACGGGAGATGCCTTTCCTTCTCCTCTCACACTGCAACGGTCTCCCGCAGGAGGACCTATCCATCCTCGCATCAACCGGCACCCCAATCTCCAGCACACCGGGCACCGAGGCCCAGATGGGCATGTCCTACCCCGTCGCCCTGGACCCGGCGCTGCGACATCAGTATGGCGGCAGAGCCAACGTCTCGCTCGGGGTCGACTGCCACTCAAGCGAGCCGTCGTCCATGCCCCAGCAAGCCCGCATGCTGCTGCAGCTGGCGCGGGTTGAGAAGAACGCCCGCCTCCTCGCCGAGGGCAAGTTCCCGTCCGGCGACGTCACGGGCACGTCCGAGGACGTGTTCAACCTGGCGACGATCCGTGGGGCGCGCTGTCTCGGCCTCGACGCGGACATTGGCAGCATCGCGCCGGGCAAAAAGGCCGATCTGCTCGTCTTCAACGCCTCCGCGAGCGTAGGCATGCTGAGCGCGGCCGAATACGACCCCGTCGTGGCGATCGTGCGGTTCAGCGAGGCCGCAGATATCGACACCGTCATCGTCGACGGCGTCGTGCGCAAGAGGGCCGGAAAACTGCTGGTTACCCCCGTCGGCAGGCACGTCACTGCCAGCCAGGCAAACGTCCGTGGAACGGCAGCAGCAGAGGCAGTAGAAGGCGTATCAGAAGCGGCTACGGTTCATTTGGAGTGGACCGAGATCGCCGACCGGGTCAGACGCAGCCAGAGAGAAATCCAGTCCCGAATCGACGGGCTCAGCCTCGACAAGGCAAGGGACATGATGCTGAGTGCCTACCACACGGACCTGAGCAGGCTGGTGGATGCCAGGTAGGTAGGTAGGTACCAAAGAACGGTATACGAGGGGAAGGAATTCATATAATACGAGTTCGGGAGAGTGTGGAGCGTGGAGCGTGGTCGAGCTACATAAACATTTACCTGCCTTACAAGCTACTTAGCTAGTTGGCTCAAGCTCCCTTGGATGACTTCAAGTGGCTACCATTACCATTCCCATGGGCAGAAAGAAGTGTTCATATCGACGCTCCGAGTCCTGAGTCCTGAGTCCTGAGCCCTCGTGTTCCTGTTCCCGCAGCGTGACTGAGTGTGTCTGTTCCATTGCCCATTGTGTATTGAGCATTGTTCATTCCATGCCCCAACACGTATTTCTCCCGAGATACCCTAATAAACCTGTTCAACGGTTGAGGGACGTCGCAATCAAAAAAGAGCTATGAAAGTCATTGCCATCCATCATATTTGGTTTGGTGTAGTTTTCGTTACGACGTGTCATTCATTCATCTCGCTATCACTTTCACTTGCGTCTATCCGGAAGCGTCGCCGTCTGCGGCATCTCCCCGGGGACGACGCCTCGGAGGCGGATGCTGGCTCGCACGGTGGCGCCGTTGCCCACGTCGAATTTCTGCTGCAGCGTCTTGTCGGGGGCGTCGGCCACGGTGGCAAAGGGGATGTCGACGGCGCCAATCTCCTTGGTGCCGTCGAGCAGCGCGATGCGGAAGTTGTCCGGGCTGCTGCCCACCAGGTCGGTGGTGATGGGGAGTCGGAACGCCTGGTCAAAGGCCGGGTTGTTGATGTCGGTGCCGGGCGCGTCGGTCTTGACGGCGGTCTGGAACCGTTGCGTCTGGCCCCACGTCACCACGACGCTGGGTTTCAGGTCCTCGCGCCGGCCTGGGATGCCATAGGCCCCCGCCACCAGGATTGTCGCAATGCCCGAGAGCCGGCCGTCGCCTTTGTGGTCCGACGCGGTCAGGCTGCCGGCGTCGGCCACGTACTTGAAGAACTGGCACGAGATGGACACCCTGCCGTCGGTTTCCTGGCCCTTGTGCACAAGCGGTAGTTCCTGGCTGCCTCCGGCCAACAGAATCTCGCGGACCGTGGTCACGGCAAGGCCGACTTCGTCGTCTCCGTTGAGGTCCTCATCGAGCACGTCCACCTTGATGCACTGGTCGAAATCACTCACGACAAAGTCATGCGTCTCGTTCCACGACGGCCTGTTGGTGTTGTTCTTGGTGGCAGTCTTCCACGCTTCCTCGCCCCCGACCTCGACCTTGGCGTAGCAGTCTGGAGCGGCACCGGTCAACTTGTTGAACAACTTTTTGGTGGATGACTTGGCCTCCTCTCCGAAGCCCCACGCCTTCTCCACGGTTACTCGCACCATCCCGAGTGGGTAGTGGTACGTTTTGAAGTAGTCGGCATTGGCGTCAAGCTTGACCAGGAATCGATTGGGGAGGGTGAACATAGAGTTGATGATGCCGAGAATCACCTTCCGGACCGTGTCATCAATGATGGAGAAATCGGCCACGTTGGCAGCGCCTGTGAAATCAAGCTTGAGAACTGGTGGGTTGATGAATGATATCTGGGCGGCTCCGATCTGCATTCAATGTCAATGGGGAGCACGCCAGATGGGCAGAAGAATGTGCGTACCAGTGGTATGACGTTTGTCAGAGGGCATAGAAGAATAGAAAGCCTTCCATGCAGCTGTACGCTTTCAACGCCCTGCAAAACGGATCAATAGACTGCGCCAGGCTAGCTTAAGGCCCGCTACTCACAAGGGCAGGGATCATGTCTGCGTCCATTTCGATGTCGGCTTTACCCACCCAGTCGACGTTCAAATCGAGTTTGATGCCATCTACCTCTGTCTTTGTCGTCTTTGCATTTGACAGTCGTAGAGGTTCAGGGCCGAGATCGATCTTGGTGAAGTGCAGGGTGGCCAGCGGGCCCGGGAGCATCGTCTTGAACATGGGCTCGACGATCTCCTTGACCATTTTGCTACCGGCTGCGTTGATATTGGGCCACAACTGTCTGACCAGGTCGTTCAGGAACTCTGTCAACCTTAGAGGCCTGGTTTCCAGAAATTATGTCCATCACATGCTCGTACATACCCACTGATTCACCCCCTCCTTCAGCAGTCAGCTTTTCGACGAGTCCGGACATGATGATTGCAATTGCGGTATTGTTCGAGAATATTTTCACGGTGAGGCTTTTGAAATTGAACTTGCCAGTCGAAACTATGTGGCGTAGAAGAAGGACGAACGCACTGCCTGGCAGCAAGGAAGCAAACAACGACGGGCGATGAGTTGGCACATGACGTCACCGGTCTTGGTGCAGACTATTCCGGCCAATATCTGTTGCCGCTCTACCTTCTCTCGTTTGCCTCGTATTCTGGAGGTAGAGCTCGAGCAATCAGATGAAGCAAGCCTCCTTATTGACCTTGTCCAGCGGGAGCTTCTGAGTCAGATCAGGTTCAGTCATACATAGTAGAGTATGTGCTTCACTAACTAGAGACACCAGAAATCACAGTTTACTAGTCACCTTGTCCTCACTTCCCTGCCGCAGGACCGCACTGTCGACCCGTCTTCCCTCGTCGTCCTGCTCGGCAACCTCCAGGACGGGGAACTGCGCGGGCATGATGCGACGCGGTGTTGAGCCGGGCACGACGCTATACTTTGAGAAATCCGTCACGCCTTTCTTACGCAGGAAGTCTTCATCTAGGTCGAGCAGGCCGTTGACCTCCTCGGCGGGAGATTGGAGCATGGCAAGGATAGAGTCGGAGTAGATTGTCTGTTGTGGCGAGAAGGAAGAACATTGTTAGATTCTGCTGTGCTGTGGTATGATCCACTAACAAATAGTCGAGAGGGAAACTTACGGGTTTTCTTAGATCCTTGAAAAAGTCTGGCTCGCGATCCACTGAGCGTTGGGTCGCTGCTGATTCAATGGACTGGATGGAGCAGTCAAACACATAAAGTCAGTCAATCTCTTCTTTTCAACCGCCGCCGGCGCGTGATCCGAGGTACAAAACAGTGACAGCAACGGCATGACATACCACGGCAGGCCAAATACTCGTAATGGCCATGTCTTTCCGTCCCTGTCTCACAAAATCCATGGCGAGGCCTTTGGTCAAGACACTCATGCCCACCTTGCCCATAGCGTAGGCGGTCTTTCCCCGGAAGAAGCGTGAATATATGGGCGGAGACACCACGATGATGCGTCCCTTCCAGCCCTGCTTCCCAAAATGAGGCAGCGCCGCGGACACTGCTGCGTACAGGCCTTGCGGGTTGACTTGCTGAAGCAGCATGAAGCGTTTGACCGGGGTAGTCTCTACAGCAGACCACCAAATTGCCCCAGAGTTGTAGATCAGCACGTCCAGGCGGCCCAAGCGACGTGCGACTTCATCGACCAGGTCTTTGACGTTGTCCACGTCCCGCACGTCGACAGGTAAGGCGAGTGCGGACCCACCGGCCTCAGTGATCTCCCGGGCTACGGTGTTGATGGTCGACGCTGGTGAGTTCGGGTCGGGCGGGAACGAAGAGGCTGGTATGGCGCTTGCATCGGAGGTGGTTTTGGCCGCGACGACGACTGGAGCAGTCTGGGTCAGGAGGATTGGATGTCTATACAGATGTGCAACGACGGTGGCACGGTCTGCTCGTGAATGGATATATGCATTACTTACCGAAGTAGCCATGTTGTGCGAGGTCAATGGCAACTTGCCGGCCGATGCCCCTGGACGCGCCGATAATGAGGCAGACCTCTTTGTTGTCGGGGTTCATCTTGAAATCGCTCTCTGGTCTTTCTCGAGAGTTGGTCCAACGAGCAGAAGAGTCTTGCGAAGTTCAACTAGCGAGAAACACGTCTATATAAGCCGTCAGGTATGGCCGTAGGTGATGAGTGAGCGTGGGTGGATCACTAATATTTCCCCAGATGCAACTGTTGGTCAGGGATCGCAGCCTGATGAGCCTCGGCTGGGCGTCGACAGCGTCTCGATTACGGAGTACCTCAAATGCCAAGACAGGTGAGTGACAGGGATGAGCCTTGGCAGGGGCAGAATTCACGGGGGCACGTGCGAGGCTACAGACACTCAAACATCTTTTTGGTCAAGAATCTATTACTCTCGCAGGTCTAGATGGACTCTCCTGCGTCTCCTGATCCTATATTGCGTAACTGTAAATACAACAGGGCTCCTTCCACAAACCTTGTTGCCACACTATCTGGCACGCTGCACCACGAGTGACGAGAAACCTCGCGGAAATGTCGCCATGTCAGTCTCGAGGCTCTCCGCAGATGGTCGACCAAACCTCTGCAACGCACACCTTGTATCCAAGAGTGAGCACATGCGAGACCTGACAGAGTAAACTCTCGTTTGCTTGTTGAAGCAGACTGCGACCACCATATCCAGGAACCTCCGAGTCTCGTCTGAGTGAGCATGATTCTGGAAGGTCCCCCAGAAGGTCCTCACGAGGCAGGTCCTATTCCCCACCACAGCGAGCAAAGCCTTCTCCCAAGCCAGGATATTATATATATATATGTACTCGAAGACCACCGGTATGTTAGTGCTGCTCAGTGCTCTCATAGACCTGACCACGCATCGTGCATCGTACTACCGTTTTTCGTAACAGCTCCCGTCTGTCGAACGACCCTTGGAAAAATGGACGCCGACTTTAATATTGACGACTTCTACCTATCTCCTGACAATGACGAACCTCAAGGCAGGTACGATGATTCGTCGAATCCCATCGTTCCTCAAACGTTAAGCCCGAGCTCCGCGAGGGCGTACCTGGCTGCTCTGGGCATATCCTTTCCTGAAGATGAGGAAATCGCGACAGATCCCCATTCACGGAGATTGGATTTCTCGGAAGTGGCGAGTATTGCTCGAGGATTTGATGCCTCGGCGGATCCCACCTGGCCCTTCGTCGATGACGGACCAGTATCCAGCTCAAATGATAGTGATGGCAGTTCCATCTCCCACGAGGAATCACACAGACTGGGCAATCCTCGACGTCTCGGCCAATTTGGAGATGCACCACCAGCCCACTACATAGGGAATAATGACGCTGATTTCTCCGACGAAGAACCATACGACGCCGGCGCCAGCGCTCTCAACTACAGAGCCGCTTCACGAGATCTCTGTCTCGTCATCATCACCGACCTGCAGCCCGAACCCGGCAACGCTTACGCGCCAAAAAGGCAATACGTCACGCTATTTGAATTCAAGCCGGACAGACCCTTCACCAGACACCACATCAGTCTGCCGCATGCTTCGCTCACCATTCATCTAAGCTGGGACCACGATGCATGGAAGCCACAATATCAGGTCCGCCGGTCGTGGCAGATGCCAGGCCACCTGCATGAGGTGTTGGTCATCCATCACAACCTCGTCGACACGCCTTGTATGGGTCCGTGTGCTCGGCGGTGTTCTCCCTTGAACTCCGAGGTGCAAGAATGGGTGGACGACAACCTGCGTCCTTTGAACGGGGATTGTGACGAGGAGGTTTTCCTTGAGTGAGTCGGTGGGTTAAGGTGGCCAGACTGAATTTGAGCAGCGGTCGGAAGTAACTACCAGCATTATGACAGGGGGCGTTCTAGCAATACTAGAAGGTTGTCACAGGAATTGGTGTACACAGATCTGGTATGATTGGATGTTGCACTGTTACTGGCAATAGTAATCCTCACGCTCATGAAAATAGAACCACCTTCTCTTTGCCTGATGTCTTGTGACTCTTCGTACAGCCTTAGTTTCGATTACATACATATTCATTTTTCCTTATTGCCACAACGTGGGCGAAGCCAACTACCTCAGCATCGACGCATGTATGTATGTACGGGGGGGTATCCGTCCTAATTCCTAGAAGAGACGCTTCCCCCACGCTCAAAAGGCGTTGTTGGTCGCTTTCTCGCTCAGAGTGCTATTCCTTGATTTTCTTCTTCTGGAATAATCCTATACCACGCGAGTCCTTTAGCCAGAGTCACCCCCCCAGAAACCTCCAAAATTTGAGAGTGGTGAAAATCAAGAACGAATGGATTGGAACAAAATATGACGACAGGGAATGGTGTCGAACGTACCAGGAACCTCTGGCATCCACGAATCGCGCCTGCTGGTGAAAAACTCGCCCTTGGGAGGCAGGTCGGTCGGGCGGTCGAGGGTGCCGTAGAAGACGTAGACAAAGTCGCCCGCGTTGGCCTGGGGGCGAATTTTGTTCTCGCGTTAATAAACTGTAACATACCAACACTCGATGCTCACAAGAACACAAGAACAAGACGATTGTCAACTCACCCCATACTCCAACAACCCACTCCCACACACCTTGCAAAACTCGCGGTGCAGGACCGTCCCCGCCCCGTTGTCCGCCTCGTGGACCTGGACGGCGTCCTGGCCCTGCGTGACCCTAAAGCTGGACCGGGGGATCTTGCTGGTGATGCCGAAACTGCCGCCCGTGAACTTCTTGCAGTTGCCGCAGTGGCAGAGGGACGTGCGGGCGTCCTGGGCCGGGTCGTCCAGCCGGATCTCGTAGCGGATCTTGCCGCAGTAGCAGCCGCCGGGGATGGTGTGGCTCATTTTGTCGGGGGTGTTCTTCGCTGCTGCTGCGGCGGCAGATCGAGGAAGAAAAAGGTCGTCCTGGTGAATGGTAAATACGAGTACGAGGGATTTGGGTCTAGACTTATGTCGACAGAGCCCGTGCCTATGTGAGAGCTGGTGACGGAGCAGAAGATGGAGTGTTGAGGCTGATGTCGGTGCTCAATCTATGCTGCGGTAGACGTCGAGGTCTTAGGACTTGGTATTTCCCTGGCGGTAGATCTGGAATTTCTGTGAGCACGTCTCAACAATCTGGCTGCAGAGGAAGCGAGTAGTGAAAGTTCGTGCCCTGGTGTCTTGTCGACCTTATATTGATCTTTGACGTCGACAATGACGCCGAACGTCATTTGGTCCCGCATTCGTCATATTTCCCAATTCAGCTGGATATCCTGGCCGCTCATTGGACAACATCCCTTCAGCCTCATTGGACGGCGATGCACCAAAACACTAGAAAGAAATCGAGGTGTATTTCGGATTCACCACCAGGGGGTATCTATCTGATGCCTAAATGTGCTCCATGAAAGTGACATGTCTCAATCAACGCTTGCGCAGCCAGTGCCCGACAAATCCCGCTCATGTAGGGCCCCAAGGGTGTTCGTTCCTCCAGCCCAGGTATCTTTCAGTGAGTTGTAATTCCGTTCTATGACAATCATAGCTTGAATTTCTCCAGATAATCCGTTGCCGCCTTCAACGCCTCGTCGATCTTGGACTGCTCTGTCCCTGTGCCGATGGCAACAGGTTCCTTTCCCCCAGCCTTGCCGCCAACAAGCTTCGACACTGTCGACGACCACTCGGGGGATTTCATGCCGGCCTTGGTGCCATTCTGTGAGATCAGTGTCAGCTAACTGGCTCTTATATTGTTTGTGGAAAAGAGAACTTACCTGACTGACAAAACATCCATGGTAGACTTTGCCTTCGGGGTCCTTCTCATCCGCCACCATAATATACACACTCTTGTCCTTCAACTTAGTCTGGACATGTTTGACAACATCTGGCACAATTTTGGGATTCCCTCCAATTGGTAGCCTCAGCACCGCCGCTTGAGCACTGGGGGACTTCTCAAAGTACTCTGTTATTGTGTCGATGGCTTTCTTCGTCTCCTCTTTCTGCAATTTCTTCTGCTGATCGAGGATCTCTTTGCTGATTTTCGAGAAGCGGTCTCGGAATTGTGATTTTTTCACCGCCGATATTGACAAGTTATTGAGTTCAAGCTGGATGGCCTTCGCTTCATGTTCCTTCGGCGTCCCGGATGGCATTTTCTCAAGCTTGTCCAGTTTCACAGAGAAATCATCCGCCACGCGCTGGACTTCATGAGCGTCCTCTCCCGTGACAGCGATGATTCTCCGAATGCCTTTGGCGATGCCGCTTTCTTCGAGGATGACAAGGTCCTTGATATCGCCCGTGCTTCTGACGTGGGTGCCACCGCAGAATTCGATGCTGACCGTTTTCCATTTGTCGTCCTTGACATTGTTCAGGATATCATCAACTTCGACACCCACCGACACAACCCGAACGGGATCAGGGTACGTCTCGCCAAAGACGGCTCTGACACCTGAAATCTCACGGGCAATGACTAAAGGCACATCCTTGGCATATACGGGGCAATTCTGCCTGATATACTCTGTCGATATGTCTTCGATCTTCTGCAAATCAGCGTCTGAGACACCGGATTTGTGGCTGAAATCAAATCTCAACTTTTCCTGGGCCACTAACGAGCCCTTCTGTTCCACACCATCGCCGAGGACTTCCCTTAGCGCAAAGTTGAGAATGTGTGTGCCTGTATGGTTGTTCCGTATGGGCCATCGTCTCAATTCGTCATACTCTGAGATTGCCTTGTCCCCCACGGAGAAGTGGCCGTACTTCATGTAACCTGTGTGTAACACGTAGCCGGCATAAAGCTGGACATTCTCCACCTCCAGTTCGGCCTGTCCATCAATGACGATCCGGCCGGTGTCGTACTCCTGACCACCCTGTTCTGCGTAGAAGCAGGTTCGATCAAGAATAATACCGACCTGATCGTCTTCGGGGATATTTTTGGTGTCGGAATGGAACTGCTTCGCGTGATATATCGCCTGGATTGTGCTGGTGATATTGTCCCTGCCGTATTTGGCGCTATCGTCTGTTTTTGTCACACCGGGCATTTTCTCTAACTGGCCCAGATCATGCACATCGAGCTTGAGGACATCACTGGCCGCTTTCTTCTGCCCCTTGCTGGCCTCCTTGGCGGCCAATCTCGCGGCCTCGAATTCATTGTCGTCAATGGAGAGATTTCGTTCTTCAGCCATGAGCCGAGTCAGATCAACAGGGAATCCGAAAGTGTCGTATAATCGCCAGACGTCGGCACCGTGTAGTTTTTTGAGGCCTTGAACCTGGCTCTTCTGCGCATACACTTCGAACTGCCGTTCCCCGCGATCCAATGTCTTTGCAAAAGACAGCTCTTCCTCGTTGAGGATCTCCTTAACTTCCTCCTCTTTCGCAACGATTTCCTTAAACATCCCACCCATCTGTTCCACAAGGGTTGGTACGATCTTTGAGAAGAAATCGCCGATTTCGACATTGAAGTATTTTCGAGCATATCGCGCACCGCGTCGCAGCACTCGTCTAACAACATATCCTCTCCCTTCGTTGTTGGGAATGCCGCCGTCGCTGATTGCAAAGGTCAAAGTCCGCACATGGTCCGCAACAACCCTATATGCAGTGTCGATACCGTCGACATCCTCTTCGCCAAACTTCCCCGAGTAGGGTCTGGCGCCTGTCACTTCCTGAATTCGCGAGAAAAGCGGCGTGAAGACATCGGTATCGTAGTTGGACATCTTGTTCTGCAGGACACTGACCAGTCGTTCAAATCCCATGCCTGTGTCGACGTGCTTGTTCGGTAGCGGTCGCAAGCTCCTATCCGGTTCTCGATTGTACTGAATGAACACATTGTTCCATATCTCCAGCACGTTGGGGTCATCCTGATTGACGAGACTGGCCGCATTGCGACCGCCTATGCGATCATAGTGAATTTCGGAACATGGACCACATGGACCTTGATCGCCCATTTCCCAGAAATTGTCCTTCATGTTACCGGGTAATATATGGTCTTCAGGCACCCCGACGCTCTTCCAAATCTCCTTGGCCTCTAGATCCGGCTCTAGACCGCCAGCTTCGTTTCCTTCAAAATAGGTGACATATAATCTATCCGGTTCCAGCCCGAATACGCCCGTCAACAGCTCCCAGGAGAACAGTATGGCCTCCTTTTTGAAGTAGTCGCCAAACGACCAGTTGCCCAGCATCTCGAAAAAGGTATGGTGGTAGCTGTCCTTGCCAACGTCGTCAAGGTCATTGTGTTTTCCGCCCGCACGTATGCATTTCTGCGAGTTGACCACTCGTCTGTATTGACCTTCTTTGCTTGAGGGATCGACCGTACCGAGGAAGATAGGTTTAAACTGGTTCATGCCGGCATTTGTGAAGAGGAGGGTCGGATCTGACAGAGGAACGACTGGGGAGGATTTGACTGGGTCACAAAATCAGTAATTGAACAATCGCAAGACAGAAGGGCGGCCGTGAACTCACCGAATGTATGTCCGCGGTCTTCGAAGTACTTGATAAATGTGTCTCGAACTTTGGGAGCAGTCCACTCGTGAGCGGTCGTGGTGGGTGCCGTGGACGCCATTCTCGAGGTCGTGTGCCGCCGCACGATGGATGGCCGCAAAGCACTGAAACCGCAGCAGGTGGAAGAACTGTGAGCCCGTGACCGCCTTGCTGATGGGTCGACCTTCGTAGAACCACGTTGTTGCCGGCTAGCAACGTGTCGTGGGAGGAGCGTGGAAAATTTGTGGGTGAGCCGAGTATTGGAGTTGTGAGTCAAGCGGGCAATTTTTGAGAATCGAGGGGCGCAGTTCGCGGTGGTGTTGGTGGTGCCCGTGACGGTGGCTCCTCGGTGGACGCCCGCAGCGGCAGCTCTCCAAATGGCGCTTGGGCTCCGCATTCACCTCTCACTCAGGTACCTATTGATCACCTCCTTGGTTCTCGTACCTTCCAGCCGCCGACTATCCTTCTTTGTCGTTCCCGCTGAGAGTTGTTTCTGCACAAATAATTCTTTCACAAGTTGTGCTCCTCACTCTTCAGATAATGTCAAATTACGACCCTGACTGCGAAGCGAGCTGTGTACGCCGCACCAGAGAGAAATGAGCAACAAATGAAAAGGGAAAGAGAAAAGCAAAGCGAAAGGCCAATCTTCGGAGAAAAGGTCACCTCCACCATCCCATCCCGCCTGCAAGTGTCTCGACTCCAGACCTCCCCGCCTATAAACTAAGGCAGCCTCACATCGAACTACTTGTATTACACCCGCAACTTCCACCGACCACCAGCGAAACCTCACACGACCAATGGCTCACTATGCTCCTATCACGGCAGAATGGCATCCGTCCCTTGCGAATCAACACCGAAGCAATTTACTCAGTCCCGGCAAACGCAGGGCTGAAGACGAACTCGAATCTCAATCCAACATCTCGTCGCATTTCAAGAAACTCCGCTTAAATCAAGCGAACGGCCATAGTAATCCCATAGCATCCCTATATACGCAATCTCCCACCTTTTCGCCTTCAGCTACGCCGCCGTCACTAGCCCAAGCCCAATCGATCCGGCCGAGTCCGCCGACGAGCCCTTCGACAGCCTCGTTCCGTCCGCATATCGCCAATACCGATGCTCGACCTGCTCTACCTCTTACCACGTCCAGTCAATATGCTAATGGACTACCTCCTCCTGTTCCGCCTCATCCCACTCCCGTACCTCAGGTGCCAAGGAAGCTGCCGACCCTCACGGATGCGGACTTTATGACCATCGACGATACCCCTCACAGGATTATAATACACGACCTAGAGTCAGAAATCGCTCAGATTGAAGCCGAGGAAGCAGCCCAGAACGCCACGATCTTCCTCTCAGATATAGACAAAAAGGTATCTAGTGTGCCACAGAAGCTGCTCCAGTCTCGGAATCTCGATCGACTTCCTCAGCCAGCAGGACTGCCGCCTGAGAATCTGAACACAGCGCTAGTGCTATACAGAGATCCCAGTAGCATATCCGTGCCAGAGGAGGATGATGTGGTCAGGAAGACTATCATCGAGGCGAGACGGAGGGCACGGGAAAAGACAGCAGAGGAACAGAGGGAAAAGGAACGGAGAGAAGCAGAAGCTATGAATTTACAGCTTAATCAAAAGAGCGAGGAGTGGGACGATGCAATGACAGACAATTCCTTCCGTGGGAAGGGAGTGGTGGACGATCCAGACGCAATGGAAATAGAATAGAGATTGCGGAGGAAGAAATCCAGTTCCTGTGGTGATTGTTTGAGCAGTGCGGCTTCTGCAACACTGTCTGCATGGGATTCTGGGCTTTGTGGTAGGACAATGAATCGTCCAACTCCAGAATCCGGGGTCTGGCTACCTAGATATGCGCCTCTGAGATGTGACCTTGTAAACTATGCGCCATAAAAAGATGCATATTCGTGACCCCTTATGTCCTCTGTTGGAGTGCAACCCGTTTTGGTGAGCTCCGCAACCTGGCCGATGAAACAATCCCCTAGTCTGAATCGATTGCAAGCTTGGAGAACGTAACCGAGAATGTCAAGCCCCCTGGCCTGCCATAAGTCACAGTGCCTTATCCTCACGGTGTGACTCGTGCTGGTTCTGGTTGAGTTGGCCCTGCCGCCGCGTTGGTAGTGGCTGGGGGAGGTCCGCTCGGAGGGTCGTACCGTTGATCAGGATTGACTTTGTTCGGTCCAGTCTCTTGCGGAGGAGTGTATGCAGGGACGTACTCTGGTTCGTGGTACGCAGGTGGAGGTGGCCCGTACATTCCACCCATCTGATATACCTGTCCCGACCCAGGAGCATACGAGTAGTACACCTGGTCCTGCTGTGCTCGGTAGAATGCGAACTGATTTGCATACTCCGGATGTTGCTGTAGAAAGGCAACCTTTTGACGGCGTGAGACGAGCCACTTTATACGATACACGTTAGCGCGTTGTCTAGGGTTTGGGATATATCTGCCGAGTGTCTGCAGGGACGAGGTAGCCACGGCCTGTAACGTACCCGATGATAAGCCAAGGGTGGTAACCCCTTCTGCATTCTCCGCCTGGCATGCATGTGTCCTGCTAGGAAGTAGAGGGAGAAAGCGAGGACGATGGCTGCGACCGCAGCCCATTTGATGGCCTCAGCCGTCTGATTGCAGACAAAAGTCAGCTTTGGAATAGAATATTTCAATCTTTGAAGGGAGGATCCCGAGAGAGCAAGATGGCTTTTTCGACAAGGTTAGCTTACAGAAGAGTACCACCAATACCCGTCATCGGCGTCGTCGCTGGTGCTGCTGTCACTGATTTGTCGAGCAAGTATCGATGCCCCCATTGTGCTGGCCCTGTTGATAAAATGAATGTGCTTTTTCTGATCGTTGCTCCTGCCACCGCTACCCTGCCTGCTCTTGTTCCCTTTCCACCACAATTCTCAGACCATGTACCTGATAGTCTAGTAGTCACTACGTCGTGGGAGAAGCGAAAGAAGTTTGGGGAGTCGATAAAGTGCCCGGGACAGTCGAGAAGGAGGGGATGCTTGAGGGGGCTCTCGAAGGAGGGAGCCGGACTCAAAGCAGGCAGATCGAGGAGGTTCTGTTGATGTGAGATTTTGAATGAGCGGGATGAGTGTCACGGTGAAAGTGTCACCGGGGGCAGACTGTAACCTGGAATCAAAACAATTCGGGAAGGACAGGACTGAAGATAGAGTAGCTTCTCGAGAAGAAGAATAGTTTGAAAAGAAAGTAGAGTGAAGTTCAAGTGAGATTGAGATTGGGCATTCGGTGCCTTGGTGTCGAAACATTACAACACATCGTGGCATGTTCAAGTTCCCCGAAACTGGATTTCCCTGAAGCATCGGGGTTCCACGTTCATAAACGGGAGGCGCAGCCAGTCAACAAGTCCACTTATCGATAGGCAGGAGCGGATCGTCTGGCGATGAATCGCGCGTTTGAAGTCACGATCTTCATTAGGGACAAACCCGCTGTGCGGTGCCTTGTTGCCCGTGCATGTGAAACAAGCACTTGAATCGACCTGGATCTCCAAACGCTCCACAGATGTAACTATCAATGGAACCTTAGCAGCCAATCGATGCCCATGATGGATCCGCTCTCTCCTTTTCCCCTTACAGCCTCATGCAGATGCAGCTTACGAGGATGTATTTCACCCCTTCGCCACCACCACCACCATCCGCGTAGTATCCGCCAATTCATTCGAGGGAACAAGGCATCTCTGCTGCAGCAAGATTTATTGTGGTGAGGAAGGTTCACCTGCACTCCAGGCTTGGGGTGGAAACTCCTTCGCTATGCTGAAAATGCCCCTCTCGATGCGCAGGGCTAAATGAAACTATTCAATAAGATACAGACAAGGCTCATTTTCATCCCGTGCCCAAAAGAACGAATATCCAAGGCTTCAATCCAGGTCCAGATCTTCGTCCGCATCTTCCACCGTTGCGTGCCTGTCCTTGGGCTGCGACGCATTTGGAGATGGTCCGTCTGCTGCCCCATCCTCACCTGCCTGGTCATGGCTACCGTTGACTCGTGGCTCGGAGAGACCAGCACTACTGTCGTCTTCGTTCTGAGCATGGGTGGTCGTTTCGGGTGTTGATGAGCCCCAAGAAGGTAAAGAATGCGCGGTCGGAAGCTGAGCGGCAGGGTGATCGACTTGTGGCACTTCCTGATTCGCGTTCACTACCGCTGCTGGACTTTGTCCAAATGTATCAAACGGAGCCTGGGGCATAGCGCTATTCAGACCAGTAACTGTTGGGTTCGAACTGGTTGGGGGCTGCGGTCGAGCAGCCCGGGCCCTCATATTCATCAAAGCTCTCCGAGTCCGGGCTTGGATGTCTTCGGGAGTTTGAAGAGTTCCTCGACGTGCTGCTTGCCGGGCTTGTCGGGCCTCCATGTTCGCTATATGCTCAGCTGCGGAAATGGCTCCCGGCTCTCGATCTGGAGCCGCGGGCACCGTGAACGGCAGTCCAACTATCTGAGGAATGCCTGTTTGACCACTGCTTGGTGTACTAGCAGGGGGCCACCTCTGTGTCTGTGCAAGGTAGTGGGGATGGGCAAGTGGACCGGGGAAAGGTGGCGCTCCAAATGCTGGTGGAAACAGAGGAGCCATATCTCCAAGAGGATCTAAATTCTGGCCGTGATGCTGGTGGTCTGGTTGCAAGGGTCGTAAAGGCATCATAGTCCAGCCTTCTGGTAGCGTCAAACCAGGAGGAAGTCTGTCGCTACCTGCTTGCAAAATATTTTGCTGCTGGTCTGCAACCAGTGTCGACACGTGTGGAAGTGGAGGTAGAGCAGGCCTTGCGGTCTGTGGTGCGTTTTGACCAGTTGTGTCTGTCTGCGCCTGTCTCTCCCCGGGCCTCAGGCTTCTCAGCCTTTCGAGTTCAGCTTGCATTGACCGCAATACACTCAGCTCAGTCGACGAGCGAGCTAGCTCATCGGCATCTTGTCGAATTCGTGCCGCCAAGGCATCAAGCTGCTGTGGGGTTGTCAGGTTCTGATCTGCTCGGCGACGTCTTCTCCCAGACCATCCCAGGCCTACTCCAACTTGTCGTGGTGCATTGGGATCAGGGTTGCCCACTTGTCCCTCCGGTGCTGGGCCAGCCCCATCTCCAAGCTGTTGTTGAAGTTCTTCAAACATATTATTGCCGCGGGCAGCTCCGACACCAATCCTCAATGGACCAAACTGGTATATTCGTGGACCTGGTCTCGGGCCTGGTGGATGCTGTCCACCATTCACCTGTCCGGCTTCAGCTTGCCCGCCAGCGTCATTTGTACCGCGTGGCCCATCTGTCCGGACGACATTTGCTCTGCATGTCGGACATATCTGCTGTCTCTCGAGCCAACTTCTCAGACAAGAAAAGTGCAGAACATGTCCACAAGGGAGCTTCTTGGGTCGCATCCTCTCCGCCACGGGGTTCGGTCGGGGCTGTGGCTGGCCTGGCTGCGCGACGCCTGGTTCATAAGGGCGCATCTCCTCTCTGCAGATTATGCAGACATCCTCACGTCCAATATCCTCCGCCGTGGCATCCGGATAGCGGGCATTCATATCCCTCGTCGCCGTTCGGTACTTCATGAAGTCCGAAATTCGTTTCAAAAATGATCGCATCGTCAAGAACACATCCCGTAAGATGTGGATGGGTAATCCGTAGAATACAAGAAGGATGAAGAAGAATGCCAGGTAAATGACAAGTTTGAAGAAATCCGTGGCCAGGTTGAGGTAGAACATGTAGCGACCTTTTTCTTCCCAGCCCTCTACTTCAACCTCATTCTCGTCGACCGGTTGGTTGAAGGCCTCTTGGGATACCTGGTCCAGGGTCCGCTGAGTTGGCGTTGGTGAGGCTGCCGTCGCGTCCAAAGTTTCGGAGGCGGGCGTGCTGGCAGCTTGTGCGCCCTGAGTCTCCTGAAATTCTGTAACCGCAGCTTGCATTCTTTCCCGCTTGATCTCTTCGATCCGATGCTTCTTCTGCTCACGAATGATACCAATCTCGATCAGATCAATTGCGTATCTCATTGCGGTACTGATGCTGGTGATCGACAGCACGGCGAATTCGAAGCCGAACATGACCATCATGTCCGGCCGAGCCATTCTCATGACTTGTTTGACAACGTATTCCAGCATGGTCAGGTCGAAAGCAACACTCAGCCCCAGGCTCAGTGCCAGACGCGTGTGGAACAATCTCGGGTTTCGCGGCGGTTGTTGCTCCAGCACCTCTACCCGGCCTTCACCAATCCAACCCCAGACCTTTCCCGTGAGCAGAGAGAAGAACATGGCGAGGAAGGTGAGTCCGATCTCTCCGCGGAAAACCGTCATGGCCAAACATGTCTCGGTAACGGCAAACCACGCCTTTTCGTACAACTGTTCAATCTCGATTGGTCGGAGGTTTCCATAGAGGAGCTTCTGAAGTCCCAGCAGAAAGGTGCAGGCGATGACAAATAGGAGGTTCGTCAGGATCATCAGGTTAGCAGAGGACTGCGAGAGGTAAACGGCGGCGGAGTAGAAGTTGGGACGCTGCGCCAGGGCTTTCAGGATGACGCCCGCAGCCAGGGCGGTCGACGCCTGTAAGAGAAAGGAGAGTCAGTGACTGCTGCTGCGCGCAAGACGGAAATGGATTCACAAGTGCGCGAATACATACCCCAGCATACGCCGTCCATCTCATTCTCATTCTCACCGGCATCTTTCTCTCAAGCCGTACGTAGAAGAGACTGGTCTTTCTTCAAGTGTGGGTGGATGGTGGCGGTTTCGTTGATGCCATCATTTAGTCGTCGATGCGAGCCACCACCACGCCGAGCAGGGAAGGTTGCAGACGCGAACTGCACAAGCTAGGTATGCACTGAAAAGGCAGTCATGGATGGGTAGAGACACAAAACATGAGGAGAGAAGGGCATGAAGAGACGCAGTGGCGTGAGTGTGTTTGCGTATAACAAGTAGAAAAAGACGAGAGGTGTTCAATTTCCTGATTGCTTCCTCTTGAAGTTCCTCCGCACCCCGAATCGCCAGGACTCTCTGCCCTCACATTTCGGTGCAATGGACGGACCGGCTCACGTGATAGGATCTTCACTCCCAAATACCAGTGTTCCTCTGCCAAACACAGTCTAGAGTTCGATATTCATTTACAAGTAGCTATTACGACAATCTATCTACACCTGAATCCCAATTTTTCCCCTCAACTTCTGGCGTTGAGTCACTTCACTACATTATCGAGAATGACGATTCGACCTTTGAAGCAGGCACGCAGGCGACCGTTGAAGAAGTGATCGAGGCAGGTCGGCCGAAGCCAGCCTCGTAGGTCGGTAAGGCTGACAAGAAAGGAAGAGGGTCACGTGTGAGAATCCCAATACGAGATACGAGTGCCCCTTTCTGTGCTCCACTCAGAAGACAACATACAGAGATACCTACCTACCTAGGTAGGCAAGTAGATAAGCCTGGGACCGTTGAAGCGATGCGGGTACCTCGGGAATTCTTAACGCGAGGTCACTCATCGATTTCTCGCTATACCGACCGATACCTCAATTTCGAATTCAATTGAATATGCGACAAACAGCCAGCACAATACCCGAACTACATACGGTACGAATCTGCGGTGTAACAACCAACTGTTGTGTCCTGCTATGGTCCCGGTCTGAGGTTGCGATAGGGTTCCGTCCCCGTCGAAAAGCCCGTCGATTCAGATCAACCACCCTACTCCTTTTCAGATCAATATTCTGAGATGGGATTCTTCAAAAACTTCTCCGGGATTTGCATCTCTCGACTGCGCACGTATTCCGCAATCCCCTTGCCCAGACTGTCAATCCTGGTGGTGCTCGCGCCTCCGCCGCCCAGGAAGTCGAGTATCCTGAAATGCACGGCCCAGATGCGCGGGAACTCGCATCTTTCCAGACGGCTCTTGGGGGTCAGGTCATCACCTAGAGCCTCCGCGAACCGGGCCGTGGTCATAAAGGACCGCAGCCATTCGAACTCTTCGGCAGAACGGACAAACAGGCCCACGTTGCTGTTGTCACCCTTGTCGCCGCTGCGGCCGTGCATGACAGCCCCTAGGGGCGCGAGCCTCGTGGGACCAAATTGCTCCAGGGGCACCGGGTTGATTGTATCGGCCGATGGCCGCGTTAGAGGTGGCTCTTGAGTGATCTTCGGATGTGGGATATCTATGACCAGGTGGGGGTCCAGGAACACGACACGGTGAGGCAACGACGTGACCGAGATCAAGCCTGGGAAGAGCTCCATAAACATTCTTGGAGACATTGTTCTGAAGTCCAGCGACATATGGTATCCTGTGTGATCTTGTCAACTGACAGATATCCCACCCGCAGGGGTAGACCCAATAACATACCAGGGTAGAATTGCATTCGCAAAGCATACACGCGAGTTTTGAAAATCTTCACGTCGATGTCTTCCTTGTTGCGAGCTTGCGCAAGGACGCGGACCATGACGGTCCCTTCAGCTTGCTTTGACGGGTTTCGTTTGGCCGTTCCATACCTCTCAACACTGAGCTGCAGAAAGTTGGCATCCCTGAAAGCGTGGTTGAGCTGCTGACGCATGAACTTCTCTTTGGCATCGATGTCCAGTCCGTTCATGTAGAAGGTGGCCTCTGCCAGCCACCCGCCTATGGCTGCAACGATGGCTTTTGTCGTCGGTGGGGGCGGCGAGCCTTTCGCACCACTGACCAACACCCGATCCTTCTTCCCGGGCTCGTTCCGGATTTCAACGTTGGTGATGTCGGCACAGACATCGGTGTTGAGGTACGTATTGCCCTGGATCTCGTAGACCAGTTGGGCGCGAACGTTGAATTGGTCCACGAAACCAGCGGCTCCTGGGTGCTTGGTGATGGTAGCGGTACCGTCGTGGGCTATTTCTGCGAGAGGGAAGCCGAGATCGACAAAGTCGGGAGTCAAGTAGTGCTTGAATCCACTGAAGTTGGCACCAGTAGCATAGCAACCGCACTCGATCAGGTCTGATAGATAGAAGCGTTAGCCAGGGAGACCCCCCACAAATAGATATCTCGGTCGTGGGATGTAGAAGAGACTCACGACCGGCGACCAATGCCCCAGCAAGTGCGTCCCAGTCGTCTTTGGCCCAGTTATGCCACCAGGCCGCCAGCCCGATGACGGGACTGGCATCAGTGACCCTGCCGCAGATGACAATGTCGGCGCCCTGCCTCAATGCTTCGCAAATGCCCCATGCACCGAAATAAGCCACTCCACAATGAGGCTTGCGTTCCCAGTCGGCGAGGGTCTCATTGACATGGTCGAGATGTCGAATTCCCCCAAACTCCTTCAGTTTGGCTTCGTCGGTAACGATGTCGGAGATATCGTCGCCCTCGACATAAGCCACAACCAGGTCTTTGTGACCGTGTTTCTCGCAGATTTTCTTTGCTTGTCGAGCACATTCGGCCGTATTGAGGGCACCGGCAGTGGTGACGACCTTTATTTTCTTCTCGGCGATGACATCGATGGCCACGTCCAATTGATCGAGGAACCCGGGCTCGTAGCCCAGCTTAGGGTTGTCATGCTTGACAATGGCCTGCCAGGCGATGTTCAATTCGGCGAGCCAGTCTCCCGTAAGGGCATCCACATGGCCTTCGGTCGCGGTCCGGTACCTGGTTCCTTGACGTTATGATCCTCGACCGCAAATCACCTTTCACATGCTCCTTCAAGAGGCGACTTACAAGGCATTTGGAGCATCCTCAAACCCCCCTGCAACGTTACCAATGATGATGGGTCTCTTGTACCCGTTGGTGTGGGCGGCAGGCATGGTTGGGCGCAGAGACTTGGATGATACAGAAGAGGCAGCAATATTTCCCTGGCTTCTTCTTTGACAGAGACAAACGTTTGGTCAAATCGACACCCTCGGACGCAGTGATCAAAGAGCTAACAGCAGAAAGAAGCAGAACCAACGACTAAATACTTCCATCCATGGCCGATCTCGCACCAAGGCCCAACCTAAGTTGAGTGGTTTGATCCCTCCGAGACATGCTCGATATGTACCTCCGAGCTTCTCAGTGCAGCCTATCCCCTTCGATACTGAGATGTTGCCGGCATTCTCTGAGTACGCGTCAAGATGGGGGGAGGGGGGGGGATCGAGTCCTCGAGTCCGCTCTTCGAGAGGCTGTGATTTCCCGCTTCGGGCGCGGCGCCGAGGAAGTCGAGGAGGTGCTCCGTGGCCTCGATATCCATAGTGATGGCGTTGCAAGGCGCCAAGTGAGGTGGTGAATGATGGTTCATACTGTTCTCAAGACCGGCAGATCGCCGACGGAGGGCAAGGATCAGATGCCGGCTGCATATTGTATGCAGGCGGGGGGAGGGACATCCTCCTCCTCTTCGGTGCAGGTTCCCGGCTATTTTCTGGATGGGAATATTAAGTCTCTATTGACTGTCAACCTCGCCAATATCCAGAGGGAGGTGACCTGTGGCGAACGAATCCTCCTCGGTGGTTGCGAAACATCACAATGGCGTCTTTCCCACCACCCACACAGATCCAAACCATCGACCCGGCTACCTACACGGCGGTTCCTGCACATCTTCGTGAGCTGAAGCGCAAACCCCACTCACAGCTGATCTATGGCGGGAAGGTAGTCGATGTCTTCATCGAGGGTCCGATCATTGTCCCGGGCACGAACGAGTTGTTTGTGGTGGACATACCCAACGGTCGCATTCTCGCGGTCGAGTTGAAGACTTTACAATGGCGCTGCGTGGCCGAGTATGACGGCGAGCCAAACGGCATGGCGTGGCACCCTGGCAAGAAACTCATCCTGATCGCCGACCGGCACCGGGGAATCGTGAGCCTGGATCTGCAGGCCCAGCGAGACGAAGATAAAGTGCAGTTCCCACTGCCTTCTTTCAACGGAGAACCCTTCAAGGGGTGCAACGACCTCGTTGTCGGCCACGACGGCAGCGTCTTCTTCACCGATCAAGGCCAGACCGGCCTACAGGATCCAACGGGGAGGGTCTTTCGCTGGCACATGGACGGGCGGTTGGACCTGCTGTTGCGCAACGGCATCTCACCCAACGGCCTGGTCTTGAGTCGCGACGAGAAGACTCTCTTCGTCGCCATGACCCGCGACAACGCGATATGGGCTTTACCAATCTACCCCGACGGCAGCGTCCAGCGCACGGTCCGATTTTCTTCCTACTACGGCCTCGGCGGCCCCGACGGCATGACCATGGACTCTGAAGGCAACGTGTTTGTCGCACACGTCAGTCTGGGCACCATTTTCGTGCACAAACCAAACGGCGAGCCACTGGCCACGATCAGGAGCAACCTGGGCACGGCGACGACCAACCTGACCTGGGGAGGCGACGATTTCAAGACGCTGTTCATCACCGAGAGTGAATCGGGAACCATACTGTACGTTCGATGGCACTGCAGAGGGTATCTGGGGCAAATATACAAGGAGTTTTAGATACATTAGTAACAATTATATGAGTTCCTGCAGCGCCTGAAAGTCTGGACCGTTGAACAACAGTTGTTCGTCGAGCTGCCCGTTCGATTCCGTGAACCAGTCTATCCAGAATTCCGGGCACGCCTCGTTGTTGAACTGGAACATCAAAGATGGATCCTGCAGAGTCGTCTCGAGACCTTCGTAGTTACATCGAAAATCGGGCGCATCCGCATACTCAACCCCCGTCGGGCTCGATATGGATGCCACAGGGGCATTGTTTCCACCCATACCGTCTGCGCCGTCCGATTCAAATGATTGACCACAGAGCGATGGCTGGAAGGTGGAGACATGATGTTCCTGATGCGATTGCATGTCCAAGTCAGCATTCCTGGCTGGGTAGGATAAGGGATCGTATATGGATAATGACTTACCATAGGCTGGGCCAAATGCGCCGCGGGAGCTGCTGTTGCGTGGCGCTGAGCCTCCAACATCAATGTGATGCTGTCGCCAATCACAGCATTGCTTAACCGTTCAAAGACTTCGCAGAACGTCCTGGCCGCTGGCCTCCTTTCCGAAACGGCCAGAAGAATATTGGAGCAAGCGCGAACATCGGCAATGATATCTATGGTCGCCGGAACAAAAGTCACGTCCTTGTGCGACACGGAACGTTTCTGAAGACTGGCTTTCCATTTCTTGAGCAAGGCACCAATCGCATAGATATAGGTGATGCCACCCAGGAATATGGCTTTCAGGGTGATCCACGAATAGTCCAGCTGGCGGTGTCGATGTAGCTTGGAGTTGAGGTTGATCACCGCCTTGGCCGATCGCAGTAAGAGCAAGGTATTCTCGCCCGGTGCGTCAGAGGACCCAAGATCACCAGGGAACATTGGAGACGGCCCATGGAGTATCAGAATTGCGTTATGGTAAAGTACGTGGTACCAGTCATTGGTGAGAAACCTGGACACTGGGCTGCGACTGGTACACATTTCGCCCAACATCTCGGAGCTTGGTATATCTTCCCTCCAGCGGACGAGTTCTTGATGGAGACTGCTGCGTATTTGAAGTTTTTCCTCGATGCTTCGAGCGGCATTTTTTGCTGACATCAACGCGCCTGATATTGCCCCCAGAAGCTTGCGGATCCGGACAAGATGGAGAAAGGGTGATGTGAGAGGCTTCCTGCTGGTTCCGTGAATTGCCCGCCCGGATTCCAAGCCATTGGGTCCAAAATAGTCCTCGTCCAAGATATGTAACGGCAGCGGCACATCGATGACATCGTCATCTATCGAGACTGGACGACCCAGTGTTATGCTGACGATTCTAAGCCATTGGCGTGAGAAGGTACGTCCGGCAAGCAGGAATCAAGGGATTTGTCACTCACCTGTCTAGGTTGTAGAAGCACCAGAAGCACCTCCGTCGCATTTCCAGGTCAAAAGCTGACTGTGGCGCCACGGGATCAAATGTTCGTCCGTGTCGAGATTCTCTGTGCAGTCCCATCTCAAGACAGAACCGAGCCCCAATCCCGACAACATGCCACATGCTCGTAACATTTCGCTTCAGGTGACACATTACCCCATACTGCGCCACGAAGACTATAGCCTGTACGGGAGCCAAACCGCTCATCTGAAGAACAATACTTAGCTTTTCCATGGCACGGCTGTAGTATTTATCAGCACCAGCTGAGCAGCATTCAAAATGGTTGGCGTTTGCTGTTGCCAGTGCAATCACCATATCAAACGTGAAAGCCTCAAATGGGTGGTTCTGGTAATAAGTAGGATCCATATACATCTTGTTGACAGTATCGAGGAAAGTAGGGCCGTGTAGAAGGGGAAAGGTGAGGTGGTTGTGAGCAAAGTATATCGAGATGATCTTCGCGGCGGTACTCCGGTCAGGAAGAGGATTCTCGCTGTGAGGCTCTGCCGACGGATAAGAAATCTCCTCTGTGAGATCAATCTCGGAGCATGATGAGGAAGGTTGAGTCCATGACAGCTGTGGTCGTAGGGATGCCGAGTCTATAACCGTGCCGACCATTTTCGCAAGCTCACCACCACCACTGGGTCCGAGGTAGTGAGTCTCCCCTGTTGCCCTTAGAGTCAGGTAGTCCATGACTCCAGAAATCCCGTCCTCCTCACGGATCAGAGGAGGACTCGTCAGAGGTGCGCTTGACGTGGTACAACCCGTAGTCTGGGAGCCTGCGGGTTGCGGACTTGTTTCAACCACCTGGTTCGTAGAAGTGTCATTAAAAGAGCCCTGACTCTGACCTTGACCCTGGCGCCCTCGATCAGGCTCTCCTAGCCTTGCTAGCTTTCGCGTCAGCTCGACATTCCTTCTCTCCAAATCACCAATGTGAGACTGCATGTCGTCCACAAATCCTCTGGAATAGTTCCGTTTTCTCGACTTGTCCGAGAAGACACACGGAACATCGGCGCGTTCACAGTGGGAGCATCGTGGTGTACTTCGGTCGCAGCGTGTTTTGCGAGTATGGCATCGATCACAGGCTTGTGTGAGGACGCCAAAGTGCGCATTCGTATCGCTTGGGGGACTCATGTTGAAGATTTGTTGCGACGTTTCCGACTGGGGCGCCAGCGTCAGCCAGGGCTGAACAGGGATATGGTAAACATCAGAAGCGAGAGAATCCACGAGGGAAACCCATCAATCAGGCCATCCTGCCCATCCACATCCACATGGCCACGCAGGGACGTAGGGACGCAGAGGTGCAAAGGCGCAGGGGCCGCCGACCCCGGACCTTGGCGCTGCGGGGAACAATCAGACCAATTTTATCAGGTCACCAAGTCCACCTCTTCCGTCTGGTCTTGTTAGTGGCAAACCTCAATCATCAACGTCCGAGACTCAGCATTCTCACCTGTAACCTGTAGAGCCTCTGTGCCTCGGTCGACTCCTCTAACTACTCCTTCACATCCACGCCACCATGCGAAAGACCTACCCTTCGACAGACCACGACCCGTTCAGCTGGTCTAGAAGCCTCCTTCAAGATGCCTGGCCTGGGGGTTCTCCCCCATACTTGGCATTACGGCGCCAACCTCCAGCCTGAAGGTTTGGGAAAGAGTTTCGGTCTACCGCCGTCGGAGCAAAAATCGGTGACCAAGCGCCGTCGGACCATCGCCGAAGAACACAATCAGAGCAAAATGGTCTAATCAGGTGCCCCTATGAACGTTGCGCGGTTGGGATCGTGCGAACGAGCACAAAAGGCAGGCTATATGGCAACTAGACCGTCCACCAGGATTCCAGAACTCTTACAGGCTGGGTGATCCATCGACTATCTGACTATCTGACTCTACTCGATCAATCCACAATAGCCAGATAGCTGGGAGCAAAGCAATGGCTGCCACTCATTCTCAACTTAGCCACGACGCCAGCAGCGACGACAAAGCCATCGCCCATGAGCTCGTTGCCGTCGAAGATACCGGCCACACCAAGGAGGATGCTACCATCGCTGCCGCTCAACAAAAGACCCCAGAGGAGGAAAAGAAGATCCTGCGAAAAATCGACGTCAGACTCGTTCCTGTCCTTGCTTTTCTCTATCTGGTGTCTTTCATCGACCGCGCAAATAGTACGAGAGTACCCCAGTCTCTTGACGTTGACCTTCCAGGACTGACAAGTGTGGCAGTCGGAAACGCCAGAGTTGCTGGATTGGAGAAGGATCTGAAGCTTCATGGCATGCAGTACAACGTGGCGTTGACCATCATGTTCATTCCCTACTCGTTACTGGAAGTGCCGAGCAACATCATTCTGAAGATGACTCGCCCTTCCTACTACATTAGTATTCTTCTGTTTGTGGTCAGTTTACACTTTGTCCCCTGGTGTTGACTTGTACTGATTGTTCTTTAGTGGGGGTTGATCGTGTACGGCCGCACTCCCGTGACAAGCTTGGTCGACAATAGATTGGCTGATTGCGCTCCAGAACTCTGACCGGTCTTGTCCAGTCGTACTCTGGACTTTTGGCTGCTAGATGGTTCCTCGGAACGGCAGAGGTAAGATCTCGCCAGTGACTCTGTATCTACCGTGAGAGCCAACGGCTGACATTTGAGGCAGGCCGGTTTCTTTCCCGCTGGTAAGTTTGTTGGGTATACAGCAATTGGGTCTCGATTCCTGACACCCTCTAGCAACTTTTCTCTTGACAATCTGGTACCGCCGATACGAGGTCCAAACGAGGATGGTCTTCTTTTACGCTGGGGCCACCATGGGAGGTGCCTTTTCAGGACTCCTGGCGTATGCGATACAGAAAATGGACGGCATTTCAGGGCTGGAAGGCTGGCGATGGTGCTTCCTCGCCCCTGGTCTGATCAAGTGGCCTGATGCTGACTAGAGATGTAGGATCTTTATCATTGAAGGCATCTGCACCTCTTCCCTGGCTTTCTTCATGTGGAGGATCTTGCCAGATCGGCCCGGTACCGCAAGCTTCTTGACTCCGGATGAACGCGAATTCGTGATTGCCAGACTTCAAGTTGAGACAGGCTCGGGGAGAGGAAGAATCACAAACGACGACAAAATCACAAAGGAACACATCTTTGCGGGCCTACGCGAATGGAAAATCTGGCTGGCTGTGGTACGTGCGCGATGCAACCTCTTCAGGGGTCATGGTTCTTTGACTAATTCCTCGCGATGGTAGCTGATATTCTGGGGCAACGCCATCGGAGGCTATGGGTTCACTTATGCCATTCCTACTGTCATTCTCGGACTTGGCTACACGGCTGCCAATGCGGTAAGTAAAATGCCCTACAAACTCTCCGAGACTTGTGGAAATGGGAAACTGATGACACGGATATTGAAAACAATTAGCAACTTTTGACGGTGCCAATCTACGTCGTGGCCATGATTGCCACGGTGTTGAATGCGGTGATCTCGGACCGCTACAAACAGAGATCGCCGTTCATCATCCTTGGCCTGGTGGTCGCAATCATCGGCACAATCTGTCTGTTGGCAGTACCTCATCCTGGGCTACCGGGCCTGACCTATGGGATATTGTTTATCGCGGCAAGCGGTCTTTACATGCTCACGATTCCCGTCATGTGCTTTGTCGGTATGTTTTTTTGATCTGATCTGTCACCTCGATTGCTATTTTTCCGCCCCTTTCCACTTTACCCACGAAAGAAAAGAGAGATGTCATGGCAAGATTTTGACTGACGTTCCCGTAAAGCAAACAACCTGGCCCCCTCGTCCAAACGGGCCGTCGGCATGGCGCTGCTCCTCTCGATCGGCAACATGGGCGGCATCGTCGGGTCCAATATCTTCCTGTCCAACCAAGCGCCGCACTACTGGACCGGGTACGGCGTGATCATGGGCATCGACTGCCTGGCCGTGGTGGCGTGTCTGATCCTGAGGTTCTCGTACAAGCGCATCAACGCGGAGCGCGACAGGATGAGCGAGGAGGAGATTCGCGCCCGGTACACCGACGACGAGCTGTTGAAGATGGGCGACAAGAGCCCCTTTTACAGGTATACCCTGTAGGTCGGGTCGGGTCGAGTCGAGTCGAGTCGAGTATAGTCTCGGGGGTTGGTACTGGGAAGAACCTGGTACGCAGAGGGAAAAGAGAGGGAAGAGTGTATCCATCGAAACACCGGGGGCCTGGCCCAATGATGGAGCACAGAGAGGCATGATGACTAGATAGTGAGACTGTCTAGTTAGTTAGTTGATTGAAGAGAAAGGAGAATGACGCGCGAGCGCTACAGTACACGAAGTTTGACCGTGTTTGTCTATACCATCCATCTATCTACCTTTCGTCGAGGAGGCTTAATCATGTGGTCAGTCGGTTGGTCGGTTGGTCTTCCAAGTCCCAAGTTCCAAGTCCCAAGTTCCAAGTCCCAAGTGTCCCCAGGTCCTGCGAGATCGAGTGACTGACCACCTACCTGTCTTCGTCTTCACCTTCACCTTTGCATTGCATGCAATTTTAATCTCGTATATCATGCATGCATGCTACGTACCAGCGGACATATCAAAACACACACACTCTCTCTCTCACTCTCTCTCTCTCTCTCTTGACCCTCGGGAGATCAGGCACGCGGGCACGCAGGCACGTCAGGTTAAAGTTTCTCGATTACCCATGCCCATGCACATGCACATGCACATGGTCCGCCCATGGTTTAAGGTACGTGGATAGCTGGGCTGGCGAGGAGGTAGGTGGCAGTTGGAGACAACGTCCCCGGAGTACCCACGGTACCCCAAAGCGAAAAGTGTCAAAAGTGCCAGAGGTGCCGAATTGCCGGGTACCGACTAGGCTACATAATAGCTAGCTAGCTAGACACCTAGCCAGGTGCTAGGTGCCACGGGGGCAAGGTGCTAAGTGTAGGTAGGAGTAGGTAGGGGGGTAGGTAGGCGGCTTATCGGAGGTTGCGCCGAAAAAAAAGTAAAAATGGGAGAAGGGGGCCACAAGGACATACGGGCCGAATTCGAACTCGGATGGATTCCAAGCCTCCCTTTCCTTTCCTCCCACATGGTTCGGAGAGAGTAGAGTGTATATCATAGTGCCTCAAATGAAGATGCCCTGCCTCATTGTGGTGAGGAAGACCTCCTACCCCGTCTTCCACCTCTCTACTAGTACCAAGAATGTCAGGAACATCGTTGATTGATCTGACAGGCAAAGTTATTGTCGTCTCTGGTGCCGCGTCCGGGATAGGCCGCGAAACCGCCATCCAGATCGCCGCTCGGGGAGCAAAGGTCTCCATCTGCGACGTGCAGTCATCACTCCTGGACGAGACGGTCGACCTGATCGCACAGAATGGCGGCACCGTCATGGGCACCTGCGTGGACGTGCGGGAACGGAAATCAGTCGAGGCGTGGATCCGTCGCACCGTCGAGACGTTCGGCAAGCTGGACGGCGCGGCCAACATTGCCGGCGTGGCCGGGGCGGACACGGGAGTCGCTGGTATTGCGGACCTCGACGACGCTGACTGGGCGTTGGTCTTTGACGTCAACGTCAAGGGCCTCATGCACTGTCTGCGCGCCCAGGTGCCCAACATGAACGAGCGCGGTGGCTCCATCGTCAACATGTCCAGCCTCTGGGGGAGCCGGGGTTGGCCACGCCAGTATGCCTACAATGCGTCCAAGCACGCCATCAACGGCATCACCAGGTGCTTAGCGAAGGAACTGGGGCCCAGGAACATTCGCGTCAATGCCGTGGCACCGTGAGTTTGAACGTCGACATCTCTCTCCCACCCCCCTCCCGCTCAAATGTCTTTTCCCTTTCCGGCTCTGACATCGAGATTGATTCCATGGTTTTGATTAGAGGCAAGATCGAAACGCCCATGTCTCCGACCACAGACTCGGAAGAAACACTGGCCGAATTGATTCCCCTGGGACGAAAGGGGACGGCATTGGAAGTCGCTGAAACGGTCGCCTTCCTCCTCTGCGATGCGTCGGCATATATTTCTTCTGCCATCATTGGTGTCGACGGAGGTCGACTCTCCTAGAACATCTCGACTCCACGCTCTCCGTGGTACTTGCAATTGCCACAACCTTGATCATCACGTCGAGAAGTTAGAGACAAGGGATGTCAACCCTGGTTATATTTGGGGCGACGCGAAGCATGTTGCCGACAATAGCTCGAATCTCGCTCGGTCGTCCATGTCGGACATCGGGTGCCAGGAAAACCTCGCCATTGGGGACGACATCACCAAGGGCTGGTTCTCCTTGGTGGTCTTCTTCGTCCGCCAGTGCCCTGGCGAGCCCCTCAGGATATACAAAACATGGTCGAGACTGCCGAGTGGATGGTAAAGCCACGTTGTTTGGCCGTGTCGTAGAGTCCCAGCAAACGGCCGCGACAGACGATCTGCCCTTGTACATACAGAGACCATCCGATGCACATCCTACCGGCCCCTGCTGCAAAGAAACGGACCATTACCTTGAGAAATTGGGTCAAGCAGGACATGGCTGGCGAGAGTCACTTCTTGACTGCTCTCGGTCCTGTCGTTGTGTCTTGCCCGTAGAGCCTGTCACTCCATCTCTTTATGTGCACATCGTTCGTAGCCTCGAATAGGTCGGTGGCACTGGTCTGAGGCGCGTTTTGGTCCCGCCAATCCGCCTTGAGCCGATAGACCTCTAGAACCCATCTCCCTCTTTCCAGGGCCGTCCGTCACTCTCTGCTCTGATCCTTGGGTCCCTCCCTCTCTCCAAGGCTTCCAATCTCCTCCGTTCCAGCTCCGCCTTCTTCTCCTCAATCGAGGCCTCGAGCTGTTCTTTCCGTCCAATCTCTGGCACCTGAAGCTCCCCGGCTTCGATGCCAGGCAGTCTGCCATCCTTGTCCCGGAACTTTTCGATCGCCTCGGCTTTTTCTTCCCACTCACGCAACTCCTTCTCGGCCATCTGCCTCTCGTACCTCAGTTCGAACCACTTGTCGAATGTCTTGTCGGTCTCGAAGCAGACACCGTATCCATCACAGTAGCATGCCCGTTGGCTCGGGCAGAACACGCTCTCATTCGCGAAGATGACCTGCCAGATATACTCAAAGATTCTACCGCTGGTGACGTCCGATATTTCTGAGCGCAGCAGCCAGTCTCGGTAGTGTCGGTATGTCTCCCTCGGTGTCAACCTTATCTGATTGCGACTCACCGCAAACTGGGAGCAACACGGCTGAGCCAGGACGGCAGGGATAGGCTTGTCTACGAACAACTCTGCCCAGGTTGATGCCATGTATGATTGTTCCAGTTTGTCCTTGTCCCTCTGTATCTGACCTGGATGGATCCAGTCCGGGCATCCGGGCTTCCAATGGCATCTCATGTTCATGTAGCCTTGACGCTGGACTCTCTCGCTACTCAGCCGTTTGATCATTTCGGCGGCGTCCCAGTTCAGCAGTTCGTTGTTGTGCCATGCGTCTTGGTGGGCATGCATGAAGATGCTGACATCGGGTAGTTGGTCATAAAATTCGATTATGTAGGTGAGATAAGTCATGACTTCATGACCCTTGTTCTTGGGTGGATGCAAGGGCGCAGTGGGATCGTCAGCGATATAGATGAACTTTTTGATGTCGGCACCGAGGTCGACGCCGTCAAGCCACGTAACGCTTTCCTCCTTCAGTCGAGCCATGACCAGACTTCGTGTATATCTCGATCCCGAAGAACCACCTGTAGGGGCCGTGGTCGCTAACGACCCGCTTGTAGCATTCGAGGCCCCGGAGCCATCTCCAGGGGTGGAAGCCGGTTGACTCTGGTTCTGGACATCCGAATTGTCCGAGTCAAAATAGTCTCCAAGTCCAACAATCTGCGGGACTTTGGACTGTAAAGACTTGACGGTGATGGAGCCACTCACCGACCCATAGTAGAGGCCCAGAGTAACAAAGGTCGCGAAAACCAGGCAGATAACAGCATGCCTGATCCGGATCATGTTCAGGTCAGCCAGGAGAAGGAGGAGGTGTCTGAGGAGTTGTTCGAGAAATGAATGCTCGCGTCTCGTTTGTGGGGGAGTGGTTTTGTATGATTGCTGACACAGGTTCGCTCTACCGAAAAGTCGCTCGCTCAAACGCCGGTCTCCCCCTTTGTGCTGACAAGGATCAACACGGACCTGCAGTGTCTTGATCTATTGATGGCCGCCAAAATGCTCAAAGCAAACTCAAATATAAAAGGACAACAAAATCTCAATCAAAACATGACAAGGAGCAGGCGATGGAAGAAACAGAGGGTCATGCCGAGCTTCCCCGTCAATGGGACTCTTCGTGGATCAGGCTCACAACAGTGAGGCTTGATAGCTCACTGAGAAGCTGTGCATGTACTGGAGACCTTGCTCGGGATCGCCATACTTGTTGCTGGAAGCTTACAGGATCAGGCGAGAAATGTGGTGAGTCGTTGAAATTTATACACATTTTTCGGTGTTGACGGAACCGAAAAGGGGAAGCAACGTGTCGCGTCTCCACTTGTGCACGGAAAGGAAAAACAATCATCCGAGATATGAATCGAGGCACCGACAAGACGATGGCGATGCTGATTGTTGCCATGCACTCAGATGTCATAAAGATGAAAATACGAGCAGTCGCTCGGGTCGTATAGCTCTACTTCAAAACTTCACCGGCAAAGGTAATTACAGGTCCATCAGTGGAAACCATCAGCCACCAGACGCCACGAGACATCTTCATACCCTTTTCGTCTGTTAATCCTGACTTTCATATCGCCTTTGGGTTTGATGACGCTCAAAGGGATTTTTTCATTGTCTCGCGGAGGTAGTGTGATGGGTGTTCCATCTGGAGTAGAGATATCGAATGCCATCAATAGGTACGCAACGAAAGCAAGGATTTCACTTTGCGCAAAGTGTCGTCCCGGGCACACCACACTGCCCCCGCCAAAGAGACGGAATGCCGCCGAGGGGACGCCAGGAGGCAGTTGTGTTGCCGTCGGCTCCTTGAGGTCCAAGCCCGATGGCTCTGAATCGTTATCCGCCACAGATGCCTGGCCCTTGATAAAACGTCGAGGGTTGAACTGGTCGCTGTCTTGGCCCCAGGTTTGCGGGTCATGGTGGATGATGATTCCAGCCACTTGTATAATAGAATCCTTTCGCAGGTAATGTTGCCCAATGACCGTGTCCCTCAATACGTATCGAAGTGAGGCTAGGTTGCCGATCATGCGTAGGGACTCCCTGTACGTCGACACAAAAAGTGGGCAGGAGGTTTCGATGACGGAGAGATTGATGCTTTTGCCTCCACTCCCCTCGTCAGTGACAGCCGATTGAAGCTCGTTCCGAATCTGCGTCAGTAGCTCTGGACGGCTGATGATATTGGCAAGAATCCAGAACGTGGACGGCACAGCGTTTCCGAGGATTGCAAAGAGCAAGATGATCTCTGATCGGCCTGCTTCGGCCTCGGTAAATCCATGGCTCAGGTTGATGCTGATGCGGTTTTGAATGAGAAGAGAAGCCTTGCGCCACCGCTTCTCTTTGACATAGTCAACCAGGGCTTTGGCAATCGCCTCTCGTCCCAGATATGCCCTCCTGGCTGTGATGGAAGGAAAAATGTCAATAATAAGGGCCAGCATACCAGCCTCAAAGTCCCAGAAAGAATCGACCAAGCTGGGATCAAGGGCAAAGGGGTTTTCTGGACCATAGATCGACTTTGCATTGGCAAAAGCAAAGGTTGACTTGATCCATCCAAACAGATCCGTTTCCAGGCAATCTCCTCCCACGGCAACCTCGTTCAGCATCTCGGAGAAAATCGACATCTGCGAACGAGTAAGGTCTTTCAATGACTCCCCTCGTCCGAGTACCGTGTTGAACATGTCATGCATAGTCGGCATCAGGCCCCAGTCACCTTGCTCGGCATTGACGTTCTTCATGACAATCTTCATGGTACTTGGCTTGAGGCTGGTCAATCTGCGCGTGACTTCTAGAATGACATTGTAAAAGGCGAGGTCCTTGTGCTGTCGCTGGAGCTGAGCAGCAATCTGAGGAGAAGTGACAATGTACTGTCTAGTCGATAAGGTGGGCAACGTGTAGATCGGGTACCGAGTGTCGCGGCTGAGGCACATTAGATTGCGAGCATTAGAGGCATCCATCACTCACTTGACAAGCTCAAAATACTGTGTGCCATGCCGGATGATTCCCAGTATGTGGCCGATATAGGGGATCGCCGGCTTGATGATTGGAGGCTCCCCAGGACTGTGATCAATGGTAAGCCCACGATGAACCGTGACCGCTACTAGAATAATGACTGTGATGATAAGGACAATGATGCTAGCCGGCAGTCCTGTCGAAGCAGCGATGGTTGAATCCATGTTTTGGTGCGGCTGAAAACTTCTGGGCTGGCGGGTGTCAATACAGGTTGTCGCAAGGAGTTCAGGCAGGATTCTCACTCGTATCTGTAGTCTGCGCCCTCCAGATCGGATCCAACCGTACTCATAAAGTCAACATGTCGAGTTAGAGATGCGGAGAAGTGAGTGGTATGGGAGAGAGAGCCGAGGCGACGTTGATGCGACACTCAAAGATACAAGACGCGGCACTTCGTTGCTGCCTTGCTGCCCAGGCGCAGTCTAGTCTTATCTCCACCGCACTTATAATTAATTACCATACACCATACAGCCCCCAACGACGAGGTACCTTTAGCACGCGACCCAGGCGGTAGGGTACCAAGGGACTCGCATACTCGGTTCGTCGTCGACAGCATCCTCCAATACCGACCAAGATAAATACGCACCATTCCCCGCAGTCTCATCAACCTTCGCCTCCTTCGCCTCCATATCTTCCCAAAGCAGAAGACAGAGAGAGAAAGCCAGGGTCCTCTGTAAATACACGTGCATCGTAGATATGATAGATGGGTGGAAAGCTAGGTAGGTATGTAGGTGGCTAGCTGCACTGGAGATCCCTCGTATGGCATTGCATGGCATGAACTCACAAGCCACCTAGTTACCAAGAATAATTCATCTTCAAGAAGAGAACCCGGTATATTCATCTTGACACATTCCATGTTCCTTCTACCCCTCCCCCTGCTCCTGCCTCCCCCTCCTCCTTCTCTATCCCAAAAGTCTAAAAAATCGCCACAGCGTTGGGATGGCTCCCGACACCACCTAAAAGAGAAAACCACAGAATTAGCATACGATCCTCCCTTTTTTCGTACACCTGTGGCTCGCAGATCCCTGATCGGTGCTTCCCAAAAACAGGAACCGTGCGGGTAAGAAAACGAATAGAATGGGAAAAGCAAAGGTATCCGCCCAGAAAAGACTCACCGTGGACATTTGCAGGAACGCTGTTGATGAAAAAGGTATACTGCTTCTTGCGACGGCACGTCTCGGCGAGCTCCTCGAGATCCCACATCTCGCCGATGGGCATGCCCCAGCGCGGGAGGAGGTAATAGTGCAGTGCGGGCTGCTGGAAGGGCCAGACCTCGAACGAGGGGGCGTCCCCGGCCACGGCGGCAAAGTAGTTGTCGTGCAAAAAGTCCAGCATGGCCTCGCCGCCTTCGACGCCCGCCAGGGCGAGGTCGGCAAAGGACAGTTTGCCCACGCGCTCGCGCTCCTCGGCGTTCAGTTTGTTGTACGCTTGCACGAAGCCCGAGCGCACCAGCAGGATGTCGCCGGGCTGGAACTCGACGCCCTGGGCTTTGGCGCACGCCTGGAGTTCACTCAGCGGGATCGCGTGCGAGCTGTTCGGGTCGTAGTTGCCACCCGAGTAGCCCCAGTAGTCGAGGAGGACGCCGCGGCCAGCTGTTTTTGGGCCCCAAAGGAGAGGGGTAAAGGTCAGTAAAAGTGACATTCCAAGAGAAAGGGAGAGAGAAGCCGTATGTCCGTTGTCTGGGCTGTCTCTGGAGAGGGATTGGCTTCACATAACATACCTATTCCGTGCTTGGCCCACGCCTGGATCCCGCACCTGTCCGTATTGTAGATTTCGTCCGTCGTGAGCTGTTTGTTGGTCACCCGTTTAGTCATGTCATAGCCTGCTGGATTGGTCGCCAGATGGGAGACAGCTTCACGTACCCCATTATAAAAAACCGCGTTGTCATTGTGACGAAGTCCAACCTTTAGCAAACCAACCGGAAGGAGTCAGAATGAGATCCCCAAAAATTTGGGAGGGTATATCTGTAAATATACAGAGCCTTACATGTCGATAGCCGTCCCACTGCGAAATGTCAGTCCGAAAAACAAGAAGAAAACATGGGGCATCCAAAACTGACTTGCGATCCACTCTGCGTGTTCATATCGTACAGGTCGTCGAACCCCGTCTCGCCCAGAGGTGAAATGGTGTGCTTGAAGCTCTGTCTCCCAAAAGCAGGGGGATCGGGATAGTCGGCACGCCAACTTGAATTTGTATCGACATATCAATTAGCCTCTGCTGGCATTTCTCGAGGTTTGTCGTTTCCGATTCTCTCAACGGGGAAGAAGCGACGGGGGCGGTCATATTTACTTGAGATTTACAATTTCTCCGGTTTTGATCAACGCGGCGGCCTTGGAGGTGCGTTCGGGTGTCAGGAGATTGAGACGTCCGAGCTACTCGAGTTTCAGAGACAAATCCGACCTGGGAAAGGAATAAGTGATGCAAGATATCTAGAGACTTCCATACCTCGTCATCTTTGCCCCAGAACCAGGCTGCACCATCGGGAGCCCCTGGGATCTTGGGCAATTCCGATCGCTTGGGCAGCGACGACGAGGAAGGGTCGAAAAGCATGATACAAAAGATTCGGTGGCAGGTACCAATGGCTGTCGGGGCGACTTGGCAACAGGCGAATTCGCAATTAGAAATAACAAAATTGGCCTTTGAAAGCAATGAAGAGAACTGGAATAGTTATCTTCTGTATACCAAGTATCTCCAAATGCATCTGTATCCAAGGAGGGGCTGATGTTTCCGGCGTCGGACCTCGGGTCTATCTATCATCGGTCATCATCGGCCGTGACTCGTATGGAACATGTCCAGGACGACTCAGTCTGTTTGAAAAGGGACCAATTCAGCATTTCCCATGTGGCTAGTAGTTTTCGTCCATTGCCCTCGGTTTTGCCGTATGAGGATGTGTCAATGTCCCACACCAACGGGATTCGTCAGAGTTCCGTGGCCCGCCGTTCGTTCGCATAATGCTGAAACCCCGCGGAAATGTCGAAACTCCAAATTGCGACGTACCTGATGATGAACCACTTCCAATAAACTGCGGGAAGGTATGGCGGAGATAGACAGAGCTGTGGGTTGATTCCGTACAGATTTGTTTAGCTCGTCAGGCTCAGTCGATAAGTCCTCTCACAATCGTCACCAGGTTTCGTTCATGGAAATATCGTCGTGGACAGACCATGTCCCTCTGCCAGGCTGCGGGGTATTGTCAAGTCAAGGGCTGCTTCGAGGCTGAGACTCAAAGGGTGCAAGTGAAAGTTCAGTGACACGTATTTCTGCTGCTCAGCCTGTTCAGGCCACAGGGACAGGAGACTGTAGGAGGACAATTGAGGGACATCCATGGTACAGGAAGTCGTCTGCTGGAGCATGCAACTGGCTGGCCGTCGGCGTTGAACGCAACAAGACACATTGGTCTGGGAGCAGTACGCCCTCCTGCCAATGCCACGAAGATTCTCACGCGGTCAAGGAGTCAAACCCTCTAAATTACCCGTATATCCATCGTGGGTTCTGCTACACGCTGAAATTGTCGAGTCCAGTGGTGGTTTGCGGCGAGCAGTCCAAGCCGTTCATACACCAGAACACCGTCCGAAAGAAGTTCCCGCAGAACCATAAAAGTTTGTTGGTGGACAATTCTGCCCCAATAGAGCACAAAAACCTTCTCAACGGCCGCAGCTTGCTGTGGTGTCATCACATAGTCAGGCATGAAGACTGGAGACTCCAAGTGAAGTTCCGAGTGCGTCAGTTTCATCTGTGGCCGGCTTCTTTCTGGCATAACCACATCAGACTTCATGGTCAGAGCCTTGCCGTTAAGCATAAGATAGCCTGATTTGATCTTGCCCGTACCGTCAGGTTTTGATGCTGAAACCGCGGCATCAGTGATTACGACATCGATGGTCGACCACTCAGCGCCGTAATCCATACGATTTTGACCATACTCGACCCTGCCGAACACGGACAACCATGACCAGCTTGGTGCAATATACTCCCTGGGTCTGCGGAACGTATTGGACAGCGACCAGACGAGCTGGTATGCCAATTTGTCTGACCACAGTCCTGCGAGGTATTTGCCTCCTCGGCCTGACTCCACCACTTCCTGGACGATCCCAGATAATGCGATTGCTCGGTCGGAGTCGTGAGTTAGGTCTAGGGAAGAATAGCGCTCAGTGACTCTCATCCAGGCAAAGGGCAAAGGATCCCCATTTTCGGTCAGCGAGCGATGGTGAGCGTCTTTGAAGCGGGCAATGACATTGGTTCCGCCGCATAAGCAGTCCGCACAGGCTTTACATTCCCAGAGAAGTTCGTCTCTGCCGTAGTAGACGCAACGTGGAGATAAGAGACGTTCTTGGAGCACCCAGCCGCGGCGAAGGAGTGGAGGCGAGGCGCGTGAAGTGGCGTAGTTGGCGCCGAAATCAAGATGAGTGAAGTGAGGTTGTTGCTGGACTTGGAGGCTTGGATGACCAGGCACATTGTGAGGAGGGTATCGCAAATCCGAACCCGTAGACCGGAAACAGCCGCCATTGGAGCTGTTCGAGTCCATTGCTGCAATGTTGAGATATGATTGCCCATAGATGGCGCACATCTTCTGTGACTGGTCGTTCCAATCCGGTTCGTTGCGTTGAATAATGCACAGAGAGTCAATCCACAAGTATTCAATGCCGAGCACTCGGCAGATTTCTATAGCATCCCGGGCAGTCTTTGGTATTTGAGACCAAGCGATGTCCTTGGTGAGGGATTCGAGGTTCGTCAATTTCAAGATGAAGTTCTCATCAAAGTTCCCCCAGCGGTGGGACAGAGTCGCATACCGGGCTTTTTCGTTCTCCTGGCTGAGGTATAGGTGCACTCGGTCGGGATGAAGCCTCAGAACGCGTTTTGGCAAGCTGGGAGGCTCAGGCGCCGAACACTGATGGAGATTATTGCATTCATCCAGCCACTGCTTCAGAAAACGGTAGCTCTCAGCAGAGTCTGTCCTGTCTATTGGTGCACATTTCAGCTTCCTCAAGGCCATACATGACTTTGGCTCAGGGGCGTTTGGGTGGACGAATAAGTTGAAATGCCTCCAAAGCTGCGAGCTGGAGCCGTAAGTATTGCCTGTTCTGATCACCACTCGGCCAGGTCTCTCGCCCGTGCGCATCAACTCAATCGGAATGCTCTCCTCTGCTATCGAAGCATTATTGCCTGGAATTGTGGTGTTCCGCCATACGTTTTTCACCGGCTCCACGGAGAGTGCGCTACAGATCGCAGAGCAGACGGAACAACCCCGTTGGGCATTTTGGACAAACTCGGACAGCTTGAAGTTGTTGCCTTGCTTATTTGAGTGCTGGTTTTGAGGACATGTTGCAGGGTTGCAATCCTCATGGAGAGAACGACAGGTGCAAGGTATATCACTAGCAGACTGCATTGGGTGAGGCATGAACGCGGGGGTAAGAGTATTGACTTACAAGGGCAATTGTATGAAGGGATTCAGCGCTCTTTTGAGTCCCGGATGGCTTCTCAGAGAGGCCAGTGTTCCAAAGTCCCTGTCGTGCAAATGCTCACTGCCTCTCACGCTTGGAGTCAGAGAGATGGCGCAGCGCCCTGCAGGTGCCTAGATGACACAACCCCTTGGTCTCGGCCCCAGGAACTATGTAGTAGGGCTCAATCGCGCAGGGCCGGCCCCCTTGGCGGACCGAGCCAGGTTTTACGGCTTTGGTATTGTGATGGACCAATCCAGCATGTCTTTTGCTGCCAGGGGCGAATTGCAGAGTACTTCTGGCCCGACCGCTGCCTGAAGAGGGTTGACGGCGATCTTGTCAGGGCAGGGCCTGCACTGGGCTGGGGGCCTCTGTGTGAGGAGATATTCTCGGCGTAAGGTGAGGGAGAGGGACAGGGCAGAGAAGACACATACGAGGTACACAAAAGAGTACCGAGTACCTCGTAGAGCTTCGACAAGGCTGCAAAGGAGCAGGAGATGGAATCCATGCATGTCTCCACCATTCGTGACAATACGAGGAAGAAGGAGTCGGAACGAGTTGACCGGCTGCGGCGGCCCCAGATTCCGCTCTCTGGAAACCCTGTAAGTAACGAACGCCCCAGCAAAAATGATCAAGTGCAGCCTGATGCAGCAGGCAACCCTTGTTCAACACCGCCCACTTGAGGTATTCACCTAGCGAATACGAGGTGAACGGCATAGACTCTCAAAAGCCAGCAGACCAGCGGTCCAATAATCGCTCAACAAACACTTGCGCCATTGATGATATCTGGGCTCGGTCAAGTGAGAGGCTCTCCAAATATTACACCCAGCAGTCAGTACCCCTCCGTTAGGTCAAATAGATAACCAAGATGTGAATTCCTCCACTTCGCCGCCTTGCATTCATAGTCCATGTACCAGACACATGCTCCAAAAAGAACAGAGCAAGGTTAACAACATCCAAGAAAACTCAAATCCTTTCCATCATCCGATCCTCAGGCTGGTCGCGCTGCCCGTGGCACTGCCCAGGCTGCCTCCACCATTTCGATCCTGGTATCCGCCGTTCATTTCGCCAACACCGTGGTGGGGCGATCCGACTATCTGGTACCCGCTGCCGGGAGCTGGAGTCCAGCTCCTCTCTGTGGCGGCCACTTGGGGTGGGTGTCGTCCGGCTGCAGTAGGCCATCTTTCAATGGTCTTCTCGTCGTCAACCACCACCACCATCCAGACGCCAATCTGACCTGACTGGCCCAGTAGCGGAGTGCAATGAATCCACTTGTTCTTGCCTTGGTCGTCGCCTTTAGTGACCCAGCGAACTTTGGCGGTCACGCCTCGTCCTTCGGCAAATGCAGTCGTCAATTCCTCACGGACTCGATTCGAACCGCCGATCTTGTTCAGGAAGGGTGACTGAAGAATTCCAGGTAATCGTTGTGACGGACTCGCAAAGAGGATGCGCAAAGAAGGATATGGCCGCACAAGGAGATACTGCGTGATCGGTCAATCATGGGCACACACCGGCGGCCTTTGTAGAAACTTACGTGCTGATATATGCCACTCAGTCTCCCATTTATACTGGCAACTGATGGCACCATGGTATCCGGGTCCTTGAGCAACAGCCGAGGTTGATGGTGAGACGAGACGCTCTCAATGTCATCCTCAACAATTTCGCGGTGCATCTTCCCTCCATGGCGCTTGATGGTATTCAACTCGCCTTGATTAAGCATCTCGCTCAGTTCCCGTAGCTCGTCGTTCTTCTCGGGGTTAGGCTTCTCGGGCAGCGGTGGATCCTCTCCCCGAGCACGCAGGTCCAACAGCTTTCGGAGAGATTCCATTTCTGAGCAGTCCTTGACAAGCCCACTCACGTCGACTTGAGCTCCGATATGATATCGAACGATGCCTCTACTGTCAGAAAGGGGAGCCATCATGAACAAATTCACAAATGGAGATCCGTCCCGTCGACTGCCCCTCGTCAGACTCTTCTGGAATCACGCGGGATGCATACTTACTAATTGAGAAGGACCTCTTGATGTTGCTTGCCTGCTTTGAGGGCTTCTCGGATCCTCCGCAGACTGTGCGGATTGGTCATGGGCCCTTGTAAAAACCTGCAATTCCTACCCAGAACATATGACATGCCGTACTGGGTCGTCCGATTGAATTCTGCTTCGTGTCAGCAACCCACAACGGACCATTGCACGGGTATGGGCAGGAGTACCTTCCGAGGCGAAGACAATCGGGTTGTCGTGCCTCGAGGGATCCGTCAAACAAAACACTTCTGCTAACCCATCTGAGGCTTCCCGGAGTTGCGGCGAGAGCGAACCCGTTATTCTGGCAGTAATGCTGTTACTCACGACTTGGATGTACTGATGTGTGATGAAAGCAGGCAGTTCCTCCATCGCAAGTATTTCAAAAGCCTTGTGCGCCCTCTCTTCCAATGCCGTATTGATGGTCGGCTTGACCGGTCTTTGTGTAAACTCATATCCTTCTATCGGGTCTAGACCCTCGCAGATGGCGTTGGCATAATTGATGGCCCGCAGTGATTTCAGAGAATCCAGATAGTGCACGAGCATAGGCACCGACTGGGGTCGGTACATTCCAAGGAAAGACGTGAATTTAAAGAGGTAACTGGGATCGGCAAAGATGACCTGTAGATGTCCCCTCGAGAAGAGGGCCTGTGTCTGCGTCTCCAGCGAGAAGATTTCGCCCTGGTCTAGGGGAGGAGGAGCGATAAGGTTGAAGGACGCCGGATCATCTTCGAGAATGGGCGCCAGGTTGTCACCATCTTCTATCTGCGCACTTGCTTGTAAACGAGGCAGCTCTTGTTCCCCACGCCGACCACCATTGACTTGACGTAGTTCATTTTCTTCGAGGGGTTCGCGTAACAGAGCATTGGTGGAGTAGGTCACAGGTAGCTCTTTGGCCTCGGAAGCAGCAGTCGGCGCGGTCGAGACTGGACGGTCAGTGGATTCGGGGGCGATGAGGGGGAGAGAGGTAGAGCCAGGTCTTTCTGCGCTGAGGGAGGAGGTGGCAATCATATCCAACTTGGCGATCAATGGGGGGACAGTGGAATCACCAAGGTTGATTGCTCTGGGTCTTTCTGAGACCGTGGACGAGATGAGAGGAGGGCCTGATCGATGGAGCAGGGAGAAACCGCGGGTTTATGTGATTTCTGACTGGCATCGGCTGGGGAAAAAAAGGCTCGGCCACGCTTGTTGTTATGTAGTTGGGACCTCGAGGGTGAAACAGATTGCGGTGAACGACTTAGACGTGACAAAGATCGCGAGGCATAGGACAAATCATGCTCGTACTGGTGGTTTCTTGGGGATCGCCTGCACTGGCGTCCGGCTAAGCCACTGTGCGAAGAGGAGATAGCGAAACCACAGACGTCAATATGTGGTGGAGGAAGATCGAATGGAGCATGGGCGTCCCTCAGTTGGGATCTTCTCATGCAGGTACGGAGCGATGATCTTCCACTGGGGCCGCATTGGCACCACAACGGCACCAGCGCCAGTATAACACCAGCATCAGCATCAGGACCACAGCGGGCCTGAAACATCTATCGAGGAGCTCCAAATTATGGGGGAAAGGGTTTCCTGGTGTGTCTCTGAGTGCCAGCTGCTGGTCCTAGCGTTCTTCTGACTTGTCCCAATTCCCCGTCGATGCCAACCGCAGACTACGAGTACGACGACTACCTTGCACGAATACGAGGACCCAGTACCTCCAGAGATCCACGCCATGTTCGCGCTATGTTCCCGCCACCCATTCCAAGCAGTGGGCTGTTCTCTGTCCAGAGTGGTGCGTCCAGCCGCAACAACAGCGTCGATGGTAAGGAGTCCTTTAATGCGCTGTTCATCTGTAGCAGCCTCGTCTCACATTTCCAGGCTTTAATTTTACCACTTGCCCCCAGGGTCAATGGTGTGCGCTTGTCGGTGAATCCCCGAATCCCCGGATGACAGGATCAATAAACTCTGGCCAATCCATCGTGCAGATCCCCGATTTACGCCTCCACAATCATAACCACAACGACAACCACCGCGCCTCGACCTTTAAGATATCTCAGGGAACCCTATCTTTCTCAGCGGGGGAGGCCGTGAGACGGGCTAAAGGAAATCAGCCTTACACCATAACTATCAGATCTCTGAGAACACACGTGCGATCTCATTGGATGTCCCGACACAGTAACAATTTGCTTCTCGCTAACTGCTGATCTTTGGCTGATGAGCAAAGTCAGCCTGTCTTTATACTCTGCACTAGAAAATGGCAGAAGCCGCTCCAGTTCTTCCATGCTACATCGACAAGGTTGTTGAGTTTCCGGATGGAACTGCTTTTGAGCTGCTGAAACCCTTGGCAACTTATCGCTCTTGTCACGATGGCACCCCCGCTGAGGCGCGTGTAGTCCTCACATGTCGCCCCTGCAGCGGAGACTGTTCGCCAGTGGACGAATATGTCATGAAGATCAAGATCCAGTATGTCTTCAAGTCCTACCGAACCGATTGAGACCATAAGGCTGACTTCAGACATCGAGAATACCGGGGGGAGAACGACGACCGAGTAACAACCCTGAACTTGGGCCTAGTACGACGACAGCACATGAACTCCAAGCGCTGGAAAAGTTCCGAGATACCGATAGCGCATGTACGCCGGTGTTAGTCAACTTCAAGAAGGCAGTCCAGCCTGTCGAGGGGCCATTGCCGGGGGGATATCTCACGTTCCTTGTCATGACAAAGATGCCCGGCGATTCACTCTTCAATATGTACTACTGGGGAATGGCGACCGAGGAACGACATGACATTACTCAGAAGTTCCTCGTCGCTCTCAGGTAGGCCATGCATCCCTTATGCACACACAGAAGCCACCACTCCTATTGCATCCTAGATGTGGTCCCCACCATGCTGATGGTCGACAGGTGGATCTACGCTCAAGGCATCGAACCCGTAGACTGCGGACTGCGGAACATTCTATGGGACCCAGAGACGAAGAAATGCAGCATCATCGACTTCGAGCTCTGGCGTGGAACGGAGACATTGGTGGGTGACGAAGCAAAAGAACTACAGAGATGGGGCCTTGCTCGCCAGCCCGCTGCTAAGAACCACTGGGAGGCTTGGAATCAGATGTTTCGATAGACAGGGGTTTTTGTTCCAGACAAGTTTGGCTCTTCGATAGAGTTTGGGAGATTTAAGACAATACATGGCTGTGGCTTGGGTTCTGAGACAGGACAGACACGATAAGATGAGCGGAACCAGATTGATGACAAACAGATCACCAAAGAACATTTGCGCTGCGGTCCAAACTAGGTAGTTACAACCCAATACCTATGTCCGTGGCAGCCTCATTTACCTGACTTGTTTGCCATCTCCATGTCGTTCCTTGAAAACTCCGGGAGCTCATGATCCCCAGGAAGTTCCAGCTCCGGAAACTCTACATACTGTGGCCTAATGTCGGCAACTTGCCAACAACACTTGGTCAAAGAAATCCAATTTGATTGGCGTAGAGTGTGAAGCCGGATGAACGCCCGACACAGTGTTTTGTTTCTATAATTGGTGACGTCATGGCCCATGTCACCGCCACCACCACCACCGCGTCGAGGGTGGCAGTGCGCGACAATGAACAATGGACAATGACAATCCCGTAAACAAGACACGACATTTACATTTGCCCTTTGAGTGCCTACTCGTCGTGGTCTGTTGAGGTGCTCCACTAACTACGATGGGACCCGGAATTGACATTGACCTGGAGGCTGCGCGCCTGGCAAACATGCAGGAGAAGCAGAAACTGCTCGAGTCGCTCAACCTGCTGCCCTCGAATGTAAGGACGGGACAAAAGCGTGCAGCAGCGGCAGGGGAGGAAAGGACGCGACCAGCACAGAGGCAGAGAGGAGCCACCAGTCCCAATCCCGGCCCAAGCCCAGGACTCCTGAGGACGGCGTCCAGGGCTTCTGCGCGCATCGCGGCCGCGGCGGCGGGAGGCCGTTTGTCTTACCGCGAGGACGAGGATACCAACGACGCTGTCGTTGACAGGGATACTGCAGTGGGAGACGATGATGACCATGGGAATGGCTCATGGCGACGATCGAGGAATGGACGAGGCACTCGTAGCGCCCGGCGCTCTGGTCATCATGACCATCTTCAAAGGACTCCCCTTGCCGCAAACTCGTCTTCTTTAACCTTGAACACCCTCTCGTCGTCTCTATCTCTACCCACCACCCTCCCCTCTCTACTACAGCACTACAACTTATGGACCCCGTCGTCACCTCTTCCAACGCAGGACCCTGAAACAGACAACTACCACTTCGTCTCACACCCGGCCTTCCGACCGAACAAGTCCCCGTTGTCCATCCTGCTCGAAGGCGCCTTCGGCGGCGGCTTCTTCTCGCCCTGGCCTAGCCGCACGCTGGGCGTGACCCTCGTGGACGACCACCTGTCGACGCTGCCGGGACCGTGGCTCGCGCAACTCCACCCGGCGGAGAAATACCTCACCTCTCCGAGCTACGACGCCGAGCTGAACCGCCATGGCCGGGCGTGCGGGCAGACGCTCGCGCAGTGGGAAGACGCCGGGTGGATCAATTTCCGGCACGACGCGCGCGGCTGGTTCGAGTGGTACATCCGGTTCTGGCTCGGGCGGCGGCTCGACGACGGCGAGGACGAGAGGCAGGTCGGTCGATGGTTGAGGTGTGTCGGCCCCAAGGGCCGGTGGAAGAGGATGCTGCTGAAGAAGTACGTCGAGATGGGCGTGCGCAGTGTCTTTGACGACGACGATGACGACGATGGTGACGCCCAAACCGAACGCAAAGTCAGTCCGGTCATACATCAGACCTGTCTACAGTGGGGGTATCAAGTCACACAAGCGGATTTGGACGACGCATGGGGAGAGACGAGGTGAGCTGCAGCTGGACCTGGATGGACCCTATCGCTGGATAGTCCCTCGAATCCATTCAAAGACTCCCTCTCACCAAATCATTACCCTTCCTTCCCTTTGAGACGAATCTAGAAATCGAGAGAATCAACCTTTTGATTTTTGGCATTGCTTTTCGCTATATGTATTTCGAGAAAACGCACGCACGCACGCGAGGGGGGATGCTTTCCTGCTCTCACGCCTTTTCACCGAAAAAATAGAACAACTATCCTGGATGCATGTGTAGCGGAGACCTCACAGAGTCACAAATAACCCGCTCTGTCTCTCTCGCCTCGCCCAAGGGTATCGAAATCGAAAAATCCCAAACACACAAACAATGCTCGCGATGATTAACTCGTAGGTATGTAGGTGGATCCCACACGTAGCCTCGCCTTGCCTACAAGGCACAAGGCACCCAAAAGGACCAAGGGTCATGCACGGTCTTTTTGTGGGGTGAAAACAAAAATGAGATTCGTGGTCATTATTATATCCCTCCTCTTCCTTGTAAGAAATGCCATCCAACATGCGTGTGATGCGACGCCTGCCCTCGTATTATCAAGTGACGCAGTTGCAGGTCGGAGATGTGGCTGTGAATGAGGTCCGGTGGTTGTCTATAGTAGATGTAGGAAAATCGTCAGCTTTCTCTTTGGCGGTTCGCGTCCGTTTCAGGTTTTACGCAGCAATCGCCGTCGGACCGGGCGCAGTCATTGGTCTTTGTGCCAAGATCATGTCCCAGGTTTGTGTATTAAAGTGAACATACGGCAATTCGAGGTCTGAATCGTACCGGTCACTGTTGATGATGTTGATACGAGGAACTGTGCCTCGAAGAACGAGTGACTGCGGTCGCCGTCTGGTTGTGGTGCAAGCCAAGTCGTCTTTGATGCCGTCTCGACGTTTGATGAGACTGGTAGAGCTCAGAATCTCTTCGAGCGTGCATGCCGCACTGCCCGTCGATGTGACGGGCGCAACATCACCGTCCTCGTTGCCGTGGGAGGAGTCACTGCTGACCGAAGAATTGGAGGACTCGCGAGACATGCTCGGAGGTGTTGTACCTGAGGTTTCCGATGGTGGTAGCGGAGGTAATTCCTCGGTGTTGTCAGCTGCCATTTCATGGACGATGTCGCCCTGAAGCTCGTGTGGTTCTTGCTGATCCTCTTGAATGACCGACTCGGGTTCGGCGGTCAGCTCCGCTAGCGTAGAGGAAGCGACATCACGAGCAACTTCATTTAGACCATTTCCGTAGCCTTCAACGTATATCTCGCAGAATGAAGGGCGCTTAGGAGGCATCTCGTCCCTGTTGGTCTGACCTCCACGAGAGATTAATCTTCGGAGTGAGGCGGAGCGGGAGGCGGGCGGAGTTCTGGTTGACAGGGAGGCCATCAGAGACCCAGGGAGGTTCGCAGGGAGTGTGCGCCGACGTAGCTTCGCCGATCTTCCTCTTGTCAGTGTCTCGCCGAGCGAAGAAGACGATGCATTGGTGTGTGAATAGCCATTGTCGGGAGCCAGCTGAGACTTCTTCTTATTCAAAGTACGGACTTGAGGTAATGGTGTTTCTTGCCACGGCTTCTGTTTTGGAGGCTGACAGCAGAGGGAATATGTTAGATTAGAGGTGTTGCGTACTTCCTTCGGGGGCTGGGCGATCGAATGGAAAGTTTGGAGGACAGCATAGACCAGGATCCATCTCACTTTGCGGCCCTCTATAGCAGAGAGCCCTTCAAGATCATCATCAACGGTCATCTCCTCGAACTCAGAGTACTTACGGACCAAGGGACAGTCCATGACCAATAGATCTCGATTGGAGGCACCAATCAACGCGCGTTTGTCATGCGCCTTTCGTTTCTCCTTGAGCGCCTTACGTTTTTGGATTGGATTCCAAGACAGTCTTCGCTGAAGCTTAGGGCGTGGACTCGAGCTAGCCTCCAATGGCTCAGGTAGGAGAGGTAGTGGTTGAGTAAGGGGTTCGTAAGAGTGCTTCTTGTCAAAAGCTTGGATGTTCTGAAGAGTACACACACCACCAGTCTTTGAGATGTCGTTCTCTACCATATCCGCTGTGGACTCAGGGTCGACTAGGTGCTGATAGAGGTTCTTGAAATCCGAGAACATGGTTGAGTATATGGTTTGCTGAATGACCTCTTCTTCGAAACGCTTAGGAGGCCAAGAGCCATAGCGATCCTGGTAGAGTGACTTGAGGAATGCGCGGAATTTATTGAGGTGATCTCGCGCTGGTTGTGGTAGACCGAGGAAGCTTCCCGAGACGTCGTTTTCAAAGAAGGTCACGACGGACTTGTTGACCCTGTCCAGTCGAATGTCCATCTCCAGTCTCGCGCGATTGACGAGCGTCTTGGACTTTGCGCTCAAGCCCTAATCTTTGGTTAGTTTCGACCGTAGGCAGAAAGAAGGCCAAAAAAGGAGGTTGACTCACTGCATACTCGATGCTTGAGCGAAGGCCACGGTGACTCATTCCCACACAATGGGCAAATGCATCGACCCAAAGATCTTCAACCTGAAGAGCTTCGGCCAACGAAAGAGCTGCCAGAGCATGATCAACACACTCCCGGAAGTCCAGATACCTTTGATTCTCGGCGAACGACAGCACTTCGACCTTGTTCTGGGAGCTGTCGTCAGGCCGATAGACATCGACCCTCTTCTTCAGCGCAGCCAAAGCGGACCCCAGTGTGCGGCCAGCCAGTGGTCGGTTGTAGAGCCATGCGAAGAAATTCCGTGTCGTAATATGATGGTTGAAGATATCCTCAAGGCTTGCCCCATGAGGTGCCGGGATATACAGTTCGTGTAACGACTCCTGCGGGTCGCACCCTGCACAATTGGGCAGGACACATTGCACTGCCGCATGAATCGAGTTCCTCATCACACAGCGGTCTACCAGAGATTCGAACCCTCTGACTTTGAGGAACGCAGTATGCACTCGAAAGGCAGGCCCCCGACTGGACTGGCCCTGTTCGCGCAAGTAGACAAGACAGTCGCCTGTTGGCCAGCATAGCTCAGGCTCCTAACAGAGTTGACGTATGAGTGTCTCGAGCGAGAGGAGGTCATTAGACTGAGCACATACATGAAAAAGATTGACCCAGTCTGTTGTGACTCGAGCTCGTCCATCCCATCGTCTCAGCCCTGCTGAGCGAATATCATCGCGCGTCACGCGACCCTGAATGCGTCTCATGGTTGGGAGGAGGATAAAAGCGAAAAGCGGATTAGAGCTATAAGGCCGAGGTGCAATCGTCTCTATGTGTCATCCCTGGCAAATGTATAGGGATAAAAAGGGGGTAGTATTTACAAGTGAGGTGAGGAGGAGAAAAGAGTAGGTAAGGATAAAAGATATCTTTCAATTCCGATAGCGTTGCTCCAGAGCAACACGTAAAAAAGTAGCTTGGCGGTGAGGACGAGTCTCGATTCAATGACCAGCTCTGGTATGGGGGAAGAGACTCGACATTCAATTGCGCATGAGGCTTGCTCTGCAGCAGCTGGGAGTTTGACAGTAAAGGGTAATGAGCGACGGGGGGCGGGGGTTGGACGGCGACAGGGCGACCAAGGACAGACGAGGAGGAGACGGGATAAGGAAATCCCCAATAAGCTTGTTCATGGGACGTTGGAGAGCTTGAGCAAGAACACGGTCCAAGCTCTCAGTTTGTGTTTCTGAAGGGTTAGAGGGTTAGCAAAAGGTCAAGTACGTAGTGGTGGTGGTGGTTGTTTTGGTGGTTTTTTTGGGCATTGAGCCTTTAGCTACTCGTACAGAGCTATGATGTGAAAGGTGGAGTTTTAGGCTTGTCCGGCTTGTCGTTTTGGCGAGCCACTGAGGCGCCAGTGCCTGTCGGAGCTCTAGTAGACGCTATGCCCGGGGGGTGCTTGGGGTGCTCTTGGTGGGGGGCCAGGTAAGGGAGGCTCTGACGTGAAGATGCCTCCACTTTTGAATCGGGGGTCGCGATCGTCCCGAGCTCAAAGTCCGTCCAGTGTAGATCCGACCTGTGTTTGCAGTTAGAGGCGCCTGGTGGCACTTGGTGGCACCCATGGGTTCGTTAGGCTTCCCTCCCAGTTATCCCTGCTAGCCAACCAGCTCAACAATTGCCTTGCATTGGCCTCGTGCGTCTCGCCAAAAGAGTCCGACCAACAGGGACCTTCCCAAGTTCAAATTCAAGGACTGGGTTCCACGAGCCCCGGCGCCATCTTTCCCCCCCTCCAATGTACCACCTGTACCAATCAGTGCCTGGCTGAGTGACATCCAGGGTATGTATCTCACTGCAATGCAGCAAGGATAGCCTCTGTAACCTCCTAACACACACATGTACCGACTCGCTCGTCCGACAAACTGCACCCATTTACCGCCCTTCATGAACTTGTCTTTTTGGTCTCTCGCTTCCTATCTTGGATCCCCGGCCAGCAAGCAGACGCTCGAAAAGGGTTCAATCTCTTTACAGTGAGGCCGATGTGCCGACCTTTGGCGAATTCCAGATTAGTTCTCTCGCTTCGTCCCCCCAAGCGACCAGCGCATCACTTCCCATTTAGGCCCTCTCGGCTCTCTTCGACCTAGAAGAGCGCAACAATTGCCACCTCACCGGGTCAGTGGTCATCCCTTCCGTCTCGGACAACGATCAGCGTCCAACCTCTCCTCTCTCGTCCTAAGTCCTCCCCTTCCATCGCTTGTCGCCTCGTGTTCGTCCTAAGCAACAGTTCCCGAGACCCGGCACACAGGTAACAGTTGCACCGTCTCTCGCGTGCTGGTGCCCGATTGGAGCGATGGATAGGAAATGTAAAGGCGAGCCGACAGTTACAAAAGCATAATTATAGTTGGTGACTTTGCTCCCCCGCATCGAGGAGGGAGAAAAAAAATCCAATAATGTCCGCCCGTGCTGCAGGGTACGAGAGTCAGATGCTACATGGGATGATGCGAATAGCAAAATGCAGTGCAGTTTGGACCCTGTTCATCCCCCTTTTCGGCCACTTCTGTCTCTACCACCAGTTCGTGCTTTCTCCGTTGGGTGCTCGCTACATGATCCTTGCAAATCGACCAGGACGGGGGTGTGGTGCGACATCCTCGTAATCGTAGACGAGGTGGCCGGGCCTCTCCCAGTCCCCTGTACCCTACTCGGTACAATTTCAGAGTAACCAGAAGCGCCCGAGCCTATCCCAATGTCCTGAAACTTATCACCTGGGCCCCACCGCTTCGGACCACGGAATTGCTCGCAGTGCTCGTAATAGCTACTCGCTACCTACTGTCAAGTACACGTTGCTGGCCCCGTACGGCGACTGGCACCAGTAGTGTTTTGTGATGTTATGTCAAACGTGCCCGGCAAGATTGGAGCAGGTGAGCTGTCGGATTTAGCTGTGTTGTTAGAGCGACACAAGTACGTAAAGACAAGGGGAAGGATGGATGCTGAGCTCGATACGCAACATTGTGGCCGCGATCTTCGAGTCTGCATCGGTGCCTGGACGCGCTGACTGGCGTGACTGGCTGACAGAGAGAGTGCAGAAAGATTAGCATTGTTTAATGTTGTTTTTTTCAGGAGCAACACAGGAGAATTGCGCCTAAGTGTCGCCTTAGCACGACATGCCCTCTGCTTGTCTGGTCAAAACGGGCTCAGATAAACCGGGGTCCTCCTATATCATTGGAAGGCAAGCTCAGCTAACCCCTGCCATCGACACGGCGGTCAACGGTCGCCACCACTGCCGGAGCATTTTCTGTGTCGAGCCAAGCTGCAGCTCGTGCTCTAAAGGACAGCAGAAATAGGCAAGGCAAGTGTCGATCAGCCCATGGTGTCTAGACAAGCACACAAGTCGAGTCAAGGGCCACATGCAGATTTACATTTTGGGAGCTCTTGGGAGATGCCGTGTTGCTGGAAAAGCCTCAGCATCAGGAACGAGGCTTGCATTAGGCTGCGACACTTGTTCGCTGTCCCTGTCTTCGGGATTCATGTGGCGCCATCTTTAAAGCCCGAGAAATCACTTCAGCCCTAGAATCTTTTTTCTAGATTCGGGAAGCTCGCCGACCAGGGAGGCTGTGAAGCTGCCAAAGTCGGTAGCCTGATGCGCCCGAAACGGACGGCTGAGAGCCCCAAGACACTTATGATTATTGCTATGCCATCTCAGATTTCGATGAGCACTCGAACCTCACCATCCATCCAGTCAACAACCCCAGCGCTCAACAGCGCAACCATCCACTCTCCGTCTTCTTCCACCGTTACCAGACCATCGGTGAGCCACACCTTGACGATTGGACGGCCTTGCACTCCAGGAGCGCCTCCCGTTCTTGCTGGGAGAGTGTACCGTTTCTCCACCTCGGCGAGCAAAGCTGACAGGCTAGGAGCTGCTTCTGGCGTCAAGCTAAACCGTGGTATCACTCGTCTCAGTGCTCCGCCAGTATTTGACACCACGTTGACATGGAGGACGATTGATTGCTTGAAGGTGGTTGTGGGCTGTGACACATGTGGTGGCAAGCTTGGGATATCTTGGTGCACTGGTATGGACGGTTGGACCCCAATCTCTTGGTCCGAGTAGCTCGTCTCAGGAGCCTTGACGCCGGACATGATGGACTCGTCCACAGGTGCTGGTGACTGCTCCTCACCTGATTCTTTCGCCGATCCTTGTTTCCTGGTGGCAGCAGCATAGATCCGTTGACGTTCGTTGGTGACCATCTTCCTCATTAATGGCATCATTAGTTTTATGATGGTCTGGCTGTCCCGAGGCCAGAATATGCTTCTTTGAGGTGCTCCAGGAATACCCTCACCCGCTCCTTGGGCGAAAAACTTGTCCCCATAGCCATGGACGGAGAGGAATTCCTCAACACAGTTCCACAAGTTTAACTTGGCCAAATCAGAGCCTCCTGCGTTTTTCTTGGGTCCTACGACTTCCCTCCGCTCCGGGTGCGCCTCGTCCAGCATGAATGCCTTGGCAGCAGTCTGAAGCCGCAAGAAATTCTCGGGGGCAAGCTCCAAAGATGCAAAGACCTTTCCCAGCGGTGGCCTACTGTGTTTCCTACTCTTCGACGAAGGTTCTCGGAACAAGACAGATGCAGAACTTTGGAGGTGCGGAGGACTCGATGCAGCGGGATCAGGCGCATCTCCAGCGCCGTCTTCGTCTAATCTAGGGACATCTTCAAGGACATGGTCATCTCGTTTGCGCTTTCCTAGCGACGACGGATCGCGAGTCTGTTCGTCGGCCGCTGCAGTTGCTGCTTGAACAAGGCCAGCAAATTGAATGTCATCGGGATAGTCTGAGGCGTCTGCCATGAGCCAGACCTTCCAAAGCAGCTCCTGGCTGCTGAGCCGGGGCCTGCCGGCCTGCTGCAGGTCAGTGCGTAGGTCCGAGATGCAATAGAAGATATTGTGAGGTGGTGAGTCTGATCACAATGGGGTAGACCGCAGCAGGGATGTTTGTGCTGTTTGACACATGTTGAAAGCAAACAAATTCGCCCAGCAAAATGCGGAGGCACGGGACTTCGGGAGCACGGGAGGTGAGATCAGCGTGTGTTGGTAATATGCTTTACACTAGAGACATCGACTGGCTTGACTGGTCGAGATGGTGCCAAGCCCGGTAAAGCCCCCTCCGGTTTCGCTGATCGATGACAACAACATCAACCTCCCCTGATCTATTGTTTCGTGTTTCACTGACTGCTATACACGCATCTCGCTATGTATGTGTAAGGGATGGGAGGTTTGTCTTTGATTCATTCATCGTCTTGAAGGTCACTCCGGCGGTGGAATTCTCGGCCCCTTCAAAAATGTTCACAGCTACTAAGCTCCAAGTAGCGACGTACCTACTTGGCGTCTGTCCCTTTTCCATAGCGTTTCTTGTCTTTCTCAATTCCTCGGTCTCTTTTGTCATTACAGACCTTATCGGCAAGGAGGATGGTGTTGGTGATGCTGTTGGTACCCTGGGGTTTGCTGATGAACTGGTGGCATTGGTAGCATGTCCTCTATGGGGTTTGCTCTCTGATCGAATGGGCCTACGCTTTGTATGACCCTCTTTGGCACTTGTCCAAGCCGCAATACTGATTCTTGACAGGTCTGCGTCGCAGGCTACTTGGTCATTTGCCTAGCCCTGGTGTTATTCGTCCAAGCTAAAAATGTCTATCCTCAGCTGCTGCTGGCTAGGTTGTTCTTCAGTGTTGGGGGTGCTGCGGCCTCTACTATGGTTACGGCTATTCTACCTGCTGTTGCGGCACCGACTACAGGTGCCCCAGCTGAAAGTCAGCGCGCGGGTGCCGCTGCTGGGGCAAATGGTCATGCTTCCAGACCATCAATTGAGTCGGAAGTGACGATCACACCCGCTAGATTTGTATCAAGATCCTCGCAACACAACACCAAAGCTGATTCGATAGCCACTAACTCAGACATCGCTGGGTCAACGAGTCGAGTTGCCGGGTTTGTGGGCATGTTTACTGGCTGCGGTGCCTTGATCGCACTGACCATTTTCCTACCGCTTCCTGCTAAGTTCCAGTACGCAGGTGTGGGAGAGAAAGCTGCTCTCAAAGACAGTTTTTACATTGTGGCTGCCGTGGCCTTTCTACTGGCTGTCTGGTGCTTGTTTGGTCTTCGACGTCTGCAGAGTGATACTGAAGACTATCGCTTGCAGACTCACGCCTCTCAGGGTACCCAAGAGGGTTCACGCCTCACCAACGGACTCGTTCAAATGTCGAATAACTTTCAAACAGCTATCATGGCAGGATTTAGACGCTCCGAGATAGGCATTGGATACCTTGGAGGTTTCGTGGCCCGCGCTTCCTCTGTCGGCATTTCTCTTTTCATTCCCCTTCTCGTCAACGCAACGTTTCTGTCATCCGGCCTTTGTGTGGACCCTGCCTCCAACGATGATCCAACTGGTCTCCCAGACATCAAGAGAAAGTGTCCTCGAGCTTACGTCGTTGCGGCAGAGCTCACGGGCGTGACGGAGCTAGTGGCACTTGTCTTTGCTCCTGTATTTGGCTACTGGGCAGCCAAATCAACGAGGAGAGAAATTCCACTACTTGTGGCTTCAATGGCAGGAATTATCGGGTATCCTTTATTCGCCAACGAATTCGACCCTGACGACAGAAACATATCGCAGCGGGCAGCAGCATTCTTCGCTGCTTGCCTCATCGGGATCAGCCAGATTGGCGCAATCGTCTGCAGCTTAGGCACACTGAGCAAAGGTATACTACACAAAGAAGCAGATGGTCCCCCCAACGCCTTGGTGCACGACCGTCAAGGAGCTGACGCCCACCCTAGCGAGGAGTCCCCCCTCCTGACAGCCACACAACAAGGAGCTGGAGAAGTCCCGTTATCAACCTTGAAGGGCTCTGTGGCCGGTGTATATTCGCTTTACGGAGGTGCCGCAATCCTGATACTCACCAAAATCGGGGGTTTGATGTTCGATAAAGTGTCTTTGGGGGCCCCGTTCTATATTATGGCAATTTTCAACGCAATTCTCATGGTGGCCTGTTCGATCTCAAGCCTCTGGATTACCAAAGAACCCGCCGTACAACGAGACTCCGGGGCAGCACGCGGTATCGAATCATGAAAATTCCGAATATTACGCAAGAGAGATCAGCTCGAAGAATATACAGGTGCCGAGACATCAAGTTTGGTCGAAACAACGCCGACTACGGGTATCTTGCGGTCTTTCCTCTTTCTCCAGCAGTCTCCGAACTGCTGTGGACCTCCCTGGAGTTCTTTGCTGGCGTCACCAATTTTCTCTCGAAATCAATGCATCTCCCTGCATTGCCAAGTCATGTTCACGCCACGATATATACACAACATCGCGGACAACCCATCTGGTATCACTCTTCGAAGCTCAGGACGACGATCACTGATGTCGTCAACGATACAACCGTACCGAGACCACGCAGGAATCGGGAACGGAACAGATCTTCAACTAGATGCTGGCGAACATTAGCCACGAGCATGGCGCCACGCCATTGCGCAAACTCCATCAGTCAGAGGCAACTCTCGGGCAGTCATATCGAATCTGACCGCTTCATCGGTGCAGAACCCCAACACTTGCAAAGTCTTCGACGCGTCTGCTGCCGAAGCTGGCGACACAGTGTCGCTATGCATATTTAGCTTTGAAATACAAGCATACTATCTTGCTGGCTATGTCTTCAACGCTTTACGACTGATGAGGCTCATGTAGGAGGTCTTTGTGCTGGATAACGGCGAACGATAAATTGTACCTTTATAGCTACATTACAACAATGACCTGCGAATCTTGTATTCTCGGAGTTGGGTAACATGGCCGACTGCTCAGGACGAACTCCATCACCTTCGCTTCAGGCCGATATAGAAAGCGTGGATATCAAGTTGCACAAATGTCCCTTTGAGTCGCTATGTATAAGAGAAACAGTGTGACGTCTCTGTAGATATCATAGATTTGCCCATTTAACTATGTACATGTCCAATAGTTCGCGGGGTCTGTCAAACTACCCTTTGTAGAAGCTGGCGAGGCTGTCGAGGCGAGGCTGAGATGAAGGTGCCAAGCCCTGCCGAGGTTCGTCTCATCTGTGTTCCACTCCCAATCCTTCTCATCCCCCCCTTCGGATTCGATGCTAGCGTCACATTGCTTGGGATGTGTGCTGATTCCTGACCTGTTCTAAACTCCTTCTGGCTATCCCGTACTTCCTCCGAGACGATGCGTTCTGTCCTCAAATCAATTCAACTTGAGACGTCGAGTTCTTTCGTTCCAGAGTGAATAGCAAGCTTGCAGCATGCCTAGTATCCCGCAATGGTGACGGGTGCCCTCATGCCGACACATTCCTCCTCCCACCTCCTAAGCATACCCCTGATATAATCGTGTCAACCAAGCAGCCTAGCTTTCAGTACCTTGTCGTACCGGGTCTGCAGCTCAGAAATGACCGAGTCGACGGGCTGATCCGCGGACCAGAACCGAACAGGCAATATTCGTGTCGCCGCCACATGCAGGATGACTTCCTCCACAGAAGGATATGTGCGTTTGCCGTCTTTCGATTTCAGTTCGGTCTGGGAGTGGGCGGCCACCACCACTTGACCATCGGGGTACCCAGCTGACGCCATGATGGTCTCAAATCGAGCGGCTGCCTCTCGCCCCGAGGGAGTAACAAAGGGTCCATCGGCCGACTCGCTACAAAGCAAGTAGTGCAGCTTGAGCACAGCGCGATGAAGCCAGTCCTGTTGCTCTGGAGTGCCTCTTGGTGGAGCTCCTGTGCGACCTTTTTCCTGCTCCATTATCGTTTTGGCCATGCGGATAATGCAGATCGACAGCTGGGTATCAACAGACCTTCCACATTGCCAGTCGTCAAAGCAAATATCCTCCATAATAGCTCGCCATGCGAACGTCATTGACACCTTGCGTCCCCACTGTCGAAATCGGTCGAGTTTAAGGTCGTGCACCACGCTGCTGGAGTATCCGACCTTGCGAAAGATGAAGGACAGGTCGCTGTAGATCTCCTGTTCTTGTTGCTCGTCGATGTTGGCCACAAACATGGCAAGGCACGAGTCTCTCGTAATCGCGAAGGTGTCAGGTGCACAAACCTCCTTGCCGAAGAGAGGCTGGAATTGGCCAATATCAATCCAGGTAAGACGCCTCCCTTTGCCATCAGGCAGTAGGCTGCACATTATATTGCCCAAATTGGGATCTCGGCTTTGAACGCCAACACTGAGGGGAAACCGAAGGAGTATGTTGACGTCCTCAAAGAACTGCCTGGCCGACTCTCTGCCAGTTGGAACCAATCCTCGAACTCTGGCCGGCTGCTCTTTGAAGTCCTCCGGGGACAACATACAAAGCTCTCGGAGCTCCAACATTGTTTGTCCATCCACCATGTCCATGACAATGGCTCCGAAGCCCATGGTTGTCGCAAGCGCACTTAGCTCGTCGTCATCCAAAGAGCTGACCGGCATTTTGGGCCGAATGTTAAGGACTTCCTTAAGTTGCACAACTGGTGCATCGGGGAACCGGCTGAGGTAACTGTGCATCTGTTCTTCGTGTCGGAACATTTGCTGTGACATGAGCCAGACGAACAACTCCCGATCGATGTCCAAGGGGCGAGTAGCGAGGATGCCATCAGCAAGGAAGGCCTGCAACACATAGTCTTCTGCAAGTGCTTGGCTGTAGAGGTCGCCGAACACGCACGGTGGTGCTAACTCGTCGAGAATCTCCTGGGTTGTCTCGGACAGGCATCGTGGGGGGTTGAAAGGCTCGGTCATTTCGTCTTCGAATGCTGCTTGTTCGCCTCTGTGGGCGGACTCTGCGATCTCCTTGAGCATGTCTTCGTCGAACTCGGAGACGCCAAATTCTTGACGCAGCCGGGTCGAATAGCGCGGATCAAAGATCTTGACGACAAAAGGACCATCATAACGCGGCCGCGGTGAGTCTTGCCCTTCCGACACGCACTCGGCGAGAAAGACGCAGGCCATCGAGAATCCCTCGCCATTGTCTCCTCCAAGGCTTCTCTTCAATCTGATGTCGAACGGCCGCCCAAAATCGTCGACAAGGGTGTGGACTGTGCCGTCTGCATACTCATGTGGCAGCTTTTTCTGCATTGCTGGCTTTCCCGACGTCGACTTTTCCTGTGTTGACACGCTGTATTCTGGCTCGATGACCGTCATGGTGATGTGTTGGTTGCGAATCCGTGAATTGTGTGGTGTTGTGGATTGTGGGATTGTGATGTATGAGGAGGGAAATTGTCAACTGTCCGGACTAGTGAGTCGACAAGAACGGAGTATGTGGATCTGGACTGGATGTTTCTCGACTAACAGTGAATTTCCGAGTCGTGTGTGACCGTATTTCTTTGTTGTCGTCGTTGTGGTTGTTTCTTGAGACTGAGTCAACTCTTCACTTGGTGTACGTTTGTGCATGTCACTAATGTCTTCAGCGAGTGGCAAGGTAAGGTACTGCGCTTTTATAAATGTCTCTACAGGAGAAAAGGAGGACCTCAACAGTCCTTCCTTTTTTGGACCAGACTCTGGCTAAGGGCCTGAGCCAGAATCTGGGATTTGGGTGGGCAGTATTTACCTATTTATCTTTACCTTTGTCTGGTTCTTTCTTGTACCAACCTTGGAACACAACACCAACACCAGAACCAACACCAACATCAACGCCAACTCAACTCGGGCGCAGCCTACCTACCTACCTACCCACCCACAACCAACCAACCAACCATGATGATGATTCAACAGGGAATGTCTAAGAGGAAAGGCTACCAATAACATCGACCGCCCTGCCCTGCCCTGCCATGTCACTTACCCGTTTTTCCCCCTTGGGTGGCCCTGGTGGTCCCTACTCGTGAGTCGGCGCGAGGGATCGAAGGCTCCAGAGAGAAACCGCCACATTCTGAGGACGCGGGACGCAACGACGCGGCCAGTGGTTCGCGCAAGGCTGTGTGAGTGAGTCGTAGCGGTTGACCAATCACGCGTCGCCACCGCGCATTTTCGTTTTTACGAGGTACTTGCATTTCATACTTGTCTCCTCGGTATTATTGCCCCTGAAGCCCTTTCCCCAGCAAAACCCTACTGAAGTGGTTTGTAATAGCCCCCGTTTCTTTCCCCTCCAGCGGGGTTTTCTTTTCTTTGCTACGTGCTATTGACTCGGAACCCAAATCTAAACCCCTGGGAACCGGTGCTGCTACACATGTACTGGATAGAGTGGCGAATAGCCACGCCATGAGTCAGAAAAAGACAAAGACATATGTCATCGCCACAGAGTATACAGTTCCATTCTCATTGCGTATTAATGGAATGACGAGTCAGAGTCAGAGTCATTGACCACCACCCTCCGTGCCGGCGTCGCTGTGAGGCTGGTGAGGCTGCGGGTCTGATTCCCTAATAGTTGACACACAAGACTTCCAGTTGGTTAAACTCACATACAGTCCCGTCACATGACTATCCACATGACTTTAATATAGAATCACGACCGTATCACTGCTTTGCGAATCCACAAGACATGATAATTCAACAAATTCTGCAGCTATTTGAGCTAGAATAAACCCTCTGCTCCTGCACTAACGATCTACCTCTCCGAAAACCAGATCCATCGTTCCGATTATGGCTACTGCATCAGCAAGTAGATGGCCACGGCTGATCTGATCGAAACAGCCCAGGTGGGCGAATCCAGGTGCTCGAACTTTACATCGGTATGGTCGTTCGCTTCCGTCGCTGACGAGATAGACGCCCATTTCTCCCTTGGGGGCTTCAATCGCACTGTAGGTATCTCCTGGTGGAACAGTATAGCCCTTGGTGAAGAGCAAAAAGTGGTGAATGAGGGCCTCCATGTTCTCCTTCATAGCTGCTCGTGGGGGCGGGGCAATCTTGTAATCTTCGACTTTGACAGGACCTGGAGGCATCTGGTTCAGGCACTGATGGATGATGCGTAAAGATTGTCGGAACTCTTCCATTCGGCACAGGTATCGATCGTAACAGTCACCATTCTGACCGACAGGCACATCGAATTCGACCTTATCGTAGGCATCATAGGGCTGACTCTTCCGAATGTCCCAGGGAACGCCGGAGCCTCGCAGCATGACGCCGGAGAAGGAATAGTTGAGCGCATCAGCAGCGGAAACGACGCCAACGCCCTTTGTTCTGCCGATCCAGATACGGTTGTCTGTCAGGAGTTCCTCAGTCTCGTCAATGCGATCACCGAACTGAGTTGCCCATGCATAGATATCGTCCAGTAATCCGAGGGGAAGGTCTGCCTTGACACCACCAGGGCGCACATATGCAGCATGCAAGCGTGCACCTGAGACACGTTCGTAGAATTCCTATCTCCAGTTAGCGAATAGCACAACATTTGGTGTCTTCCCATACCATGAGCTTCTCTCGCTCCTCGAAACCCCACAGGAAAGGAGTCAGAGCGCCAACATCCATAGCGTGCGAAAGAATCGACATCAGGTGATTCAATATCCTTGTGATTTCCCCAAACATGGTCCGAATGTATTTGGCTCGCTCCGGAATGTCGATATTGAGCAGCTTCTCGACGGCGAGCGAGAAACATTGCTCGTTGGTCATCATCGAAACGTAGTCAAATCGGTCGAAATATGGCAGAGCCTGGAGATATGTCTTGTACTCGATCAATTTTTCCGTCCCCCGATGTAGCAGTCCTACGTGAGGATCTGCGCGGACAATTTCTTCACCATTGAGCTCGAGAATCAGACGCAACACTCCGTGTGCGGCGGGATGTTGTGGACCAAAGTTTACTGTATAATGTCGGATCTTTCTTGTCTCATAGTCATCACCCAAGCTCGTATCGGGGGCTTTATTGATCAAGTTGGAGTCTTGCTGGACGTGCTTGGTGAAGGTAGAATCCGTGGGACTGATGGTCGTGGCTAAAGGTCCGCCAGGGGTTTCGGGGTTGGGAGCAGAGATGGGCCCGGTGGTGCTAGGTTCTGCCCTTCGAGGAGCGGTCGAGGAGATCGAACGGGAGAAAAGGAGGGACTGCCGCTGTCTCGAGGGAAGCTGAAGATTTGGTGTGCGGCAAAGTCGTTTTGAAGAGTGTGCGTGCCGGCTCGCAGCTCGCACAAAAGAGGCCGCCATCGTCATGCTTGTCCTTTTTGGCACGAGGCCAGAAGAGAGAGGGCGCAATTGTCGTCGAGTCGATGCTTCAAGGTTGGCCGCATCAATCGAAGTAGAAGTGCCTCTCAAGTGTGCCCTGGGCCACTGAGGGAGGAAGTCAATGACAGCGACTGGGATAGCTTCGCCAATACGTCCAGCTATTACCGGAGCCATGATTGGTGGAAGTTACGAGTCTCCACTAGCTTATGTAATTCCAATTTTGGAGAATCTTTTTGATTCATTTTTGTCACTCGAAGGACATGCTGCGGCCAACTATTCAACTCCCCCATGGCTCCCTTACAGCACTCACACGACGGTCTTGACAGGCGGAAGGTAGGTCGCGTGTGTCTGAAGAATGTGTCACAGGACTGACTGCTGACCCTATTGGCAGGTTGTTGGTATCAACGCCGAGACCGTCACCAATATCACGTCAACCGACTTCCCGGGTCACCATGCGGGCGAGGACAACTCTTGGTCGACTGACAAATTCGAGAACAATCTGAAAATACTCTTCCACCAGAATCAAAGAAATGAAGCCACATTCTCCCTTGTCGGAGTCGACGCCTCTGTCGCCAACGCTTTCCGCCGCATCCTGCTCGCCGAAGTGCCTACCTTGGCCATTGAAAAGGTCTATGTTCAGAACAACACCTCTGTGATAGCGGATGAAGTCCTCGCCCATCGGCTAGGACTCATACCATTAAAAGGGAGCCTCGAGGGCCTCAAGGAGTTCAGAATATTTGTCGAGCCGCATTCTGACAGTGGTTCGAAGGGGACGGGTTTGACGGATAGAAACACAGTGGTGCTCAAGCTAAAGGTCAAATGCGAACGAAACCCACAGGCCGACAGAAACGCGACAGAGCCAGAAGAAAAATACATAAACAGCAGCGTCTATTCACGACATATTGAATTCCAGGCCCAAGGGGTACAGGAAGTACTTTTCGACAAGGAACCGATTCAAGCCGTTAGCCCAGATATATTGATCGCCAAACTACGGCCAGGTCAAGAAATCGACTTGGTCATGCACGCACACATGTCCAAGGGTGGGGACCACGCGAAGTTCTCTCCTGTAGCAACTGCCACGTACCGCCTCCTGCCGACCATCAACATCACGAAACCCATTCTAGGTGCAGACGCGGGAAAATTCCAAAAATGCTTTCCCCCGGGCGTGATCGACCTCGAACGTGTGACACCCTCGGACGCCGCCTCGGACGAACCAGCATACCACAACCGTGAGGGTGATGAGAAGGCTGTCGTCAAAGACCCCATGCGCGACACCGTTTCAAGAGAATGCCTCCGGCACGAGGAGTTCAAGGGGAAAGTCAAGCTGGGTAGAGTACAAGATCATTTCATCTTCAACATTGAAAGCACCGGCCAGTTCCCGAGTGATGTCTTGTTCTTGGAAAGTGTCGATATCTTGAAGAAGAAGGCAACGAGACTGTTGAAGGCGTTGGAAGAAATCGGGAAATGACCAACCACAGAAAGTGATCCCCGTCCAGGACACTGAGCATGTGATATGATCATGACTTGCATCTCTCGGCGTTTCATGCATTGCAGGGTTTTGTGCGCTTCTCTAGATACCTCGGATTGCGAAATCAGAAAAGTTCTTTGCTTGTGGCAGACTTGGGGATCAATCCTGCTCTTCAACCAGTCTTTCAAAGTATTTCCGCAATCAGGCTGGGCCTTCGACTCTATACTCGTTTTTTCACTTCTTGTACACTAGCCGAAATTTGAAACTGATCATGAATGCCGCATCACTGACACCTACTTCCTCGCCGTCACTCACCAACTCCCTCATTCTCTTCACCAGGTTGGGTCTTGTCTGCTCTTCCAAGCTCTTCGGAGCTTGTACATATAGCGTCTTCGCCTCCGTCCTTATACTCGGCTTCTTGAGTTGGGCTTCAGCCCTCTCAGCCAGGCTTGCCAGGAAGTCTTCCAGCGTCCACTCCGGATCAATGATTAGCGTTTGGGCCAGGTTGCCGCATACTGGGCAATCCTCCTTCTTCTCCGCCGCAAAGGTGTATGTGTAAAGGCCACCCTCGTTGGAGTCGCCCGTATACATCATGTAATTTTCCAGAAAGGGCGCGCACCCTGTCGCAATTTTCAAGGCCTCGTTGCAACAACTCGCCGCGATGATCGCATTTGTGGACGCGATTGCCGGGATGATGTTTTTGACCACACCCTGGGTCATCGAGTACGTTACCCCTGAGATATTGAACTCATTCGCGCGTTTCAATGCGGTGGTGTATAACCAGGAGATGTGTTCCGGATCGTCGGTGTCGAGCGTTTCGCCTTTGCGTTGTTCTTCCCACGCTATGATGTGCGCCCACTCTATACAATGTTGAGGTTGGCGCGGGATGGTGGCCAACGTGCACAAGGGCACAGCAGCACGAGGTGCATGCATGGATAGCTGGCACTCAATGCAAGATGTGAGACTCGGGAGGATTACTCGCGCTTGGCCTTTGAACCCTTCAGTGCCGCCATCAATCAGAGGTTTAAGGGATTCAGGGTTTTCCATGTCGACCATGTCGACCAGTGTGGCGTTTATCCAGCGACGGGCCTCGATGCTGTCGAGTCCACAAATGACTAGCTTGAATTGCATGTAGTATTCTTCGTCCTTGTCCTGGATCTTACCGTTGTAGGGGGTGATCTTGACACCAGGAACACGTTTCTCCACGAATGCCGCGGCGACTTCAGCTTTAGATTTTCCTACATCGGACTGGCGGAAGAGGAATTGACGATTCAAATTGGACACATCGATGGTGTCCATGTCGATAACGTGAATATCCTTGAAGCCGGACAATGCGAGGTTCTTCAGAATCTCACATCCGAGCCCGCCGGCGCCGATCACAAGGACTCGTGACGACTCCAGCGTATTGATGGTCTCTTCTCCAGGTACAAATTCATCTCCGGCATATGGTGAGGTGGTTGATAGAAGACGGTCAAGATAGGTCCTTGGATTCATGTTAGACATGGGCACTGAGCACAAACTTGGATCAGGCTTACCATCGATCGCGCGGAACTGTGGGAATGCCATTTGTGAGAAGTGATGAGATGGGTATCGACATGTTGGGTTTAGGACTAAGCGGTCCTCGTCGGGGACTGCCCAGGGTGGATATACCTGAGAACGAAGAAGTGATGGAGTCGCAGCTCGATAGGTAGTCAGCCAAACGGAGGAGGCTTTCTCTGAGATTCCCGGCTTGTCACACATGCATCGGCTGGGAGACACAGCATGTCAAGAGTCCACCGTCAGCCCTTAAATTGATATATCGCATCAAGCCTCGTGGAATGGCGCTGAGAAGATTGATGCTCGGAGAGTTGTAGGGCGAGGAGGTCTTGTGTAAGCTTCTGCCGTTTCTCTGTGTACAGTACGCGGTACTTCGTGCCTTGTAGGTCATTGGTACCTGGAAGGTGGCGCATCTTGGCGGAGAAGGCGGGCACACCCCACCCACACCCAGGCGGTTAATGTGATTATGTCACGGGCACCATTGCATGTTTCGAGTACCCAAGCACCCAAGTACATAGGTGCCAGCTTCCCAGTACCTTGTACCTAGAGTGTAGGCGGTCACGCAGGCAGCCTTGTCTCTGGCTGTGGCTTCACGCACACCTCGTCCTCTTGGAACATTCGAGTAGGCTGCGCCATTCGCCTCAAATCACCACATCAGTATGCAACTGCAGACATGGAAAGTCTATTGGAGCCTGTCAAGACCACCCGCAACCTGCAGAATAACATCAATAACTTGGAGACCCTGTCGCTGAAGGAACCAGTGCCTACATCACGCACAGCCACCGCCAAACCCAAGATATCTGTGCTCGACATCACAACAGAGACCAGCGACAGCGCAGGCGATACATTTAGTCTCCGTCCATCGACCGAGACGTCTATAAGTTCGACATCTGCAGAGACACAAAAGACGAATCATAGGCGTCTCGACTCCACTGCATTCCTTCGAAAGAGTTACTTGGACAATGCCCCCCAAGCCTCCCTACCAGATGATGCGCTTGAGATTCTGAAGAATCAACCGAATACTGAAGACCTGGCAGCGGTTCTACAGTATCTCCAGTATGGCATTGCAGGGAGACATGACTTCAATATCCACGTCCCCGGCCCGAAGGCTTCCCAGATCATCAACGTACTTGTCACCGTCACCATTCCTGATCAATGGCTTCATTTGCGACAATCTACTCTTTCGAGGACAAATACGCAGCTCAGGTCAGCACTGCTACTATCACTTACTAGTGTCGCAGGACTCGGGGCACTCTTGATGCAAATCAGACGCCTCTCTTCTCTCACCACCAGTCAAGATCAGTCAGTGATGGAAGATACTGTTGGTGTATTATCGTCAATCCTTGCCGGCAACATGATTATATCAAAATTTCTATCCCATGCTACTAGAACTATTCCCACAGACACACAGCGCCGCGTATTCTGGCAAGAGGCGACAGCTCTACTTGCAGGCAGCAAGATCCTCACATCCATGTCTCAAGTCTTTGCCACGATTCGGGATCTGGATCGGCTAGGAGAGAATGAGAAATGGCTTGGAGACGGAAACGAGTACTCAAGATGGCTTGGACGCAATATTTCGACCGCCGCAATGAGCATCAGTGCATCACCCGGCTCCAATACTCAAGAGATGAGCCTTCTCTGCCTGGTTCTGAAGAGGGGGCTTAATCTTGGGTATCGCGGTATAACTTGTCCAGACGTATCTACATAGAAACCTTGCTGACCAAAGGATAGATACACTCATCAGCGAGCTCTACAACTCACTACTGCTTGGTAAACGAGCGTTGTGGACTCCAATGCACATGTTGATCCAGGGTCTCCCAACCTACGACCAAAAGGTTCTCTTTGATACCGTCCTGCGAGACCTTGCACGGAGATCTTTCGGAAGCGGAGCAAGTATCTTGGAACCCAAGGAATTGCTGATGATGAACACCTCCATTGTTGGAGGAGTGGCAGCCCTGATCAGTGGACTCGTGCAACACAATCCCATTCTAGAAGCGCATGTTATCCACTGGCTGACGAGCACGAACGGGGAGTATGCTGGCCTCGGCCTCGACGCCCGTAGGGCCGTGATTGCAACCTTGGCAGCAAGGCAGAGTAAATCACAGTGTCATACCCCTTTGCAGCAGGCTAACTGGTACCAGGCAAACTTGAACAAATTCTTGAGAGAAGCTTGGAGAACTTTGGGAATAAAATGCAAATTCAGCGCGATGCCATCCTGCAGCAGGAGTGTAAGTGAACTCTACAAAGTCCGCACACTATTCGATGCTTGTGCCAGATGGAAGATCCTGTGCTTACATATGCTTGGGCTTTTGTAGCGACCGCCCAGATCATCATGCTTGCTTTCGGCTACCTCAATCGTTTGGATCATAGCGCGGCCAAAAAGGTATCAAGTTCCGGCGTTTTCATTCGGACAGTTTCCAATCGACTTTCTGCATCAATACCTCGTGCCCGGCTTTTGGGGATGATAGTTGCAGTCGCAGTCTCGAGATTAGTAGATGAGCCGGGAAAGGTCCTGAACTTTGGCGTCGAAGAGATGGAAGGGGAGGAGGGGGAGCGATGGTTGGATTTGGTCAACATACACGATGCGGTGGGGAGTTTGGATCAACTCCCAAAGAAAACGGCCGAGCCCTTGAAGAAGCGCCCGTTACAGACTACGCAGAAACCTGTGCGGCGCAAACGTTTATCAGCAAAGTCACGACCTCAAGGCTCTAAGATCGTGGCCATTGAAGAACTTCCTGATTCAAACGGAGAAGCTTCGACTGGGGAAGAGGAGGATCTACCCCCTTACCCGCCACCAGATTCCGACCCTTCAGATTCTGACGAAGATCCTACACTGGTCAATCGCAACAAACCCACCCCTCCTGTCTACATCTCGTCTCTGATCAAGCAGCTTAATACTGACAACGACCCTCCCGTTGTTGAACTAGCAATCAAGACTGCTCCTTCGTTGATACGTCGAAAAGCGAACTTCGGGGACGAATTGTCAGCCAATATCTTCCAGTTGGCTTCATCTCTTGTCAATTTGCAGGAAGGAATGTCAAAAGAAGACTTGCAACAATCCAGACTGGAAGCCGTAATCGCATGTCTGGTTGCAAAACCCAGGTTAATGGGACCCTGGATCATTAGCACCTATTTCGAAGGGGATTTCTCTTTGGCAACACGTGCAACCCTCTTGACAGCAATATCTCTAGGGTCAAGAGAGCTGGCAGGAATCGACGATGACATTGACAATCCCTCTGCGGCCAAAGGCCTACACGAACCCTCATTCCCGTCGAATCGACTGCCACCTCGTCTTGAACCGCGCTATTCCTCGGCACCGGTTGACACCATTTCGACGAACCTATCTTATCGCACACTTCAGCCCATGGCCCTACAAGCGGCCGACAAGCTGACTGGACCAGATGTGCTCAAGGTCCGAACATTCTCTTCGCGCATGGAAGTCGCCGCCAAAACAGCGGCGAAGCTCGAAGCCCGATCCAAACGCATTCCCAAGGATCTACACAAGCTTCTTGCCGAAGCACTGTATCTACCAATGTGTTCGCGACTATCGCTTCTCCTCACCTCACTAGTCACATCACCTTACCTGGCGAATTCCACCCTCCTCCACCCCTCATTGGTGAAGCTAAGCCTGCAAACCCTCATAATCATCATTTCCACCATAGGTCCTAACGCTCTACAACTCCCTGCGTTGACCCACGAATCCCTTTTAATGTTGACAACACTCCACACTCTTCCTGCTCTCGCACACGACCCAATCATTCTGCCTCCAATTCTTCATTTGATCCTGACACTGCTGGATCTCAATATCGAAGCTGGGAAAACATCCGAAGAACGGCTGATTACAGACTTTGGCCCCATGTTTGCAGAATTAGTGTCGTGGACTGGAAGCTTCGGAGATGACGCTTCAATCCCTGAGGTTGATAATGATCCTGGATTGGGAATGTCAATGCCCTGGCCTGTCCTTGCAGCAGGGATACAGGTCAAGTGGCAGGAAGTTGGACGGAAATTCCAGGGTAGGATGCTGGGTTTGATGGCAAGCACGGACTTCGACTCGTTTTAAGTGTCGAGTCCGTTATTCTGCTGGTGGTACTTCTAGTTTGACCAAGCTAGGACGTGAGCAAGACGCAATGTTGTCTTCCACCTGAGTTGGTTGGAGTCATGATCCTTGGGAAATGTTACAAAGCGCCTTCTAGTACTGACATTTCTAAACCTGCTTACAGAACTAGTTTCTCCTACTATATATAAATTGGGAGCTATAGGCGGCTAGAACATGGCCTTGTCTCTCGACATCGACCGAAGGTAGCGTTCTCTTTGCTCCCGAACGAGATGGGAATGGGATGGCGAAAAAGGAGAAATGCAAGGCTGGCGCTCAATACGGGGCGAGTGGCAACAGCCAGAGATGTTGCCAAGACGCTATACCCGATTCAACTTTTTCTCGCCAATGGTCGTAGTTACATATGTACCTCGTATGCAGACACTACAGAAAGACTTGCGTCCCTGCTCCCTTTGGAATCAACCATTCCCGCATTGCTGATTCTAGGTCTCTGCGTTCTTTTATTCTACCCTACTAGCCTTCAGTTGTCGATATGTAAGCATATGGTATCGTTCAAGGTAAAATTGGCCTGCTGATGAAGGGCCAGGTTTTCCCTACGCCGTTGCGCATCGCGCTTTCTCACTTCCAGACCTTCCGTTATCTCCTCTTCAAGAACATACTCCTCTGTCAGTACTACTCCGTCGCGATCGATCGGTAGAACCGCCGCCCCTTTTGCTCAGCAACGGCGATGGGCTACAACTCAAGAAAAAGACAAGACTGGAGTCGAGCCTACAAAATCTGCTCCCCGTGCTGCAGAATCGGCAAATATCACCGAAGCTACAGATGAATCCCTTCCGGCTGCGGTGATCAATGAAAAGCTCACAGCTGAGTCTGGTCCTGCACCGACCGGTTCTGCGCCAGCAGTTGCAGAGACCGCCAATGCAACCGAAGCAACAGAGGAGGCATTGCCTGCTGCCGAGACGGGCGAAAAGTTGGCAGCTGATGCAAAATCTACACCTTCCCAGTCAGCAACCCTGAGCCATGCTAGCATGTTTGACCGGAAGCCCACACTATACATTGGCAACTTGTTCTTCGATGTTACTGAAAGCGACCTCGTTAAAGAATTCGCCCGCTTCGGACCTGTAACCAAGTGCAAGATTGTTCGAGACAGCCGTGGCTTGAGCAAAGGGTGAGTTTCTGCTGAACTGCGGCCTATGACGCCTTGCTAACACTGTTTTAGATTCGGATATGTCGACTTCTCAACACAAGAGGCTGCAGACGCAGCTATGGAGCGTCTCAACATGTCGCTCTTCGAAGGTCGTCGCATCACAGTCCAGTATGCTGCGCGCCCGAGCGGCGTACTTGACAACCAGAACGTCGAGCGCAAGCCGCTCAACCCTCCTTCCAAGACTCTCTTCATTGGCAATATGTCCTTCGAAATGACCGATCGTGACCTCACGAATTTGTTCCGTGGTATTAGAAATGTCATCGATGTCCGGGTGGCCATTGATCGACGCACCGGGCAACCGAGAGGATTTGCGCATGCTGACTTCATTGATGTCAAGAGCGCCATGGAAGCAATGAAGGTGTTGCAAGAGAAGGAGATCTACGGCCGGAGATTGAGAGTCGATTTCTCATACTCGTCAGCGAACAGGGCTCCAAGGAACGATCCGCCTGCTGAGAATAACTAGACTGCCTCGAACAGGAATCCCTCGTCGCTTTGTTGTCTGAGTCAGCCCCGTCCTGTCCTTGCCGCAGTGCATCACCTTGTTTCGGGCAAAGACAACCACTTCCAGTCGGTTGCCGCACGTTCCTAAAGTTCCAAATTTGAGGGAAGCCAACCCGAGATTCAAGGGACCTGTTTCTTCCAGGTGGAAATGTGACCACTGACTCTCCATTCGGCGCTCTCTTCACCGTGAGTTCAGAAAAGGATCACGGCAGCATACATGCACTGAAGGTCCACCAAACGCATGGAATGTATAATGGGGACTGAGTGTCAGGCTTGGGCAGCGCGGCAGGTTCAAGAGTGCGGTGCCTCTCTTCAGCCTATATTTGTAACAATGTAACACGAGCGTGCTGGAATATGGTTGTGAGGCTTGGGTGTACATGTTTTACTATGACCTGCTATGCTTATAGTTATCAATACGCAGGTAGATGGCTTGAAGGGGCAAAGGCTGAAAGAGGATTTTTGGCCACAAGCGGGGGACAGCCACGAGCAATAAAAAGGGAGCGAAAGTGAAAATTGGTGAAGACTATTTGGTCAGAAGGGAGCACCATTGCTTGAACGTCTCTCGCCTGTCAGCACGAGTAGATAGTCACGATACTCGGGTGTGTACAATTGTAATATAGATAATCTCCATTCCTGACGAAACACCGCAGACCTGAAACGCCGCGAGGCTAATATATCTAGGATACCAAGACCATGGACCGAACTATTCTTGATTCATTAATGCTTGATTGACTCTTAGCCCTTGGACAGGCGGGGCCTTTCTTTCTCCTCCCCATCTCGTGATGTATTCTGATTTCCTTTCCTGCTTCTACCCAGCTTGTCCTCATATTCTTTTTCAGTTCTATGGCTCATTATTGGATGAGGATGATGATGACGATGTTGTGATCGAGCGGTGCGGCGGGGGGAGCCGTTGAACGGTGTGGTGTGGTTACTAGACCAAAGAGTAAAATCATCGCGGGGTCAGCTTGACCTTGAGCTCGTCGACGAAGATGCTCATGGTGCGGACCGTCTCGAGGTCTTGCTTGGGGTTTAGCAATTCGATCTGCATGGTGGGAAAGAGGGGGTGTCAGTTTGAAGACTCGATCAAGAAGAGACATTCGGGAGGTTAGTCGTCAGTCAGGGATGGAGGCATGCAAGCAAGCAAGCAAGCAAGCAGGTAAGTGAGTGGAAGGGAGGAAGTGAGTAGACGAGTAAGTGTGGTGAAGGGAGCGTATAGGGCGCAGGACGTTTCAACTAGACTGCGGAAGGAAAGGAAAGTCCAAAAAGCATAAGCAGAGCGGATTGAGGCTTTGTAGGGCAAGAAGAACCAAACGAACAAACCCTCAGAAGAAGAAAGGGATAGGGGGCTCGATGGAGAGGAAGACGTACATCGAAACGATTCAACAGCTCGGGAAGAAATTTCTTCATCTCAACCCACGCAATGTGTTGTCCGACGCAAGCCCTCCTCCCTCCGGAGAAGTACAGATTGGCACGCTCCATTCGGGAGAGTTGTCCCTCGTCGGCCTCGATCCATCTCTCCGGTCTGAACTCGTCGACTCTGTCGCCCCAGATGGACGGGTCGCGATTCAAGGCGTGCGTATTGATTGCAACGACGGTACCAGGCGGAATGTAGACGCCGGAGATCTGCATGCCAGCCCCGTCAATGGGGACCTCGCGCTCCATCGGGTCAAGCAGAAGCGGTTGTAAGCGGCCGGCTTCCTTAAAGCAGGCTTCCAGATAGCGGAGCTTCGAGACCGATTGCCACGAAGGCGGAGAGGCGAGCTTTGCATCTTCGAGCTCAGCCTTCAACTTGGCCAGGGCGCGTGGATTGGCGAGAAGGTAGTATAAGGTGACGTTGAGGGACGCCGCCGTAGTTTCGGCACCCGCATGAATCGTCGAGATGATGAGGCCGATAATGGTTGATCTGTCAAATGTGGCGGGATCACGCTCACTTGCCTGCAGATACCGGTCGAGAAGATCGGAATGGGTGCCCAACCCACCCTTTTCAAGCCGAGTCTGAAGGCGCTCTGTTGCAAGTTTAGCAAGGACGGATGTCCCGCTCGAGCCCCTGGTAGCGAGGCGGTTCTTGTAAATGAGCCTTTCGAGTTTGGGCAGGGCTTGCCAGTCGTGCCAATGTCCGAAGCGCAGACGGGCAGCTTCCAATGTGTTTCCAAGGTCTGACTGCTTTTCCAAGAAACCCTGATCGTCGCTGAAGGCGATGTTACAGATGGTGTCAAAAGCGAAGAAGATGACCAATCTGGCAATGTTCAGTTCCGAATCCCCATTGATGAGCCGGTACATCAGATTGTTGATATTGCTGTCGATGTGGGACTCGTAATCAAGGATGGCCGTGGTCGAGAAGGCGCCAATAATCTGCCTCTTGATCGTGGAGATGCGGGCTTCGTCTCGCTCAGTAGCAAAGGAGCTTATCAGCTTCCCATTAACTGCTTGGAAGGCTATCTCGTACGATTCTGCCTATGGAGAAGAGGCGATTTAGCCCTCGCTGGAACTTTTGGAACGGCCGAACATGAGACATACCTTGGGCAATGCATTCCTGGTACTGAAGACGACACCCACAGCCGACACATCACTGAACAAGACTCTGTTTGGACCGTACCTCACAACCGAGCCATACTGCCTCTCCAGCGCTAGAGCGATGGAATCAAAGTATTCCTTATTCCAGGTCTTCCTAACTAACCAAAAGTTGGTGAATTTAGCCGCAAAAGGACCCGGGATATGTCTCAATCTCCAGTATTGAACGATGGACCTGAGAATGATATGCGCAATGACGACTGCCCCCAGAAGCAGGGGAATCATGATGGGGGATCCAACAGAAGCGATCATGGTATAGGATGGTAGACGGAAATTCCTTTTCTTGTAGGTAGAGGAACGAATAGAAATCCAGTTAGTGTTATCATGCACAAGCAACAATGGATGAGAGACATATGATGACCCGAGACGTTGGAAAGTCCTTTATATGACCATTCCAGCTTACCTCTGGACCTTTGTGATTTGGATATCTCACTTTGAGCGGCCGAACAGGTAGACAACCTTCGGCCGCCTGAAGCAACATGGAACTGGGAATTAAGTAAGATGATCTAATGAGTTCCTGTTCGGCGCGTTTCGCACTAGTGAGAGTATTCGCGTACTCGTATGCCATGCGTGGCTCGAGTGGATGGCAGAGGACGGATTACATAAAACGCAAGGTGTTGCTTGCAATCGTTGATCCTCCCAGGTGTAGAACCTGGTCCTCGCCTTCTTAGGTATCACCATCGCGGCCCGCAGACGGCTTGCGGCCAGCAGATAGAACCAGATGATACTTCAGAAGAGCAGTCCGAAGGATTTGGAGGCGGCATATTGTAATGTGTCGTAAGGAATTTCTAGAAAATGAGCTGACGCAGAGAGAACGAGCATCTGAGGCCAAGAAGTGAGGCCTTGAACACCGTATTAGGGATGCGCTTGTCAGCACGACTTGCCGAAAGCTTGTATAGAGACTTGCTTCTCGGTGAGCGATGGCCTTTCATTGCTTGATTATGTTGACATGGTGTGTGGTTGATGGCTGCTGAAGCTACCTTGCTTAGGCCTTGCTCAGGCCTTGCTCATTAGTCAACCCCGCCGATCAATTGCGGTTTTAGGGGAGAGAGGCGAGACTCAAGGAGCAATATTCGACAACGGAGATGTTTCTGACATTTTCTAACGTGAGACGGCCGCTGTGGCCGACAATATCTCAATAGCCCTGTATGGGGAAGTGGGATAAAGGGACAGCGCCTAGAGAGGCAGGTACACCGAGTATATACTGTGGGGTGCATGGCACGTGCATCATTGTGGTCGTTCTTGCCGTCCAGCCGTCCTCGCCGTGCCTCCGGCTGTCGGCTAAACTGGTGGCGTCTTAGCCTTTTTCCGTCTCGGAGAAACACCTTTTCCGAGACCTTTCTTCATCCTTCTAGACTTGGATACCTGGAAGACTTGCCAGTGCCTCGGTTGCCGCCCCTGCGCCCGCAGCAGACCCGGACCAGGGCCTCCGCCAAACTATGTACGAGTACTCGGTATAGTATTATTAAACCAGTTCCATCGCCATCACTGCCGTACTTACAAAAACGTGACTTGACCTGCCCCAAGAAATCAACAAACTCCATCGAACTCTCCCTTTCTCAACCTCTTCATCTCACCTCTAATCGACGACAATGTCTTTTCTTGGGGGTGCCGAGTGTTCAACTGCGGGCAACCCGCTTACCCAATTCAAAAACCATGTTCAGAGCGACAATACCCTCCAACGGGACCGCCTCGTCGGTCGGGCGCAGCCTGGCCTCGAGGAGAGCATGCGGTCACGTATGACGCCCAATGGCTCTGACCAGGTATTGATCTCATACAATGCAGGAAAGGACGCTGCTAACTGCGGACTAGATGATGAACGACTTCATGCAACAATCGGGAATGCCCCAACCCTTCGCAATGGAGCAACTACGACACGACCTCCCCAACCTTCAAGGGATAACGAGGCGATCACCTTCCCCCGGCTGGGCTGCAGAGTTTGACCCGGGTGAACAAGCAAGAATGGAGGCAGCTTTTGTGAATCCCAGGCTCAATGGTCAGAGTCAACCAAGGTTTTCGCCACAGGAATTTGCTCGCTTCCAACAAGCCCAGGCACAGCGAACCGCAAGCCCCATCATGCAGTCCCCATCCATGATGAGCAGCTATCAAAGCCCGATGGGTATGGGATATATGGGTGGCATGAATCTCGGGATGAATTTTGGGTCACTACATATGCAACAACAACCCGAGCAAACGACCGACAAGGGAAAGGGGCGCATGGTGGAGCTTGATGATGCCAACTGGGAAGCTCAGTTCAAAGAACTCGAGTCCCAGCACGACAATATCTCAGAACAGGCCAACGAAGCAATACAGAGAGAACTCGAGGAAATGGACAGGTCAGTAACATCTCCCGTGGACGGATTTGAAGATTTTGAGCGAGTATGGCATGGAATCCAAGCTGAATATACATCCAGAGAAATGGCCGAGGAAGCTTACAAAGAAGAACCATTTACTGCAGAAGATTTGGCTGCCTGGGAAAACTTCGACTCCACTATGGGACTCAACACTCATCATCCTTTCGAACGAGAGCCGATGCTCGGAGATTATATGTTCGAATCACAGAATCCCTACCTGGAAAACAGCACGAACTCAAGGTCAGCGTTCGAACAAGGAAAAGAGATCCTAGAGTCACATGGCAATCTATCTCTTGCTGCACTGGCCTTTGAGGCTGCCGTGCAACAGGATCCCAACCACGTGGAAGCATGGGTTCTACTTGGCGCTGCTCAGGCCCAAAATGAGAAGGAGTCGCCAGCGATTCGTGCTTTGGAAAAGGCACTCGAGCTTGACCCTAACAACCTCGACGCCTTGATGGCCCTGGCTGTTTCCTATACCAACGAAGGATATGACAGCACAGCCTACCGGACACTGGAGCGCTGGCTAAGTGTCAAATATCCTCAGATCCACCCTCCTGAGAATTTATCGACTCCTACCGAACACGGCTTCACCGATAGAGCAATCTTACACGAAAGAGTGGTGGATCTTTTTATCAAGGCTGCCCAACTCTCACCTTCTGGAGAACATATGGACCCGGACGTGCAGGTTGGACTCGGCGTTCTTTTTTACGGCAACGAGGATTTTGAAAAGGCTGTGGACTGCTTCAAGGCCGCTCTTGCGTCCACAGAGAGCGGAATGGTCAACCGTGAACGCGAAGTGCATCTCCTGTGGAACCGGCTGGGCGCGACGTTGGCCAATTCCGGTCGATCTGAAGATGCCATCACTGCATACTGCAAGGCGTTGGAGGTCAACCCCAACTTTGTTCGCGCACGATATAATCTGGGTGTTTCATGCATTAACATTGGTTGTTACCCTGAAGCAGCCGGACATTTGTTGGGGGCTTTGAATCTGCACCGAGCTGTGAGTGAGCAGGGTCTAGACAAAGCCAGGGAAATAGTTGGAGATGGCAGTGGCGGCATTTCGGATGCCGAGTTGGAGAGAATGATACATCAAAACGAGAGCACAAATCTCTACGACACTCTGAGAAGAGCATTTACGGGCATGGGAAGACGGGATTTGACCGAGAGGGTTGGCGTTGGCATGAATCTGGACCAATTCAGAGGCGAGTTTGACTTCTGAGTCCGAAAGAAAAGAGAAAGAGCTACTAGAGAATGAAGCCATGAATCTTTCAGAGGCTCATTTCTTCTTCCGTTGTATCTGCCGGTACTGGACAGCCTTGACCATGATGGCGCAGTTCTGGTTGAGTTTGTATACCCGTCTCGTCCATATCTCGCTTCAACAAAATAAATCTACAGGCACCTAGTACGCGCTGGGAGAGGTGTCCAGCCTGAGTCGACACCGACATACAGCACTCAGCCTCGTGCTTTGTTCGTGATGTGAGGCGAAGTACTCAAGTACTAAGCCGAATTCAGCACTTTGCAGGCAGCAGACGACCTCTTCCAACAGCCTCAACAAAACAACGCTTGCTGGTAATTCCTCAAAGTGCTGTTACCACATACACACAGACTGACTATGTTTGCAGCACAGCGCCAGTCGCTCCTTGCCAATATCAAGTGGAAGCCTGAGCATCATGGCGGACTCTACTTCATCGAGACAAGTGATGAAGACCCAGCGCGACTTCGACACGGACCCCTTGTAGACGCAGATGTCCATGATTGGATCCTAGGAAATGTGAGTCCATACGCCGGTACAGACAATCTATTAGACCTGACATGGCCAAGTCTTATGCCCGGAAGTCTACCTCACCACAGACGAAACTGGGCGGCTTCCGACTCCTTTTGTGCGATCGATCAGCACGGCGAGAAGAATCATCACAGTTTCGAGAGCTTCACATAAGCAGAGACTCGTTTACCCTCCTCGAAGAGGCTTTCTCCCTTTCCGGTGCCACGGTCCAGGCATTGTTCGACCTGGCCGGTGTGCATTCTCGCTTCACAGAGTGCGACGTGGCGACGGGCGAGGTCAAACACCTCAAGATTCTCGTCCAGGGACGCCGAAAACTTGGAGTCGCGGATTGCGTGCTGTCGCTTTGCCACTGTTGTGACACGGGATGGACCTATGGCTTCCTGTGTGGGGAGGGAGTCGTCGAAGCAGCGGAAATCATCAACGCTGAACCGCTCATGCCGGCTTTACTGGACTTGGTTCAGCCGTGTCTTCATCTCAAGTCAGATCCTCTGCTTCTTCCCACTATGCTACTGAAAATCTACATCGAACGTGTCGCGTTCTTCTTGAGGAGGCAGATCGTTCAGTTGGATGAGCTGGAGGAGGAGATAGGGGTGACCCGTCCCCAGCGCGTGACGAAGATGCGGTCGCTCGAGAACTGGCCAAACGATCTCGACATCAAAAAAATGACGATTGGACTACATTCGACGGCCACCGAACTCTATTACTTGAACCGAACTTGTCTCTGGACTCACGAGGGCCTTGAATTTCTTCACAGGCTGGCGGTGGATTGTTCCGAATACATCAACAAATATCCCGGAGGATTCCTCGAAATCCGGCAGGGGATTGAGCACGAGACAACCAGGATGAAATGGATAGTTGGCACTCTCGACACGACGAAAGAGAGAGTCGAGGCGCAACTTAGCGTTTTGTACTCTGCAGCCAGTCAGAGGGAAAATGCTATCGCCCTCAACTACAGCCGGATGGCACAGGAGCAGAACGAGATCTCTCTCCGAGACGTGCAGATGAACACTCGCATCGCCACGTCGACCAAACAGGACAGCATCGCCATGACAACCTTCACCTTCATCGCAGCCCTCTTCCTGCCGGGGACGTACGTCGCGTCGCTATTCAGTATGAGTATGTTCGACTGGCTACCCTCAGACGGAGCAGGTGGTGGCGGTTCACCGAGGCTGTCAGGCAAGTTCTATATATACTGGTGCATCACCGTTCCGTTGACATTGTTTGTCATGGCAGGATGGTATCTCTGGTACAGAAGAGCGGATCAAGTATGGAAAAGGGAGACGGGATATAGTCTGAACGACAACACAGGTGCCAATAGACGCATAGGAGTGGAGGTGAAGTCTATTGGATACCGCGCAAGAGCATAGCTAAGTGGGAGTATAGGTAGAAGAGCTGGTGGATTGCTGTTTGGTGAATATGGTGCATGATGAACGGCTCTCCTGCGTGCAAGTAGTGGTGCGGTGTAGGGGGTCTTAATGGTCTGAAAGAGAGTCACGTTATGGTTCGGGATCATCGTGTACAAGGAGAGTAGTGAAGAGATGGACAAGGAGGGAAGGTTACGCGGACTGGCGTCAGTTCGCTTCGCCTCGCCGCCCGCCTGTGCTTCATCCACCAATAGTCGAGCAACAGCCTTGGAAACAACAGCAACAAACCACTGCATGAACTACTGACGCTACTGTCTTCCCGAGAAGAGCCCACCTTTGTCGAAGTCTAGTCGGATTGCTTGTCCAACGTTAGATTTAAACTGTCTTTCAGATCACTCACTGAGCTCCGTTGACGGAAACCAAGGCCTGCGCTGCGGGGAACTCGACTGAGCTCAACATGGATGACCACGGCGAATTCGACAGCGTCTCATGGCAACGAGAAGATACGCCGGAAGGGGAATCCTCAGCTCCATTTCACGGCAATTTGCCAGATAGATCCGTCAGCGCGCCGCGAAGCGACAGCATATCCAGCGAACCACAGGCAGGTGAACATGCGGACAATGTCGACCTGGGTGGCATAGGTCGCGACGGTATTTTAGAAGTTACCGTTGACTCACCACTAAAGGAGAACGATGGGACAAAAGATGCGTATGTTTCGTATCAGGTTACCACTCATGTGAGGCTCATCGCTTGCTCTCTCCAGCACGACCTCCAGGCTGACTTTTCTTTCGCAGACAGATTTCAAGTCCTTTCAGAAAAGCGACTTTGCCGTGCGGCGACGCTTCACAGACTTTGTCTTCCTCCGACAGACGTTGCACAGAGACTATCAAGCCTGCGCGATCCCGCCCCTACCGGAGAAGAATAACATGGCTTACGTTCGGGGAGACCGGTTCAGTACAGAATTCACCCAGCGGAGGGCTTGGTCGTTACATCGCTTCCTCAAAAGGTGTACTCTACACCCAGTGTTACGAAGAGCTCCCATATTACTATTGTTCCTGGAAACCGGGGATTGGAATGCACAGATGCGATTGAGACCATCGCGAAGCAACACACTGGGTGAGGGTGGCGCGAGTAACCCATCGGCTCCGCCAGGGTTCTTCGATAACGTCGCAGATACCATGTTAAACGCCTTCTCCAAAGTGCACAAGCCCGACAAACGGTTTATTGAAGTGACGGAGCGTGCCAACAAACTCGATGAAGACTTGTCGCATGTCGAGAAGATTATCGCCCGCGTCGCCCGCAGAGAAGGGGACCTCGAAGCCGATTATGCCGACCTCGCCAACAATATGCGCAGATTGACTCCACTAGAACCAGCCATCGAAGCCCCCCTCCAGACCTTTGCTGGGTGTGTGGAAGAAACGTCGAGGGGTTGGAAACAGCTGAAGGACCATACAGATCAAAATTACCTGGGAAGCCTCCGAGATATGGAAGCCTATATCAACTCTGTCAAGTCGCTTCTGAAGACGCGCGAGCAGAAGCAACTCGATTTCGAAGGCCTCACAGAGTACCTACAGAAATCCACTTCGGAACGAGACATGTTGGCGTCAAGTAATCCTTATTCACATGGCAGCAACCTGAACCCTGCCACATTCATTCGCAACAAGGTCGAGGACATGCGCGGAGTTGACCATGAGACGGCCCGCCGCGAGCGCGCTCGCAAACTAGAACTCAAAATCGCCGAGCTCAACCGAGAGGTCGACAGTGCAAAGTCTACGAGCGAGATGTTTGACGAGCAGGTAGTCCGCGAGGTTGCGGATTTCGAAAGGATCAAGGGAGTGGAGTTCCGGGACAGCCTGGGAGCTTTGGCAATGCAGCATATGGAATTTTACCAAAATGTTATCTCGACGTGGGAAAGATTCCTGGTCGATATGGATGCTGACAAGCACATACACAAGGACAAGGGAAGGGCTGCTGCATAGTGCTATGGAGTTAAAGTGTGGGCGAGAAAGCCTGGAGCGGGCGTTTGACATGCTGAGTCGGTTTCATGCCCTCATTGACAGGTGGTTCCTCTTCGATCATGAATGCTAATGAAAGTGCCGTTGGTGTACCTATGCTTGGCCTCGACCCTCCTCTTTGGACCTGGGGACCTGCTTCCTGTGCCACGATGTAGCAAATGAACTAGCTAGCTGGCGAGAGAAGCACAATGAATCGAACAAGGCCGACCCTTCCTCTGTGGAAAGGAACTTCTTCGCGTGAATCTACCAGTGTTTCCCGCTTTTCATCATGTCTAGTACCCGACCATGTGGATCTGCCGTTCGCCTAGAGTTGGAGACTTACCTCACGAGAGCAAAAGACAAGAGAAATCAAGGAGAAATAAAACAGCTTCTGACTCGCCTGCGAACTTCCTGCCCTTGTATACTCCACAGGGAATTGATACCTGGGACCTATGTGAAGATGAAATGGTATGTAGGCGCCGGATTGCTTGGCCCGACGACCGTCGCGAAGTCTGGCGGATAAACTCCGGATAAACTTCGCGTCTTCTGGTTCACCCCCAAAAAGTTACGGTCTCGACGAATGTACAGAGGATCGACGTCGTCCTTGTAAGAATCCAAGCGCAAGTGCCCGAGAACGAGTACAATGTCTGTCAGTAAGAAGTATGCCGGTCTGCCGGATCTGGTAAGCTCTCTCTGATCCAGTCTGTTGCAAAACATTCAAGCACTCTCTTTCGCTGACCGTCACTTGCTCCCGCTAGGACGCTGCCCCCGAGGTATACGAGACGCCAGAACTGGCAGACGATGTCTCGACGCTACCCACGGGGACAGTTCGCACAATCTCACCCTCCCCGTCCGATGACGGTGACGATGACGAATCCCGCCCGGGCCTCGATCGCCATCCACTCGACCGCGACGGTGCGCGGCGGCGGTTTGAGCCCTCGGTGGTTGACGCCCGGGACGTCGACTTCTCTGACTCGATTGGGGGCACTAGACGCGCATACCGGACGCGGAGTGCGCGGCGGAGAAGGCGGTGGCATCAAGGAAATGGGATAGAGGACGGCGGCGACCCGAGTGACAGCGAGGAGGAGACGCTGGCCACCAAATTGGCGAGACTGAAGCGCGAGGCCGAGGAGGTCAGGCTAGAGTTGGAGAGGAGGGAGAGGGAGAAAGAGAACGACAAGGACGAGGACGGGGAATTTGAGGATAGCCTGGAGGAGCAGCAACAACAACAGCAGCAAAATCAAGGAATTGGGGGCGCAGCTGCAGACGACCAAGACGTGGATGTGGATGGTGTGCGAGAACTCAGTCGGGTGTTGGACGGTTTGAGCTTGAAAGCGAGATTGAAGACCGGCACCTCGGCGGAGGACGAATTCCTGTCAAGATTGAAGTCGAGTTCCCTGCAAGGCCAGCGCCATCAGCAGAAAGAGAGTGGCACGATGTCGTCGAACGCAGTGGCAGCAGCACAAGCTGCACCGGCCACCCTATCTGCCGTGGCAACCTTTTCGGACCGTCTCACCGCCTTAGAATCCGCCCTGGGCGTGGCCTCTACAAGCGCAGCTTCTCAGACTGGGGCCATCCTCCCGAATCTCGCCAGCCTGTCCACGCAGGTCACGACCTTATCCGCCACGCTCGCACCACAAGCAACCGCGTCAGGAGACGCCCCGCCCACATCTGCATCTCAAGGCAACACGGCGCTGCTGGAGACCATTTCCGCGCGACTCAAGACTCTGATTAGCGAATCCGACCGTCTGGCCGCCTCTCGCAAACAAGCCCTCGCGTCCCTGGCCGACCTCCACGACAAGCGGATGCAACAGCTCGTCTCGGCGACGGTGCATTCCAACACCCGCCCTCGCCTTCGAGGATTCTCGACCACCAGCAGTAGTGTCGCGGGCGCGGCCGCCGCAGCCACCGCGCACGCCGTCGAGAGCAAACCGGGAGAGAACATCGCTGCCGACGCCGCCGCCACCGCCGCGGCGGGACCCGGCGAGGAATCTCTCCAGATCCAGAGCAAGCTCTTCCTGGACGAGCAATCCTCCAAGATCACGGCGCTGTACAACGTCCTCCCCACCATCCAGGACCTGCAGCCCCTGTTGCCCGTCGTGCTGGAGCGGCTGCGCACACTGAGCGTGATCCACGACGGCGCGGCACAGGCCAAGGCGCTGGTGGACGCGTTGGAGAAGCGCCAGGGCGAGACCAGGGAGGAGGTTGCCCGGTGGAGGGAAGCGGTCGACACGGTCGAGAAGGGCATGGCCGAGTTGGAAGGCGTCATGAAGGAGAACGTCGAGATTCTGGGAGGGAGAGTCAGAGAGGTCGAGGGTCGGATTGGGACATTGGAGCAGAGATCATAGCAGGGCAGATAGCAGGAAGAAAATGAGCAGGTGAGCAGGTGAGCAATGGGATGAGTGGTGGTGGTGGTGGTGGTGGTGTCCTGGATAGATGGATGGATGGAAAAGGGGGTTTTTCCCCGTATCATAAAAAGAGGAGACCAACCCAAAAAAAAGTGTCTACCATTTCATGCCATGGACCATCTTGATGGCGAAAATGCCATGCTCCTCCAAATACTACTGCTACTGCTTCTACTAGTACTACTACTACTACTACTGTGCCCTCTTTAGAATGTACAACCTGTTCTCCAACCCCCAATGGGCCCACCACCCCTTTGTCCAACTCGCTCGCCGACCCAGCACATTGTGCAGTCCATAGCCTTCCCGGAGCAGGTCGTGCACGACTCCGTACAACCGTTTCACCTTGTCACCGTACATGGCGTCCACGAGGCGGGAGAGGGCGTCGTCTTCCCTCCTCTCGCCCCTGCCGCCCAGGACCAGCGTGCCCCGCCCGACGTCGGGGCCGACGAGGCGCAGAGGTCCCAGCGAGGGGACCTTGTCGACGACGTCCCAGCGGCCGATGACGCGGGCGGGGTCCTCGACGACGACGTAGTCGAACCGCGCCCAGAACATCGGGGAGAGCAGGTCCGTCTCGTTGTCCGATTTGTCGTAGACCCACCGCGTGCGCAGCGTCGACACGAGCGCCGGCTTGTCGCCCGACGGTGAGCCGGGGAGGTAGAAGACGGGCCGGCCGTGGCCTGACGAGTTCGTAAGCGACGGCGTGGAGAGGAAGTGCGTCACCCCCGTCTGCAGGGCGAGGTTGGTCAGGTGTACGCGGACGGTCGGTTGCGGTGGGTAGTTGAGCGAGAGGGCGTGCAGGGACGACAGCGCGTGGGCGCCTGGATAGGTCTGCGCAGACAGCGGGAGGAGGAACACGTGAGAGATAAGAGCGGCAAAGATTGTAGTCAGGACGATCAAGTTTGTGACGAGGTGGTGGCGCAGATGGCGATCGCCGAGGGTGGAGATGTGAGCAGCGACTCTGGCGCCCGCTGCGGTCAGCGGAGGGATGATGGGGAGGAGAAAGCGTGTCTCTTTGTGTGCGAGGCAGGAATATAAACAGACATAACCCATCGAGGGGACTATGAGGTCCAAGCTCGACGTTGCGATGCTGGGGTAAATGAAGGCGGCAGGGATCAGAACCACCACCAGGGGATTCATCAGAAGCCGCGGCAGGGCGTTGGTAAAGTACCAATACCAGGGGCTCGTCCCCCAGGCAGAGGCCCCGAGGCTTCCCTCTGGTGGGAAGACGTTGGACAAGAAGGCCACGAGTTCGGGCCAGAGGAGGTTTGGCGACTGCCAGAAAAACGTGTCGACAGACACGGTCAACAAAAGGCCCGTGACCGTCGCGGTGAGGATGGCCGGGATGAAGATCCTGCGGACCAGGGAGACGGCCACGGGGAGGTTGAACCCCGGGCGGAGCAGCATGTAGAGGCATTGACAGCCTAGGAGAAGAGCAATCTCGGAGCGGAATATGATAGCTGCGAGGGTCAGGAGGTATAATGCCAGCTTGTTTCGTTTGACCAGGGATTCTGTGGTCGACGGCGTAACCGGGAGGAGGAGGGAGAGTGCAATCGTGCCTGGACGGTCGTGTTGTTTTAGCAGTCTCCTAGTTGGTACGGAGTGGTTGCGGGCCACATACTCATCCCAAAGGCGAACATGTTGGGCAATGTCCGCGACGAATAATACCAGACATGAAACTGACTTGCTTGGAGGATGGTGTACCAAGCTGCGGCAGTCTTGCCATAAGCTCGCCTCACCCCTGATGCGTAGTAGGTGAGAGCAGCTGCATTGAAGAGACCGAGAATCGAGCGGACTAGAGTATCCAGAGTCAGTGATGAAAAGTGAATTGCGGTACGGTTCGATCCTGCATGCTGTGTGTCTCTCTCACCGAGTAGTTGCTGCTGTCTCCCATCAAGATTTCCGAGCCAAACAAACGGCCTCGCGACAGCTGCTAGAACCACAGCCCCAATGAATGTCCGAGGCACGGCGCCAGGAAATGTCATATGGTCATAGAGGGCCCTGAATTTGACATTTGCGTTCTGGGTAGGCACGCCATATTCCAGTATGTCATGGACAGCTTGGATATTGAAGGACTCTTCGACTTTGGTATAAGGGGAGATGTACAGGTGGCACAGGATGAGAAATGGGAAAAGGAAGTAGGATGAATGCCAGAGCTCGAGTCCACTCATGCTCGTTCTTTATTCAGGAGTGCCAACAGTTGATGAGGAGGATCAACATGTACTTGAGTGATAATGAATGAGGTTGACAGAGGGTGAGGGATGGATGGGTGGGTATATTATGTGGCTTCAGCCTTGTCCCCACAGCCTTGTGATACTATTTCAACCACCGCCTTTCACTTCACACATGGACAATCCCTGGATCACGGTGACTACAAAAAAGAAGTATTTGATCCGTCTGGGAATCGAACAGAATACTTTCTTCGTCTCAAATGGCAAAAAGTTTAGTGAATCCGACCAAGCTGATATTACCTTTCCCACTCGAACCTCAGTAGGTGTTGCGGCTCCTGTCCTCACCCCGGTGGTGAGCGTTATCGAGCAGTCTTACAACAGCCACTGTATCGGTTCTATGACCTACTCCGTAAGATGGAATCTTACTTCTTCGGTTTTTGACGTGGCGAGACCTTACTGCTAAGCAGCGGCCACGTCTGGAAAGGCCCCTCCCACCAAACCCACTAAACTTTCCCGAACATGATCCCTCGAAGATCGCAGGTATTATAGGTCTCTTTACCGCTGTGTGAACTTCTTTGTTGGGATATGTTGGAGAGATTTCTGGGATTGCAATTAATATGGTTGTGATTTTCTCATTGGCATGTGATTGCCTGCAGAGCTGTGAATCTGAGGCAGTTAGTGGAGACAGGTGAGGCAGAAACACAGTGGGACGAGAAGCGAGTGTAGATATTTATTTGCTGGGCGGGCCATTCCTGCCATTTGCTATCCTGTTAGAAGTCACAACTTCTCTTGCGAATCCCGCGGCAGGTGAATCTCTTCCAGCTGTTTGCCAGCAATGTCGAATGGCACGCAAGAGACGGTGGTGGCGATGAATCTCGCTGGCTTGGTCTTGGAGGCGTTGTGCCACCGATGCATGGTGCCTCGTTGGACAATATGGTCCCCTGGCTTCAACAAGACCCTCTCTCCACCGTCCAACTCATGCTCAATCTCCCCGACCACACAGACCGAAAAGTCAATGGACACGGTCCGATGCATCACACTCGACCCTCCAGGCGCCAGATCGACAATGAGCAGGTTCACTCCGTTGGGTGTGACAATGTTGGGGGACGTCCAGCTTGTTGGTCCCTCGGTGCCGAGATACGCTTTCACGTCTTCGTCGTTTTCGAGTTTGGCTGGGACCGACGACACGGAAAAGGAACGGGCAAGCCCACCGACGTTCGGGACAGGGAAGTATTGTTGTGCGGGCGAATCCAGATACACGCTCTTGCCGTTGGCATCGTGGGTTGCTATGTGTCGCTTGACAGGGGGGAGGTCGGTGACAGATTGGAGCATTCCAGACATGGTGGATGGTATGCGACCGATCTTGCAGGGGAGATCAGGTTTCAATGGTGCTCTGGCAAAACTCTTGATAACTTGGGAGGATGGAGAGGAGATACGAGATGGAACATGCACACCCAGGCGTCTTATATAGACTGTTCGGTCCTGCTGCATTCCATCTTTATCTGAGTCAGTTGATAGATGTGGCAGCTCCGACCCCGCCCACGCACGCTATCGACGTCGCATGCCATGAGTGGTGCGGAGATGGAAGATCCCACGACTCGGTTCATAATAATACCCTCGGCTTCTCAAAAAAGATATTAATACATCTGCGATATGTGATGGAGTCCATTGAGCTAGAAGTTGGTCGCAAAGGTATCTCTAGGGAGACACCATGTATCTGTGTCCAGTAAGGCCATCGAGGCTGACGGTGAAGGCATTGTACGGAGTACACAGAGAACCCACGATATAGGAAGCGGGTTTCCGAAAGAGGTTTCCCAACGAGGTTGGGATATCAAAGCTGCAATGTCCCGATGAGGCTACCCCATGTCTTTGATCTCCTTTTCCGGCCCGTCGCCCACTTGCATATGGCAGATAGGGGCAGATATATAGATATGTGGACAGCGGTAAGATCCTACAATCTTCGAAGGGTCTGTATTCGGTACTCCGTAGCTGAGTGGGAACTTGTGATTGGGACACATTCTACCAACCCGTTGCATTGGCTCACGTTGGCTCGGATGCTCGGCCGTATAATGTTGCCTGCGCCGATCATGCTTTCGTGGCTTCAACATCGTCAACACTGAGATATCCCTTCGACCGTCCCCTGTTTATTCACCGCAGATCCTATGCTCGAGCTGTGACTTCAAAAGGATAGTGTCTCTCTCGTCGCACCCATCATTGCGCATAGGACGTTTTAATCCGTCCTACCAAGACCGACAAAAATGCTCAGTCTTTTTGGCTTTGGGCCGTTCATCTACGGTGAGTACCAGACCAGATCCCCGCCGAGATCAATATCATATCCCTTTCTATTGCAGTGGTGCTGTGACACTAACCGGCCGTCTTCTACATCAGCGAGTTGCCTTCTCCTCAACGCCATCGCGATCCTGTCTGAAGACCGCTTCCTCGCTCGAAGTACGTCCAGCCCCGAATCTCACCGATCCTGCATTCTTCATACTCTCTCTCTCCCCCGGTTGTTTCTGTCTCGCGCCGCGCATCCTTCATGAAAGATCAAGATGAAGCAAAATACAAAAGGGCTAACGGGTCAAACTCGGCGTAAACAGTTGGCTGGGGCAAAACCTCTTTGAACGACCCTTCTGCCGGCGCTGCGTTCGGTGCTCCCGGTCAGGACCCGGAGAGCTTTCGCAGTAAAGGCATCAACCTGATTTCGAGTGTCCGCACTCTATGTCGAGGTTAGTACACCTCCCAACATGACCGGGCCTGGCATGCTACATTGGGCGAGGCCGTGATTCTGAACCGTGCTAACAAATGCTCGTTGTTGGGAGGATGGAAACAGTGCCGCTGATCCTGGTGAACTCTTTGATTATCATTTACGAAATTATGCTCGGATGATATCAGCTCCCACCACCACCGAATCAATGGGGCACAGTTCATGAGGAGTCCGGGTCATTCAGTTGGCCTGCCACACGAACTGAGAAAAAAAGAAATTATCAGATTCACGGACACTTGCAAGCAGAGCGATCCAACGCTCTGTCTGCAACCCATACTACGAATGATCCGGGCGAAGAATATCAGACATGGATGTATCAGTCGCTGGAAGCCTAAAACTCGAGATTCAAGAGATAGAGATGTCTCGTATCGTCCACTCGTGGCGGCGGACCGACACTGAATCAACTCGGCCGATCTGTCCTTCAGAGCCAGCTCGCCCCATAAGCCGTCATCGGCCTTCTTGGATCTCGAAAACAGCCGACCCTCGACTCGACGAGCCACCAGGTAGATTGATCTGAAGCAGAGATCGAGCACAGCTTCGAGTCCGAGCCAGCGCTGCACCACACCCGTCTTCGCGGGCGTGCTCAACAGCGCCGGAACGCTGCAAGAGGGGGAAACTCCCCGTGTACTGCTCTCTAGTAAAAGCAGACCGTGACCTACGAACAGCGGTGGAAATGCAGGAGTCTTGTCTGGCTGCATCTCCCCGAGCGAGGCTCCGTCCACCTCTGCGTGGCAGACCAGGGACATGCCCAACCGGACGTGGATGTCAACCCAACTACCTGAGGCCTATAGGAATATTGGGCAAGAAAAGAAAACACGGTCCGGGGAGCATCGAGGCACCAGCGCGCGAACTGAATCCGGGGGACTAATATTTCTGGCAAGATCTATATTCATGATCGTCTCTGTTTTCTTTTCTTTCACCTATATGCGATTTTTGATATTGCTCCCCCTGTAGGTTTTAAATGTGTTTTCACCTTCATTAAACGAAACGCTCCGCACTTTTCACTTGGCCACCAGCGAGAATGGCAAGAGTATTCAACACGCAGGTCAGGATCATTCGCATCTTCAAGTCGGGACTACCCATGTCTTGGTCCCGCCATAATCGGATTGGACCACGGCATAGCCAACACTAGCCTCGCGAAGCCACGTGCCCACGAGCCCTGTCAACCGGTTCTCGAACTGGACCTTATCAGCCCTGTTCCCTCTCGATATCTTCCACGGCACCTGACTTGTCTGGGATCATCCAAGCTGAGACCGTGTTTTGTTTTTCGACGCACTCGCTGCGTCGTCGACGAATACATAGTTTTCCGTCGTAGGAATGCGCGCGACCTGACCGTCTATTTGATATATCGGCTTGCCAACCGAGCAATGGCGAAACACTGGGTTCAGTAAAGTCATGCTGACGATGAAGGCGCTGTGTAAATGCCGTCACCGCATAGTAAAATTTCGTACCAAGTCATAAATTCGGGAGCGTGAGCGTGCAATTCACACGCGAAGGTGATCCGGCTGACAACGGACAGATATATCGACGATTTTGTGCTGCCGGGAGTATAAGTTCCAGGTAGACCAACCATGGCAAGATCCCCAAAACATTAGTTTCGCTTCGTCGGCTTCTAATAATGCGTCAAAAGATATATGTGCAATGCAAACCAATGTCGAAGATAAATCCACTCGAAGCTGCGCTGGCACCTGCGCCTTCGTCATGATAACACGCCGAACGACTTCTTTCGAATGCTGAAACGATTTCTCTTCTCCTTCTCCTTCTCTTTTTCTGGAGGATCCGCACTCTCTGGTGTTACTGAGGGAACCATATTTTCCTCGGATGGATTCGATGTCGGCTTGTCTCTTCTGGTCAAGGATCCGAATCGCAGACTCTTCGATCGTTTGAACCGGTCGAGACCTGAATGGCCACTTCCGTTTGCTTGAACGGTGTGCGCTCTTTCAAGGGCGTTACGCCTATCCTCCTCGGCCTTTGTCGCCTTACTTGCTTCCATGGCCGCCTTAAGTTCCGCCTCTTGTCTCTTGTGCGCTTCTGTAATTTTGTTGGCTAAGTCTTTGCGGCGTTGTCGTTCGGCTTCTTGTCTTTCCTTCTCTGCCTGTTTCTCTGCCGCTTTCCGTGCCTTTTCCTCTTTCGCCTTTTCTTTCTTGCTTTGCACAACAGGACTGGTCGGTCTGGCTGGGGTGAAATTAGGAGGCGACTGGGGTGTTTCAACATGGCCGTTGGCCTTAAATTGAGGTGGCGCGGTGACCGCGTGATCGAGCGCCGCGTATTGTGCGGCTTCTGCAGTGGACGCTGGAGAGGCCATTGGACTGAATGTCTCAACACGATGCAACTCCGCTGAGTGATTGGCATCAACACCAAGGGGATTGGTTAGATCTTGCGAAGCTCGTCTCTTTCCCTCCATTCTTTGCTCCTTTTGAACGGCTTCGAGTGTTGTCTCTTGGTAAAATAGCACGTAGGCACATGCAAGCCCTGGTTTATCTCCGAAGAAGTTGCGGACAAAGTTTTTGTCGACAGGTTCAACCATCTCGTCGTCGAAAAGAAGCCAGCCCCGATCCTGGGTTTTGATAACCGCGACATAGTGGCCATGATATGGTCCCCCGCCAATATGAACAACCACTGCATATAGCTCGTAGAGTCGGTCAGGATCCTCTGCGTCGTCGGTGGTGTTGAAGAGTCTCAAATGATAAGGATACACAACTTTGTGGAATAACTTCTGCAGACGCCCGAAATCTTCAGTATACTTAAAACGCTTCAGGTGTAAAGCCAATATTCGTGGAAGTCGCTTGATTTTCATTCGCTTCTCTGCTTCCTGGAGGCCGCCACAATTGTCACAGTGGAACTTATTTCGCTCGCAGAGCATCTCCTCCTCGGAAAATCTTCGTAAACACGCGGTGACCGATGAATGCTGCTCCAAATCGACCGAAAGATCTAGGAAAGGTTCGTCACGCTGGGAAACGTTTTCGCAAGTCAAGCATCTGGTTTCAGACGTAAGTGTACCTTCGAAAAGGCCGTGTAGCCACTTTGTCGGAGAATTTGCTGTCGGAGCTGGTAATATAGAGGGAAATGATACAGTCGCTGATTCTGTTCTGGCCATATCCGTCGCTGGCTCAATTGCGGGTAAAGGCTCCTCCGATTTCTTCTGCGCAATCACTTTTCTGTCGTGATCCTCGATATTCTCCACCACGGTATTGAGGAGGAGGTTGAGAAACTCATGCGCATCCTGGTGCATGGCAGACCTGAACATCTCATTTTCCTTACGAAGAACCTCGAGAAATCTGTGCCCGCTCACGACTCCCATCCTCGACTGATGCAAGACGATGGCCTCGAATATGTCCTTCATCGATGTAAAAAGGCTTTCTGGCATGTCATAATCCTGTGAGTTATCGTAAGTCATGTTCAGAATGGGGCCGTTCAAAATCGCCTGTTTCTTCTTGTACTCCGGCGAGTCTTTATCCTCGGGCTTCTGTTGTTGTTGAGGAGGAGTACCGGCATTTCGCGAAGATGCAGGCCCTGGGGGTGGCTTCTTCGCCGCGCCGTTTTGTTGATTCGGCGGTACTCGAGGAGGAGCGTGCAACTGAGCATGGGCAACGGCGTCAGGGTTGGACCGGCGTGGATACGAAAGAACGTGTTCTCGGAAAGGCACCGAATAATAGAGACACTGCAGGATCGAATTGCAATAGCTGCGAAAATCAGACCAAGAACACTCGGCGTGGATGTTGTTTCAGCACTGACCAGCTGTTTCCGAACTGCAAAAGATGCTGTGTTAACAACGGAGGCAAGGATTTTTTTCAGACAAGACCAAGACATACATTTTCCATGCCAAAGAATTTATCACTGCCATCGTTGCGAAGCGGGCCAGCATTCGCTAGCATGCGCTCGAGAGGGGTTGGTAGAGGCGCATTTGCGTCCTTTTTGGCCGTGGACGCGCCTACTGCTGGTGCAGATGCATTCTGAGGAGAGACCAGGCCGTTAGTTACTATTTATTCCACAGTAGCCGACAAACAAAGACGACGGAAAACCGGCGCAGCCTCCACCGGGTATATTTGAGAGACCTGCACTCACCTGGCTCTTCAGCTTTCCAAAGAAGGAAGTCATGGTTGACGCGCCTCATCTGCGGACACCCGAATACATGGGCAGGTAAACTAGAGTTGTAATCAGGCTGGAGAGGAGCGCATCGGGAGTAAAGCGACAGGAGAGCAAGCGGGAGGAGGTGAGGTCTGTAGGCCGGAGAGGGTCAGTGCAGGAGGTGGCAGAGTGGTAGTTGTCTACATCAGCTTTGAAATCGGAAGGGCTTAAGATGGTGGTAGTGGAAGTAATATGGTAGCAGTCCGAGTAGTAGTAGTAGTACTCCTGCTTGGGAGGCAGCGAGCTAACTACGATCAACCAGGAGTAACAACTGGGTGGGATCCTATCCCGTCTTCTGGTTGACTAGGTGCAGACAGGGTCCCGACTCGTGGTTTGTGGCGGGGGTGGACGTGACAAGCGCAGCAGCTAGAAGCGACGGAGTTCTGGCTCCTGGGGGGAGGCTGGCCAAAGCGAGCGCGTTGGATCCTGGGTTGCATGTCTGGCTTCACGCCGAGGGGCCTTTTGATGGACGCCCGGCTGGAATAATAGTGGGCAATTGGTGAGAACTCGGCTGTGCACCACCAGCTAGAAGGAACCCGCCCCTCCATCATCAACGCCCGTCAAAAACCCCCCTTAGGGCCAGCGTCACCCACAGGCTTGAGCCAAAGTGGTCACTCAGCGAAGATCGCGATTAATGATAATCGGCTGCCCACCCAACTGCTGCGTCTCGAAGAGGCCCCTGGTTCCATGCCATGTACGAGGTACCTATTGTCGCACTGAAAGGCCCTCGCTTCGCATGCATTCCCGCAAAACAATGTCAAACAAGATCAACACTCGGGTCAAGAGATCAAGAGATCACGGGTCAGAGGTTGTGCACCCTTGTCTCTCCTCCCACGAGTTTTCGACTGGGCTTTTCCTGCAACCGTGGGAAGTCTCCGTTTTGCCCAAACGGCGTCCGCTTCGCTAGACCAACTCTAGGGTATCCAGCTCAACTGCCGCATGTGCCTGGTGTCTCCAGGAGCAAACGTTCTAGCGCCTGGCCTTGACCACCTCCAACCATTCTCCATCGACGATAGCTGACGGGGGTTACAGATCGCTTGAGAGCGGAGGACTTATCGAGCAAGCCGAACACGCGATGCCTACTACGGAAGCACCAAAGACAGTGACTCCCTCTCCATCATTGCCCATCACGCCAGGGCTTCGGTATCGAGCTCTTCTCCCTCATTGTCCTTTTCCGTCACTTGTGATCGCCGGCGGTTAATGTGGAAATCGGCAAAGTCGGACCACGCCATCAGCTAACTATCCGTGCGTTCATACTTCCCGCTTCCTTCTTAGAGGCTGAGCCCGGAAGACCTTGTTAGAATTTGCCTGATATCCTCGAGCGCTGTTTCTTAGGCGCTCATGTCCCCTCTTTATCCCACTTCTCCAGCATTAACGCCAAACAAAAGTGCCGATCTACAAGAAGGAGGAACCCCCGAGGAGCAGGCACAGCAGGTGATTTAAAAACCTCCGCAAAGAATATTCGAAGGCTTCGCTGCAGAACTCCACGTGGCGGAGTAGAGCTGATTAGGTTCAAGCCAGGTGGACTCTGCACTTGGACCACCGATCTCAGATTTATTAACCACCTCGCCAGCAATCAGCCAGCTACTCCGACGTTCAAGTCCGCATAAGCTATGATCAGCACCTTTGGCGACATCGCCCACACTGAAGCCCTGTCTTCGCCTGATTGATCTCAAGTCAGCATTGTTACAATTCGCATTGAGACCTCGAGAACTTGGTCCCATGATGATGCTGACCCTGGTCGACCGTTTTGCCAGTCAAAACGAACTGCACATCCATATCCGCCACCAACCGTTGGACGCGAGTAGTAGAAGCTCATCCCCTTCCTTCGAACCTCGCTCCTAGCCTCATTAGGAAATCCTCGGGGGTAGTTCGCTTTTCACTACAGGGCACGATACTATGAGAATGAGCCACGACCATTGCAATAGTCGCTTTTTTGAAGCGGGGAGACCAGCCAGGGGTACTCGGTACTGTTTGCAGCGTGCTTGCACACAAAAACGCAGACTCCACTACATATTCTGGGGTTGTCAACCTCAAAAAGCGTTCAAGGCATGCGAAAGACAGTCTATTCAAGGCGAATTCTCAGTCTGGAAAGCCAAGGTGAATCAAACGCGACTTTCAGGATTGATAGACTCGCGGATCAGTCCCGCAATCGCAGAATCTCTGTGAGGAATTCCTCGAAGCTCATGGTGACATATCCATCTCGGTCGTCGTCGTATTTCTTAAAGACGTCAGTCATCCTTTTCAGGCTGATGCATGATTGCACAAATAGATCAAAGCTCATGCCTTGGTTCTGGATGGGACTGCGATCATTGAATGTGTGATAGAGAATGTTGACGAAAGGCGGGGACAACCGATATCCAAACGCCGTCAGCGCCTTGGAGAACTCTGCCAGCGATATCCGCCCGCTCCTATCCTCATCAAATTTCTCGAACAGGGCGCGCCACGCGGCCAGGAAGCGCCAAAGGTTTTCAAACTCTTGGTAGGTGATGGTCGGGCCTAGGTACTGGTTTGGAGGGGAGTTGGTGAACATGCGCATCAAGGAAGAGATGGTTCGCCCATCAAAAGGGGTGAAGTCGGCATTCACCAGGGCCGAACCCAGCTCCGTTGTCGTCAGTGATCCGGTGCCTGATGCATTTGCAGCACGGAAAAGAGGCTGTAAGTCGACTGTGTCGGGATCTTGGGGTGCAGGTGTCCTGGACGGATATTGATTCGTTTCGTGCGAAGTTCGTCGCGCGTTGGCAGGATCGATCGGCGGACGAGACGCGTAGCCGTAGCTTGTTGGAGGAGGTGATTGCAAGCGGGAAAACTGGTTGTCACCATAATATTGACTGTTTATTGGGTGTTGTTGTGGATTTATTTGCACGGGAGGCGGTCGATAGGAGTTCTGGGGGATGCCCGCAGGGGACGGACGACGGCCCCCAGCCAACGGAGGCTGCTGAGCGTTCGGATTCGAAGGAGCTTGGTTTGGACTGGGACGGAGAGCTTTGCGATTTGCTTCGAGTTGACTGAGGGCTTGCGCAGCCTGCTCAGGCTCTGCGTGACTGTCATGAACAGAGAGAGTCAGTGAGTGAAGCGGGGGAGGGGTCTGTAGTCGTACGCAGGCAAGGCATCAGGATTGAAGGCTCTGTTGTATGCCATCAGAGATGTGTTGGAGGAGGATAACAATATTTTGTCAATTTGAAAGAGGGCGAGGATCACACGCTGTTCGAGAAAGACAGCGATCCATATTTGGTCATTGTGAGGCTGACCAAAGAGCTGCAGCTGGGAAACTGACTTCTTTGCATGATGACGATTTCTTGGGGCTCAGGTGCCCAAGCTGAGGTGGGCGCAGGCAAAGAATGACTTTGGCGGGGCTGGTTTCTGGGCGCAGTCCCCCCTAATTATTCCTATCTTCTATCTGTGAGCACCTCCTCGTCCGAGTAATAGCCTCACCTCGGTAACCAAAAACGTAAAGGGTCGGCTTGAGTGGCTCGCCAGGCGTATCGCAAGGCTGCAAACACGATCTCTGGACGAACGGCCCATTTACCAAAGTCGTCACACCCAAGATAATACCTCGTACAATAGGTGTCTTTGACAGCTCGGGACTGCACTTGTATACGAACAGACCTGACTAACTCATGACTAACATAATTCTCTCAATCGTGGTAGACGTCGGTCCGTTGGTTCCGCTATCTTGCTCAGTCTCCCGCCCTCGATTGGGCTTGTAACGCCCTCTTAGTTGGGTCGGTATCTTTTCCGTCTGCTTTGGCCGAATACATTCACCGTGTTGATGGCTTGAAGTAAGATATCGGACGAGTAAGCTTGAATTATTCTGTGTGCCTGGTCATTCTGCTGAGAGTCGACCCGGCAAGCGTGTATTAGTGTGCATGAGATCTGCCAGCTGGCTTCAGGCGTCGGGAGAGATCCGTAGCCCACCCATGGGGCCTCTGTGCAACAAAGATGGCCTGAAGTTTAGCCCCTCTAGGCGGTCGTTTCGTAGGTACCTAGAACGCCTAAGTTACCTAGTGATGGTGGTGAGTGGTGAAGCTGCTTAACTAATTAGTTGCCGCGCTGCCACCAGCTGCTGGCCCGGAGCTCCCCCCTGGAGGGCGCGTGGCTCTGCGTCGCTGTCTTCGTCTGTGCCACTAAGGCGGCTTCGTTAAGCAGCGGAACCCGCCTCTGATCCTCCCGAAAGCAACCATTGATGCAGACGAAATTCATCATCCATGCCTCTCTTTTCCATCCAGAGACGGCCTTCTCCTTAGTCGAGTTAGTCTATATATCTCTGCGTCTTCTTTCTGCTCTGCTTACATATACTCCTATTGACTTGGTATCAGAAGTCGCTGTGCTGTTGTTACACCTGAATTCCAACCTGTGCAACCTCTTTTCGACCGATGCCGCAGTCCTGTTCTCGCCTCTGACGCCCAGCTCAAAATCGTTCCACAAGTCAGTGTTGCAGCATGAGTCCCGTTCACACACAAGACTTCTGGCTTTTTGGCTATGGGTGAGCTATATTGTCCCTCACTCGCTGCATCATCATGGCCGCGACGACTGATTGAATGCTCTCAATCAATAGGAGCCTGATATGGAAACCTCCACCACATTTTGGTAAGAACTGAGTACCGTCTCAGCATCCTTGCAGACCAGAGTTCATGCCCATTAGATCAGCGGATTCCAGGGTATATCAAAGGTTACGTTCGACGCTTCTGGCAGGTAGGAGGCATTGTAGCAACCTAGCACAAGTCAACCACTAGCTAACAGAGTTCGTTCACCTAGGCAAGGTAGGTGTCTCTCGCGTACCGATCAACTCACGTTTGCTGAGCAAGCACCCCAGCGAGGACCATCGTGGAACCCCTGACGCCCCAGGAAGAGTGGTCACGTTGATTGAGAGATCTTTTTGGGAAACGCTTGACGACCCTGTACGACATACACCTCAGCCCTAGCGTAAACGTCATCCTTCGTGTGTGACTGACAACCATCAGCAACGCCATACAGAAGGGGACGTGGTTTGGGGCGTCGCCTATCATATCATACCATCAAGAGTCAAGGAAGTTCAAGAGTACCTCGATATTCGCGAAATGTATGCCGTCTTGACCGCTTCCAAATTGCTTGTTGACCTCGGGGCAGAAATGGATACAGCATTCAATACACTCCCTTTCACCCTGCGGACACTTCGCTTGCAGATCTGCATTGCCTGGTCTATATCGGTATGCCTGACAACCCTCAGTTCTTGGGTGCTTTGCCGCCGGATGAGGTTGCAGAAACGATCAACGCCAGTATCGGTCCAAGCGGGGAGAATAGAGAGTACCTTCTCCATCTTGAACAGGCCCTGAAAGAATTGAGCCCAGACAGCCATGACGAACATATCGCAGACCTCACGCGACGAGTGCAAGCTCTTACTCCGCCCCATAGATTTCCGCGTCGCCCGTGTGCACCTGAGAATACCTTGCGAAAAGTCAACAGTACTGAGGAGCAGGAGGAGATAGAGAAGGAAGTATGATTGCTTGTGGTATGGACATTCTTGGATATCTCTGGTGATGTGATCTCATGCATTCGAATTGGAATTCAGCGGTGCGGTTTCCGACCAACAGCTTGGTTCAATCAGTGGATGGACTTCGTGGGTATCTTTGCACAATCAAGTCATTGTCCCCGATCTTCTTGGTCTATTGTCGATGAGGCCCCTGCTGGCCATAGGGGTTGTTGCCCCCTTGCTGCTGGCCTCCTCCATACGGACCGCCTGGTTGTGGGTATTGCGGATTGTACTGCGCATATTGAGCAGGATACGCCGCGCCGCGACCGAAACCCTGAGGGTTCGGGTTCCGTGGCTGGGTCCCAGGCTGTTGATAACCACCTGGCGCCATGGGCATTGTATATCCACCTCTTCCGGCGAAGCCACCACCGCGACTCGCGCCTCCCTGCCTATTGTCCTGGGCATGATCTACTCGAATCAGACGACCGTCGAATCTGCGCAAGAGGTCAGTTTCTCGAGGGATGTGAATGCCGCCCTGTCTCCTCACTCAGTGTTGTTCATTTTCTGAAGGGCTTCGTCGGCTTCCGCTTTCGTCGCAAACCGCACAAATCCAAAGCCTCTGCTGCGATTTGTGTCGCGGTCTTTGACGACAACCTGAACAGCATCAGCCATCCCTCTCACAAATCATCGACGCATCAATTACCGCCTCCTCCACCTTGCCGAATTGCTGGAACCCTTCGTATAATGTTTCGTCGGTAGTATGCCAGGCAAGACCTCTGTTGGAAAGATCACGTCAATTTTCACCGGGACAACTGCATTTGTAAGACTTTGGGCACATACCCAATGAAGAGCTTCGCCATAGTGCAGTCGATTGGCCACAGCCAGAGATGGTACTGTCGCAAAGTACTTTCGGCCCCCTTCAAAGTAAGCCCCCGAGAGCGGTCTGAGATACCCAGAACTCACCGCACAAAGTCACGGATATTGAAGAAGAGACAATAGTCAGGATTGGGTTGTCATGAAGATTTCATTGGTCAAGAATATGCAGCGGTTCATGCAATCTATCAATTAGAGCGTCTGCAGTTCAGCCCCAATCAACAACAGACTAGCATCGATATCACGATTCCTTGTGCCTTTGAAGTCGCCGGGTGAAACAGTGACAAAGGAAGTTGAGTGGGATCCGCCGAGCGGGCAAGATGCCCTCACTTAAGATCGGCAGGCTTCTGAGGGTACCACGTGGGAAAAGCAAAGCCCATCTCCTAGATGTGGTCAACAGCTGGGAAGTATAGCGGCACCCAATTCTCAGAAGGAGCGAGAACCTGTCCCCCGCGCATACGGGGATGTTGGTACCGAATCTCTCTGACGAATACAATCTACTTGCGGGCAGCCGTTGACGCGAAGATGACTTCCTGAAAGTTCGATGCGCAAAGACTTCCGGATCCAAAGCAAAATACTGGAGTGGAGTACAACAATCACTCGCTCTGGTGCACTCGCAAACTCCTTGTGATAGGGTGATGTCAGGACAGTTGAAAGATCGTGCAATACGAGGGTGGTGTCGAGGCACTGCTGATACGGTGGACCCGAAAAAGCAAAGGAAGAACGGCTAACAGTGGGCCTATCCAACAAGGAGATCTCCCAGCACAGTGGAAGCCCTGTTCGGTGGAAAGAGTCATTGGCGCAGGACACCCTTTTATTGCCTGGAACTACGATATAGCAGGTCTCTATCAACCGCTCAAGTTGCATATCAGCCCTATAGGCAGAAAGCCTATTTACTTGGTTGCTTCGATGACAAGTTTTCCAAACCCTCGAGGCAAAGCGGTCTCTGTCGAAGGTCGAGAAACCATCCGGCCAGATCACCATGGCAGCTTTTGATCTTCGGCCTTCAGAGGTTCTGAGAACGATTCGTTAGGCGGTGTTGGACCGTGGCCAACAAGACAGCACCAGATGTTGTAGTGGAGGGAGGGAGGGGAACCAGTCTCAGAAAGAGGCAGGTGATGTTCGGGCACCACGAGCTTGACCGCTGGTTGAATCTGGGCAAAGGTAGGGCTGCAACAGGATTGATCGAGCTCAATCAACGGGAAAGCCAACGGGACTATGGGCTTCGCCGCATCATTCGACGCATTCTACTGGGTGAACTGGACCTCATGTCCTTATCAGAGACTTCTACTGGCAAAGTTGCGCACCGACATACCCCGCCTCCGGGAAAAGATGTTCAACTGATGCGGCCGAGGAGAGGATACTCGAGGACAATTTGGGTTCCTCTGTGTGACGAGCACTTTCTGAATGGGGTTTGGATGGGTCGACTTTTGAGCATTTGGAGGGAGAGGTAACGGTCCTAGCGTGAGTGGATGCGCCCAAGATCACAGATCCAACTGACTCAGAATCAAGAGATGAAGGTTGGTGCAGCTTTGTTGAAGCTAAGGAACCAAACTTTATAGAGGGCATCCATCCGGGTCTGCTCGGGGAGCCATCAAAAGAGATGGAGAAGCGGGCGTGCCAATTGAGGGTGGATGGATGGTTGTGTGTGGATGGGGAGTTGAATCCTCATCAGTGGCACAGTTGCCGGCCAGTGCCTTGGGATCCTAGCATCCTGGGATCCTAGGCTTGGGGGGGTTGGAGGGAGTCTGAGAGGTTTGTGTGGTGGGAGCTCGACTCGACGAAAGACCGCCGCATGGAACTAACGTCCAAGATGCTCTAGCGACCCTCGCAACGCCTCTTGAGCCTGCAGCCAAAGTCAAATATGAGCACAACGCCGACACTAGAGTACCTGGATTCAGCAAGACGAAACTCTCAAAAAGGGAGCAACAGCTTGGCTGCCTTCTTGACCCAAACCCTCGTTTCCCGGTATTGGTATTCCCAAGTCTCTCCTCGACTTCTCTAGGCTCCGGGGCCTTGGACGCTACAATGGCTCCACCGTGGTCACAAAGCCTATAACTAGCAGAAAAGCACGAAATCCTCCGATATGGACTAGCACACCCCCTCGCTGGAGCACATGTCGACCAACCCACACCTGCATCTTGGGTTCCCTCCCCCTCCAAGTCGAAAACGCTCCACTGGTACCACTGCAACTTGACGCCTAGGTTGAGAGGACATACCCAAATACCCTCCCCAAAATGTGACCTACAGATTGGACCAGGCGTGGAATCTCTCCTCACCGACTTCTCTCCTGCCTGTGCCTGTGCCGCTGTCCGATGACCCCATCGTCAATTGCTTGGCCGGACATTCTAATAATGTGGGGGTCATCATGTCTGCCAGTCCGTCGCCGAGCATGGCCAGATATTTTGGACTACTGTGCTTGTAGAAGGACCAAGAGTGACCTACCACTGCCTACCCAAGCACAAGGTGTCCGCGGCTGGCCGGCTCTTCTCGGCCTTACTGCGCTGGGACCTCCATGACCGCAACGTTACCTTGGGACATTTTCTTTGTGCATGAAGAACTGCAAGATGAGAAGGTTATCGCATGTAAGCTTGACTGGAGTGACTGGGGTCCTGCAGAAATGATCTGCAGTCAGCCCTACGTGTGCCTACGATCCACATTTGGCCTCCTTTTCGCCCCAGCCTTGACTATCGGTATGTTTCCGACCAGGTCAAAGAACAGTATAATTCGCCCATGGGCGTCTTGCGCTGAACTGCCGGTCCCTGCACCTACAAGAGCATCTGGCGCCTTCCGCACAGTTCTGTTTGGGAGGTAATGGACGCGCTTTCCACTGGATGGCTAGTGTTCGTTGCAGGGTCACCATCCCTCAATTTCTATTCTTGAAGAAGAGGTTCGCTGTTCGTCTTGGGCCACATACGAGTCTGCGTCTGGGTAAAGATGAAGGCGGTCCGTGATTCGACAAACAGATGTCTTGCCTTGGACGACCAGTGCTTGTCGTCTCCGAAGATGTGCAACGGTGGCTACTAAATGTGGAACAAGGCTCAATTGACCTCGACCAGGAAGGCATGTATCCAATTACACCTTGTCACCACGTGAGGGGCGAAGGCCAAGTTTGAGATGGAGTGAGCTGCGGTGCAACATTGCTGATGTGGATTGTGACAGAGACCCTACGGGATCGGGGACCGGCCTTACAACTGTTGAGCGCGAAACAAATTGGAGTCAGCCACGAGGGTCGGCACAGAAAGACAAGAGAGCAGGGTCGCCTTAAGAGAAGGGAGAATGATCATGCCGAGCTTGGCCCGCCGTCTGACTGCCGAAGTCTCATACACGGGAAGGACAGTACAACCAGGGTGGGAGAGAAAAAAGTACCGGATGCGGGTGAGAAGTATGCCAGGAAGCTCAGGCACAAAACCAGACCCGACAGATACGAGTACAAGGATGCAACTCAAAACCCTTCGAAGAGGGTCAAGAAAAAGTCAGCGGCCCTGCTCAGTCATGATTTTCAGGCCCCAAACGTGGCCAGCGAGAGATTAACCCTCAACTCCAAGACTGGACCAGGCTTTCTTACCAAAGCAAAAACTTCCGCCGACGCCGGGAAGAGGGGACTGCCAGATCTGACCTTCTCAGAGATGGCATTTCTCAAGAGGAAAAGACAGGACGACGAGGCACGCTTTCCAAAATCAGAGGAGCAGAAGTCGAGAAACAAAAGGGTCACCTCGCCACACTGTGAGATAGCAGACTTCTTTGCTCAATCGACAGGGTTAAGACGTGAAAGACGATATTCAGGCACCCCACCCTCGGTGGAATTTCACATCTCACGAACTGCCTCCCCGTCACAGGACCGAGTATCATCGAAGCGCCAACGACTGAGTCCAGTTGTACAGTCAAACGCACCAGAAAGCAAACGTTTCCGCAAAGCCCACAGCCCAACTGCCTTTGTACCGATTCGTCCGACGAGCTCCGATAGTGAAGGCTTCCTGGAAAAGTTCACGACCGACGCACTCTTACATGGAGTCGACGAATTTTCCCACGGACCGCGGAGATATTACTCATTGAATGACTTGAAGAGGATAGCCATCCAGGTGGCTACAGACCTGACTGGCACCGAGGGTGCTTGTCATCATGATATAGACATCACGGGCGATGTCCAAGCGTCGACCAGTCAATCACATATGTCCATTCTGGCCACGTCGAGGGAAAAGCGAGACTCGCTTCGTCCTACCACGCCGTGGCACCCGCAGAACCTGTATCATACTGCAGAGGGTGGCAGCGGTGTGAGATCGGAGCGTCCGAGCGGACCGCACAACCGAATGCTTCCGTGTTCGGACAAGGGTGGCGAGGGCGAGCAAGATATTGAACGAAGCCCGTCCCGGGAGTCTGCGACCATAAAGCAGCTTGCTAGCCCTGTCTACCACTGTCAAGTTTTTGGGAATGACTTTGTGGAAAAGCCGGGACCATCTTGCCATGTTGACGACTCGGAAAATCGACTTGGGGACGGCCAGGTCTCTCTTCATGCAGACGCTCATCCCGAGTTACGTCTTTTACCAGCAATGCCCGATGTCGCCGGAAACTGCATCGGTGAGAGCAAGGCACTTCATACTACTAATGCGGACACATACGAGTTAGATGAGTTCGACACAGAACTATTGCGACTGGGGACTGAGTTGGCGCAATCGGGCACCATGGCCGATCGTCAGTCTCCCTCGTACGAAGCCGGTGTTGAAACATCGGTACGAGATGTAGGTGGCTTCTCGTGTGAACTATTGGCGGACAGCGCTGCAGATCGACATCGGGCGCATGACTCGGTCGAAGGGCGGCATATACGCAACGTACCAATGGACAATTCCTTGTTCCATGATTGCCAGGAATTATCTCCATGGAATCGTCATGTGTCTCAGGATCACACAGAGGGATTCTCGGGATTTCCTCGGCGACATGTTCTATATTGATCTTGAATAGAAGATGTCAAGATGGAAAAGGCTTGGGGTTCTGGACATGAGATGGGAGCAGACATGGTGTACTGTATCTGGTGTAACCCCAGACTTGTTCGCACCCTTTGTACGAGGTACTGACGCCGAGTCTGAACCCTCAGCTGCCGGTCGATCTTCGTCTCACCTGGGCCATGCAGTCTTTGCCTCGTCATATGTAAGGCGGCTTTTTTTTTTCCCAAGTGTATAGTACTTTTGGACGTCATGGGGCCGTTTGTTGATCGCGTATTTGATGAGCCGATGCAGAGTACACTCCGGGGATTTCTAATTGCACGTCGTACTTCGGGTAGTGGCGGAATTTTGGTGACTGGATTATGGGGGAGAATGTGATGTGAGTAATCACGTCCCTGTCAGGGAAGTTTCGGTATTATGTATGTAGGGTGCGATTGTGGGGGTCTGGAAGGCCTCATGGGATTCCAGCCTCTCTTTCTCAGCTGAGATTGCCATTCCGTACAGCTGTAAAAGGCTCTTGTCAACTCCGTCTCTTGCGACTGGAAATACTTGTAACTCGGGTATTCGCCATAGACCAACCCGTATTGTATCCTAACGATCCGGAAGATATCACCTCGGTCGCCCGTGCCTGTGGCTATATACTTTCGAGGGGAGCAAACGGCGGCAACGGATTGTTTGAGAGGAGATACCGTGATACTGGAGGTTGTGTAAAGGCCTTTTCGCTGAATATCGGAAAGTGGGGGAGAGAGAAGACGAGAGAAAATAAGCTACAAAATGAAGAAAGTCATCCGCTATCTGCAAGATCAAGGTAAGCTGCCTGCACTTTGTGTATTGTTATTCCCCCCTCTCCGCCACGCAGTCAGCTCCTCTGCCACTCAAGAACCAAATTTGCTAAACAAGCGCCATTAGCCCTCGAGGCTTCACAGCAGAAGTATTCAGGTGCAGCATATTTGTCCCCCAAAACCAGGGAACCTCAACAACGGGCCAAGCAACACAGCCCGTCATATTACAAGGAGCAGCACACCTCGCACCATCAATCCCGCTCTGCAAATCCAAGCTCAGCCGCACACAGCTTCCCATCCCATACGGCAGCTGGGACTACACCCCCAAGATCCAGCGGACAGGACGAGCGCGCACCGCCGCACCTGTCGGAGAAGATCCAACGCGATATGAAACGGCACCAGTATGCCCTGGACAACATCCTTCAATCTTACGAGCTGTATATCCCCGAGCTCGATCAGTCACACCTTGCCGATGCCAGTGGGAAGAAGTTCTGGGTCGTGTTTGTCCATGGCGGCTACTTTCGTGATCCTACGGTCACATCGTCATCCTTCTACCCAGCACTCGATTATCTAGTATCCGGGAAGGGAAATGGTCACCGCCACCTCCATAATCCTCTCAAACATGACGAGCATGTGCCAGCGGTTGCGCCTTACATTGCAGGATATGCGTCATTGAACTACCGTCTTTCACCCCACCAGGACAAGGCACCTCAGGACCCAAACAAAACACCGGCGTACGAGCTGCGGAATGCCAAATGGCCGGATCATATCCACGACGTACTCACCGCCATCGCACATCTACAAAACAAATATGGCTTCGGGGAGCGCTATTTGCTTGTGGGACACAGTGTGGGCGCCACAATGGCCATGCTGAGCACTATTGCGGCACACCGATCCTTCTCCAAAGGAAACTCATCTGAGTTGCCCAAGATTGAACCACCCATGGCAGTGCTCGGTGTTTCAGGCATCTATGATTACCCGCTTATCCATGAGTCGTTTTCTGACTATATCGGACTGACAAGGAATGCCATCCCAAATGAGGCCGATGATGTGCTTGCCAGCCCTGCGAGGTATGATGCAAAGGACTATGTGGATGGCTGGGCAGCCGCCGGGACGGAGAAGAGGGTTTTGGTTATTGCACATTCAAAGGACGATGGGTGGGTGGATTGGAAGCAGGTCGAGGCAATGCAGAAGGTCTTTGCTGGTAGTGAGTCGGCGATTAATTGCACAGTTATTGAATTGAAGGGCCAACATAATGATATCTGGGAAAAAGGGACGGAGTTGGCAAGGGCGATCGCTCAGACGGTGGATATAATGAGGGGCCTGGAGGGAGATGGGCAGTGAAGGACCGCCCAAGGCGACATTGACACGAAGGACATGTGATACCCATTTTTGGAGGATAACGGGACCCCAGATTGAACATGAGGGATGTGAACGACAGGAGTCAATGGAAATATTATGAACGGGAACATTGAGAGGTTCACATGTACCGAATACCTCGTGCATCACCATCAGCGCAGTCTGGCGGCCGAGGCGTGCGGGTGTGCGGCGAGGTGGGTGGAATGACGTTGCGTTGGTCTTGGCATGTTTACTCTCCGACCGAGTTGGCGCGACTCAATTGCCTTTTCACTTTGACGGCGACTTTGATGTTTGATTTCTCCACTCTGAGATACAATACAATGCCGGTTGTATAATTTGAATAGAAATCAGATATATCGCCAAAGAACGACATACAGGCGAAAAGTCCCACCTCGCCAAATATGGCTCTGCGAGCCTCGGCCTCACCCTCGCCCGCACCAGAAGCACCCGTCGCAAGCGCACCGGGACCTCGCGCGGCGGCACTACAAAAGGTGTTCGCCGGCGCGCTGGCCTCGTCCCTCAAGGCGAACTCGTACGCGAACTTTAGCTCGTGTTTCCCGACGCCCGCGAAATACTGTCCGACGGCGCTCGAGGGGGTCTGGCGACAGTTGAACACGCGCCTGGAGGAAGAGTGCATGCGCGACTTTGAAAAGATTCTGGAGGAGAGACAGGTCATTGCGGGTTTGAACCAGTGGGATGACATGGTCGATGAGGCGAGGAGGAAAAAGCATCGCGCCGTGGAAGGCGAGATGCCAGAGAGAGCGTGAGTGAGCGAGCCGCAACAGGCTATTTTGTCCCGTATGGCACAACTGACCATGACCAAAATGAAAATAGATTGCACACTTTATCCGCAGACGAATTGTATACCGCCCACCTCACACCTTACCTGCAACAAGCCACCGAGGAGCTGAACACGAGATTACAAAAGTCGCAGCAGGAGAATGCAGTCATGAGGGAAGCAGTCTGCGGACAACGGGGCGAAATTGAGCGGCTGCTGGGCAGCCTTGAACACGCCGTGAAAGATATTGAGGGGAGCGTCGAGGCCATGTGCACAGACGAGTCCAGCGGCTTCAATGAGCTGAGAGAGGAGTCGTGGCAGATGGAGCAAGAGGTTGCCGCAACAAGATAGGATCGTATCCCAGATCAGGATTTGGTATATTGGGATGGGATGGCTTTACTCGGAGTTCTAGCGTCGGCGCTGGAGGAATGTTCTCATGCGGGCCTAACGTCCCCTGTGAGACACACATGCATGTCTCAGGAAAATAGGAAGACTCGGAGCAAGATCCCTGTTTGAAGTACAGGGCTTTATGAAGCGACAGCCCAGAGAGATGATAGGCGGACAGGGAACGCAGGTCATCTGGATACGAGGTTCTGAAATTGAAGCCAGGAGTCCAGAGCATTCGTGTTGAGATCTGCGTTGGGTGTCCAAGAAGGCTTCAATAGCCTGAGAAATTTAACAAGCAGAGGCGATCCGGAAAGAGATTGAAGACGAATGAGTGGTCAACGCTTCAACGGGTTCTAATGTGTCAATATCGGATGCGTCCCTTTTGAGACATTCGCCAATCGGGGGCGGTTGTCCAATCACAGGCCGTGGTGGCGCCAAGAGTCTCTATGCGGATGCGGCGAGGCGGGAATCGACGTTTCCCTCATCGCCCTTCAACCTTGCGCTTGTTCAGACTGTTCAGTATCGTTTGTGACAAAGAATTGGCAGGCATCGTCTCCGATTCGAGCTGACCAACGACAATCTCTCCGGCTGGAGCCAATCGTCACCCAGGTCGATTGGCCGTCGTGGCTTGTTGGTGGAGCACACAGCTCTCTTGCACCAATTTCCAAACAAACAGGTGTTCAGCCTCTGCACCAGGCCTTTCCTTGTCGCCGCCACAGCCACGCTTCTCTAGGTATATTGCGTATGGCGAGCTCCGGCTGGTAAGGATCTGCAACTGCCCCAGGATGATTTTCCGCCCGTCTCACTGCGTCTTGTTTTGTTTATGGTGAAAAATTGAAGCGGGAGGAGGGGCAGGCAAATTAGCCGTCCTGGCCCTCTTACCCAACCTGCATTTAAGGTTTGATAACGAGATTGCATGGCCGCCACCAACGACCACAACAAACATCCGCCCACTACCAACTACAGGCGAAACCTGGCGTCCCCGGCCCTTGCGACTTTGTGGTTTTACTCGCTTCTGCGCGCCAGGAACCAATCCTTTGCTGCCGTCGCTCGCAATTGCCGCAACTTCCGCCCCTCTTATGCGAATAGTTCCCTGCGGTTGCATTCTCCGAAGATACCCTTGTCGGCGCAAACCAGATACCCCCCAGACTTTTCACGAAGATGACACGCCAAACGCCCTCCCCCGGCACAAGGCTTGCAGCTAGTTGATATCCTTGGTTGGTGAGACGCTAAGACGCGTGCATGAAGAAAAAAAAAGAAGTACCGAGTACGAGTACACCGGTTCAGCGTGTGTCGCTGGTTCGCTGGTATGGACTCTGTTTCTGTGATGGCTGTTGCAGAAACGTTCTCCGGTTTTTTGTCTTTTTGCTTCAGCTTACCGTGGTGCTCTGTTGTTTACATGTCGTTACTCAAGCCCACATGAAAAACTGCATATGGTAATTTCGGATTCTCCACCAACTCTTCCATCTGCCCCGCCTTCATTGGTCTTTTCGAGAGCATGTGTGTCGACTTGAACCCCTCTTCAGGCTTGTCTAGCCATTTACAGTGGGAAAGAGCCTCGACATGAGCAAGGAATATCCCAATTGAACCCGGGCCCCCGGACTTTGTCTGCTAGACTAGAGGACAACAACCTCAGCTCATCAGGTGCTCTGCTCTCCATATTCTTCCTTGCCAGCTGAAAACGCGTCTTCTCATCTTTCTTGACAATCACAGCTATTCGTGTCTTTGTTTACTCTGGCGATCTGAATGTCAGCCTCACATCTTGCATTCAGCAAATTCCGGACATCATTAAATTATATTGCAAAGGCCCATATCACAGTTGACGGGGCAAGGTTGCTTTGCACGCAACCTCGCATAACACTATCAGATGGAAGGACGGACCAGGATATCGGCGGTCGCGGGCCTGGGGGGGATCTTTGGCACCGCAAGCAGCGTGCTGCACATCATTTTCGCAACCAACATCACCAATGTTCCGGCACTGTCAGGCCTTCGAGATCTGATTTATGTCGCCTTCCTGCTGAGCCTGATCAACCTCGCCGTCCTGGCTTACTTTGGCACGCTGTTCACCAAGAAACTCTGGACCCAGGCGCAGAGCTCGAGATCAAGTTCGTGGCGACTCTTTTACAGTGGAGTGGTTTCGGCGGCGGTCAGTATCGTCGTCTCCGGAGTTGCACTGGTATGGCTGGTTGTTGTCCGAAATGATCTTCCCACAGAGATATTGAACACGTCTCTCACGACGTGGCTTGGGATATGGTTCGCTATGTGGGGTTGTTCTGCTCTGTTGCAAACAGTCTTCTATGTTCTTCTCGGAATCTGGACCAAGAATGTCTTGACAACAGCAAGGGTCAGCGGATTGAACTTGGAATTTGGCATCAGAGCACCGTCGGCCGCTACTGAGAAGAGGCCGGGCACTCAGCAGACCAATCGATCATTCGGCTCGCAGGACTTGACACTGAATTCACCGCCACGCACCCCTGTCTCAAGAGGAGAATCTTCGGCACGCAGATCATTGTCCACGAAGGTGGGAACTGGATCGTCCAAGACGAAACGGACACGATATTCCAGTCCATCGTCGCTCGAAGGTTCGCCGTTCCCAGCTGGCGAGGCCATGTCTATCGACAGTGCCTTTGATAGCTGGGACACGTCCTCTGTACACCACGAGCTGCGCGTGGTCATTCATTCATCTCCGCCGGTCGCTCACGGAGCTCTGGAGACGATACCGGGTAGTCGGCCTGAATCACCTGCCAACGTGCTGGATGGACCATTTCTCCCGTCAAGACACTCTCCTACCTCGAGTTCGCCGCCTCATGCCGCAACCTCAGACACTGCTACTGCCTTTGGCTGGAGCTCGTCACCACGACAGCCGAAATCATCACCTCCATCCAGCCCGATCAATTTCTCCCGGCCTACCTCTCAACCTGGTTCGTCAAATGCTAGCAAGCACGCACCACGGCCACCTAAAATTGGCCAGTTTGATTCTCCCTTGCAGGAAGAAATGATTCACCCGTTGTTCCGCCAAAGCAGCCCTGGGCCACATCCGATAGCTTTCGGCGGCACCATGGTCACCGCCTCGCCCATGGCCAACACTACCATTACTCCTGGTGCGCTCGCTCGTCTGCGAAGCAATTCTCACCTTACACTGGAATATGCGAAAACGGCGCCAAAAACCAGGGACGACTTCGAGACAGAGAGCGAGGAAGGGTTTGTGCCGGATAGCCCTACGTTGGGCACTCCGTCACTTGGTAGTCCCGGTCCATCGATTGTTGACGACGAAGAAGACCTGCCACCAATTCTGCCGGGATTTGTACTGTCGGCGGGATCACGGACCAGTTTGGTGGACTACGGGAAGCGGAAAAGCGTCAAAAGGGATTGTTCCCGATGCGAAATGTCGACGGGCGGTCAATTGAGTCCGGTCATGGTTTGAGACATGGCTTGGCACTTGAGATTCATTTTCTTTGTGATTTTTGTTGTTCCGAATACGATAACGGCCGTTGGTCTTTTTCTAGCGCGGAGTTGGCGGCTGTCTTGATTGTTGGCTTGGAGGATTGATGACTAGTAGGGTTAACAGTACCATTTGAAAATGAATTGACTGATATGCCACTTACATGTATGGCACTTATGGCTCTTGTGGCTCTTGGTGGCCGCTGATTTGATGTCATTATTGGAGGCACCAGAAGCGAAGGGGAAAAGGCATTTGGGAGGCGGAATTCGGCGGCACGAACCGGGCGAGCCATGGGCACCGAAGAGCAATAGGTGTGTTTGGGGGCAGAGAATAAAGTGGTGCTGTCTGACGCTGTGTTTTCTCTCCCATATTTGGCAAGTTGGGTGGAAAATCAATTCTGTCAGACATCCGATGCCTCTTTTTGGCCACTGGCTTGCCGGGAATGGGAGGCTAGTTGGACTAACCCTAAACAGACTAGTACAATACTTTAGTCTCACTGTGGCTAGCGCCCTGGCTGCACCTTTGAAGACTTGCAAAATGCTTCTCACTTCCATCTGCCAAACTCTGGTCGCCGTGTCAGGCTCACGAGAAAAAGAACAATAGCCCAACCTATTCAATTTTCTTCACTCTCCCCATTCAAGCCACTCCCCATTCATTCACTGGCCGACTGATTACCATGGAGTTTGATTTACCCCCCTCTGGTCAATTGTTGGCCCACGATGCCATTGTTGCCATTCCGCCTTTGTCTCGGTTTACTTCATCCCTGTCTGAGGCCACTAATACCTCACTCCCCGAATGCTTCCAGCTTCTCCCTTCCGTCGCAGCCACGGCTTCTTCTCAATTTCAATTTTCGACAAAGGCCTCTCAACTCTGCTTGCAACATCTCCTCCACATCCTATCCCGCCACTCAGACCGAGTGCCGTGGTCGAGACAGCAACAGCTACACTCACGGCCAAGACCTCGCCGCCCGTCACCCCATCCTGCGACAGCAGCTGAAAAGCAGTTGTGCTCTTCAATTGCCAAAACTTCCTCGCAGACAGTGATACCCACGCGATTCTCTGTCGAGGGTTACAGCGAGTGAGTTTCTACTTCCCCTAATCCTTCTCCAGCTGCTGTGTGCTTTTCCCGGTCGTCTGACCCGCAATGTCGTCCGATTGGCATTGTGATAATCCCCCCCGTATTTGTATCGCCCTTCATCCTGGTTTTGCCTTGTATCTTGGTACCCAGCAAACTTGCTCTCCCGGAGCTACTTGATTAATAAAACTGACTTCCATCTCCAACAGAATGGCTACCAAGTCAAGCAGCCGTCGGCCGTCGGTTAGCTTCCATATGCAGACCAGAAGTCGCAAAGCAAAAACTACCCCGGAACCAACCAAAGCTTGTACAGAACAACCATCGCCAGCATCACTATCATCATCGTCATCCCTAACAACACCACCGTCCAGTCCGCCAAAGCAAACACCGTCTCGAAAACGAAAGTTAGCCGATTCGAGCTCAGATGACGCCGACAATCTATCAAAGACTAAGCGACCTGCACGACGGGTTTCCACACCGGCGTCGCTGTCGGATACTGCCACGCCACGAAAGCAAACATCTCAAACGCCAGCTTTGGGTAGTGCTACAGTTATTGCAAACATCGACAGTACCCCTCCGCAAACCTCACCGTCAGCCAACCCGCTGCATTCTGCCAGGTCGTTAAGACGAAGCTCGCGTATAGCAGGATCAGACGCATTGGGCGATGATGATGCTGGCCGTAACGGCGCACACGGCACGTCACCTCCTGACCAGCCAAGTCGAGAGAGCGTTCCTTCAGGAAATGCTTCAAACGCATGCCCAAAAGATCCCGAGACGCCGTCGAAACCTGTGCGCACCTCGCGATCTCCCAAAGAGACAAAAGCGTCCAAGGATGCGGACCTGAGCTTTCAAGAGTACAAAGATAAGCAGTTCTGGCCAGGTTTCAATGCACGGAAACCGACGTACTACGCGAATGATGCAACCACTCGCTACCGTACCGCAGCAGAGAATGGCAACACTCCCGAATCCCGCTCTCCCAGGAAGCCGGCCCGAGGTGGCGGCCGCGGCGGTCGCGGAGGCGCTCATGCAAATGGTGGTGGACGTGGCAAAGGCAAATCTAGAGGTAGAGCAGGTCGCGGCGGTGGAGAAAGCCCCGAACCACCAAATCGAAGACGGCCGCTGACGCCAGAGGAAAAAGCCGAAATCGCCATGATCAAGCAGAGGCAGCAGGAACTGAAACGGTTCTTTAGCATTGTGGGCAACCAACAAGTCGACATCCTTGACCAACTCTCTGGACGAGACATTTCCAAAATCGCCAGAAAGGCAAAGGCACACAGACATGTCCCCGAGTATGATGGCGTGGTGGAAGATCTTGAGTCTACCTTGAGGGACGTGCAGGGCCTGGTCCAATCACGGTTTGATCTCCAGGTCGAGCATGAAAAGCAGCGCATGCAGCAGGAGAAGGAAGTAATTGAAGCGCAATTCAAGGTAATACCATGTGGAGCGTCCATTTCTTACACACAAACTGACATGAAATAATAGAACCGCCTCACCGAAGCCCGCAAAGAACACCTTGCTGGGGCAGAAGGGGACATTATACTCTTCGAACGGGCATATCGCACCGCTCACGACGACACCCATACCGAATCTGGCTCCGATCTAGATTACTTCCCGCATTATCACGAGCTCCCCGAACCGAATGCCCAACCCCGGGGGTATTCGTCCCGCAAAATTATGGACGAAAAGCCATTTAAGCAACAGTTGGAGTCGTACGACGAACAAGCCCGCCAACAAGTGCTCAATGAGGATGTTATTGGCCCCTTGTTGAAGCAAATGGAACAGCGAAACAATGAATGGCGCATCGGGCAGCTTCGGAAGAAATCACAGACAATGGATGCGCTCTCTGCAGAAGCAATCAAGGAACTCGAGAATATCAAGGGCTACCTCATCCCACGACCTCTGAACATGGGTGAGAGCAGTTCGTATGCGTTGTCGGCCCTGGCAGATGTCTCGGACTGGGTTGCACAACAGCATCCTGAACGTCAGTACATCTACATGCCTCTTGCCCGGGGAGATGTCTTCCCGAGACAGGCTTTGGATTTCTCTCCACTTCCTGGCCAAGGGCCAACTTCGATACCACCACCTCCACCTCCACAACCAGCGCCAGCTCCTCCCCAGCCAGCATATCATGTCATTCGTCCAGACTCGAGGAGTCGTGGCCGTCGATCAAAATTTGCGCCTCCGAACAACGGCCCGGGTGTCGTCCATGTTGCCACTCCCCCGCCTCCCCCATCGCAGTCGTTACCACCACCTCCTCCAAGTCCTCTATCAGCAGCGCCTACGCCCCCGGTCGGGCCAGCTTCATTCCTCCCGCCACGCTTGATTTCCAGCGGGCCTGGTCAACCAATTGCCCCTGCACCGCCAAAACCCGCGCCTCCGCATCGCTCGTCCACCAGCATCAATGTCTTCCGGCACACCCCTCGCCCAAGTGTTCATCAGCAACATGCCATCCCGCGCCACAACTCTCTCGGCTCTCCAATGCCGAGTGGACCCCAGCAATTCATCTTCCAGCCTCCGCAGCAGCCATACCAACACCAACCTACTCCTGGCACGGGTCCTGCACAACCACCGCCGCCACCACCGCAATACAACCCCCATCCAGCCAGCCCCCTCACTTCTGGACCGAGCGTCAACACCGTCGCCGTGACCGGCGCCGTGGCACCCCCGAGTATCAGCGCAGGCGCAAACGCTGGCGTTGGTGGCGTCGGCAACTCCGGCGGCCCGACCATGCAAGTCATCGGCCAACAGGGCAAGATCCCCATGACATTTGTGAACCAGACGATCGCGAGCCGCAACGCCGCTGCGGCGGCCGCGGCGGCGACTGCGGGTGGGAACAACGGCACCCCGAGCGGGAACGGCCAGGGCAATGGCAAGAGAGTTTTGCTGCCAAAGGTGTAGCAACACTCAAAGAAACAATGAGTTTACACGAATCAGAAATCTGGGTACTGGACACTGGACACTGGATATCCATGGATGAATGAATGAATGGTTGGATGCATAGAGACCTTGTTTGTACATGCGCTACTCGTGAGCTTGAACGTAGAGATGAACATGAACATGAACATGAACATAAACATGACGGACGGACAGACACCACCGTGATGCTTAAAAAGAGGCCTTGTTCATACGTGAACGAAAAACGGAAAACGAAGAACGAAAAAGGGGAAAAAGGAAAAGAAAAAAAAAGTGATTACTACCTGCCTACCTACCTACCTTGTAGGTATGACATGACATGACATGAATTGACATGACATCTTGAACCCACCTCTTGTCTCTGTCCCTATCCAAGTCCAAGTCCAAATCTGAGAAATAATTCAACAAAACTTCCTTCTTGTTCCGTTCACTCGCTTCCCCAACTTCGCTTGTCCGTCCGGAAGAAACCTCTTTTCGTACCGTTTGGGTATACGTCGCTCTTCTTTCTCATCAAAATGGGAATTTCAAACCCTCGTCGTCAACTCGTGCTTAGTCGTACAAAATCAATGTATATTACCCCAGAAGACATGGGCGTTACGTGGCAGAGGCATAGCAAAATATTTGTTGTTTTTAAGAGAGAGAAAAAAATCAGACTTGTTCGACATGTCGCGTCTTCTCGCCTCCAATCCCTTGGGAACCCTTGCCCATGTACATTGTGCTGCGACGTCTCTCGACGGCGCCCTGTCGCCCCAGATTGAGCTCCTTGGCGAACTTGCTGCGGTCGCGGAACCACTCGCCCTTCCAGTAGAAGACGTAGATGGGGATGATGACCACGACGGACAGGCAGGCCAGGATGGTCGAGGGGTACTCCAGGGTGTATTTTTTGGAGATATTTTCGTAGACTTTTGCGCGAAGAAGGGATCAGTTAAACATGATCGTGATGGTAATGGAGAATAAGAGGAGAGGAGAGGAAGATGGAGGGTGGGAGCAAAGGCAAAAAGCAAAAAGCATGACTTACATGGTGTGCTGTACAAGGCAGCGATGCCCGCGAGAAAGTCTCTTGCCAGATCGTTTCCCCCAGTCGCAGAAGCGGCGTAAGGCCCATAGGCGGCAATCATGTAGTCGATTGAGCTCTGGCAATGTGTCAGTTTTGTCGTTTGAACCCATCCATGCTAAGCGTGGAGCATCTGCAGCACTGAAGCCATACCTTATATATTCCATAGTTCGCCATGGCTATTAGAACGGTAAAAATCAAGGGGGCAATCCACGGGATACCATAATCAGGGCCGAGAGACGTCCACGCGAAACCGAAGAGTCCAATTGTCTCTAGAGGTGCCACTGTAAGAAGTGAAAGGCAATCACATCAGTAAAACGGGCGATATATATCGAAAGGACTGCTAGAAGGCAGGGTGATGCAAAGTTGAGGAGTATAGCGAGACTTACAGAAAAGTAGCCACCACAGACGGGATTCCGGAGACAACTTATTGGGGTCATCGGCTCGGATCTTGTTATGATGTCGAATAACAGGGAGGTATGTCAGGTACGCAAGCACGTATCCGATGAGTGACCTGGTTCATTCTCGGTCAGTACATTCTCTCCCATGGGAGCATTGATACCCTTTTGCTGTTCTAACGTGGCATGAGAAGGAGACTCACGAGATAAAAGCCAATCCAACCTGGTATGGCTTGAAGCCCCATTGTTTAAACACGGGCGTGAAGGCCTCCAGAAAAGTAAACAACAAGGCATCACTGAACCCGCTGAGCAAGCTGAGGCAGAGCACAATCGGTTCCATGACAAACATCTGGAAAGGTCTCATCCAAATGCGTGCGAATTCTTTCATGGGGAATCGTGGTTTCTTCAATTCATCCGGGCCGTAGATGTTTGTTTCGCCATTCTTGCGCCGTCTTTTGGCCTCGCGGTCCAAAAGGATGGTTGCGCGGGTTTCGGGGACGAGGAAAAAGTGGATAATTTGCACGGCGCCGCCGATGCACAGTTGCATCCAAAAGATCCAGGGCAAAGAAAGGTACTGGCCCACGAAGCCGCCAATCACTGCGCCGACGGGAGCACCGCCCACGGATGACAGGACGACGAAAGCTACCGCATACTGGAACCCAGAGTCTTCGGGTTGGTATAGATCCGCGATGACTCCCAATGTGACCGAGCCGCCTGCTGTGGAGAGTCCAGCGAGTGCTCGAGCGACAACAATCGACCCGAAGTTAGGTGCGAGGGCCGCGGGCAATTGCCAGATGTTGACGAGGAACAGCGAGAGCTGCTGCGTTGGCCAACGGCCTAGTTCCTCCGACCAGGGAGCCCACAGCTCGCAGCCAAAGGCATAGCATATGAGGAAGATCATCTGGCCGACCCCTGCCTTTTGCTTGGAGATGGTGTATTTCTCTGCGAGGCCGTCAACCCCATTGGCGTAGATACTGGCATTGAGGTTCATCGAGGTCTGGATGAGTAGGATAATAACCAAGATCATCCATTTCTTCCACGCTGGAAAACAGTAGCCCAGTTTGTCGTAACAGTCTTCTTCGGTGAGTTCAATCTTGCCATCCGCACGCTTGGGATGGCCTCCCTCGAGATTCTCTCCAGCTACTTCAGGGCCGGAAACTCCCATCTGTCTTTCTGTTGGTCCTGGGGGTTGGATCTGATGGTTCTCCTTCTCGGTTTGTCCCTCCATGGCTATGGTGGATTGATCGGAGACTGACATCTTGGTCGAGTGACAGCGTAACACAAATCGGATAGCAGACCAGAGGGAGACGGTATACTTGCGCAGGAGACGCTCAGAGGGCAGAATGCGCCGACTTCATTGACCAACAAAAGGTTGAAGACAAGACGACGAAGAAGTGCGAAAAGTGCTTAAACAAACCTGTTCACGTCAGCCAGGCCGTGGACCCATGCTGTTAAAAGTTATTCTCCTTTTGCATCTTGGGGGATGGTATTCGAGGATCGACATTGGAAAACAGGTCGATAACGTGCATCTGGCTATGATTTCATCTTGCGTCAACGCTGGGCACGCGGGCACCACTGAGGAAACTAGTCAGCTCGAACCAAAGGCATTGAAACCTGGGGGCGGGTCGAGATCAGGGATGCTGTCAGTGTGCCTCAGGGTGCCTTGCACTGGCGCGAGAAGCATTTTAGACCAGCATCATTGGCAAGGAGCCGACTCGACAGTTGTGCTGCTCCCGGGGTGAATACAAGATCTGCGGTCGGGAAGATCTATGAGGAATAGCGTGCGTTGGGTGACGGGGGCCAAGAGACGTGCTGGATGGATGGTTCACTTCTCCGAAACTTCTCGAGAGAGGGAGCGTGGCGCGCCTAGTGACCAGGCTGTTGATACTCGAATCTCGATGATGTCGGTGGCTGCAACGAACATCTTGGTCTGAGCGATGGTACAAGTATGCAAAGTGGACAACCCCTGGGCGCTTTAAAGGCTCCCGCTTCTTGGCCAGACGACGATCGACGGATGAGCAAGACAAGAAGAGGCACAGATCGCAGGACCAGTTCATTAAGCTTTGGGAGATGGGTGGGATAAGAGGCCTTGGAGTGTGAGCTTGATCGAGATCACGCCTTTGGGTGCCACAGGACAAGGGAATTGGCGTGCTTGAAGCGACTTCCAAGTAGATGTGAGCGAGATGAAACCTTCTCGAGTCAAGGCTATCTTCGAGGAGGACGTCTGGAAGAGATGATGTTCTACCTGCGGAATGGGCCTTGGAGGTATCTGTGAGTTAGGGCGAGATGCCTGCCGGGGGAGCGGGGCGTCTGGGTGGGCGTCGATTGCGCAGGGAGTCCGTCGGCTGGAGATCGGACCAGATCGCGGCTCGGAGAATTTTGGATTCTGCGTACCCGGAATACAAACAATCGAAACAAATATTCCATCCTCTCGTGCTTTTCTCTTGCGCCATGTCCCTCGCATGTCCAGACCGCTTATACGAATCCCGTACACGGGGCCTCTGCCACCACCCCTGATTATCCCACCTTCGGCCGCCACTAGACAAGGTGCCATCACTGCCCTCGCTCACTTCCTGACCTCTCCAGCGCCACCTGCATCCTCAGGCCAAGATGCGCACTGGGACAGAAAAAAGACAGTCCTTCTTACAGGAGCGGGCATAAGCGTCGCCTCAGGCCTTGCCGACTATCGCGGTGTCAATGGTACCTACACCCAGAACAAGACCTACCGACCGATCTACTACCACGAATTCGTCTCGAGTCACGAATCCCGGAAGCGATACTGGGCCCGCTCATTCCTGGGCTGGAGGGGTCTTCACCGCTCGAAACCCAATGCCGGGCACTATGCCATTCGAGACCTCGGAAAACTAGGGCTGGTCGACCGGGTGGTTACTCAGAATGTTGATTCGTTCCATAATCTTGCGCATCCGCATTTGAAGACGGTGGAACTGCACGGGTTTCTCAGAGCTCTGGTCTGTCTGAGTTGTAAGAGGCTTATTGATCGCGATGATTTCCAGAAGAGATTGGCCGAGTTGAATCCCGCCTGGGCCGAGTTCTTGCAACAGCTCCTGGCTTCCGGGGCATTGGACACGGAGAATCCCATTGAAAGAAGGAGGCTCGGGTTCAGGACAAACCCCGATGGTGACGCCGATGTCCCTGGTGCTCCGTACAACACCTTTAGATACCCTGCTTGTCCGCACTGTCTGAAGCGACCGCCAATTTTACAAGATGGGAACAAGGGGCATGTGGATGTTGATGCGGACGGTGCTTGGATACCACCACCCTCGGCATCGGCGGCACACAGCGGCGTTGGCGTGCTCAAACCTAATGTGATCATGTTTGGTGAGTCTATCCCGGCCGAGGTGAAGACCGCGGCAGAGGAAGCCATCGATTCTGCGGCCAAGATCTTGGTCGTGGGCAGTTCTCTTGCGACCTATTCGGCCTGGAGGCTGGTCAAGAGAGCGCATGAACAGGGCATGGGTATCGGGATTCTGAACATGGGGGGCGTCAGAAAGGAGGAAGTCTTCTTTGGAGAACTCCTTCCGCACCACCATTCTCAAGGCCAGGAGGATCAAGCTGCTGGATGGACGGCACTGAAGCGCGAACTTGTACGTGCCAGTCTTCCGTCCGAAGACATCTTACCTGGAGTGGTCGACGCGATTCGTGCCAACTTGTCTGACCAAGACCGACTTCCTGCACCGCGACTTCAGCCGCATCCCTGAACAGCTATTCTGATGAGCTTGGAAAGGATCCACATGGTATCTGAACATCACGAGTCCGCATCTCGGTTTGGGGATAGACAGATGCGACAGAGTAGGATTTAAACGAGTAGAAGCTGTTTGGGATTTTGCGGTTTTTCCCGGCTCAGGCGAAGATACATGAACTCATCTTCCAAGTCGACAGTTAAATCATACCTATCCAATTGATGACAGCGCTGACCACCAATACCACACTGAATAAGAGCACAAAAGAGAACATGGACAGGCCCCCAAGACAGACCTGCCCATGGAAGAGTGCGTCTTGCTGGCGAAAGAAGCGATATGCACCAACGACCACGCTGAGGATGGCAATAACAAAGCTGGTGCACGCCATTGCTTTCGCTACCTGCGCAGCATTCGTCGAACCGAGGAGCCGACCGTCCAGAACGCCAAATTGCAGCACGACCATGCCAAAGCCTGCCATGCCAAATCCAAAGTCGAACCAACTGATGAATGTTTCCTCATTCGTGATGTGCTCACGAACATTGTAGCCAAAATCCATCTCCACTGCCACATACTCATCCCAGAACCTTCTAAGAGACCAATTTTCTCGCAAGTTTGGCGGTTTAATAGTGGCAGTCGGAGTTTGTTCGAGGCCGTCCCAAAACTGCCTGGCTATGTCGACATAGTCGGATGTTGCGCCCAGGGTGGAGGAAGAGGTCAGTGCTGTGGATGGGAGATAGGTCCGATGGAAACTGGGAGTGTATCTCTCGCCATTTGTCTCAAGAGCTGCGGAGGAGGAGCGAAGGCGGCGTCTAATGTCCATGGCTGTGCTTTTTCGCACAGTCTTGCAATAGTACCAGGGCGAGATCAAGCGAAGGAAAATGTATACCTTGTGAGATATGCAAAACTATGCCAACTAGAGTCGTGGACCTCATAAGATCACACTCCAAGGGCTTGTTCATCGAGCGTTCTACATGTAGGGAGAATCGAGGAAGGACTGACAATACATACCTCTGCTTGAAAGGCATTCTGAACAACAGGCCCTCCTTCCGCGATGGCGGAACAACTGTGTTAAGTTCATCTTTACACGGCAACTACCATCAGGTGAAGGAAGAAATGGTTATGTTCAGTCTACCAGTTCTCTCGGTGAACATGTCCATCCTTTTACATTTGATTGTGCTGGCGGTACGAGACATATCCGATGCCAGCCTTTCCTGATAGCGCGTCGAGATAAAGAGGGAGAGACCGGCTGGAAAGCTTGGATACTTCAAGAGATCCTGGGATCCTGGGCAGTAAACGCCCTAACGAGTATTTCCATAAGATCGAACAGCCTGGTTGGGAAAATTTGGTGGCACAAATCTGTGACAAATGCAACAGCTTTGAACACTCAAGGCCACCAATTCATCGAAGAGAAGCTCATGCTCATGGGTTCAGGGTGGATGGATGCAAAGCCATCGCCACAATCTCGTTGACGTAGCTTAGGTATAACAGAGGAGTAAACTTATCCATTTCCTCTTGGGTCCTGTCCACCACTCCATTAAGTTCTCTTTTCCTTGCATACAACTCGGGTGACAAATGGTGCCGAGCAGAGGTGACCTGAGAGTCGTATATTGCTACCCATTGTTCTGTGCAACGACACGTCGAAGTTTGCTCTGGTTTTGACGCAACATCCTTTGATGCGACGAGCCTTCGCGGTCGGGAATGGGCAGGACTTGGGAGGTCTGGCCATTGATCATGTGTGACCTTGGTAGGATGGGTACAGGGCCAGTGTGCAGTGGAAAACGATAAGAAGAATGGGTCAAGCACAATTTTCTGACTTTAAGAGACACATTATAGTTCGAGAGGTGAGCATTAATAGTCGCAACAATAGCGCGAATATGGACTGCGGAGGGGATGATCGGTTACCTGATATTCCACTTAGTCAGCTCCGAGTCCAACTCCAGCCACCCCAGCCGCCGCAGCCGCAGCCGCAGCCACAGCTGGAATTCCGCTCAGAGTCACAGTTGGGGCAACTTGGATCATTACGCCATTGTTGCGACTGCGATCCCTGCTATTCTTACTCGCACGCATCTGCTTGCCACGAAGAGAAAACCGCGTCTGCCCCTGCGCCATCGCCATCGCTATCGCCATCGGCTTTCTCCTTGCCGTCACCCGGTCCTCATATCATCTCATCCCCTCCTCCCTCCTCCTCACTTCCAGCATCCGCCCTCCATTACTATCCCGAACATCCCGCCGACCTCGTCCAGAAGCCTCAACAGGCATACTTTAGCCCGCACCGAGTTCCTTCCTCGCATTGTTCCCCGGCTTTCACCCCATTCTCCCCTGCTACCGCTTCCACTGAGTCCGTCAACGAGTGCTGCGCGCAAAGCGCTTCGCAGCCACCCCACACAAAAAGAAAAATGGGTTTCACCAAGACACAGAGGATTTGTATTCTTCTAGGCATAGATTCCGTCTTTTTTGTGATTGAACTGGTCGCCGGTTAGTGTGGTCCCCCATCTACTTTGTGCCGAGTTCGATGACTGACCCATTCTCCAGGCTATGCAGTGCATTCTTTGGCCCTTGTGGCTGATTCGTTTCATATGTTAAACGATGTCATCTCCCTTTGCGTTGGACTATGGGCGGTCCGTGTCGCCAATACCGGAAGCTCGAAAATGTACACCTATGGCTGGCAGCGAGCGGAAACACTGGGGGCATTGGTCAATGGAGTCTTTCTAGTTGCCCTTTGCTTGTCCATCTTTCTGGAAGCAATCCAGCGATTTGTCGAACCACAGCCTGTCTCGAACCCCAAGCTCGTCCTCATTGTCGGCTGTCTCGGCCTTACCTCCAATATTCTTGGGCTTTTCCTTTTCCACGAGCACGGTCATAGTCACGGCGAGAAGGAGCAGACGCACGAGGATCCTGTGAGATCTGCCGAAGAAGGCCATGGACACATCTACGACGACAACGGGGAGACACAAAGAGTCGTGGACGAACATGGAAATATCGAAGACATCCTCCCACAATTCCGAATGGGCAGTTTCAGATCCCCTGATCGTCGAGCTTTCACAAAGTCTGATGAAGAGAACACAACCATCTCAGCAAGATCTTCGAACACCCCGACTCGTAAATCGATCGCTAACGGCGAAATCCATCCCCGGAACCGCCGTCGCACCTCGGGTTCCTTTGGTCGGGGGTTTGGCTCAGTCGATAATATCCACATTCATCCAGCCTCATTCCGCCAGGATATTATCCACGCGGCGCGGTTGGAAGAGCACTCCGAGTCGGAAACCTCAGAAGAAAACGCCTTGTTGATTGAACCCGATTCACCAGACCAGCGCCATGAAAGGTCAGCCAATGGTTTGCAGTCGTCCTCAAATGACAAACGTTTCCCCGGTTATGGCAGCATCAGCAAACGAAAGAGCGTTGACTACAGTCACACGGAGCACCACCATAATTCCCCAGCCGACGGCTCCAAATCGGGCCATGGACATGGTGGGCATGGCCATTCGCATGGAGATCTGAATATGCGTGGGGTTTTCCTGCACGTCATGGGCGATGCTCTTGGAAACATCGGTGTAATAGCGACTGCACTGATCATCTGGCTGACTACGTTCCCGGGACGCTTCTATTTTGACCCTGCGATATCCCTTGTCATTACCCTCATTATCTTGGGTAGTGCCATTCCCCTCTGCAGAGCCGCTGGGCGCATTCTCTTACAGGCAGTTCCTGTGGGCATGTCGATCGACGAGATCACAGCAGACATCGAATCACTTCCACGAGTTATTGAGGCCCACCACCTCCATGTTTGGCAGCTCAGTGATACCAAGCTCGTGGCGAGCTTGCATGTAAAAGTTGACTGCGAGATTGACGGCACTGGGTCCTCCAGCTACATGCATCTCGCGAGAGAGATTCGAGGCTGTCTACACGGCTACGGCATTCACAGCTCGACCATTCAACCCGAATTCGTGAATGAGGATGATCCGCATGCTGCTGAACCAGGAGCTGATTCTGACGAGGGTGCTGGTAGTGGGCAACTGACTCCAAAGCACAATACCAACGCAAGTAAGACTGCAAGCCTCAGGAGTGAGGGTCAACCAGCATGTTTGCTCGATTGCGGTGATATGTGTGCTGGGAGCAAGATGTGCTGTCCGCATGATGGCAAGCATGGAAAGAAGTAAAGCATTGATTTCCTTTATCATAATATCTGTTTGGATCTTCCACCAAGAGAGCGACTGGGGCACTTGCGCAGACCGCCGGTCTCGGGCTGCTGTAATGGAGACGAAGAACCAATTTGATTTTTATTGCAAGTCCAGGATGTGGAAAGACTTGAGAGACTAAAAGCGTTGCACGGTGGTCTCACCGCTTACTTTTGTGACATTACATCAAAGGCACGACGGCCCTGTTATGATACATACATGTTGTGTCTGTTCGGCGGAGGGCCAAATCAGACCCAGTGGTCTTTGTCGTCCCCCCGAGATTGGGCTAGAGAATCCAATCAAACCATATCAGCTGCCAAAGGGGTCGTTAACACATACTCTTACGACCACTGTTCAATGCGAATCGTGACGGCCAGGGTGGCTTGGTGGACTCGTTAGCCGTTCCAGATGAGCCACCCATAAATCAGCATAACTGGCCATGCCGTTCGCCATAACGACTGACCAAAGAATGCGAGTCGAGATCGCGGCGGTCGGTTCCTTCCCCACTGATGTGCTTTGGTCGATTTCGGCATCCCCCAGTCGTCACTGTCTAGTTCGCCTGGGCTAGGAGAACTGTCTGGGGCGTAGGCGATGTAGGGTGGCTTGGACGGCGAGGAGGTCCGCGATGAAGCAGGGAGGTGTCCGTACCCGCCCATTTTGCGCGTGGATAGTCGTTGCCCTGCTGGGCCGTTCTGGACGCAAGAACTTTTTGATGTGTCGAGTGTGTGAATGTGATGATTGTGGCTTTCACTGGTGGGCAGTAAAGGTTCGGATTTGTCGCGGTATGCTTCTTCAGTTGCTGTCAAAGGATTGTACCGGAGAGTACATAGGAGGAGGATGCAGAGGGTCAAGCCAAGTACCTGGCCGTAGCTGATGAAGATGTTCAATTGGTCTGGGAGCAGACACAGATGATTTTGTACCGTGTCTCGCGGCGTGGACAGCGATGAATCGCCAGACATCGCCTTGTTTACGTCGACCGGATTCCAGAGACTAACGAGCTGAACCCCTGGTTTGCGGATGCCCATAGCCCAACTCATACTTTTGACAGTGATTTCTCTGATGCGGCCAGTGAACTCGTTGTGCTCGATTTCGCAATAGTCATGATCATCGCCGGAGTAAATCATCGTGATCTCCTCTGCAGTCAAGTGCTTGACTATATCTTGTGAGATGAGTGGGGTGAGAACATTTTGATACTGGTAGCCTGCTTGCAGAGGTATCACATTGCCTCGTTCTCGCATCGGTCCACAATTGGTCTCACTGGATCGGTAAAGGGGGACGTGCGAGAGTACAATTGTCGGGAACTGAGACGAGCTGACTGGGTAGTGAGTTCTCTGTGTTGCGTCTGATTGTTCGACGTCAGCAGCGTTTTGTATCGACGGAGACAGCAATTGCGGCAGTGGACGTTTCCAGTTGAGTCTGGTCTCGCATGTATGTTGCACGGCCTTGGCCCTGTTGGATTTGGCTGCCACGAGGAACTCCTCAACAGGTTTCCATATCCTGCTAGAGGAAGTCGCAGCGGCACTCCCATCCCCTGCTCCCGAACTCCCCGTTACTGGATCGACCTGATCCATGGCACTCAAAGACACTGTGTCCAAATGAACAAATGAGTGATTGCCGATGATATCGATTCGATTGAGGGGGCCAAAGTAGACATCGAACCTCTCCTTTACAGGCAACTGTATGCCTGCCGCAAACCCCAAATCATGGTTACCCGGGAGAGAGGCCAGAAGACGACGACCTGTCGGTTCAGCTGCGCTTGCAGAAGGGCCTTTCGTCCACGACCTCAAGAAGAGGTTGGAGAAGCGAATGTATTCTTTCAGCCAGAATTGCGACCCGAACCTCTTGTACCGCTCCTCGGGAGACGTCGAGTCTGTAGTGCCCCATTCCCGGCCGCCATCGAACAAGTCACCGAGGAATAGGGTCGCGTCAGGCAGGAGATACTCTTGCAGATATCGATAAGAGCGGCGGAGGTAGCGATCGGTGTAGATGACGGTTAAACTGGATAAAGGCCATGGTCTGTCAGGGTAGGTGTGAGGATCCACGAGCTGGGGATCGGCGACAAGGAGGACATGATGAGGTCGAGCATGGCCAGGCTAGGACAGGGTCAGCGATGTGTCTCTTTGTTGATGGGCGTTTAATGTGCTTGGTTACCCATGATTCCCACTGTCGCCATACACACCGAGCGACACTCTGTTGGAAGGTGTAGCGTTCACCCCAGAAGAGAACACATATCCAGAGTAGCACCAAGGCCGACGGAAGGCTGAGAAGGCGACGTTTTATCCTGGGCAAGGCATTGGCTTTCATTTCTCTTGGATACAAGGTGGAACGTTGGCGGTCGTTGTCGCCAACGTCCCTCTTTGGAGATGGGAAACTACTTAAGGCAGGTAAGGCGTGAGCCGCAAGTCAGGGGTTCCGGGGATGGTGATACCGACAATGACCGGCATTGACCCTTTGACCCTGCGCCACCAGCGTGTCAGAATGATCCTCCAGCGACGCCAGGTATCCAAGGCCACGCACAACTCATCCAGTGACTGGTGGTGGTGCCATTGGGGCATCGGTAAGCATGTTGACTAATAGCATCGTGAAAGCTTTTCTTGTGGGCACTGACTGGGTCCTACAGATGCTACCTATTTAGAACATCTCGCTCAGGTATAACTGGGTACTCGACGTCCTCGAATTATGGCCCTCTTCGACCTGACTCAGTTACTGATCTCGCCATCACCATCGCCATCATGCTCAACTGATAAATCGCCTGCCAGAGCCTCTATATCGCAAACAACCCTTGTGGCTCGAGCCATGTCCTCGTCCACAACCAACCCGCCTTCTTCTCCTCATGGACGGCGTCTCCGTCGCTAGCAGCATTGCTGGTCTCGTCACCTTGGCCCTGCAGGTCAGCGCTACAATAGCAATCTACGTCAACTCCATCAAGGAACGCGCCAACACGGTCAGGGAGTTACATGATGAACTTCTTCTCTTGGGTGAAGTCCTCAGTGGACTGCGAGATTTTCTGGAGAGCGAAAAAGTCAAAGGTCGGGTTCTCGATACCCAATCAGTCCTCTCCAAGGCTATCAGAGACTGCCGTCAACGGATGGAGCGCATTGGCGACAGATTGAAGCCCTCGGAGGGTGGAAAGTTTGCCCGTGCTATTGACCACTTGAGGTGGCCTTTCGAGCAGAGGGAGGTTATGCAGATGGTAGAGAACCTACGACGATATACCCAAACGTTTCAGTTCGCTTTCACAATCGAAGGATTCAACTTGTTGTCCAAGACCTCCGAAGATGCTACGAAAGGCCTGCAAGAAATGCTACTAATTTCAAAGAAGATGAGCGAACTGTCGGCTCAGATGGGCCGGTCTGCTGATGAGTCCTCTAAACTTGCTCTGCAACTCGAGGCAATCATTGACCTTGTTCCCCTCCTTGCAAGAACAGTTGCGGATGTCAACGAGATATCTCAGGCTACGCGACTGGCCGAACTGAGAGAGCAGGAGAGGCGCACTACCGAAATCTTGGACTGGCTGGCTCCCCTCTCGTCCCTACACAAGCACCGGGATTTACAAGTGCGAAGAGCTGAAGGCACGGGTCGATGGTTTCTTGAACATCCCGAGTTTTCTCGGTGGGTTGACGACGATTCCAAACACGATCTCCTCGGTGTTGGAGGCCCTGGCGCTGGCAAGTCTGTCCTATGCTCTCATGTTGTTGACTACCTGCGCGGCAAATTTCAAGACCAGGATGTCGCCATAGCCTTCTACTACTACGACTACTCTGACCAGCAGTCGCAGAATCCGTCGAGTTTTGCAAGATCGCTTCTACGCCAACTCAGTTCCCGCGGCGAAGTTGTCCCTTCCGCTGTTTCCGAATTCTATCGACGCACTCGGAATGCTGTCAAAGATCAAACTTGGTATCATGACTTGCTGAATATCATCCGCCGCGTGGTGGCAACGTTCGGCCGTTGTTTTATCATAGTGGATGCTCTCGACGAGGCCGATGTTCAGACCCAGCGTTCAGGCTTTTTCGAGGTTGTCGATGCCATTAGAAATTCTCCTGGAAGCACAGTGAAGGTGCTAGCCACTCTAAGACCGCATGTCCTTGATCTCATGACCAAGTTTCATGAACCTTCGACAATTGATATCCTGGCGAACCCTGGAGATATCCGGCAGTTTCTCGCCCAAACGATCATGGAGCAGCCAGAGTCCGAGTATTTGATGGATGACAAGCTCAAGGAACATGTGCTCAATACCTTATGCACCAATGCCAATGGCATGTTTCTACTCCCGGCTCTGCAGATAAAGACTATTCTAGACCAGATTACGAAGGCAGATGTCAGGCGAGCATTACTTCATCTCTCAACTGATTTGACTCATGCCTTCCAATCAACCATTCAGAGAATTTTTACCCTGCCCAAGGCAAGACGCGACCTTGCGTTTAGAACATTGATGTGGGTGTCCCACGCCAGGAGACCGATGACTGTGCGGGAGTTGCAGCATGCCATGGCATTACGGCCCGAGGACCATGATCTCGACAGGGACAATCTTCCCTCCGTGAAGATGCTTATCGACTGCTGTTGCGGGCTAGTCGAGGTGGACTATGAGAGTTCAATTATACGGTTGGTGCATCACTCACTTGAGGAATATCTTCGTGAGCACGACCACGGTCTCTTCACCGATGCCAACCTCGTCATTACCAAGATCTGTCTCCAGTACATGATGCTGGATTCAACAAGAGATCTGCCATATAAGAACCGTAAAGATTTCGCGAACGCATTGGAGGATGTTCCATTCCTGCAGTATGCAGCGCTCGAATGGGGTCACCATGCTTACAGTGTTCCCGCCGAGGAGATCAAGGACTTGGCCCTTGCACTTCTTTCTAACAGTGCCTGCTTGAACACCGTCGCTAGAGTCCGGGATTTTCGATCTCCAGACCTCCGGGACTGGGCCAACAAAGCCTGGGCGTGGGCTTATTCTGGTGGTGCCGGGATCTCGTTGGCAGCAGGATTTGGACTTAGCGAGCTTCTGAAGATCCTGATTGCGGAAAATCGGCATAATCTACGCTTGGGCGCGCGCAACGTGTACGGAAACACAGCTTTGCACGAAGCAGCTTTTTTCGGCCACAAGGAGGTTGCGGAAATTCTGGTTGCAAACGGTGCTAACTTGCTGGACACGAATTACGGCCAGAGTACTCCGTTATATCTCGCAGTATCATACGGTCAGCTTGAGATTGTGAAGCTACTTCTCAAATACGGACGTGATCAGCTGGATCATCCCGGCCCAAGAGGCTTTACAGCCTTGCACAAGGCTGTTGAGCAAGGAGACGAAGAAATGGTCAGCACACTTCTCCAGGCAGGAGCTTTGGTTGGCGCCATCGATAACCAGGGAACAACTGCTCTACACCTTGCGGCTTTTCGTGGCTATCTCTCCATTGTCAAGTTGCTAGTTGCTTCCAGCGCCGTCGTCCACGTCAGGGACAAGGAGGGCCTCTGTCCTCTCGATTATGCCGCAACAAGTGGCTTTACTGATGTGGTGGCTTTCCTCCTGGAGAATGGGGGAAGTATGTTTCATAAAGGTAGAGAACGATGGACTCCTTTGCATCGTGCAGCTCGAGGCGGGCATACGGAGACAGTTGCTTTCTTCCTGAAGCGAGGCGCCAACGTGCTGGCGACCGATTACAAAGGCAACATCCCATTACATCTCGCAGTGCGGTCAGGTCAAATTGAAGCCGTAAGGACACTTCTCGAGCAAAACACCGATCCGGAACACCAACGCGCACAGCTCTTCGTCCAAGATCGAAAGGGTTCTACTCCGCGAGTCGTCGCTTTCTTTACCGCCCACTACGACATTCACAAGTATCTCCGGGCTGCAGAGTGGCAAGCTCAAGGTATTACTACCCCCAGCAGTGCAAATCGGCTCACCACAGCTATTGAAAAGGGTGATCTCCCTTCAGTGCGTGCCCTTTTGGATAATAATCCGCAGTCGCTCACCTCGCTCGACGAAGACGGCCAACCACCCCTCCACGTCGCGTTACAAGAAAATCAGACACGTATTGTGGAATTCCTCCTCCAGCGGGGCGCATCCGTCGAATCGGTGGGCTACCACGGATGGCGTGCTCTGCACATCGCCGCCTCGACGGGGAACTTGGAGCTGGTAGAGCTGTGTTTGTCTCATGGGGCACGGGTCGATACGTTGACGAATACAAAACAAACGGCCTTGCACAAGGCCGCATCGTCCCACTCTGTGGCCGTGGTCCGCCGCTTGCTATCTGCCGGCGCGGACCCTGCGGCCATAAACGAGCGCGGCATGACGGCCCTGCACATCGCCGCGCACCAGAACGACATTGGCATTGTGCGCATGCTCGTCCTGGAGCATGGCGTCGACGTCCTGGCCAGGGACCGCCAGGGCATGACGGCGGGCATGTGGGCCGAGAGATCGGCGCACCTCGAGGTGTGTGCGTTCCTGACGGCCGAAGCGCGGAAGGCCAAACAAAAGAAACGAAGCAGCGCGGGCGAGCACATTGCGGGCACCGGCGACACGCAAACCAGGGACAACACCGATGCGCTCGCTCTGGGAGAAGTCCGGGACGCTTTAGACGGTGCTATCGAAGACAACAACAGCAACGCAAACCAGCCAGAAGGGAGTGTAAGGGGACTAATAACGACGTGAACCAAGTGGGACGAGGACGACGAGTCTCTTTTTTTCTTCTTTGGCTCGTCAGAGAAATGGACCGGCTAATGGTACAGATTTATTCTCAAATCCAGGCTGGAGCTACCAGACCTGCATCTAAATCTGTCTGGCTGGCCCTCTTGTATCTACTCATCACTTGTCTGTCTGTCTGTCTGTCTGTCTGTCTCTGTGCCTCTCTGTCTCCTCGTCTCTGCAATCCGAAGGGAGAGAAAAAGGACTCCATACGCCCGGTGCCTGGGCAGTCTCGAGGTTGTTGTACATGGATCATGAATAGTCGTGAGTAACATAAAAAGTGAATTGTTTCCCGCGGTATCGACCGACCAATTGCATAGCGCATGCCTGTGCTCGTCCTGCCGTTCTTCGAGGTCGAACCGAACAAACAAGATATCCCTTCTCGCCTTCGGTGAGAAGCTAAGAAAAACCACAGAGAGAGTGAGAGAGTGAGAACATCCCGTAAGCGAATATGCTTAGTGTCCCTCCCTTCACATTCAGTCGTAGTCGTACAAAAAGCAAGCAAACAAGAAAGAATGGAGAAGAGCTGTCATACAAATCCATCCCAGCACACAAAGCACGTCGGTCACAGTGTGAGGGTTGTCTCTTGGAGTCTCTCTAACAGTCCTGCGTCGAGAGTAGTCTTCCCCTTTTCGTCTCCTTCACCAAAAGCCCGCTTGTCGCTCCGTTGACTTGTACCCTTTTGGCGTGGATTGTAGTGCTCTCGGTGCACCGGCTTGACTTGCGCTATCATCGGGTATGACCGACTCGCCAGAGCCAGAGAGGTTTTCGTCGTCAACGAGAGGGATCTTCGCACCACCCAGGCCCAGCCGGTAGCGCCGGCCCGTCTCATCAATCATAACCTGGGCCTCGGTGTTCATGCGGACGCCGGGGACGTATTGTGGCACAACCGATCCTCCACCGCCAGTGCCGCTGTTGTTCTTAAGCAACGAAGGTCGACTGAGGGCTTGAGAAGGATCTCGAGCCACGGTGGGAAGCTTCAGTATGGTCTGTGCTTTAGGGCCGAGGACTGCTTCGAGCTGCTCAAAATCTTTCTGGGCCTTGTCTGCTAGGCGTTGTTGTGTGCCATAGTTTCGCACCCCGACGAAATCCATCTTGCAGACCGTCTGAACGCCAGTGTCGAGCATGGAACGCATGGCAGAGTGATCAAGGAGCGATTTTCCGGTATTCTTCGCGTCAGTAAGCTCCCCAATCTCTAGGGCCTCATTCTGCTCGAGCGCGCCATTGATTCCAGTATGAACAAGAGACATTTCATAGTGGATGTGACCGCCGTCTGCAAAGTCTTTGTAAGCGGTTTCGAAGCCTTCGTAGCCTTGCCAGAGTCTCTTATCCTCTGGGTGCACTCGAAATTGAAGATTCTTTGCCTCTGTCACCTTGAGCAGGATATCCCGTACATCCGGACGATTGGTGCTGTGGTAACTCTCCCGCTTTACAATGAGGTTGCGAACCTGGATTTCATGGTCGTTGGGCTGTCGAAATACCAGGAGCAGTTTATTGCGCCGGGGCAAGACGTGGAGAGATTCGACAAACGCACTGATACTCTGAGCGACAGTCTCCGAAGGGTCCGGCCAGTTCAAAGGACCTGTCAGTGTGGCAGAGAGATCCCATACCTGAGCTGGGACATGTATGTTGACATCGCCGACCGTGACTAGACCTTTTCGCAACTCGTACTTTCCAGATTGGTTTATGACGATCTGGAAATCCTCGTTGAAACGACTTTGGCAATGGAACTCGTAGCTGACCGACTGCGGACCAGGGTTAGGGTTCCAAAGCCTGCCAGTGCCATTCCCAATGCTACCCTTCAACTGAAGAACTCGGTCAATGTCAGCACCGTTGGATGTCAGGATCTTGGTGAAACTGGAAGACGTATGAGCTGATCCGGGACGACAGTCAAAGTATGAGCTCCAGTCGTCAACAGTATGCTGGGTTCGGTCGCGCAACGGCTGCCCCGGTGTGATAAGAACTTGGCCAAATTGTAGCTCAAACGTCAATTTACCGCTAAAAGCTCTGCCAGTCTCAAATGCTGGCTCCAAAAGAGAGATGAGCTTTGTCGTCTGTACCGCTCGAAGGTCATTTGCGATAGTCCCTGAATATGCTCCAGATATGGCTGACTGCTTTTTTAGTTGCTGTCGTTTCCACTTGCTCATCTCGTCTGGCTTGGGAGAGGCTGTCTGTGACCTTGGTGGAACATTTTTTGAGGTTGGATATGCGTCTGCCAATGCCGCAGCTATGCGTGCCTTCTTCTGTGCCTCTGTTTCTTGCTTAGCAGACGTCTTTCCAGGATTCTTGCCCTGCTGTCGCATTGTAGAATGGAATCTGGGCGACTCTTCCTCTGCCTTCTTATTCATCGCTGCTATCGCCTCCTGCACCTGCCGTATGCTCTTTTCTCTGGCAGCAGATTGGTCGAATGTCGGAATGAATCTTGTAACGTAATCGGATCCCGCTTCGCTGAATTTCAGTCGAGACAATCCCGACGCCGACGATCGAGATGTCACGCTGGAGCGAGCATGCAGCTCGGACGGTGAAATTCTTGGTGGAACCGGCTCCCCGAGATTGTTTTCCTGGTTGAAATTAGTATTGGTGGCTTGCGCAGGCAGAAGCGGCACATTGCAATCCAACCCTGGTGGCGCAGTAGAAGTCCTTCCACTGGTTGCAGGAGGCCCCAGGTCGACAAGAGTGCCGTAAGTAGTTCGCGCTCGCGGCCCACGAAGTCCTCGGCCTCTTGTTGCTCTATCAAACAAGTATCTGGCACGTGGCCTTCCATATCCTCGCTGATCAAATTCGCCTGCAGATTCCCCAGATCGAAATCCCTCTGGCTGCGCCACGCGTTGACTGTCAATGTAATCGTGGGCTTGACCCGTCCCGCGACGACTGTCTCCACGATAGCGGGTGTTGGTCGGCCCTCGGTAGCCATGAGGACCTCTTTGGCCCCGGAACGACCGTGTTGGAAATCCCTGCCCGTATTCACCAGAATGGAGAGGTCTTGTATGTGGCGACGTACTCGGGGCCTCTGGAACGAGAGATGCAATATCTGTAGCCGAGGATGAAATCTCTTCGGCCTCGATTGGCTCTTCTGCTTGACGATAGGATGTGGCTGCGCTACTGAGACCAGCATCGGACTGAGACGGCGGATTGTATGCCAGCCCTTCTGATAAATTTGGGTCGTCGTGATTCTTTTGGTGCAGAGGTCCAAGTTGAACCGTTGCTGCAATGACATTGACTTCAGATGCTGCGTCAAGAAGATCTAGAGTTCGGTTTTGTGCATGGGATCCTTGTTCAGCGCGGTCCGTGTTGGACCCTTCCGATACATCGATCAGAGTGCTTTCGTTTGCGTTGCTAGCTGGCAGGGGTGGCAGAAGAGATTCCGAGTTTTGAGCCCCTCGACTTTCGGCGTCCATCAGATCTTCACCCTCTGTCTGCAGACGGGACCGGGTGTCTGTGACCTCTTTGGTGGGAGAGTGGACAGGTTTAGACGTAGGGATAGATGGCCCTTCATCCTCGCTATCAGACTCTATGGCGACTCTACGGCGTGTCGGCGGAACAGAGTCCATTGGTGCCTCTGGGGCGATGTCCGGATTCGCTGATGGCACAACATTGGTCGTCCAGGCCGCAATTCTAGGATCAGGGCGTTCCTGAGGCGGAACAGAGTCACCAGAGTCTGCCGAGTCCGGATTGGAGGTGATGATTGGGTCCATATTCCTCGGATCTCCAAAGCTTGTATAGACTTCTCTATCCCAGAGCCTCGAGGCCTGTAATGTGGGTGTTGGCTTGTTGGCTTCTTTTTGGAGATTTCGAGGTGTATAGAATTCCTGCGTCTTTGAGTTCCAGAGACGAAGTTCCCCAATGACTTTCCTCGAGAGGTTGTGTTCCATTCTGTTGACGACTACACGTTGGTAGCCAGGGTGGTCCGAGTTCATGGTCACAAACTCTATCCTGGAATCTGGGTGGTTCGGCGGCCAAACGAGGAGGTTTCCGACCGCTGGGAAAGACTGATTGCCAGACTGTTTCTCGAAGATTTCCTGAACAGAATATCAGCGACAAACATAGATAAGTTTCAGAGATCTTACAAGTAATGGCTCAAGCCTCAAAAGCTTTTCACGAGCCAAATTGAAGTCTCCTTGGAAGATTCGATATCGCTTTTCTGCTTCTTCCGCAAAGAGAGATGAGCCTGTCACTCGGGTGATGTCTTTTGCGTACATGGGTGGAAGTATGCCGATGTTCCCCTTCGCAGGCTGCCAATAAGTGGTCAGATGAACCAAGCCGTCCAGTGCGTCCTGGTCGTCGGATTCCTCATCGGACTGATACTGTAGCAAAATGTTTTTCTCGGCGCCCTCTTCGTCGTATGCCTCCGGGATGATGTCTGTCATTACCGTGCCTTCCACAGGACGAATCCGAGGCTCGTCGTCAAAGCCGGGCTGGAAAGATTGGTGGTACTCGATGTATCCAGCCATACGGCTCAGAAATTGTGGCATTGTGCCTTGATCCTCACTGTTGATCTCTGCGCAGAATACCTATGAAAGGCCAGCTGTCAGTTGTATTCCAGTCCTCCTGGATCTTCAACGACACAAACCTGATTGGGTGCATCAAAGTAAAAGAATGCCGCAGCCTCAGCGTCATGGCGAGCATCTCTACATCAATCTGTTAGTTTGTGCTGACTTTGAGCTGGATTCAAAATTCAGGCGTGGAAGGCGTACTTGTCGTTTTGGATCAGCTCCTTTGACTTGATGGAAAGTGTCAGTCAGGGTGCGAAGGTTGATTTCAAGGTAGCCCAAACTCACTGCCAGCTCGCTGAATTCGTGGAGCGACCCCAGCATGATCGTCTTCTTCGTCGCCATTCCCACCAGCGGATCCCTGTACCGAGTACAGGGTGGTTCCACAGCCTTGCGGCTAGGAAAGAGTGCCTCAGGAGGAAAACAGGAGCAAGGAATCGACCATTATCTGCCGGAGGGGTACTGGATACAATGATCTGTTATGCTGGAAGAGGTAAAGCGACCCTCTTCAGGGACGGGGCCGCGTGGGTAGTGGCTTCTGGTGAGTGGACGAAGATGAGGATTGTGTGGCGGAAAAATATTTCACCGAGATGTTATGCTCTCGCCGAGGAGCATCTCAGCCTCGCGAGTGTTGCGTAAAGCAGCGAGTGACACTTGTGGTGGTGAATATTTGTCGTTACTGGATATTCAGGTGAAAGAGGTGAAGATGGTATCTGACCTAACGTGGGAGCAACAAGCTTATGACTGATGAGAGAAGCGTTGCCTTTTGGTTTTCATCCAGAGCGAGCGTCCCATGCTAGTATGCTACCATCGGTATCTTGTCCATGCAGCCTCCCTTTGTTCCGATGCACGTTTCTAGCCTGCTTGCTCGCCGTTGCTAGGATTGTTTGCAAGGCAAATAGGGCTGCTGTTTGTTGTTCAGCGGGAGTCCTTCAAGCACATTCCACGGTTACGATGATAGGTAGATTTCAGGGCTCGTTCTTGACAAATCCGAGCCGACAGCTCAGTCTTAAACGCTGAGTGGCAGGAATAGGGGTTTTGTATTAACCGTTTTTATGTATGTTGCAGTCATCACTTCGTATAGTCATGTCAAATCCTGTGCAACACTTTAATCTCAGAAAACCCTTCATCTAGAAGCCTTCGCAGACTCTTTCCGCCTATGTTTGGTGAGCACATTCTTCGTAGGGCTGCGGCTTCTCTTCGAAAATCCATCGTGCGCAGAAGGCGGTCTTGAGACACGATCTCTTTGTGAGAGCTGAAGTTGTTCTTGTACCGAATCGGGATGGTTATGATTGACAATATCGTCGACTTTCATGACCCATCGCATCCTTCCTGTCACTTCTGTCATTTCATCCAGCTTCTGAGTCAATGCTTGATCATTGTTGATTGCGGCGTGACGGAGTTCCGAGATGGCAGCGTCGACTTCATATCTGTAGGCCTTGAAATTCGTCGTCAGTCTCTTGGTGAGCTCTTCGAGCTGGGCAATAGTCTGCCGTTGCTGCTCGGCGATGATTTCCAATTTCTGTTGCTTGTCCAGATCATCCTGCTGTCTCCGTAGTAAAGTATCAAAACTGGACCTGATCTTGTCCAACCCACTTTGGTGTCGATCGTAATCCACCTTCCGACATGCCACCACGGTTTCGTATTCTACTTCTTTTTGAACGGCAAGAGCCTTTGCCTGGCTGGCGTGATCTCTCCAAACCTCCTCATTTGAAGCAGCAGCAGCAGCTTGGGCTTCGGCAGCCGCAGTTTTCAATTTCTCCTTCCGCAGCTCCTCACGGAGCTCTTCAACTTGCCTCTCCCTGCGTGTCAATTGCCGAAGATTTGCTTCGTGAGACTGCTCGTAGTTGCTCGCCCGATCCTGCAGTGATTGGTTCCGTGTCTTCAAGGTCTCATTCTCTTTCTCTGCTTCTTCGAGCCGCGTCTTAAGCAGTTGTTTCTCGCGCCGTAGGCGGTCAATGTCTCCTTGAAGTCGCTCGATTACTCTGCCTGACTTCCCAGTGCCGGCGTGGCCAATCGCCGAGGACCAAGGTACGGACTCAGACGAGGGTGAGGACTCGGAAGAGGACAAAACTATCCCTTGGTCAGCGAACGGGGCAACAACATACAGGATGCTAACTGTACCTGAACGCATCATAGAAGCACTGGATACTCGGCCCTGAGCAGGGCGTACCCCGTCTGGTTGACTCTGCTCCTTGACGACTCCATTCACTTCGGGCATGGTCGATATCGTATTCACATCAGAAAGTGTGGGTGACGACGGCCCTGACGAAAAGATTGAGTCAGCGTGGTTCAGGGGATTGTTGAGTGTGTAGACACAATTGAAAGCCGGCCCCCAGCTGAGAGTCGTGATGCGGGTAATTGGGTACATACCCAAAAAACTATCCTGCCCTGCGTTTACTGGAGTTGCGGAAGTTTTTGAAAGACGTGACTTCCTCCTCATGACACGCCCTGATCGGTCAACTGCGATCTCACAACTGGTAGAGTAGAAAATTTGAGGCAAGTGGTGATGGTAACGGCGACTGTGGTGAGCGCTTTCTGGCTTAGGGAGCAATCGCAGGTAGCAGTTGTGACTGATTCACGCGACCACAGAAAAAACGAAAGGTGTCTTGTATATCAGCGAAAAGGTACAGACCGAAAAAGACAGACTCCTTTCCCAGATTTGTGATGATGGCATTTATTGTTATTTGAGATCAGCCGTTTGGGTTAGTGGAGATGGCCCGGTCAGCAACGCCCGGGAGGTTCGGACAGCCAAGCGGCCTAACAGCCTAGCAGCCTAGCAGCCCGGGGGGACGTGTCAACAGGCAAACCCGGTCCACCCACGCGTCGGGCACCGCGCCTAACTCACGAGAGATGGTCTTCTGTCGACCGTCTTTGGGTCGTGTGTCTTCCCCTAACCCCTTTTCGGGGGGAAGATACTCGGTAGGTTGACGCTAATGCCAGGGGTAAAATCCAAAGTGACGCATTGTCCATAATTCTGGGAAACGGTAGATGGAGACAAAATTATGGTATTTCCAACCAGACGGTTTGCTCTAATTAATGGCTTCCCATATTTCCTCAGTCCAAGAACCTACACGGAATCCCTTTTTGATCAACTCAAGAACATGACTGCTGCAAAGACGCCCAGCACCAGTGCCGCCGAGCTACCCAACTGCCCAGCAGCCCCAGCATCTGGCACCGTTGTCGTAGCCGCAGCTGTAGGCGCCTCTGACGTGGAGCTCGGTTGACTCGTACTGCTGGAGGACGGGGAAGAGGAAGAGGAAGTCATATGTTCGGTCACTGCCGGAATCAAGCTCGAACTGGAGGTGGATGACAGGGTTGCGGAGCTAATTGTGAGGTATAACTCAGTTTCGCCGAACACTGACAAGCCACATGTTGGATGGCAAACTCACCTGAAAGTCATATTGCTTGCAAATATGGTGCTTCTCCCCGACGAAGCGATTCCAGTGCTCGTGGGGCTGATCAGGCTCGCAGTAGCATTGCTGGAGGACGTGGGTGTGGTCAACCCCGAGAGTGAGATTGTCGACGTCCCACTTCCACCCGCGATCGAGAACAAGCCGCTGTAGTTGATCGAGTCCTGTCCCTGCGTAATCTGGAGGGCATAGTCCCTGTGATCGACGTCTGTCAGAAATTCGACCTTGTGCGATGTGGGTGAAGGTGTGAGGACGCCACATACGAAGCAGTCACCAGGCTCAGCGAGACATTCCACACGAAGGAGTTTTCCGTCACACTATCTGCCAAAGTCGCGATCGTCTTGAGGTCATCCGGGTCCCCTTCTCGAAGTGTTATTGTGACAGGCGAACCATCGCCGCCGGCCCAAGAAATACTAAGCAGTTCGAGTTCTCAGCACAGTTTATTCTTCCCAGACTCTTTGCGGAACTGTGTTGTACGCACTTATAGGATTGTCCAGCAACTGCCACGGCAGGGACGGAAGTAAAGGCGATTCTCGCCTGGGCAAGAACATGGGTGGCAAGAGACGCGCTCAGCAAGAGGAGCTTTGCGGGAATCCTCATTCTCGTAGGGATCGACCGCAGCGGGACTGATGGCTGGATTTTGAATGTTGAGGATCCGGTCTCACAAGCTTAGCCTGGAAGCAATTACTCAGTGAGGAGTCTCGAGTACAAATGTCGACGTAGTGAAAAGTAGAACTGCAAGAATCAAAAAGAACGAATGGATGGCTGTCTCAAACAACGCCTTGCACAAGAGGTGTTTTTTCTTTTTTCAAGGAACGACACGATTTGAAGCAAAGAATTAGAAGCATGCCCAGAAGATATCAGCAAATCGACCCCCATGTCCGCCTAGAAATTTCTCTGCTTCTGCGAGGGAAAAAAAACCGAGATCATGAAAAAGCCTAGATCCCCCATCTATTTGAAAAGCGATCCGCAGAGCCAATAGCCGACAGTAGCACCAGTTAGAGCTAGCCAGTTTCAAACTGGGCAATCTTGCTGATCCACCATGTAATTTCAAGCAATTCCGCCGTTCCTAGTCAGAAGCCTGAACAGACACCATGCGAATGAGACAAAGGTCAAGAGAACTGAAACAGAGGACATAAGCCGACCGTCCACCCCGGTCAACCCGCAAAGAAATGCTCTGTGCATGGGGTGAATGAGAGACATGAATCAAAACAGTCAGCCGCGTGTTTTTCGTAGGCTGCGGCAAAGTTGGATGAATGCGGCTGTGGCATGGCAACCTACAGCCACATTCAGAACTCGTCCTGTACATGCGGCCGCGGTACGCCACATGGCTTCCCCTCTGTAACAGGACCAAGCCATTGCACAGCTCCGTACACCGGAAAAGAGTCAGTCGTGTCACGAGGAACCACTGGCCGCGTGGAGACTGATATGGAAAGTCCAGAAAGCGCAGAAAGCGGTACTTCATCACCAGCCGGAGTTCGAGCCCTCCAATTCAAAGCATGGCGAAGTAACGGTGTGACGGTCCGCGGCGAAAGATCTCGAAGGACGCCCCTCGACACACCTGCTGCCAACGTGTGAGTCATAGAAATTTCGCCGCGCACTTGTCCTTCGGGAAGGCCATTCGGATGCAGCATTGTGACGTTTGCGGGATTGAACTGAGCATATGTTCCAACGAGGTTTGGTGCGGCGGGCCAGGCCGACACCTCCTCCGGGGGATCACCCATGAAGAAGTCAATGCAGAAGCTTGTATTCATCGGGAACCGATCAACAAGCACAGTAATCGACCACTGCCGGTTGAGGTTGTTAACACGGAGCTGCCTCGCCAGGTCAAGCGAAACATGACCGAAATTCTCGGCTATGCTGGAAGATCGTCGCCTTCCCTGTTTCGTGGAGCTGCTGAATGTGTTGTTGGACGAGGGATTATAAAGCGAGTTGACCGCAATTCGTACATTGTTGGCTAAGTCGTCCGAGCCCATCTCCCAGTCTGGGAGTTCCGGGTAACTGTAGCCAAATACTTTCGTGCTTCGAACGTCATCCGATGTGAAGAGCGTGCTGCCACCGTCAGAATGAAATGGTGCCAAAGCTGTTAGGTGTTAGTTTCCACATCTTTTGCCTTTTGGGTGACACCAACCGGTTGTTCCCGAGTCGACAAACCCAACATTCTCGTAGTACGATCCATATGCATTCACGGTCGGTTCGATGTAGGTGTCCGGATGTAGCGCTTGCCACATGGCAAACAGACGATCAACGTTGGCATGATGCAGCCAGAAGACAGGATCAAACCCCGCGACTTCTGGAAACTGCATGTGACCATATCCGCCTATGCTGTTGTGGATGCTGTTGTGAATGGACTCAATATTGTTCGCGGTAACCCATTGGCCACCAGGCCAGGTGCATGAGAATGCTGTGTAATTCGCCAGGGATGTGAACATTTGATATGTCAACGATTGGATCCTGGAACACCGTGAGTCAAAGCGTGCCAGCTCCAGGGAACGGATTGACTCACGCAGGAGCGTTGGCCAGCAACGCCGCAGTGGCTGCGCTTTGATTGCTAGATTTTGTGTTCAAACTCCACCAGCGAACAGTCTCGGAAAAGTTGGCCATCTGTATGTGCGTCGCGGTCAGTAGATCGTCAAGGATTCACAAGAGCACCAAGATCAACTCTACCGGATCGGAAAGCGGAAACCCATTGCCCACGGCATCAGACTGGAAGACATAATTGTAGAGAGGATTGGCAATTGTTTGTCGCCCAGCTGGAGTGTTGATGGAGATTTGAGGCTGCGCAACCACGTCAGGCAGCGCTGGATAAACTGCCCAGTCCCAGTAAGGAACCCGTAAAGTGACGGCGGCGCTCGAATATTCATCACGTTGATCATCGGGATAGTCATTGGCAATATCCTGGGCATGCTGCCAGATCAATTGCTGTAGATGTTAGCAACAAGACCACAAGTAATGACAGGGGCAAGGCCAGGTACCTCAAATAGTGCCACATAAGGTCGGTGCCAGGTCGGAAATGGGGTTGCAGCATGTGTGCAGAATCCTGGATAGCTCCCAGTGCCTGATACACCGTCCCAAGGAATTCGAGGGAACCCATGGATTCCTGCCTCTGGTAAGCATCTGTGCAAACAATGGCCGATAGTCAGTGACCTGAGATTTGAAAGTAAGACAGCTCTTCTGACTGGTCAATACTTTGAAGATCTTTCAGAGCGAGGATAAACAAATCGAAAGCCGGGCCTGAATTTGCAAAGTCATGGATCTCGTATCGCAGAGGTCGTGCTCCTGTAGTCGAATTGAGGCCGCCAAGAGCACCAGTGATCTGGACAGCGACCAAACGATCACTCAGGAACAGAATCAAGAGGAGAAGCAATGCAATGGGCTCTTTGCAGCGGAGGGTGAGAGACAACATGGTCAGGAGATATCGAGCAGAGGAGACCTGACGAAGACAACGGGATCACTTTGCTTGAGCGAGCATTTCTTTCATAAAGCAACTCATGTCCTCGGGATGCTAACCAACGCCCCAGATCTCCCACACACCCTGAGCGACTCAAACGCAAGGATTGTTTGTTAGACATGCAGATTGCCAGTCTCTGGGACCGCACACCGATGCGCTGGGCCCGGTGGCTCGGGCAGGTGCATCCGTTGCCTCCAGTCGCATCGTAACAGTGTTGCAAACAGTGTGGATGGAAACCATCTTCAAAGGGGTATTATTCAACTCAATTCCATCTGAGACCGCCTGTGTATACATGGTTCTAACTGCGATTTGAATATTTGCTGACGACAGGATATACACAGGAGACGTTCACTATTCTTGGTCCAAACCACCCCTGTCCATAAGAGTGTCCCACAATGTTTTTCCGATATAGTGAACCCCAGCGGAGTTGGTGCAACGGGTGTTCTGTGTTCTGCTGGTGACACCAACCAGGGCAGCTGTTGGGAGGCAAACCAGGGGGCGTTCTCTTTCGAGAGGGTGCGCTGCAAACCACCTCCTGCAGGATTTATCTGTCTGATTCTGAGATTTGCACCCGCTTCACGTATGACAGAGCATTCCAAACATGACCTGAGACGATGTAGATGTGTGCCACATTAGACAACCAGATAACAGAAATGGAAGATCGGGATGCGAAGGAAGCTGAAGGTCTTTCCGCGACGAGCGGCTTGGCCCGAGCCTGAGCCACGTCGTCATTTCTGTTCCGCGCACTTACGAGTTACGAGTTACGAGTTGCCAGTCCCTTGTTCCCTTGCCTCCGGCTGCCGCGGAGTCGCGTAGTAGCGGCTTTTTCCAAAAAGGTCCTCGATCAAAAATCAAAAGGAAAAGAAATAACGCGCGTGGTCAATAAACCATTACTTTTCGCCCTTGTCGCCTGCTGCCCGTCTTTGCTCTTCTTCTCCATTAGAACCAGGAACCTCAACAATCGCAGGCACCGTCTGCCTATCCCTCACCATGGTCGAGTACACACCTGCTCCGGAAGACCTCTCGCGTCTGAACCCCATCCAACGCTACATGCAGAAAGGCCAACTCGACAAACAAGATTATGTCTACCTGATCCTCATCGTCCTTGTCTACTTCATGGCCAGGCCTAAGATTGAAGAATTCTTCAAGTGGTGGATGGGCCCGAAGGAGCTGCAAGAGGGCGAACAAGCCCGGATAGCATACATGCAAAAGGCAAAAGTTGGACCAAACGTGATACGGGGGACCGAGACCAGGAGTCTGGAGACAATTCCCGAAGTCTCCGCCGACACTGCCACTGGCACCAACATGGATAAAAAAGGCAAGGTGGTGAACCGGAAAACAAAGGACAAGTCGGGAACCGACAAGCTGTTAGACTGGGAAGACGAGCCCGAGAGGAAGCCTACGGAAGGGGACAAGTCAGATGTTGTCGCATGGCTCGACAAATGGTCTAATGAAGAATGAATACAGCATCGGAGCTGTTGACCATTCATCTGCTTGTTGATGGGGCTTTTTATGTGGCTGAAAAGAGCTCGATTGACTGGAAACGTGGGGTACACTGCATAGCCCAGTAGAAGCATTCCAGCTCAGGGCAGACATCGATCAGTGACACTCATCCCGAGTGCACGAACAGGCGTGTCAGGGTTGGAAGACAAGGGTTGATGATGATTGTCAGTTGAAGGCTATGGCCTGGAAGTCTGCCCTGAACTTGCGTTACTTGAGTATCTGCCACGATGAATGAGAGGCCCAGGACATGACATGCCCGTCCAGTCATCTGTGACCTGGCCGATGGTGACTTCATGATGAGCCATTCTGCTTCATTATCATTTTGTGGACATGGCTTGGATATAGAAGAACACGGGTACGAAGTCTTCGCGTTCAGACCGTTCTTACCGCTTCAGCCTCATTGTCAATCAATTCCTCATCTTCACCTTACCCTGCAACTCTCTTGCGCACGGCTTTTATTGCTTCTCTGGGCCCGCAGCAGAAGTTTATCCGCGACATTTGTTGGATGGCGACCTACACGTCGCTAGGTCGACTTAACACTCGCCAGAAAGGAGCAAGGACGGAGTGAATGGTTGTGTATGCCAGAAGCAACAACTTTACACCATCCTCAAGATCTTCGTGAGACAGAAGAGCTGGAAGATCCCACGTCGATATCTGCGCAAAGACACCCAGGCCAAAGACACCCACGCGACAGAAAGGCACAGGCTTCCTCTCGGAGAAGTACCAAGAATTCCCATGCTCTGGTTACTGGAAATCTCAACTAGTGCAAGACCTTGGAAGGAAATGTTGTCTGACGGAAACGAGAAAGGAAACTCTGTATTCGACGACACAATCGGCTGAGGCTGCGCGCTACTCACAACACAACGGCCTCATCAGTGTTGGCCATCGTGCGGTAGTCTGCACAATTCAACCAGCATTGGCTCTGTTGGCCCACCCACCGAGTGATGTTCACAGTGACTTGGAGGTCCGTTCCAATGAAATTGGGGATTCGGGGAGCGCTGGCTGACGGTGGAGCATCTCCTACTCAGTATTACAAAAGTTGTGTCCATTTACTCCTTTTGCCATGGTATGTTTGGGGAAGCTTTGGTTCGGTAAGATAAGAAGTGGACACACGGCACGCGAGTTGCAAGGAGACACCTGCATAGATATGTACCTCCGGAGTAGACACGGTCTCCGACGTTTGCGGTTTCCGCCTTAGCCGCTCTTGTACCTTGTATACGAGTACGGACATATTACCTCCAGACAGAGTATACTCGTACTCGGTAACACTGGGTGCCGAGAACGCCGGCGTGGATCCTGCCGATCTTTAAGCTGACCGACAGCGTGTGAGCGGGTACATGGATGGGGGCCATTATTATTATGAATTCTCTTTGCCAAATCAAGTAACATATCAAGTAATACGAGAAAGAAAGGGGGGGGTTTGTGGAAAACATGGGATGATGGTGCGTGCCTTGCGACCACACCAGACCATATCATACCATTCCACACAACCGGTCGGCGCATCAAGAGAATGTTCTACAGACTCACTCCAGGGAGACTCCCCACTCTGTCTCAACGAGTAGATCGTCACCACAGAATCATCAATCTAAACAACAACATTACCGAAACATCCTCGTCGTCGCTTCTTGAATTTCGTTTCAGGTCTCCCACCTCAGAGTTATCGGGGCAAGAAAACTGCGCTCGGAGGGCCTCCATACTCCTCCCATTCTCCCTTTGTGCATTTGCCATTTCCTCCTCACTCGACTTTGCTGTCCTCGGTAGAAATGGTCGTTTCATCGATTCGTGTCTGTGTACTTGGGGGTGGAGGAGGAGTAGATACAGAGAGGAAGAGAAAGGGGTTTCCCCCGTTGAGAGGTGACAAGGTCGTTGCAACCGTAGAAATGTCGATCCAAGAAAAGTGCCAACTTTTGTCCAATGCTCGCTCGCTAGAAGACGTTTAGACGACATTAGGATATAGATGGCGCGGAAAGAAAGCCCCCAGCGACGGGTGCGTCATTATTGTACAAAACTCAACACGGGGCGGTGCGGCTCAGGGATCTCTGTCGTTCAACAACAGAGGCTCGGACTCGGGGTTATGCTCGCGAGAATTGCCTGCCACGGCGGCGCCCAGGCGGGCTCTGAGGCCGGACAGCTTTGGAGGACGCGGAAGTTCTGGGAATTTGCCGTACAGGAAAACCAGGCCCAGGAAGCCGAAGCCCAAGACCATGCAGCCAAAGACCAGGAAGAAGATGGACCAGAATGCGAGCTGGGGAAAGCAGAGTCAGCTTTTGAGCAACCAAAGTGGAAACAAACACGGGAAATGGTAAGAATGCTTGGGGAAATCTCACAGAAGGCGAAGGCGTCTTGACCACCGCCGAGTATGCCATCACACCATGCGATGCGTCCAAGGCCGCGACCCTCACGTATCTGTGGTTCTTTCGGAGCGCAAAGCTCGTCTCGAACCCGTCGCGTTTCGCTTCCTGCATTGTGACAAACTCGTGATCCTTGGCCTCCACCGCCCGGGCCGTCTCCAGCCTCCATCCCGTAACCTCTGTCGCTCCATTCCAACTCACATATACCTTTCCCCGCTTCACCTTCACATCCGGGACTGTTTTGGGTCTCCCCACCCACGGATGCTTGAACACGCGGTACGATTTTACCAGCCCGAAGTCGATGATCTCAAATACGAGGTGGGGTGCAAAGTGTGCGTTGCAGAGCACCTTGCCCTCGGCCGAGTACTCGACGTAGGTGGGCGAGTTGCCGAATCCAACGAGCACGTTGCCGCTCTCCGGAAGCACTTGCACAGAGCCCTGGGACACGTTGAGAATCTCGTCTGGGTGGACGAACGCCTGCAGGAGGGAGGCAGTCATCTTCTCCATATCAAGGCGGATCAGCATGCCCTTGCTGTGTGCGGAGGGGCTGTGAAAGACGTTGTTGGCGTGATTGTCGAAAAGCGATATCGTGTTGTTGCCCTGCCAAGTTACATGGTGTTGCCACGCGAAATCGGTGGCCCCGTTGAGGTCTTCAAAGTGATTGTTCTTGCCGCCGAGCTGCCACAAGATTTCGCCTGTCTTCGAACTGATGCACACTACGGCGTGCATGTAACGGGCTGAGATGAGGTAATCCCCCGAGTCTGTCTTGTCGACGCTGTTGATGTGGAAAAAATCAAAGGCGTCCTTTTTCGATTTTCCATGTCCGTCCTTGTGAGAAGGGCTGCTGAATACATCGGTCATACGGATATGGTCGGTGGCTCTCCATTCAAAAATTAGATCGCCCGTCTCGATATCGATTTCTTGGAATAGTCCGTCCTGAATCCAGCAGCTCTTGCCCAACCCCAACTCCGTGCAGTCCGCTTGGTGTTTATGGTATATCGTTATAAGTGCAGTGCCTTGCGGAGTGATGCGAAACTCATGAGAGTCTCCCTTGAGACCAGCACCATGGGGGCGTACCCGATGGACAACTTCGTAAGAAGAGTTAAGCTAGAAGGTCAGTGATGCATTTAGAGAGCCAGAGAAATAACAGGCCGTACCATCACGTATGACTTTTTGGAATGCTTCGGGTGACGTTTCTTCTTGGTTTTCGTCCAGAAGGTCAAGTAGTCCTCGCCCTTGTACTTTTGTACATTCAAGTTCATGGCCTGCTCGAATTTATCGTGCTCCATCCAGACCAAGTCACCCCTCGCATCTAGAATGACTGGACCACGTGCCGCGCCGTTGACGAAGGGTCCCCTGGGAGTGAGGAAGAGGTTCCCAGAGTCACACCGGGAATCCCATTGTGTTATCCTGGGCGCCGGCGCCTCAAGATCAACGGAGTGAAAATGCTGGCGGGGATATATGCCACGAAAGCCCAAGTCATAGGCATTGAAGGAGAATGCAGTCACCCAATGTATGGGAAGCGCCGCGAAGAACAAAAAGGAACGCATGATAAGATGCTCGCGGAAGCATGATAAGATGGTCGACGAGACATGATTAGATGATTGAAGGGGGACTTATAAGAATCAAGGTGGACAGGAAACCAGGGCCGGCCAACAGATCGTCGAATGCAGACAGTTTGATTTGATTTCTGAGCAGGCCGGAACACTCGGAACCTACTTTGGTCTCGCTTGTTTACTTGCCACGGGCCATTGTAGCATGGTTGCATAGCGAGGTAGAGCCTTGTCTTGTCAAAAACATCCACTCCCAAAACATCCACGAGGAATACCGGCACCTTAATCTCGCCATCAGAATCGCAAGCCACCATCAAACAACAGCTGGGAGAAGCATACAGAAGTTGGTAATTGCTTGAAGTGTTTGGTGTTCTTGCTGGACTCGATCACGAAACCCACTCAGGTCGTATGATGATCTGGGTCTCGTTCTTGTCGCACAGGCAGCCGAGTGGCTTACATACTCGAAATTGTATCTCACGGAATTACCACGTACCGGCATCCGTGGAAGCTTATGACAGGCCAGAAAACCGACCGGGGCACGTGCTCAAAGCGCCCTTGGTGGCCCACGGAAAGGCTCAGCTAAGCAAGCCCAAGCAAGACCAAGCAACAACGGCCAAAACAAGGATATAGACTCCCCTGCTTCTCGATTGTGAACCAATGAAAAACAGAGTGTAGAATCCACAGATGCCCTGAACAACACAGAACGAGGTCGGCAACGGTGAGTACCTCTAGCACCCTAGTCGGACGCTATCAAGCGACGGGTTTGTGAGGCTGACTGGAGGTTTTTTGGAGCCCGAACACCGAAAAGCACAGGTGATTGGTAAGTTCGGTTGCCTCTGCCACTTGGCTTAGCTGGGCAACAGGTAAAGATGGCCACGGAAATTATGCAAATTTGCATCTGCGCGACGTTGATCGGCCAAGGCAGACATTGTGCCATGGGGTTGGTTATGACTTCGGATATGCAGAACCGGAACGCTACTGGCGGACCAACCCTCCGGCCTTATTGCTTGGCTGTATTATGAGTCAGCTGATCGGTGACCTTGGGCGCACCAGGCGCACCCAGGGCGCCTCGTGGACACACATTACCTGAAAGGGAATGCAGCGGGAGGCCCGATATCCCTTCGTTCTCTGATAAGGCGGAGATGGCAGAGATGCCAAATGGTCAAGGTCACAATGGTTGGAAGACAAGTAAGAACGCGGGCCAAACTCTTCGACCCTGCCTGAGTCGCCAAGACAGGGAGCTCGGAAAGCAGAGATCGATTTATCGTTATCGACTCTACTCGTAATCGTGCCGGACATCGAGTACAAGGCACAAAAGGACCACGACCGTACTCAGCATCTGGTGCGCACTGCGAGGTATCCTGGTATGTGCCGAATACTACTTGTACGTGCAACACATTTTATGAGCATGCCAATATGATCTCCTCGACGGAACATTGAAATTCCAGTTCCGGATTCTCGGCCAAGATTAAACCGACCAGGTCTCTAGGGCGGCAACACAATGGTCCGAAAAGGGCTTTTGGAGACGTATGCGCAATGGAGCGACATCAAAGACACTTCATTCTATAGCGAAACCACAGCTTCTCCAGCAAGTCTTTTTCTTCGTTCATCTTGTTTGCTCTTCTCCCGTGGCCGGCATGGCGGTCTCCACGCCTCTTGACCCTTTCCTCCGTGGAAGTACCAGCAAAAACACCCGGGGTCTCCTTCGAGTTATTATTCTCCTGACCATTGCGGCCGCCGCAGTGTCAGCCCGTTTGTTCAGTGTAATTCGTACGTGCGAGGCTCGAACTCATGCTATCACAATACTTTGGAAGCAGCTCACTGACTACGTTGCTCAGGTTTCGAAAGCATTATCCACGAGTGTCAGTGACTCCTAGTCCGCTTCCTCCTCATCCTGAATATCTTGCTTGCCAAACGAAACAAAAGTGTCGTCCCCTGAACGAGCTTGCTCCTGACACTCAGATTCAACAGTCGATCCCTGGTTCAATTTCCGTGCCACCAAATATCTGGTGAAGAATGGCTTTTACAGCTTCTGGGACTGGTTTGACGACCGTGCGCTTACCACCCACCCCGCGAGAAGAGATTGGATATACTAATAGGTTATAAGGAACATGGCACCCCCTCGGTCGAGTCACTGGCGGAACGCTCTATCCAGGTCTGATGGTAACATCTGGTGTTATCTACCACATCCTCCGGCTTTTGTCCCTTCCTGTCGACATACGGAACATCTGCGTCCTCCTCGCTCCGGGGTTCTCTGGCCTTACAGCACTAGCAATGTACCTCTTGACCTCCGAAATGTCTTCTTCGCCATCTGCAGGTCTTTTGGCTGCTGCCTTTATGGGGATCACTCCAGGTTACATCTCAAGATCCGTTGCCGGGAGTTATGACAACGAGGCCATTGCTATTTTCCTCTTGGTCTTCACATTCTTTCTCTGGATCAAGGCTGTCAAAAACGGGTCTATCATGTGGGGAGCTCTGGCTGCCTTGTTCTACGGCTACATGGTCTCTGCATGGGGTGGATACGTTTTCATCACCAACTTGATACCTCTTCATGCTTTCGTCCTCATCTTGATGGGTCGATACAGTTCCAGGCTGTACATCAGCTACACCACCTGGTATGCTCTCGGGACTCTGGCAAGCATGCAGGTTCCGTTCGTGGGATTCCTCCCCGTCAGGAGCAGTGATCATATGGCTGCGTTGGGCATTTTTGGTTTGTTGCAATTGGTTGGCTTCTTCAATTTCCTGCGGGACCAGCTCCCAGGCAAACAGTTTCAGACACTGCTGGTTGCCCTGGGTGGAACTATCTTTGCTGTGATGCTGTTGGCTCTCGTCACTCTCACTGTCTCTGGTGTCATTGCACCCTGGAGCGGTCGATTCTATTCTCTCTGGGACACAGGGTATGCAAAGATACATATCCCCATCATCGCATCCGTCTCGGAACATCAACCCACGGCATGGCCTGCATTCTTCTTCGACCTCAACATGCTCATCTGGCTATTCCCTGCGGGAGTCTACATGTGCTTCCGCAATCTGAAAGATGAGCATGTCTTTGTCGTTATTTATGCGGTCCTTGCCAGCTACTTTGCCGGAGTTATGGTCCGACTCATGCTTACCCTGACACCGGTGGTGTGCTGTGCTGCTGCGCTTGCTCTTTCACATATATTAGACACCTACCTCTACATCCCGTCACCCTCTGGAGATGCAAATGATGGGAGCAACGGGTCTGTCAAGGCAAGCAAAATCGCCGCCAACCCGTCACTACGGTCCACCAGAAACCCTCTCGTTGGCATCTATTCCGTTGTGTCGAAGTCGATGATCACGTCAATGGTCACTGGTTTCCTACTTCTGTTTGTCGCTCACTGCACGTGGGTTACCTCGAATGCCTACTCATCACCTTCGGTCGTTTTGGCCTCAAGGTTACCGGATGGGTCTCAACACATTATCGACGACTACCGAGAAGCTTACTACTGGTTGAGGCAAAACACACCCCAAGACGCAAAGATCATGTCATGGTGGGATTATGGATATCAGATTGGAGGTATGGCCGACCGACCGACATTAGTGGACAATAACACTTGGAACAACACGCATATTGCGACTGTTGGAAAGGCCATGAGCTCTCGAGAGGAAGTCAGCTACCCCATCCTTCGCCAGCACGACGTTGATTATGTTCTGGTTGTTTTCGGAGGTCTATTGGGATACAGTGGTGACGATATCAACAAGTTTCTGTGGATGGTAAGAATCGCCGAGGGTATCTGGCCTGAAGAGGTGAGAGAGCGAGATTACTTCACTGCTCGCGGCGAATACCGAGTCGATGAAGAAGCCACGCCCACCATGAAGAATTCTCTCATGTACGTACCATTCTCTCTGTCCAAAGTCCCCAATGACTGACCCGCTCCACAGGTACAAAATGTCGTATTACAACTACAACAACCTCTTCCCAGCAGGCCAGGCGCAAGATCGCGTCCGAGGTTCATCTCTTCCCGCGCAGGGCCCGGAATTGAGCACGCTCGAGGAAGCCTTTACCAGTGAGAACTGGATCATTCGCATTTACAAAGTCAAGCCTCTGGATAATGTAGGGCGCGATCACCAAAGTGCTACTGCCTTTGAAAAGGGCCACAAGAAGAAGAGGAAGACTGGGGCGAGAAAGGGTGCAAGGACTCTGAGAGTGGACTAATCTTGTAAACCCCTTGCTTCACTCACAGGGTAATTGCGAGTGACAACTGGCGGAGACATAGGGGGTTTATGTTTGTGATGAAATAGACAAAAAAATTTCTGCTGGGAACAAAAGCGCTTACCATGATATTGGTTTGTATAAAACAGAGAACTAACATCATCACTGTTGCTTCTTTCCGACCTTGTACCACTCTGGACGGCCAACGACTTGAGTCCAGTGGATCTCTGATTGCTGGTAAAGCTCTGGGAGAATTCGAACCCTTTCCGTGTAAGATATAGGGGGGGAGGAGGCAGGAAACACAAGTCGATAGCGGAGACCGCAAGTCACAGAGGTACCGGTACTGGTACAAAATCCCCCCAGAAATCACTGGTATATATGTTTTCTCTTTCTAAATTCTGTCACGCAAAGACCCCCTTCCACAACAAGGGCGAATCCGAATCCGAATTCCACGAGTTCGAGTCACGGTTACGGCACATCTAGATCCTGTCAGGTCAAAACTAACTCCGGGTTAGTGGGCATCAGGACCTCGATTCCTCCCTCCGAGCCTCCTCCCTCCGAGATTTCGGTCCTACCAGGTCAATCTAACATCGGTTAGAGGCAATAGGTCCTCAACAACATCAACCACGTAGTATAAATTCTGTAGTATAACCGGACGAGAAAAACCAACCCTGCAAAGGGCGAGTTTTCCTTATCACAGACCAGCAGGTTGAGCTGTTCTGGGATAAGTTTTTTGCCGTTTTGCCGTTCTGGCCATCAGAAGAAGGATGTCACTATCTGTCTTGGAATGATGTCGCGTAGCCGCACTGGCAAGGTACGTGTTGTGAACCCTCTCATTCTGTGGGTTTACAAGGGAAGTATCGCCAGCCCACTTTAGCAAAGCAGAATGGGGTTTCTTCTTGTGATAAAGCGGCGGGGACTTCCTGCCAAGGCTGCATCTGGTCCGCAAATCAAGTCGCTTCATCCTTCACGATCCTTCGTGACTTCATTGGCTCCGACCAAGTTCATTGTACCTCTTTCATATTTATCTCGTTGAGGCCCCAGGTGACATGGTGGAGAGTGACAAGCGAAAAGCAGCAGAAGCTGGCTTGTCGCACTCTGACCTGGGCACTGAACAGATTCTTGACGATATTGAATCCCTTGATGCACCTAATGCGACCCATGTTCACAACACAAAATCTAACAGTATGAACGGCGAAAGTGCAGAAACGCCCGTCTCACAAGAATGGGCTGTGGCTGAATCCAAGTCGTCTCGCAAGAAAAGACGGAAGATCGAACGAGAACCGGATGGCGACCCCAGCATCAGCTTCTCCGGATCCAGACCTGAACGTGTCGATCTCAGGGCGTTACAAGACCTCGTCCTTTACATTTTGGCGGACGGGACTGCACCAACCTGGCTGGCTGTGAGGAACGCTAAGCAGATCAAGAAGGTAGTGGTCTTGATGGTTCCTGCCCTTGATGAAACGATGCTGGGGGATACGGAACTATGGAATGGCATATCTGAAAAAAGGATGAAATCCATCACCAATCAGCCTGGGAAGCCAACATCAAGTCCTGATCCAACTCCCGAAGACTGCACTTCAGCCTCAAACGATGCTCCAACCGTTCACTCACCATCACAAGTAACTCTGGATTTGCCGTCGACCCATCTCTCTGCTGATCAAAACCTAACAGATCGTCTCCTACGCTATATTATCGAAGTACGCGCACCCGGAGATTCACGCACAGGCAGAGTGCACTCCCCGCTTCAAGGCATGCTCATCGCGCCCTTCCCGGAGGCTACCAAGCAGAAGTTGAAGAATAGCAAGGACGACAAGGTTTCCCATGGAATTCGTACTCCCATTGCAGACTTCATCCACTCAGTTGATGAACTACGAGAAGCAGAATATCCGATTCACCCTGCGGCATTTACGGATTCGAGTGATGCACAACTGGAGAACAAACGAAGAGAGAAGACAGGCCAGTCTCATTGCTCTGGCTGGGTTGACACCCATGTCTCGGTCTTCAAGCCTCGTATATTCTCTTCTCCTTCCCATCCCCAGGCCCACGATTTCCTCACACAAGGTCTAAAACCCTACGCTCTGGATTGTGAGATGGTCCTGACGTGCGATGGAAAACATTCCCTTGCGCGGATCTCTCTGCTTGACTGGACCGGCAGGACAGTGCTGGATAGATATGTCAAGCCGGCGCTAGCCATCCAAAACTACTTTACACAATTCTCTGGAATAACGGAGAAAATCCTTGAAGATGTTACAACGACGCTGGGAGACATCCAGAAAGAGTTGCTCAGCATCTTACGAGAGGATACAATCCTGCTCGGCCACAGTCTTGAATCCGATCTCAACGCGCTGAAGATGACACATCCGTTCGTGGTCGACACGTCAATCATCTATCCACACCCGCGCGGTCTGCCTTTGCGCTCATCCCTGAAATTTCTAGCGAACCGCTATCTAAAACGCGAAATACAAAAGGGCGGGATGAGCGGGCATGACAGTGTCGAAGACGCCAGAGCGGTGTTGGATCTGGTAAAACTGAAATGCGAGAAAGGACCTACGTGGGGGACTTTGGAGGCCAACGGTGAAAGCATATTTCGCAGGATTGGAGGCACGCTAAAGATGGACGCCAACGGAGAGGTTGTTTTGAAGACCACAGCCATGGTGGAGTACGGGACCCCAGAAAGAGGACTTGGACGAGACGCAACATACAAAATCGGTTGTTCGAATGATGACGAGATTGTCCAGGGCGTGCTTAGGGCGGCTCTCGGAGATTCGCATGAGGAAAGGACGTTTACAAAAGATGGTAGCAAAAATGCTGCTGAAGTGGATAGTACCAGCCATGATGGAGGTGCGAAAACCCAAGGGCTCGATCAGGCCATTCCGCCGGGCGGTGCTGACTTCATTTGGGCTCGACTCCGCGACCTCGAATCCGCACGAGGGTGGAATACCCTTCCCAGTGACATCTTTCCCACACCTACATCCTCCTCAACTCCAGACGCGGCCCTTCCAAACGACCAAGCAGAACACCTCAGAGACATCATGCGTCAAACCGTTCGACGTATTTATCAAATATTTGCCAACCTTCCAGATCGGACACTGCTTATCCTCTACAGTGGAACTGGTGACATGCGGTCGCTTCTGCGGCTGCAAAATCTTCAAGCCCAGTTCAAACGGGAGTTCAAGGTCAAAAAGTGGGATGATATCTCGGTGAAGTGGACGGATGTCGAGGAGCAGAAGATGAAGACAGAGTGTGAGAGAGCGAGACGGGGAGTTGGAGTCCTGGCACTTCGATGAAATGACGAAAGAGATGAGTAAGAGAAGAGACTTTGACCCGGTTCTCAATGGCGTTCCCCCGATATTGAGGGTGTGATTGATTGCCTTCGTTGAGCTCAGCAAGTCGTGTTTATGCGAAACTGAGTCTGACGCGGTAGCTGGGGGATGTTCAATGCTCCATACCAGCTTCATTCTTGTATTACCCAGGTCTCGTTCCCTACTAGTCTTGGGACAGGATCTTGTGGTACACTGTCACAGCAAGACGATCTATTCCGAGAGTGCATGCATGTCCCCGGATGCGGCCACTCTCGAAACACAGAAGGACTCAAGCCCGTCATCTTCCACTCCATCTTCTGGTGAGTTTCTCACTTTTCAGGGTGTTTCAAATACACCCATTTCAGTGGCACCCAGCTAGTCACTTATAACCCTGTGCTCAAAGATGTACACCTTCATCACGTACAAACGTATCTCTGGCGTGAGATAGTCACAGACTCGAATATTGAAGGTCGTACAGCGGTGATCCAGGTAAGAGGTTTCGGTGAAATATTGCACACTGGGCCTGTCAGAGCCTACGGGCACGCGGAGCAGGTCGACAGCCTTGAGCTTTTGTCCTTAGGGGCGCTATTACTTCTACCAACCCCATCATGAAGCTGGTGAGATACACACTGCCGCCGATCCTCCCGCCGTGGGGATATTTGGGCAACTGCGAGCAGCGAGTGAAGAAAGTATTTTGGGGGCTGATGAGGGACGGAGATGGACCGGCTAAAGATTATATATGAAAATGGGTATCACTGGACCATCTTCTCTGGGGGCACAGCAGCAGGTAGTCGTAATGGCGGTTCAGACACGCTTCTCCTTGCTCTATCCCCTTTCTCTTCGTCTTGAAAGCTATCAGGCCCTCGGGGGCTCGTATCATAACGAGTTTTCATTTCCCTCCCCCGAGTCTTTGTTTTCTCGCCTTTGCCGCCTTGTACTGGGCACTTCGTTGAGCGCTTTTGGATGTTGGTCTTCTCCTCTTTCTGTCCCGGCTGCCCAACCCGCTCCCCTTTCCTTTGCCAGCGGTACCCGTGCTTGAAGCGCGGTGACCTTCGAAGATCAATGGGCGTTTCGGCCTCCTGTCATCTTTCCCTCTCATGGCACCGTTGCCGTTGCCGTTCGACCACCCTTTGTGTCTCCAGTCCTTGGCCAGAGCCCCTCTTGGATTGGGGGTGGGGCGCTTGATCTGCATCTTCCTGGCGCGCATGACGCGAAGTTTTCGCGGCAGCATCGGCGGGAATTTCCTGTCGTTCATGAGCAGTGCGGCCTCGACGCTGTTCTCATCCTTGAACTGGACGTAGGCGAATCCCTTGCCGACGCGCGTCTCTTGGTCTCGTACCACACGCACGCTTTCAACTTGTCCGGCTTTGCTGAATGCTCGCCACAGACCTTCTTCTGCATCGGCGGGCTCTTTTGCTGTCGACCGTCGTCTCTTCTGAGGATCTTCCTCGTTGTCGGGTGGAGGTGCCTCTTCGTTGACAAAGCTCAAGTTCCCGATAAACACGCATCGCTTGTGGTCAATAGCCGAGGGTTTGGCCAGGTAATCGACTCTCAAGTGGCGGTCAAGCACAACGGTTCCGTTGAGCTTCTTCGCCACATATTCCGCAGCAATGTCGGTGGTGAAGACTGCATAAGCGTTTGTGCTGACGGTGGTCGCGTCCATGAGTTCCTTCTTGGCATATGTGGCTTTCTTTGGGCCCTGTCCAGACGCGTAGGCGGTGGATCGGAACCGGACCGACTCGAGTTTTCCAGGCCTCTTTCCATCAACTGATGTCTTCAACACAGAGCGTAGATGTCTGGTCAGTTCTCTTTTCGCCGACTTGGATTTGATAGCTTGAGTGGATACGTTCCCCAAGAACACGGTTCTGTTGAATTTGTCTTGGTCCTTGAGCTTCTTGTCAAAGACCTCATGTTTCGGGGTCACTTCGATCTCAGAGGGTTCGCTCAATGAATCCTCGTCAGAGTCGGAAGAGGAGGCGTCGCCTTCGCTCGAGCTTTCTTCGGCGTCATCGTCGCCCGTTTGGACGGGTTCTCTCTTGCGGTTTTCCCTGTCCTCTTCCAACTCTAGCCGCTTGAAATATGTTTGCTCGAGATCATCATCGTCGGTGGCACGCTTGCGTTTACGAGGCTTCTTGACTGTGACTGTAGCTTCCTGCTCCGACGTCGACGATTCGTCACCAGAGGAGTTGTCTGAGGCTTCCAAGTCGTTGTTGCCGTCACTGTTTTCGGGGGACTCGGAGTCGGAGGAGGAGGTCCCCTCTTCTTCTGTCCTCGGCGGTCTTTGCGCAGAAGCAGTTTGCGCAGAGCTCGAAACTCTCGGCTGTACTTTCACTGGTCCCGACTAACACGAGTATGTTAGCCTCACTCCAGGGCTGTTGATCGTGCGTCTTACACTTGAAGCAAATAGGGAAGCGAGGGCAGGATCGACTGCTTCCTCTTTAGCTGCCAATCTGCTTGTACCTGTGGTTGAAGGTGAGGCTTGCGCCTCAACCTTGTGTTTCTCTGACTTTGCCATGTTTACGGGTCCGTCACGTCAAGTCAATTGCTCAGTTCGGGCATTTCTCTCGAGACTGCACGGTGGTCGCAGAATCTCTTGCAGTCTAATCGAAGCCACAAAAATTTCGCAGGGCAATCGAAAATGGAGATAAATCGAGGTGCAGGAACACTATCTCCGACGCTAGCCGGTTGCGCTGATTCGTGCCTATGACATCGCCCACTCAATGTCCCGAGCCCCATGATTCAAGGGCAAGCCAGCCACGGCAGCCAAACCGCCCGCACCCAGACTTTTGCTCCCCTTGTGTCTCCCTTGTTACCAACGTATCCATGCCTATGTAACTTTTGGGGGCTACGCTGCGTTTCTCCACCGACGCCAACACGCCTGCTGTTCCCTGCATTTTGTAACCTGCGACTTTGCCAGACTCCCATTTGCACCCTCTTCGGTATACCAGCTCTTTTTGTCTTATATCGATAGACGACGTCGGCATTGATCGCCCCAATTGTGTTTCTTCTCTGCACGTTCTCCCTGAAGGCTACAGAAGCCCCCGCCCCGCTGGCAATTCTCCTCTGACAGTTCCTCACACCATCCCACTTTCGCCCACCTGAAGTGTTCGACTATCGCTCGAAGTCATAAAAGCTTGCCAGTGCTCTCACAGCCCTCGTCCCATCCAGAAGATTGAGATCTGTCAAAGCCACCACCCAACGAAGAAGCCCTCGGACCCAGTGACCGTTGCGCCCATGCTGCTACTAAGAACGAGCGCAAGAGAAGAGAAGATAACCACCATGCTATTGTGACTGCGAGTCGTTCACCAATATATTGTATGTCAATATACCTGCGAGTATATGCATTTCTGGCGTTATGATCGACGCGCAGTTCTTCTGTTCGCGCTGACCACAGATACCTACCCTAGGCGACCTCAACCCACGATTTCTCCAGCTCTAGAACACCCCGTTGACCGATCCCGAGCGCCTGTTATCCTCTCCAAACGATCTAAATCCTACAGAAGTCCTGGTTTTTACAACCATGGACTCAGCGGCGGACTCACTCCTGGCTCTCTCTAATACTGCCGTTGCCTACGCAGCCAAGGACACACCCCTCTCCGATGATGATCGTTCCAGCAGCCTCAGCGAGTTGGACGATGACCTCGAAGATGGTGAAGAAGAAGACATCGAAGCTGCTGTCACAGCCGATGTGGATTCTGAAGCCGAGACTGAACGTCTCCAGGCTACCCCAGAAAATCTCGCCAGGAAAAAGCCTCCTGAGATTAGCCCAAGCAAACTATCCCAGAGACAAGACATTGACATGCGACCGGAGATAGAGAGCTTCACAGAAAGTCCCGTCTCGTCCCCGATCTCCTCACATCACGAGTCAGATCATGAGGAAGGTCTCAGTGAGGGGCATGATGCAGATGAAGAGGCCCCGGAGGTAGCTGCAGTCGATCCTGCGGCTTCCCCGAACAAGCGCAAAAGGGAAGAAAGTGAATCAGATGTCGAAGAGGCCCCCAGATCACAGAGACGACGGACAGGCTCCGTCGAGACAGAGGATGAAAAGTCTGAACCAGAGACCGATGCCGAGGAGAATGACAGCCATCATTTACGGGAAAATACAATTGAACCCGAAGTCGGGGAGCCGCCAGAGCACGACGAAGAGGAAGTAGTGGAGCCAGATGAAGTACCGAAAGAAGCTGAAAAGGCAGATAGCAGTGAAGACTCCAAGGATAAAGGCAAAAGCAGGCCTCGCAGGAAGGCAAAAGACCCAGTCATCCAGGAACTACAACATGAAGACGAAGAGGATGCTGCACATGCGGAAGATTCCGAAGTCGCTGATGATAACGATCTCGAGGCTGCACTAAAGAGCGAAGAGGAGCAAGCAAAGCGTATGGCAGCCATGGAAGCCCTGACTGCACTCGAGAGACACTTTGCGACATTGAGAGACCGCCTCTATGATGAAAGAATTGCAGCCTTAAATCATGAACTGCAGCTCTTGTCGGAACCCAAGCCAGCACATCCTGAATTAATTCGCCAGGTGGAAGTGGTTCAGAAATATCGGGACGAGAAATATGAGATCGAGCAAAAGCTGCTGGTCTACAAGATCGGAGCCCTGAAGAACAAGGCTGTCGCTGAACGGAGTCAGATACACAGCCAATATTTTCAAACAGTCAGGGATATTCGAGAGAGACATCTGGAACGCCTCAGCGAGCATTTCTACCGGATCCAGCGAGACAGATTCAAAGCCGATTCGTCAGTACCAAGTTTCAGTATACCCTTCCCAGAACGGAGGTCGCAGCAGATCTTGCAACAAACAGCCTACAATAAAGAGGTTTCAATTCTGGCAGGTGTCGCCAAATATGTTGGCTTTCCTGCTGCACCAGATCTGGCGCCATCCAGGCAGAAGGAAATAGAGGATGACATTCAGAAGATGGGAGTACGTATACCTGGTACCATTCTATAACTCTAGCAGACTAACATTGCCTAGATCTCGCAGAGTCATATCCGGGCTGGCAGACCCAATCAACGCCCAGCGGCTCAGACACAGATATCTGGACCCCAAGCAGAAGAGCAATTTCTCGAACAGACGCCGTGGGCTAATCCTCAACATCCCATCCATCGATTAAGTCGACAGAATTCCAATCGCTCCCCAATGAGCGAATTCCTGACGCCAGCGAACCAGCAACGAAACACGACCGACGGTCTTCAACCTCCAAGTGGGTCGGCATCTACCATCGTTGACCCTTCAGCTTCCGCGCCTGTGTCTTCAGCAATGAACACACCTCACGATGGGCAGAGTTGCGCGACGAAGGTCGAGGCGCAAGCTGCTGGAGGGTCCTCTGGTCTACAGAATTATCGCATGCACTCGACGAGCCCTCTAGATATGCGGCGGCAACCTGTTCAAGCCGACAGCTCCGACCCTCAACGTCAGCAAGGGAGGGACAAGGATGTCATCGGTAGTGGACGGGACATGGGCTCTTCGCCTTTGACCTCCCGGGCCTATCTTAACACGACGGAGCCCCGAGCCCCAGCCATCACCGCCGGAACTGGGAGGTTTAGCATTCGGTAATATTCAATCATGACAAAGGGGAATGTGAGTGACGATACACTGGCTGGCTGGCAACTTATGAAATGAAGGGTGAAGGAAACTACCTAGAAAGATTCGCGGGCCCAAGACTACGGCAGGCTCTCGACTCGGATGTTTTGCATCTGGATACACTTTCCACTGGGGGTTAATTTTTATTGAATTCAGCACCTTTGATATCCTTGTCCCAGATCGCCAATGTCATGCATTGAGTTGCGAAGATTCTCGAGTCGCCAGCGGCTGCTTCTTCATGCTTCCGTCCGTGTGGGCGCTCGACCCTGTCTCGAGCCAGCAACAAGTCTAGCATTGGCCATATTTCACATATCCCGTCCTCCATACACCCCATATGGCCAACAATCCATTCATCCCTCTGAGGGGACCCGTCGGGTGAGGCACTCGTGTTTGCACAGAGTCGTCGTAGTAACAACGAAGTAGATACAAGTCCAACTCATAGGCTCATCCGTCCGACCAGGTCAAATCACATGCCATTCATGGCCGAGTAGCCCTCGGCATGAGGAAGCTCTGTTGGTACATCTTCTTCCACTCGGGTTCCGGTTCATACTCAGCACCTTGTTGATAGGCGCTTGAAGCGAACCCACAGCTTATTCCTCCTCTTCCGCTGCTTGGTTATGCGGCTGGCGCCCGCACTCTTCGTCCTCCCTCGTAATATCGCTGTGGCATTTTGTTCACGCTTTCAAGGACCAGGTGTGGCTATGAGCGCATCCCGTTCGCCTGCGCGGTAGGAGTCTTCGGCGACTGGTTCTGAATTTGCGGTGATTTTGCGGCTTCTGTGGACGAGTTCGGCGCAACGACTTGCGTGTCTGACGGGACGATCACGTCGTCAAAGGTCTCTTGGCCCACAGCTTTGAGAGTGAATGCAACTGTTTCACGAAAAGAGATGCGCAGAGAATAGTTGTCAGTCAAAGTAAAGCTCTCTGAAAGGGACTGGGACAGCTTCGTCCTGAGCTCCAGTGGGGGAAGAGCTATCGCTCGGCCAGCAGCATGCGGTTCGACCGGGACGGCCAAGTAGAGTGCAAAAAGATGTCACGTACAAACTCCAATAGCAAAGCCGAAGATCGCTATGCCTGTGATAGTGTTTTTGACTAGGTACGGGCGGCGGGCTCGTATCAAGGCAGCCCCGCTGCGGTAGTCGGAGTTGTAGTAGGAGGAGCGCTTGAGGCTGATCTCGTAAGTATCTCTCTAGGGAAGAACGGAGAGCAGCAGAAGAGCGACATATGGAGAATGAGCAGGAGAGGGGGGTCAATGCGGGAAGTCAAGGACCAACGTATTGGCGGAGAAGGATATAAGTGCGGAAGATGGGGATGCTGTGCGAGGAAAGAGGCCCAAGACTTACATGCCAGCTCGCAGAGGAAGCGAGGAGTGCATTTTTGCGATTCCTTCTGAGATGCTGTCGAGACGCTTGACGAGGATAAGATACAGTGGTACAAAGTTCGTCTCGAGAAGAGAGCAGTTCCGCTCTGTACAAGCATACCTTGGGTGGAGAGACTTATATGCGGTAATGGCTCGTTGATTAACCGTAGAGAGTCCGGCGGATCATTGAGCGGAACATAATCAAGCCTCAGCCTTGGACAAGCCAGACAGCCTCATGTGAACAAGAAGAAAACATCCTCTTCGATCTCAATACTACGTAATGAGCAGCAACGCTTTGAAGTGCTAGATCGCTGAATATACTTGCCATACATATAACTTATCAAACTGCACATCGAGATGTTACATGATGAACGCTGAAAGAAGACTGCATCTCGGCAAAAGCCTGGTATCGTTGAAGACGTTTTGCGTTGGCTTAGGATGAGAACCCATCGCGAATTTCCAAGAAGCGCTGGTATCGGTTCCTTGTCCAGCGACGAGAAGTTTTGCCCCAAATCATCATGGGCACAGTTGTCATGATGAAAACAAATGCCAATACCCCTATTGCAACAAACGTGTTCCGAACACCGCTCGCCTCGATCCAGTCCGAAGCTGTGAAGGTGAAGACGAGTGCGATTGAGTTGTTGATCGTTGCGACGCCCACCATGCCCTCCAAGACCATGTCCGGATAGGCGTCCATCAGATAGGCCATGCTCAGATCACCACAACAGCCCCATCCAAAGCCGATGAACCCCAGGCCAACATACGGCGCAGGCCAGGACCATCCGTAGCTGGTCCCAATGCCAAACAGCCACAGGCCAGTCGGGAAGATGGCCGCACACGGATACATGAGCCATAGTCGATGTTCTGCTTCGCTGACACCTCCGTTTCTCCTGGCCATCCATAACATGAACTGGTCACTGAGCCATCCACCATATGTGGCTCCAATGACGGCGCCAATCAAACAGGGCACGTTCATCAACTTGGGGAAGTTAGCAAAAGCGCGATACTCTCATGGGAACACCAGTAGACTCACCCCATCAGCGGCATCGCTGTAGTTCCACGGTGGACCATACCAGTTGTCTTCCTCGACTGTCAGATAAAAAGTGAGCCAGGCGTCTTGGGCTCCCCACTGCAACCCAGAGTATATAACCGCAGGAAACGTAAAGATGCGCAGAGTGTGGAAGAGACGCTGAAAATATTGCTTGAAGCCAAATCCGCGTAGATTCGGCGCGGGAGTAATAATGGCAATGCGTCGCCAATATGGCTTGGGGCGGTCCTCGGCCGCAAGTCGCTCTTCTGCAACAGAAGCGTGACGACCAGACACCGCTGGAGGCTCGGGTTGACCAGCAACTTTCTCCTTCTCCGGTTGTTCCGCCTCCAACCCTGCGGAATTGTCGCTACCAGCCCTGTTAACACCATCGATCAAATATCTGTCTCCATCATTGATCAAATACCGATCGCGGTGGAATGCCGTCTCCTCCAGACCAAAAAGAAGCACGAAAAAGGTGCCCCCAGAGATGATAGCTCCGAAATATCCAATCCAGCGCCAATCGAGGCTGCTGTCTGCAATGTAGCTCGCAATCAGAGGTCCCAAGTATGTACCAATACTGGTCGCCAGCACGTAAATACCGAGGATTGAACCGCGCTGATGTTGAAACCACAGATCCATCAGTGACAACTGAACCGTCGCTTCAGCCACAGACTCGGATGCGCCCACAAAGAGCTGATTCCAGACAGCATCGCTTGTCGACTGCCCTCTCGCGAACCAAATACTACCAATGAAACCCAGCGTCATGCCAACCAAGTATAGAATGCGACGACCGTACAGGTAGACGGCGGGAGAGGAAAGCAATGTCCAGTACCCAATACCGCAGAACAGGACGCCGGCGCCGGTATTGAACGAGCCATAGCTGATACCCAGTTCCAGATTCTCATTGTATTGAGCGGCGCCCGCGTCGTTGGAAGTGGCCGCCGTCAAAGCCGTGACGTAGCAAACGAGCAAACTGTGCCATATTTTCCGGGGCAAAGACCAATGGAGAGGATCGTTGGGCGAGTCAGTGGGCTGAGGAACCAGGACAATGTCCCCGTGCCTCTTCAGTGACACATCCCCAGGATAGAGTGGCTTTCCTTCAGTGTCAAAAATGCGGCGTGTGCCGGGAAGTTCTTCAGTATACTCCATGCGGCCTCACTCTTGAACGGAGCCAACGAAAAAAGACACTACGAAGGGGAAAACACCGCAGGAAGAGCTTGGGGGGAGAAAGAGGTTTTATGAACTAAGCGAGAGGCGTCGCCATATCGTTACAGCGACGAGCAAAGATCAGATCCCTTATCGTGATGGTGTGTGCCCTAAGAGACGCCATCCTCGTCCTCCATCGAGTGCGGGCAAGGGTTCGTCTCGTCCACACAAGGACGATGCCACCACCCCCGCAAAGAGGCGGGAGGGCCAGTCGCCGGTGATCAAAGCTTATCAGTGGCAAGACGGCGAGTAAGCGTATACCAGAAGACGGACCGCAAATGAGAATGGTCTTAGGCCGGGGTTATCAGGGCCCCAAGACTGAATTCGAAGGAGCTTCTTCTCGTGTCAAATTGCATTCTACCAAGTACAGTTGCGGGTTAAACTCAGAATAATAAGCAGAGCGCAAGCCAAGGGCGGATGGCTGGGGAGGGCTCCGATAGAGCTTGAACAAATCTTGATTTTTTTTAGTGACGCCCATGCGCCCTTTGGCCTAGGATGCCAGGGTAAGCCCCTAGTCTGAGGCCCGGGCCCCATAACAATAGGCGAGGATTATTGTCCTGTGGGCTTGTCCGATAAGCAAGTCCTCACCCAGCGTCACCTGGGCTCTAATCCTGGGACCTTTACCCGGTGACCCCTCCTAAAATTCCAGCATCATTGGCGGGATACCCCCATGCCACGGTTACGATTCCCTAAAAATCTCTAGTTGGCTGGCCACCATTTTTTAGGTCCCCACGTTCCATCCCTTGCTTGCGTCTCCCTACATCATCATATTTGCCTTTCGACCTCGTCCTCCTTTCCCTTCCTTCTTCGCTTCACCTATCATCCTGCTCACTTTCTCCGTATCGGCTCAGACGCAGCCTCGTTGCCCAGTGCACACCCCCCGTCGACATCGTCGCTAATATTGCACGTAACTGAATGTCGACTTGCCAACTCAGAATGGCTCAACATTTCCACATCGCTCAGATTACCGCCCATAAACCAAAGGAGTCCAGTAGTCCTTCGACCATCCTGCAACTCGCTCATCGGCTTCTCCCTTCACCTGCCGCTATCAAAGAGTTGGAGGATGGTCTAAACCCGGAAGGACCTGAACATGCAGTTCAGGACGTTGTGAGTCAAGAGAAACGAGGAACATCTGCACAAGATGGAACACCCGCCCCGAAGAAAGTGATCGTAGTCGGTGCCGGCATCGCCGGTCTTCGTGCTGCCTCTGTCTTGCGAACCCATGGTGTCCAAGTCGTGGTCCTCGAAGCCCGTCCTGATCGGATCGGCGGACGCATTTACACGAGTAGGAAGGCTGGGCACGCTCCAAGAGACATTGGTAAATATTACCAGCAGGCAATACTGACAATCGCCGTAGGCGTTTGACATGATGTCGTTAAGAGCGCTCATTGTTGGGCCACGACCATTGTGGGGTTGTTTCCCCTGTCGTCCACTTCTACTCACACTTGTTTCTAGGTGCCGCTTGGATGCACGAAACCGCCAACAACAAACTCGTCCGCCTCATTGGTCAGCTCAGTATTGAGCATTATTATGATGACGGCACCCCCCTCTACTATACTAGAGACGGTCGTCTCGGCTCCCAGTTCAAGGCTAAAAAGGTCGCCGACGAATTCGCCGACTTCTGTGCCTGGTACTACGAGGAAAACCCCGACGCCGAAGACAAACCTGCCCTGACCTTCATCAGGGAATGGCTAAGCGATCATCCCCTAGTCAGCGAGGATGAACGCCTCTGGGCGCCTCAAGCTGCTCGTGAGGTGGAAGCTTGGATCGGTACTAGCCTCGAACAAGCGTCTTCTAAACATCTTGCCTACTTTGCAACCGAAAGGAATCTTTACATGAAAGGAGGTTACGACACCATTATCGATTGGACAGCTTCTAATCTCCGTGATCCGGGAATCATTCGACTCGGACACCAGGTCACGAAGATTGATTGGAATGATGACGACACACAGAGTCCCTGCGTGCTCCATGCCACCACTCCTGATGGCGGTCTCACTCCTTTTGCCGCCGATGCTGTCGTGTGCACCCTTCCACTTGGCGTTCTGAAACATGAACTTGTGGATTTCAACCCAGCGTTACCAAAGCAACTGTCACTTGGAATTGAAAAACTCGGCTACGGAGCACTCGGCAAGATATTTGTCGAGTTCGAATCGGTGTTTTGGCCCAAAGACAACGACCAATTCATCTACTACCCTGAGCCAACGACCGACGCTTTCGACGAGGATTCCATCTTCTCCTACATGACTGTTACGAGCAATAACTGGATCATGAGCGGTACTAAAGAGCTGTCCGTCCAGATTGTTGAGCCTCTCACTCAGCGAATCGAAGCCATGACTTCAGAGACTGAAATCTATGCCTTTTTCGAACCACTCTTCAAGCTTTTCCGCACCGAGCCTTACAAAAAACTGCCTCCCGTTGTGAATCTGGAAACGACACACTGGACTCAGGATCCTTTTGCTGGCTTCGGTACATATACTGCCGACAAAACCGGAGATGACCCGGAAATTTGGTTCAATGCAGTAGAGAACAACAAGGAAAGCAAGCTGCAGTTTGCCGGCGAGCACTGCACGCGGACTGGAAATGGATGTGTGCATGGTGCATTTGCCACTGGTGAAACTGCTGCCGTCAACATTCTGACGTCGCTGGGAATCCCATACAATGGTGGGGATCTTTACAGCAGACGTCCATCGAGGAGGAAGTCACCATCCGGACACTGAGCGGGCGGATATCTCAATCCACCGCCAGGGGAGGCTGGGAAGGTGGCGGCTCTCCTAGTCCGTTGACGGACGGCCTAGAGCGCCGGACTGAGACATGTCGGCGTTGGTCATGTTTTTGTGATTTTTGCCTTGCCCTTTTACACAGAATGCTATCTCGGGTTTCTATCATCTGATCAATGGTTGATCTGGTCACTCTCGCTGTATTGCCCCTCGTTTTCCTAAGCTTGCGGATGAAGCTGGTTTCCTCTATTCAGGGCCTCAAGAATGTCAAAGAATGCAGGGCTTATTATTGAATAGTCAACAATGCAATTTCACTATGGAGCATGCATGTCAATTTTACTCTCCTAGTTTTTAATCTCTAAATTCCCTATTATCCGCACCAAAGTCCCTCACGTCGCCCAAGGGCATCAATTGGAAGATGCTGTCCTTGCACCTCTGTTCCACCATGCGTTCGGCGAGCGCGATGTTGGCCTCAGGAAACCCTTCGTCCCTCAAGCTCTGGTAGTAGGCCGCGACGAGGGCCTTGCCGAGACTCGTGAGGTCGTAGTCCTGGCCCGGTGTGGCAGTGGGTGCGGGGCGGATGATCCAGACGAGCGTCAGGGGCGGGTCGAGCGGTTCCAGGCCCGGCTGGACGTGGGCGCTGAGGATCTCGTCTTCTTCTTCCTGGTGGTGGTGGCCGTCGTCGTCGTCGCGACCGGAGGCGGAAGAACGCCCGCGGGGTCGACGCAGCACGAGCGCCATGCCGCCCGTCGAGGTATGGATCTTGGACCGCTCCAGTGCGTACGCTCTGCTGGCGTGGTCGTCACCGTGGTCTGGCGGCTCGGTCTCGAAGAGAGTGAAGGGCACGCTTCGCGTGACCGGGGGCACCGCACCGGACGAAGTGCTAGAAAGATCTCGGTCCTCGGCGTCCATCAGGGCGGCGTCCGCGGCGGCAACGGCGAGGACCATCGTGTGCAGGACTTCGGACATGTCTTGGCGGCGGTTCTGACGACGGACGTAGATGTATTGCAGGTACGGCACGGCGTATTTCGACCCTTTGCCTAAGCTGTCGTCGTCGCTGTCGTTGGTGACAGGGTCTCCATTGTCGGCACCATTACCGATCGTGCTCTTGGTTCCTTTCCGGGGCGGAACCGGGAGGACACTGAATTGCGCGGCCCCGATCGCCTCCCCCTGGTGGTCTCTGATCCCGACGATTCGATAAGGCGCCAGACCTTTCCTCTCGCCCTCCGCTTGAGCCGCAAGGCGCTCGACGATCAGATCTGACCGCTCCCGCTCGGTCACGCGGGGGAAACTGTGGGTGTAGAGCGAGTCATACAACGCCGAGAAATCGGTCGCAGAGACGAGCTCTATCAGACCGATGTTGGAGAGGGCGGTGCGTTGGAGGCGCGTCGGAGCCGTCCGGCTCAACGTGTCCAGAGGGGTGGATGGAGGGAGGTGGGCAAGAAGAGCGGACAAGGAAGGGGAAAGGTAGGGGTGGAAGATCGAGGAGTAGGTGGCTGTGGATGACATTGCACTGTTCAACAGCCAAAGAGAAATGTCTATTGTAGATATTTGGCGGATGTCACGGTGAGTATTCTTTCTTTGAACCTCTCTGACGACGATGGTATTTCTTGATTGCTGTCCCTCCTATCCGCGGCTCCGAAGAACTGGAAAAATGAAGAAGTAGAAGAAATAAATTGCTTAGACTGGCCTTTGCAAATGGCTTCTCGATTTCATTCTGTCCTTGACATTGACCAGATGACCTTACGAGATTTCAGGCAGTGTGGGCGAAAATCCGATAGTATTTCAAGGTGTGAGAACTCGCAAGCTGGATTCCGAAGAGCCCCATGGGCGAAATAAGGGACAGATTATGAATCGTCGAGCAGAAGCAAAGATAGTAAAGCCTATGGCAAAGAACCAAAGAGGCATGGAGGTCAGCAGCGCATGAGTGCGGTCTGTTTCACCGTACAGAGAGTACTAGCCGTTGTACGGGGAATCGTAACCCCTGGTGACGTAGGGCCATCTTCCACGCCTCCATAGCCAACGTCTCTCTGTCACGGAAGGCGCGATCCGTTAGTTAGTCAGATAATAGTTCGCAGCTTCTCCTCACAAAACACAATCAACATCTTCAGAACTTGAGCTTACGCTTGCAACTCTTCCTGAAGCAGAACTGTCAGTGGCTTATCCAGGTCCAAAACTGCCTGCTGAAGACACACATACCTGTATCCCGTCGAGTCAATCCAGGAGGCCACCGCGCTCATGACCACAGAACTCGCCTGGCGGGAGTGTGTCAGACATGAGTTGGGCTCTTAACAAGACCATTCCGCAAAGTCAATGCGACCTCGACTTCGAAAGTGCCGTACAATGACAACCTCAAGTTGAGTTCTATTTCCTGCCCAGGCCATCAACAGCCTCTGTACAGTTCCGGCCACACCGAGGTCCGTCCATGAACAGAACTTCTCCGCACATGAACTCCGATGCACATAATGCACCCCCGCCCCGCCTGCAACCTAGCTCGCCAGTTGGACAGAGCAGACCCCTTGTGGCATCATGCTTTGGCGGGACCCGATTTAGGACAATAATCAAAGCTGGACAAATGGCTCACCCCCTCACTGGGGTTTAGTGGTTCCGAGGTTGCTTGTTGGCGATGCTGCTTGATGGAGAGGGTGGCTACCCAAGCGCCGAGCATAAAGAGACGTGAACTGGAAGTGTTTCGATCAATACGGGGATCTTCCACATCCACCTAGTCATCATTATACTACGACCACTCTCATCTCACCAGAAAGATGACTGAATTTGCATTCGGTAAGAACCAGGTTGTCTCTCATTGCATATTTCCGACAAAGGCTGACACTCATGTGTAAAACATAGTGACGGGCGGAGCCAGTGGCATTGGCCGAGGGGTGGCGGAAATGCTAGTGAAAAACAAGTATTTACATCCGTTCTTTGTCCACAACCGCCTACCATAGGCCATTATCTGACCAGTCACTTAGTATCAAAGTTTTCATCGTGGATAGAGACCTCGACGGAGCCCAAAAAGTTGTGGATGAGCTAAACAAGGGTTCTCAGATGGCCAAATGTGCTCAGGTCGACGCGGCCAGCTGGAATTCGCAGGTGAAAGCCTTCAGTCAGGCTGTGGCAGACTTTGGCCGGATCGATTACGTCTATCCCATTGCAGGCATCGGCGAACGCGCGTGGATTCCCAACGACCCTTCCATGACTGGCTTCGTGCAGCCTGATCTGACCACCCTTGATATCGACCTGACGGGTGTTCTGTACACTGTGGCACTGGCTGTGCAACAATTCAGGAAGCAGCAACCAGGAAAGAACGGGTTCAGGGGCAAGAGTAAGTGTTCTGACCATTTTGCAGGGGGTTGCGAGCTAATCGTTTGTCAGTTGGGTGTGTCGCCAGCGTCTGCGGGCTATACTGCTGTCCCACGATTCCTGTGTATACTGCAGCCAAACATGGTGTCGTCGGGTTGGTCAGGAGCTACGGCAAATACTTGCCAGAAGAGAAGATCACGATGAACGCAGCATGCCCAAATGTAGTTCGTACCAATATCTCTGCCGGAGAATTTTACGAGAAGCTGGACAAGGAGGGATTGTTGACGCCCATCGAAGGGGTTATTGGGGTTTTTGAGAAGCTGCTAGGGTCGGACGCGACGTCCGGAGAGACGTTTGAGATAGGGCCCAACTATAAAGACCAGGGAGCAGTACCACGAAAGGGCATTGAGTGGCTGGACAAGGAAACAGAGCGGTGCTTCGAGTTGCTGTACCACAGATCCCACCCGCTGCATGAGCCTCGTTGAGCAAACGGTCTGAGGGCTTGAGATGGGTGACCACTTGTTCATACAGACTCTGAGTTGTATTAGTTACTCTGTCAATGAATTTTCCTGATATGAGGAATGCCTGCCGAGTAACCAATGTAGTATTCGGAGATGGTGCTCCCCCACAAAAGCGCTTTGACAGTGACGTAACTGATAACAACGGTCCAGACAAGGCTGCATATCGACAAACTACCTAGGAAGCAAGTGTCCCGAGCTCTCACTACCAAATTGCGGGTGGCTGCGGCGAGCAATCCGTTCGCTGACGTTGCCGTCTCCCCTCCTCCGTTTTCTCCGCCAATATTATGTACGGAGTACTACCAAGTAACATGTATGAGTAGCGAGCTACCTCAATTCACCCCGTCCACCATTGGCATCGTCGTGTTTTGAAGCTCGTTTGCTGAGATACACGTTGAATCGAGCTATTTCTCTTCTACTTCTAGCCGAGAGCTCTGAGACTGTTTACTTGTGAGCAAGCTGGTATCCTAACCATTGAGCAGCCTCTTGCTGTACTTGTGAGATCCATTCTTCCGTATAGCTGAGACGTAGGTCCTTCCTTGCCTGCTTACCGATCCCATCCTCCCTCTCTCACACACACAACACTACCTCCACAAACAACAACGAAAACCATGGCAGCCATCCACCGACCCGCGCATCTCACACACCACGCGGCCAAGCTCGCCTCGGCGGCCTGCTTCGAAAAGGCCCAAGCTATCGGCATGCCGATGAACATCGCCATCGTGGACGCCTCGCTCTATCTCCTCCACTTTGAGCGCATGCCCGGCGCCAAACTCACCTCGGTCGACATCGCCATGAACAAGGCCTTCACCGCCGCGGGTCACCGCGCCCCGACCTCGGTCTACAAGGAGAACGTGTGGCCCGGCGGTCCGGCGTTTGGGCTCAACAGCAGCAACAACGGCAGGTTCATGTATGTGGCGGGCGGGATCCCGATTGTCGTGGACGGCGAGGTCGTGGGCGCGATTGGGTGCAGCACGGGCACGCCGGCGCAGGACACCGAAGTCGCGCAGGCGGGTGTTGATGCCGTGATGGCCTACGTCAAGAAAACGCAGTCAAGGCCAAAGCTGTAAAGAATTCGAATGTCTATATCCTGGGGCCGGAAGGTTGCATCGGCTATTTTGTTCCAACAACCTTGCCCACATCATGACGAGATGACGGATAACGGGCAACGGGCAACGAGGAGATATCCTGCGATGCATCACATGTTAAGTTGACGTGCGAGAGAGTGTGGGCAGCACACCCCCATTCCCGAACACCATCTATGGTCCTCCTAACACGCCAAACTGGGACGGAGAACAACTGATGCCTGCCTGCCTGTGTTCATATGGGCCGATTTATAAAAGAAAAAATAGTTTTTAGTGATGATTGCAGTTGCATTGCAGGCTTGGAAAGAGCAAAGGGAAACCGGTGTTTGGGGGGATGTACAGAGATACAAAACACACTTTTTCGGGGAGAGTCACTTCACTCAACTCACTCACTCACGCTACCTACCTACCTACCTATGTCTGCCTGATGACCTAAGATACACTTCTAGTCCTGGCGGTCCTAATGTAGAAAGAATTGTAGTGTTTAAGGATGATTGGGTAGTCAATCCACGTGATCTAGACTACCTTATTTCCTGAATGGAACCAGGTCTATCACGCTAGAAAATCTTGAGGTTACGTGGCGGACCTGAACCTTTGGCGTTGTGAATGTACTCGATAAATTGCAGTCATAAGTGACAGCAAATGATTCGAATGTGCTCTTATGACAAGGGCAGTTGAATAGGGGAGAAAGAAGCCCTTCCTCTTGCTCTGGCTCTCGAGATCTTTGTCGCTGCTTGATCAAAAGCGCTGGGCGAGGTGGATCAATGGAAGGATTTTGGCAGGCGGGAGGTAGGATTTTGGATCAAGAACTGGTGCGGCTAAGGGGTTGATGGTGAGACCCAAGGCTGGAAGTCCTGTCCTGAAGAGTGTAATTAAGCCTTGCAACGGGGTTTTGGGTCTTCTGTGCGTGTATAAGTATACTGTGCTGGCGCATGACCATCCATTTGTGACACAATTCCACAGTCTTGGGGGGGTGTTGTCTATCATACCAGAATCGCTACACCTCAAGTGGCTACATGGAGGAGCTCGTATAGACCGAAGATGGACTTTTCAGCCCAGCGACTTCTGGCTGCCGGATTGGTGAATAGCCTAGGCCTGAACCCTGCAACAGCCGCCACCGCTGCACCTAGCGAACCTCAGCTGGGAGCTTGAATCCTCCCCTTTCTGGGCTCTCGTGGCCCCCTCTTGCAGCTGCTCCCTCTCGTGCTCCGCCACGAAATGGCCCCCAATGGGTTGCAGGCAAGAGGGTGACCTTCTGCCAGCGAACCTGTAACTTCCACTCTTTGTCACAATTTATTTTCCTGTTAACTCAGATCAAGTGTCTGCAGGCATTTTTCTCTTCTGCTCTGACCGTCCCTGCACTCTTGTCCTACCTCTCTCGTGGGACTGTGCTAGACCAACCTCAATCGCTGTCACCCGCGCCAGGCCTACCCCGCAGTCTCTCAAAAGACCTTTACGTGTGGCTGCAACCGCGTTACGAGACAGGAGAAGACCTGGGGGAATACAATACCGTCCTTCCTCTGGTGCTCATAGCAAGATCCTACCTCGTCTCTCCGTCGCTTAAACCTTGGAGGAGTGTCAAGACTGTCATTGCAGGCGTGGCCTGAACTGTTGCAAACATGAGCGCATGTGAGTCCCTGCAATCCCCCTCAACCACACCTCAATATCTTTGGTTTCCTACAAATTATGGACGATTGTGTGTGGCAGGCCTCCTGGCCTTGTCTCTGGACCTTGGGACTCGGCCGAAACGCTGAGTTCTCTCAATGCGTTCAATTGTCGGCGAGTCGAGGCTGATGTGCAATAAACAGTCTCTGGTATGATGAACAAGCTGCAAGGCCAGCCTGACAGCTACGATAAGAAAGCCAAATACCGCTTCGGAAAGACGCTGGGAGCAGGAACCTATGGCATCGTTCGGGAGGCGGAGGTCGGCGGAGAAAAGGTCGCTGTGAAGATTATTCTCAAAAAGAGTGTCAAGGGTAATGAGCAGATGGTATACGACGAGTTGCAGATGCTGCAAACCCTGAGTCATCCACACATTGTACAATTCGTCGACTGGTTTGAGTCGAGGGTAAGACTTGCACTCCTGTGCAATCAATGTGGCAGGAGACTGACAAGAGACAGGACAAGTTCTACATCGTGACCCAACTGGCCACTGGTGGAGAGCTATTCGATCGCATCTGTGACAAGGGCAAATTTACGGAGAAAGATGCCTCGCAGACCATTAAGCAGGTCCTCGAGGCGGTCGATTATCTTCATGAGCGAAACATTGTCCATCGAGGTAGGAACAAAGCCTTTTTGCCTGCAACGCTTTCTGATCGACTCCTACAGATCTGAAGCCAGAAAACCTTCTCTATCTCACCAGAGATCCTGATTCCCAGCTTGTCCTTGCCGACTTTGGTATCGCGAAAACACTAGAGGGTCCAGGTGCTGTCCTCACCTCGATGGCTGGATCTTTTGGCTACGCCGCCCCCGAAGTTATGCTCAAACAAGGTCATGGCAAGGCTGTGGACATGTGGTCTATGGGAGTGATTACTTACACTTTGCTCTGCGGCTATTCTCCTTTCCGCTCTGAGAATCTTGCGGACCTCGTGGACGAATGCAAGAGCGGTCGGATTATCTTCCACGAGCGGTACTGGAAGGATGTCAGCAAGGATGCCAAAGAATTCATCTTGACACTATTGCAGCCGGAACCCAAGCGACGGGCGACGAGTAAAGAAGCACTCAAACATATCTGGCTGACTGGTGAGACGGCTTCGGATCACGATCTCTTGCCAGAGATCCGATCATACCTGGCGAAGATGAAGTTGAAGCGCGGTATCGAGCTCGTCAAACTGGCCAACCGAATCGACGCCCTCAAGATGCAGGACGAAGAAGACCCCGGTTCGCCCGACTCAAACGACATACCTGCAAACGCACAAAATGCTGCCGGCTTAGCGGTGAAGAACCACGTCCGGGGAGTTTCTCCTGGACGAGGTCTTGCCACAAATGAAACAGGAGAGAGGAGACCTCTGAGCAATGCTGCAAAGAGTGCAATTTTCCGAGAAGTCGTTCTAGCCAAAGTCAGGGAGATGAAGGATAAGGAAAAGACAGACAAGCTTGTTGCGGATATCACAAAGGAACATGAAAGGAGGAAGAGCTTCACTGGTGCACGCCCTCAATGAAGATGGCGATATTGGCAGGAGATTCCTGGGCCAAACGATCGACCACTTTGGCCGTAACCAAATTTGTCCGGTGTCGACAGGTTGGAACGACATTGTTAACGATGCCATCACAACACCCTATTGTTAGTGGTGATGATGATGGTTCTCAGTATGTTATTCACGGGCGACGATCATGAGCTTTGTTATCTGGCGGCATGAAGCCGCTTTTCGAGCCGAGTGTTGATTGCTTCGGAGTGACTTCAGGGCGTAGCGTCAAAATTCATACTTTGTTCACAGGCGCCATGTCGATATTTCGTATTCGGACCGCTGGCTGTAACAAGAATCACATCCATCCACCTAATGACGATCTTCATCGGACTGAGCTATACCGAAGCCCGTGCAGAACATGTATTGTAACATTCTCCTCACCTCACCAATACCCATGCATGTTACCCTGACGAGGGTAAGCAGGATAGGCTTTCTGCACGAGCTTCTGTCGAAAACCCCAGACCCTACTGATCATCAGCTCTCTGGAAGCTCTGGCTTTGATAAGTTCCGGACACCCAGCAGTGCTGTTGCCGGCCTGATTGTACTTTCGCCAAATTCATAGTGCTATCTGAATGTGTATAGCGAGGGGTATCTCTCACTCATTATCCCGCTCTTCTCATAGATTCACGTTCCCTGCTTTTCCCTAGGAAATCCCTATTGGAATCTGTCGAAGTTCCGGATGGCTATGGAGTTATTCTTCACAGACCGGGTCTACGCCATCTCCGGCGGCGCGAGTGGAATAGGTCTGGCGACGTCGAAACTCCTACTGAAGTACGGCGCCAAAGTCTCTATCGGGGACATTAATATACCCAGTGGCCTTCTCGCAGAGCTCGCCGGCGCCGACTCCCAGGCAGGAGAATCGGCCGAGAACAAAGACATTCTTCTGAAAAAGGTCGACGTGCGGTCTCGCGCCGACGTCGATTCGTGGATCGCCGAGACGGTGGAAAGATTCGGAAAGCTGGACGGGGCGGCAAACCTCGCGGGCACGATTCCCAAGGACCACAACATCGGGGGCATTGAAGACGTCGATGACGACCAGTGGCGCTTCGTCTTCGACGTCAATGTGCACGGCATGATGAACTGCCTGCGAGCACAGCTCAAGGTCATTGGGAAAGACGCGAAAGGGGGACAGGGAGAAGGAGGCGCCGTCGTCAACGCGGGGAGTGGCCTGAGTCTCCAGGGCAGGGAGTACACGACCGCATACACGGCGAGTAAACATGCGGTACTGGGCATGACGAGGTGTGTGGCCAAGGAGGTGGGCAAGAGGGGAGTCCGTGTCAACTGTGTCGCGCCGTGAGTTTGTCCCTTCTATATCCCCCAATCCCCCTTATTTTTTTTTCCGTTTACGCATGAAGAATCGCAAAGAGAAACATCTCGCTGATTGTGATTGTGATTGTTTTTGCCCCCAGGGGCTTCACAAACACCCCGCTGATGAAGCAATCCATGGCGATATCCGAAGGTTCGGCGTCGGCAGAGGACTTTTCGACTACCGCCCTCGGCAGGATGGCACAGCCGGTCGAGATTGCCGACACGATCGTCTATCTGCTGAGTGACAAGGCGAGTTTCGTGACGGGGGCCTGTGTTTCTGTCGACGGAGGGTGGTTTTGTTGAAATATACACACACCAGAGAGAGAGGAATTGGATTGGAACGGAATCTTCCCTTTTGCTTCGCCTCCTGTACCTTACTTCTGCGTCTCGAGGGGACATCACGATCGTAATCACATCAGGACCAAGCCCGGTGGTCTCTCGTATGTATCGACCCCCTTCTAGAAATGTTCATGATAAATGTACGAGGTAGTATATACTCCTTTGAATGGGAGATCGAGTAGGGAGTCGGCGCCTTGCTCATTGTCATTGGTGGACAGCGAAATCGCCGAGATCGGGCGAGCGGGCACAACCTTCATTCTACTTGCATTACTCGGTACTCAAGAACGAAAAACCTAACTACCACGTACGCTTCAATCCTAGAGGATGAGCGAAGGCCGCTTTGACCTGATCTTTGACTGGGCCTTTGGCTGAGCATCACTACGCTCTCCCTGAGGCACTCCCTGAGCAAAATAAGAGAGACCAAAATTTGGCCCCAAGTATCGGCTAAACGTGCCTCTTGGGCGTCAGGGAACCTCGAGGACGTCCAGCTACCTGTCGCTAATCTCGTGGGAAATCTACATCGGCTTCGCACAGGAGTAAATTGCGTATCATATGTTGAAGTCGCTAGTACAGTAGAAGTGCCCTACTCTTCGTCGAGGTCCAGCTAAGGGGGACTACAAGGGAGCAGTGAGATCTTGGTCCATTGTCGGAGGTAGGGACCGACTCATTCTGCGAAACTTCGAGCGGAATCTGTGTATATTGGGCAAATAAATGTAAAAGTTGTCACTTGGCCGGCCCGAGCGCGGATAGTCATAGGTGAGTCGAACGAGAGAGTGACGTGCTTGTCTGTTCGAGGTAAATCTGATTGCAGTCAAGGCGCATCTGCCAGTCTCGAACCCTTCTACCTGCGTGATTCTGTGTCGCTTTGTCGTGCCCGCCCGATGTCTTTGCAGAGTCTCGGTATCTCAAACCAGTCGATGCTAGAGGCGATGACTGATCTTTACTGTAATGAGCTCTGCTCTAATTTGCTTCGCAGAATCATTCTCTGCGAAGGTTGAAGTTGTAAATTCGAAGAGTCAATGCATTGACAAGGCTGAGTAGGCAGGCAGGGTGAGACGAGTGGTGAGAGTCATGATTGGAGGTTGACGATCACGTGAGAACAAAGCATGGGATAATGGCTTGGCAGGCTCAAATGCCGATGAGCCGATTAAAGGGCAAGCAGCGAATCAGAATAGGTTTCTTCCAAAGTACCGAGTTAACGAGTATAAGCTGTGCTTTCCCCCTCGCACTTTGTTGTCCGGACTACACACTTGGGATGATGTGCTGCTAACATGTCGGTTCAGCGTGCGATCTCGCGCGCCTCTCGTGCACTTGTTCCCTCGAGTTCCCTTTCTCCTGCGTCCAGGTACTACTCCTCCGCACCCCGGCCCGCAACAGAGGAATCTAAGAGTGCGCTCCCCCCTCGCTGGCTCTCAGACACCAAAACCCGTATTGGGCGATGCATCACCTTCGGTCTCCCCCCGAAGCTGGTCGAGGAGGCCGGCCAGGTCCTGCAGGTCCTGGCCCGAGACTGGCGAGAGCTCCTCGCAGGCAGTGAGGGCTACCTGACCTCGGAGAAAAGAGCGGGCTTACACAGGCAGAAGATCGTTTGGGGCGAACAAGACGCCATGGGCCACATGAACAACACGATGTACGTCCGCCACGCGGAGAGTGGACGGTGCAACTGGGTCCGCAACTACAGTAGCCACGTTGACCCGGCTCACAAGCAACGATGGGAAGATTTGATATCCTCCAAGGGCATCGGGTTGATCCTGAAGAGCATAACCGTCGACTTCAAATTCCCCATGAAATGGCCAGACCGGGTCTCTGTCTACCACAAGCTTCGGTATCGGCCGGACGAGTCTACAGATTCCTTGATCCTGGACGTGTTGATCATGTCCGAGGTACGCCAGCGTCCGGCAGCTCGGTGCTTGGAAGATGTGGTAGTGTACGACTACAGGGTGGGAAAGAAGAGTACCCTGGAACCGTTCATGCTCGAGGAATTGAAGAAGACGTTTGATTTACAAGAGGCTGCGAAGAAGGAGAATCATACCAAGATCGAATGGATTGAGGAGCGCGTGAGGAGCCTCGAGACCGGATCCTGGGATAGACATGATGCGAAGGAAGACCTTGGAAGCGCCGCAAGGCAATGATCATGAACCTCACTCGCATGAGAAGGGACCAATAGTCCTCCCGGCTGTACTGCGAGCTGGCAACGGTTAGCGCCATGGCTTCTGCCTTCCATCACTGGCACGACTTCTGTGAAAATGGTGGTGGTCATGATGCTGCAGGCAAGGTTGTCCTCTCCCCAACGTCACTGATCGGATGTGTGCAGGGGCCCGGATGCATGCATCTAGGCCTCAGCTGCTGAGATTCGAGGGAGGAGGATCCTTATCTCGAGTCAAGTGCCCAGTCCCTGTTCCCGATACAATGGCAAATGCCCCCCGCTCGAGGTTGGAGAGTCAACCCCCGGTCGTCATACAACGCAATCGAGTTCTAAAAGGCCCCCAAGGCCCAAAACCTTCAGCGTCGATATCACCCCACCCCTAAACGACGAACTATCTTCGACGATCCTAATTCTAGGGGCATGGAGCTCCCAAAGGGAGAGTCAAGTCACGGTTCATACCCGTCCAGGATCTTCACACCTTGTGACGGTTCTTGAGAGGCAAAGAGGCTGCTTGGATGCTTGCCACGAGCGCTTGTGGGGCGTTGCGTGGTCAATGAACTAGGATTCAAGTCTATATTCGTGGATGAATTCCGCCTGTGGATCACGGTTCCGATATATCAACCAAAGATGGTTCTGAAAATATAACGAATAGACAGCATGTAGACAGTAGATATACGATTTATAAAGTGCAGCAAACCTCCAACAACAAACTATAGTTTATGGCATAATGTTATTTCTGTCCTGCGCAATTTGCTGCCTGGGTCGGATCCATTATCCGACTTGATAACCTGTCTACTCGTCCCAAACCTTTGGCGCCAAAAGCAACTCGTTACCCAAAGCTGGATGATCGCCCAACAGAGATTCCGCCAAAATTAGTCGTCCCGGTGGTGACTTCTTTTGATACTTCCAAACCTTTTCTTCAGTCCTCCACTCAGCCTCTTGCTGATGCTTCCACTTCTTCCGAGCCCCTGGCCGTCGTCCCAGCCTGATCGATCTGCAGTTGGTGGAACAGGACCGCTCGAGCTCCTGTTGCGATTTTTCATTTCAATGCCGGTGTTGCCATTGGCTTTCTGCTCCTCGTCGGAGATTTTGTGCTCCTTCAGAGCCTTTTCTAAACTGTAGCTTGGTTCACCTTTGCCTTTGACGTCGCTGGGATCATATTGCACACCTGGCCATCGTTTATATGCGCCACCTTCCGGACTGCCTTCGATCATCATATTGTCGCCCTCTTCATAGCTGTAGACGTTTCCATTGCGATCCATATTCCCTGGAGCATATGCCGCTACTCCGTCGAGTGGTCTGTGGCCTCTGACGGAGTCCATGATCTTCTCCCTGGGTGTTGCCTTGAGAGCTTCTGCGTTTGAAGCCGCTACGGCCGCTAGCGGACTGTTCAACGAGTTGTTGCGGGCGAACAACGTGGCGTCGTATGGTCCGCCATGGTGATAGGCACCACCGCCAGTCATGTCAAGGTTGTCAATGATGTCCGGCTGGATGTGATGTTTTCTGGTTGTGTGGCGCGACCGATCTGCCACAGCCTTTTGCTTTGTTAGGGTATCGAGCGGCCGATGAGACATATCCCCGGGGTAGCGTTCAGAGAGGGAGCTCCCGCGTCGGCGATGACCTTTATGAGGGCTCGAGTGGCTTTCATCTCCAAAGGCTTCTTGTCTATAACTAGGAGACTGAGGCGTTGGTGGTGACCGTGGAGATTGAGGAGACTGTGTATAATGGTTGGGAGTGCCTGGAGAGGTTGCGGAGGTTGGTGGTGAAGGATACGATTGCGGAGGGTATGGCCCTTTGTTGCCCGAGATAGGAGAATAACCATTGCTGTTCAGGGAAGCAGACCTCTTGATCTCAGTTGTGGTGCTGTTGGAAATGGAGTTCTTGCGGTACGGGTTGTTCTTTGAGAGGCGTCTTCCGATAAGTTGCTTTGATTGAGGGGAAGCCTTGACAGGAGCGACAGTCGCACCGGGTCGGAAAGTGTTCCCTGGACCATCTTCTTGAGACGGTTCTGGTGCATTCAACGGATCAAGCAGGTACTTGGTAGCCTGGACAGAAAATGCGTCAGTCTTGCGCCCTACTGATTTATTGTGAACCTAGATAGGTCACATACCCAATTTTTGTCGCCTGTATCCATGGTCCAAGCTCGCACATGCGCAAATTCGTGGGGTTGAAAGAGGTCTCGTCAATTAGTCCTGCGGTAAGAATAGAGAATAACAAAGGAATCAGAAAACGGCTATCTCAGCTTACACGAAGTGAAAAGCTTAAGAGGGATTCTTCCCACCTATACGCATTGAGCGAGGTCAGGTATAATTGGAGGTTTAAAGGAAGTACAACGGAGCAAGGCGGGCAACAAACCCTGCTACCGATGTCATGGTGGAGAGCAGCCTGGAGGAAGAGTCCCTCGCAAGGTCGGCGGGGCTGATAGCCAACAGGTCTGGACTCCAGGGTGCGGACTTGGGACACACTAGGCACCAAAGCCACCCTGTCATTGGGCTTGTGTCTCGACGTCATGCACTAAAGTTAAGGCTCAAGGGGATAAACTTCAACAGCGACTTCTTCATGGTGCATTAAGACACTTGTATCGAGTACCTCGTCGAGAAGTGGTTTTATGCATTTGCTCTATATTACAATCCTGAAGTCGACATATTTGTGCTTGAGATTCCCTGTTTCTCCGGGCATGCCGGTCCCGAAGGTCATACGAGTGCAGAATTTCTGATTTGCACCTGTGAATATCCTCCTGCGGGAACGACTAGTGGACGATATGCACAACTGAGACATTGTCCTCGTCACCACACCACGTTAATCATTTCCACCTGCCTCCAAGCCACCAAACCTCAACATTGCTTGCTCAGCGCTCCCCTGTGATCGTCACAGGTTCCAAGGATCCGAACCTGCTCAACCCCGGCCAACCTCCCAACCCTATTCGCAAGATCTCGTCCTATCATCAAGCTTCGATACACGGCTTGGCAGGCACATTGGCCCTTGAGCCATGTGCGTTTCTCAGGCTATTGCTGAACCTTGACCATGGTCCTTGTTGACTATCCAGATTCGAGCTCTGAAAGTGAAGATCAAGGCACAACTAAAGAGCCTATAAAGCAAAGGTGTGGGAAACGGAAAGCTGAGCGCGTGGAATCAGAGGGACGGGAGTCCAGTGGGCGCAAACCTCCTCCGCCGCCCTTGCCAAGTTCTTTTCACTCGCTTTACGCAACCAACGTAAGAAGTTCGACGACCGATGACCCTTCCTTGCACGCTGGTCGCACGCGTCAAGTCCCCCATGCGGTAGGTAATTGGCCCACTCATGTCTACCTCGAGTGGTATCCATCACAGTGCGACCTTGCGACCCTCGATACAGTGGTACAGAAAGCAGGTCTGGCATTAGGAAGTACGAATGAAGGCTCGAAAACCGATATACACAGCTTCCTACACTCTGACTTGGGCGCACCCTTACCACTTCACATCAGCCTATCCGCGCCCCTTGTGTTAAGGACGGAGCAAAAGGAACAATTCCATGCCCGCCTCGAATCAAGGTTGAGGGAGGGGCGTATCCAGCCATTCAGGGTCGAGGTGTCAGGACTCGACTGGGTACCGAATCACGACAAAACAAGGTTCTTCTTGGTTTTGAAGCTTGTGAAGCCTGAAAACGATGAATTAAACAGGTTGCTGTCAATATGTAATGTGGTTGCCCGGCAATTCAACCTCCCTCAACTCTATGAAGGACCCTACGACACCCCTAAAGGTCTGAAGTCGCTGCAAGCGAGCAAGACAACACGCAAACTGACTGATAAGTCGGATGCCTTTCATATCAGCATAGCTTGGACTCTTGATGAGCCGGACGATAGAGCCAGGCAAGAGCTCATCCGTCTTGTCGATGACAAGTTGCGAGCTCTGAAGGTGAGCTTCCAACTTCTCAAGCTCAAAATCGGGAATACTGTGATCGATAGTCCCTTTACAGCCAGTTGTGGTGGGAACCAGGAATGACAACCATATCGATTCGGTTGTCTGGTAAGAAGGGTGACTTCCCGCATCTGTCTTTCCCGTCACAAACCTTCGACCTCTGCAGCTTTATGCTCAACTGCGAACACACAGCTCGGCACAAACGAAGGGTCTCGAGTCTGCAACTCCCTCGACACACCGACTCGTCTGACACGAGCACTCGGCGATAGTGCTTCTGGCTGGGGAATGGTGCGCTGTTGGACCTGAACAAGCTAGAAAGCCCATCGTGACTACCACAGGGGTATTTTGCTGTTCTCTCAGCCGCGACTTGTGAGGAGACATATGGCGAGCAGTCCGGTCAACTTTGAAGAGATATTCGTGACTGGGCTGCCAGTTGTAGTTTCAGTCCAACACAATCCCTCAACTTTTCAGCAGTTTATTCCTTTTCTCTCTTCGCTTCCTCCTCTCGACCAATTTCTGGTGCATTTTCTCTGCCATCTTCTCATACCGTTCTTTCTCCTCTTTAGCTTTCCGTCTGTCCTTGATGGCCTGTATCCGTCGATTCCGCTCGGCTTCTTTTTCTTCTTTCATTTCTTGTTCGCGGGCCTTGGTGGCTTGTTTGAGCATATCGAGTTCTTTTCGTTTGGCATATGCTGTCTGGCCTGCGGTAGGGCGGAAAGGTTTCTTGGGAGCGTGCCAGTTCTTGCCTGCATATCCAGTGAGTCTCATAGAATACATTTCAATTGATGTAGCGTACCATTGACCCTCATCCCGACTTTTTGGACAGAATCAGTTGATGTTTTTGGGTGGGATGATTCTGCTAGCGGAGATGTTGCCCCAGCCGGCGGTAGCTCGACAACAGACATTTTGTTCGTTGGTCCAAGTGGTAAGGGGCTGATAGTACCCAGTGCGCCTCTAAGCCCAGACTCAGAAGGTATCCCTTTCGAAGAACAGTGCACAGGACAAGGTCCACGTTTGCGAACATTTGTAGTGGAGGCTAGCAATAATATTTCTTATCTTATCAAGATCTGCGCAGTGCAGAAAGAGGCGGGTCTGACGCAGTCATTTACGGCAAAGCTTCAAAGGGCATCACTTGCTTGGAGTCTTGTCCTTGTTGCTGTCAGACTCTTGATTCTTTTAGCGCATGCGACTTTTCCTCATCGCCTCTGTTTGTCCACAAAATCTTTTTCGCCATTCACTCCACTCCTCAACGTACAACTGGCGGACCCCTCGATTGCCAGGTTTTGAAAGATGAATGCAACACTTCATGGGCTCTTCTGAACTGCGCCCAGCCCATCCTGCCATGCATTAGCAGTTTTGTGCTTGATCACTGACACAGAAAATTTTCTCGACTAACATCCTGCTGGTGTGTCACTGCGCTTTATACTCCGCTCCATTTTCGCAAACGACACCGACACCGCTCTTCCCTCGCTCCGCGGAGCCCCTCTCACACAGATACCGCAATATGTTACAACGATAGCATTTTCTCGTCCCTTCTCCTCCCTTTATCCTCTGCATGGCAGCCTTCAAAGATGAGCTACAGTCAGTCGCTGGCTTCGACCAGAGCAATGGTCAGAATCCCAGCACATCTACCCGCCGAGAGTCGGAGGCCGTGCATACCCCTCCAAGCCAAGGCCTGGAAGCGCTCAAGGACATAGTCTATGGATCAACAGCTGGAATACTGGGAAAATTTGTCGAATACCCCTTCGATACGGTCAAAGTTCGACTACAGTCCCAACCGCACGAGGCTGGCGCAGTCCCGCGGCTGCAAGGACCCCTTGATGCCTTCTCCGCTGCATTTCGATCGCCTGAAGGGCCTGTTGTGTCTCTGTATAGGGGAATCAGTGCCCCCTTGCTCGGTGCTGCGATAGAGACGTCCTCGTTGTTCTTCAGCTATCGAATCGCCCAGGATATCATTGTGGAGGCAACACCGTCACTGCGCGCGCAACGAGATCGAAATCCTCACGGCAAGGTCGAACTCCCCTTCTCCTACCTCGTTGCTTGTGGTGCCGCCTCAGGAGCATTTACGTCTCTCCTTCTTACACCGATCGAACTCATAAAATGCAAGATGCAAGTCCCATTGGCCCCGTCCAACCTCGCCTCACAGCTGGGGTACTCGACGACTCGGCCACCCGGCCCCATGCAGCTCATCACCACAATCTTTCGCACCCAAGGGCTGCTTGGTTTCTGGCATGGACAGCTGGGCACACTTATCCGCGAAACAGGTGGCTCGGCCGCGTGGTTCGGCTCTTATGAGGCTGTTAAAATGTTGTTCCTCCGCTCGGACCCTACTGTGAAGCAAGTATCAGACGTCAAAGTGTGGCAGCAGATGGCGGCGGGAGCAGCGGCAGGGATGTCTTACAACTTCGTATTCTACCCCGCCGACACGATCAAGTCACGCATGCAGACTTGCAGCACCGATATTGTCGCTGGACAGAAGAAACTAACCTTTCTTTCCACTGGTCGAGACTTATGGCGAGAACAGGGACTCAAGGGATTCTATCGAGGCTGCGGCATCACGGTGTTCCGTGCGGCGCCAAGTTCAGCAATAATTTTCAGTATCTACGAAGCATTGCGAAAGTATTTCGGCTGATAGCATGGATGCGGCGAAACAGTCTGCCACGGCATTCTTTCCCGCCACAATTGCACTTTGCCAATGGTTGAGCAGTCAGCAAGACGGAGCCAGCGGATCAAAAGACGTGAGCATGCCCATTTACTGTAAGAGCCAGGCGAGATGGTTGCTTGACACACTATCGTCGTCAACCTTCATCAGCTTAGAGGGTATTAACACCGAGTCTTGGGAGAAAGCAGCTCAACAAAAATTCCGATGTTATGATGGTGACGGTCCGACACGAAGAGAAGGCGTTCTCTTTGGGCATCTAGCGAGCTTCGAGCGGAATGGATCTCGACAGCACGATCAAAATCCATCTTGCGGCATTTTCAGAGGAAAAAGATTCAAGAATGAACAAAATCAGCATTCAATAGACATAGACCGGCGGAATTATGCATCAAGGCGGGTTTGGGTATATTCTGAGATGGATATCATCATATACCTCTAGAGCACTAAATATCCAACGGCGTTCATGTTCTTGTCGTGTCGTATTGTCACTATGCATACGCTATTGACCTGTACAACCTTGTCCTCGTTACCTCTCGCGCAGATAACATCCCTTCGCGTCACCTCGCTTGTCTCCGTCCCGGTAGAGCTCACGGAGAATGTTTGAGGTGAAACTGCCTCGACCCATAGAGAGGCGGACCATGCGTGACAAGAAAGTCCCTATGTATCCCTGAGGCGCATCTCAGTATAACAATTCGTCCAGGTCGATCGACCGCCACCGACGTTGTTACGACGACTCGTCTGGATCGACATCTCGGAAAATGTCAATCTTTGGGAAACACTCCCACACGGGGTCGAAACTGGTGCCGATACAGGACGTGTAGGTCGTCGTCGTCGTCGTGGGAGGAGGGGGAGGAGCAGACTGAGAACTCGGCTCCGATGACGGAGGAGCCGCAATGACCGGGACGTCGGCTCGTTCCAGCTCGGCTTGACATTCGCGGACCAGCTCCTCCAGTCTTTCTAGGATCATGGCGTCCTTATCCTGCGCCCCGGTGCTTCCGGTGCTTTGCTGCGGCGACGGCGGCGGCAGCAGTGATGTCAGGATGATGTTGTAGTAGACTATGTCTTTGACTTTGGAGCCGCGGTAGGGCAGGCGGCGGGTCATTGGTTCGACGGCATCTTTGGCTGCGTAGATCAGACTGTTTTGCGTGTACGAGGGCGTTCTGACGACGCCGTCGTTGGGGCCGTCCGGCGACAGTGCCGCAGGAACTGGCTGCGTGCTACTCGACCGACTAGCGGAGGAGCCGAGCTTCTCGATCTCGAGACAGAGCCCCAAGATGGCATGGCCCAGTTCCTGTCGGTAGCAGGTGTAGAAAAAGTCCCAGTAGCCTTGCGGACGGGGCACGTTGAGTTCAGAATACTGCGGATCAAACAGGTCTTGGTAGTTGGTGAGCATGAGGCAGCTCTGGAGGTAGCCGGCCCGCACTTCCCGCTCCAGCTCGCATGTGTCGGGCGAAAGAATGCAGCGCGAGTACAGGTGCATCAGGGGTCGTCTGATGCTGATGTCAAGTTCCATCCGGGCCATCAGTCGAGGTGGCGTCTTGCTCGCCGCGTCACCCGTATAGTTGAAGCGTAATGGCGGAGGGAGATCTTGGAGCACTTTCTCCAGGTACCGAGTGTGCTGGAGGAGGTCTTGGATCTTGACATGGGTCGCGTCGTCGATTTGTTTGCAGGCCACAACCCGGCGCGGAAACGACTGCGCGAGGAGAAATTGACATAGACCATCGGTCCAATCCTGTGTTGGTCGTGATTGAGGCAGGGATTCCATACCCTCGAATATCTCATCATCGTTGACATTTCGCGGCGGGTTGGAAGTGTATGGAGGCACCAGGCATGGCATCTTGCACAGAATCGACAGCATGAGGTCACATTCCACGATCGTCATCCACGTGCGACGCCGCAGCTCTCCTTCGAAGACGGTAATCCCTGCTATGGTCGAGGGGTCTTGGTCCATCTTCATCACCAAGGCATCTCGAAGAAGTTCACCATTCAGGCGGAAAAGATCGTCCATCGGAACCAAGTTCAGCCAGCTGCAAATGGAGAGAAGCATCTTGACCTGCAAAGCTGGTAACCGGTATCTCTCAGTGTCCCGGAGACCTCGAAGGAAGTCCTTCATTAATTGCAGCGCATTGTCAGGTTTGATGGCCAGGCATGAGCGAGCCGCTTCACATTCCCTATGGGTACCAAGAGTGACGGCGAGTGCCAGCACACCGACCAGCTGCGGAACAAAACCAAACCTGCATGCGTGCTCGCCCCTTGAAAAGTAGATGCGCAACTGATCTCTGAATTCGGGGAAATGCAGGATCCGAAAACAATGTTCCAAATTGTCGAAATAGAGAACGACCAGCCTTTCGCACACATCGAACGGCGGCAGTTGGAGAGAAGACTCGCTGATTGAGGAAACTGAGTGCGGCTGGGTGTGTTGACCCTTGTTATTCTTCTCGACAGAGTAATGCAAATCTTTCAATCCTCTTCGCAGCGCTGCCAGCCTGGGAGTGGTTGAACCATACTGCAGCCTGGTCATGAACGTGCAAGCGTCGTTGAACTATCAGAGTCAGATTTGAGTAACCCAGGAGGCATGGTCAAGGTTCTTGCATAAGGCCTCACCTGTGAGCTCATCTGAGCAGGCCTGGTCAAAGACTTTTCGGTGTCGACAAAGTCGTCTGATAGAGGATGAATCGGCAGGCTTTGAGTGACGGGCGGCTCGCCACTGCGCCTGGTGCTTTGAGCGAGCAAAGCCTGCTCAAGTCTGGAAACGCGGTCCTGGAGATCCTCAATGATACCATGCCTCACCACAGGCGGCCCATTGTCAGAGAGACCAATTCGCGCAACATCGCTTCCCCCTCCGTCCACACTGGGCGGCGGATCTAGGCGCCGTCGCTTGTTCACGGTATTCAGGAATACTGGATGTTCGGTGTTTGGCTCCGGTTCTTGACCTGCCTGATATTCGCATCCACTAGGGCGTCCAATTTTGACACATTGCTGACAAGGATACGAACGAGAGCACCGTAGCTTTTTCCGTCTGCATTCCAGGCAAGAAATCACCGGTCTGGTCCGCTTGGACTGGGATGGATTCGCTGGACTTTGATCTGACATTTCTGCGCAGTCATGCTTGGAAGACGATTATGTTGTGGACACGGGAGATCTGATGCTGACGATCAAGGACCACCGCCGCGATTTCATTTGTCCATCTCTGTGTACGAGACCGAAAATGGGCTGGATTCTGGCAAGAAGGAGAATGAACGACAGGGATGTTGACTATGTACCAGAAGAGATCGATGCTCGAGGATGAAAATCGCCTGCGTCCAATGAGCAACAAGCATCTGACAACCTGCGCATCGCAACCTCGGCTGCGCCCCTACCATTCATCCCATCGCCTCAATGGCTCTTTATCTAGTCCTTTGCTGACTGCTCGAGCTTCTTTTTAGATGCTATCTTGTGGGTGATTCAGTTCTGGCCAGAAGCTGCATGTTCGATTTCCGCGGGAGCATCAAGACTGCTACGAACAACATCCGGCTCGTCGCTATTCGGCCCCGGCCGTGTATCTACACCAGATCTCACAGCCTCGGAACTCTACCTACGGTGCAACGGCTAAGCATGGACCCCAAATTCAAGAGGATCATCGAGCTCATCGAGTCGAAGAAGAAATCGTCGCATCCTTGGACACGACAGCAAAGATTCGACCAGCCCTACTTCTCCTTCTCGCCTGAGACATCCTCATGGCAGCAGGTCACTCCATCCAAGACGGCTTCAGGAGTGACAGGCTTGAGCAGATTCATGCTCTTGTCGTGGAACATCGACTTTATGCTGCCTTTCTCGGATGAGCGCATGCGGGCTGCTCTCAAGCACCTGCAATCTCATGTGGAGGACACCCCACTGCCCAGTATCATCATGTTACAAGAGATGCTTGAAACCGATCTGGCACTACTTCAAACCCAGCCGTGGATTAGAGCCAACTACAACATAACCGATATAGACAACAAGTACTGGGAATCCGGGTACTATGGTACCTGCACGCTCGTTCCAAAGGTCTTGCCCATCGCTTCCGTCTTCCGTGTCCATTACGAGCAGACCGCCATGGAGAGGGACGGGTTGTTCGTCGACGTGACGTTTGCCAACGCCCAGATCATCCGCATCTGCAATACCCATCTGGAGTCGTTGATCGCGGATCCACCGAAACGACCTCACCAGCTAGCAACGGCTGCCAAATGGATGCATGACCCAGAGGTAAGCGGCAGTGTGCTCGGCGGGGATCTCAACGCCATCCAGGACTTCGACAAGACACTCCATTCGGACAACAACCTCCAGGACGCATACCTGACTCTGGGCGGAAAGGAGGATACCGACCAAGGATATACCTGGGGCCAGATGGCTCCGACTAAACTGAGGAACATGTTTGGGTGCAGTCGAATGGACAAATTGTTCTTCCGTGGAAAGCTGAGATGCGAGAAATTCGAGCGCATCGGTATGGGGGTCGAAGCCGAAGAAGAGAATGTCAAGAAGGCTTTGATCGACGAAGAAGGAATGGAGGCGGGTTGGGTCACTGATCATCTGGGCGTCAAAGGTGAATTCAGTGTCGGTGAGGTCTCAGGCTCTAAAATTTGAGGCTGCCACAGATTGTGGTTCAGGCTGGCACGACCCCTGAGCCCAGATGGGATTTCTCGATGACACCTTCCATAATACTCCTCCCACTAATGATGCCAGTGGTGCAAATGACGATCTTCTTCCTCTGCCCCGACTCAGCCAACTTGCGTCCGATGAATCTCAACGCTGCAATTTCCGTGAAGGTAATACCTCCCACAAACATGACAAAGATAGTCTTCCAATTGCCCGTGCCCGCAAGCGCAGCTTTCGCCCTCGATGCCTTCTCATCGGCAGGTTTCTGCGCAAGATTAAATGTTGGTCCCCTTGCAGACTTCAGCATGTCTTCGAAACCCGTCCATCCTGTACTAGAAGACGTGAGGGGCAACGGCGACTTGTGTAGGGTTTGAAGATATTGTTTCTGTAAGATGCATTGCACAATGCGTATGCTCAGGGGAGCGTAGCCGGAATACACATATGCAATATCTTCGGGATCCTGTTCGTTATACTCATCAACAATCAACCTCAGCTCCTTGCGGAGATAGCCATAGTTTGTTTTTGTGCCTTTCTCTGACGAGGGCCCTCCGCCACCGACTGGGAGGAGCAGAGCCGAGCTGGACGAGCGAGGCTGCAGAAGTTCCATCGCTTGTAGCTTATCTAAAGTGAGGAGATGCTGGAAGCCGTAGGCGTGCAAGATCTGCCGCCGAAAGGACTCCAAGTCCTTCGAGCGCAGACCCCCAGCTATGGCTGACTCGAGACAGAGAAGTCGGAGGACAGAAGATAAGGGAGTATCGCGGGCGATCAGCTCCTCGATAGTATCGTGTTGGTAGATTGGGTCTGTTCCCGCTGCGATATTCTGCTGTACTTCTAGCTCGCGGTTAAAGGCTTCGGACCGAGTATACTTGCTCATGTCGTCTGCCAGGTTAGTGTGAATGGCCAATGACTGGTGCTCCTGTTGGAAACCTGGTAGCTTGTTGACGAAGTCTCTCAACTCGTTGATGCCGCGAGCGGCATGGCGACCTTCGTAGTCTGATTCTAGTCGTCTCGCTATTTTGTTCAGATGAGGTCCAATCAGGGCGAAGTTGGAGGAGCGCAACTGTTCATACAGCGAGTCGGATGAGTCTAGCTGGATCCTACGTTTGAGACCTTGACGGACGGCAGGGGCCGGAGATGTTGAGGAAGAATCAACCTGTGATCGCTGCTGAGGAGCTGCGCCGATAATGGCCGAGTCCACTTCTGCACGATTGTGCTTTATACCGACCAATTCATCAATCAGGCCTTCGTAGGTCAGCTGGGTCAACAAGACAGTGGCGAAATCGACCTCTCGATCGATTATGATCAGCTGCTCGATTGAGGTGCTCGGCATGGTGGTGTACTGGGTCGCGGCTTCGTCCGCGTCGAGCTCCTTTCGTCCTCGGAGGAGGAGGTTTGCAAGCTTTTTGGCGTTATCTCCTTTGCCCAAAATCCGTGGAAACAAACCATGTCGTTGTTGAATCTGCATCAAGGCTTTCGAGGCCAGATACAGAGGGGAAGGATCGCGTCGCTGTGATACTGTGAGAAACAAAAGGATTGTCCTGTCGGAACGTTGGGACATACTAGGTATAAATCATTGAATGCGTCCTCCACCTCCAGTGAGAACATGTCGTCTTCCAAGGGGAGGAAGTATATAGGAAGCTCCGACACATTGACATCCCCCAGTATGCCCTCATCCTCTAGGATTCTGTTCGACACCAGAGTTCTTCTCGGCACCCAGCACACTGAGATTTCGTGCTCGACAGATCCATTTCTCTGGAGCTTCTTGATTTGCTCTATGTTACATGGTGTCAGCAGGTGCCGTTATCCTCTGTCACAAGATTGAATGAAAAGGATGTTTCAATAGAGGCAATGCGATTATGGTTTAAACCCTGTCGATATTGGGAGCTAGACTGACAGCAAGGCACAGAGAAAATGATCCACGCAGTCTCCTTGTAAGTCCCGTAGGTAGAAATAGCAGACACTCCAAGACGCACCTGCGACAGCCTGGACTAGGCTGGCCTTCTCTCCATGGACAAGATAGACGACGTTCCTCTGTGAAGAGTCGGTGTTGCCATTTTCGAGCTCGAAGACTTTGTCCACACCATACTCTTTGAGCGTTGGGAATTGAATGAACAGGCTAAGCAGCCCAGTAAGATCCTTTCCTATGACCAAGTTCTTCTTGCCGCGGACCTGGTGCAGAGTTAGTATGGACAAGGACAACGACGAACGGTAGCTTCCTTACTCACGCCTTCAAGCAATCCGAGGAGCTCCTTTCTGGCTTTGTTCCGGAGATGCTCCGCCTCTTTGTCTATGTTGGGGGCCATTGGCCTTTCTTAGAATCTGTGCATTATCTCATGGCTGGTAACAAGTTCTTGCAATCTGCTCAGCTGGGCTAAGATCATATTGATGAGTTTCAAGAGACGCGCTTTACTCGGAAAAGGGTTTGAGCTGGGGACAAACCAGCCAAGACCCTGAGGTCGACAACGCAATTCTATTGGACGAGGCACCCCGCCGGCGCAGTGAGACCAGAATCCGTGGGCTACTGCGGTTTAGTTGGATTTGGGGTCGAGACCGCCATCCATCTGAGGGAGGGTGCACTGCCCATCCTGCCACGTCCGCCTGTTTCAGCTCAAGATCCTATATCAGCCTCAGAAAGACTCTGCGTATTGTCCTCTAATTTATTAAGGGTCTTCGTCCCCTGATTCATTTCTACACCTCTTTGCCTCTCGTTTCTCGCTCTTCCTGGTTACTCGACATTCCACAGACATGGGTAAATTCAGCCTTCGCAAAGGCGACGACGACGATGATTCCAGCAGACTCGCTCTGTTCGGCTCCAGATCCAAGAGCAAATCTCCTGCACCTTCCCAGAACCCTTATGCCTCCACAAATCCCTATGCACAGCCAGCCATTCCTCCGGATCCCTACACAAAGGCTAAGATGAGCGCTGGAGTTATACCTCCCTCAGGTCAAGGAGCCCCCTCAAGCTCTGGTAAGCCCAGTGGCTTGCCCGGTCCTGGTCAACAGCGGCCACCATATGGAAGGGATAACGCATATGGCAATCAGTCATCAGGTAGTTTTGGAGGAGACAATAAATACGGTCCTGCCCAAGGCGGGTACGGGGGAGGTAGTGGTTATGGGGCAGACAAATTCGGGAACCAGAACGGTTATGGAGGCGGTGCCCCTGGTGGCAACCCATACGCAAGCATTCAACAGCCTAGTGGAACCTCACGGCAGGGGGGATATGGAGGGTTGGGTTCCTCCTCCCTCTACGACAACGACAACAACCGAGATGAGTTGTTTGGAGGAGCACGGGAAAGGCTGGAACAAAAAAAGCAAAATCCAAACAGTGGCCCTCCTGAGTATGAATACAACTCTGGTGGTGCTGATGCTGGTGACCGTAGCTTCGGAGCATATGGTGACCGTCAATTGACCGCAGAGGAAGAGGAGGAAGAGGATATCAATGCTCTCAAACAAGACATCAAGTTCATGAAACAACAAGATGTGGCATCTACCAGAAACGCGCTTCGGATTGCTGCTCAAGCTGAGGAGATGGGGCGGAATACTCTGGCTAGACTCGGTGCACAAGGTGAGAGAATGCACAACACAGATCGGAATCTTGATCTCGGCAACAACTATATCAACATCGCCGAGGACAAGACCAAAGAGCTCAAGACATTGAACCGGAGCATGTTTGCAGTCCATGTCAACAATCCCTTTACAGCCAAGGACAGACGTGCGCGCCGGGATGAACAGATCATGGACCGGCATCATGCTGAAAGAGAGGCACGTGAGGCTACCCGAGAGGCTGCTTTCAGGAGCACCCAACGCATGAATCAGAATTTCAAGGGTTTGGACGATGCTTCAGCGGTTGGTACGACGAAAACAAACCTAGCTGAAAGGGCCAAGTACCAGTTCGAGGCCGACAGCGAGGATGAGGGCATGGAGAATGAGATTGACCGGAATCTGGATGAGCTCTCTGGGGCGGCCAAACGTCTTAATCTCCTCGCTCGAGCCACAGGAGAAGAAGTTGAGGCCCAGAATACCCTAATCACCACCATTGCAGAGAAGGTGCGTTTGTCCCTTGATCCCACACCTGACCCTGTTTCGCTGACCATGCCACAGAGTGACCGTTTCGACGATCGTCTTCATTTCCAGACCGAAAAGCTCAAGAGGATACGTTAGAGCGGGGTCCCTATTTCTTCTCACATGGAGCGGAGGTTATTAAAACGGCGTTGTTGAATCTTACCCTCTTTATAGACGTCGTTGGATGCTTTCAGCCTTGTCTGTCATTCTTATGGGGCAATGGGTAACAGCCTCGTCGATCGTGATCGTCAGATCAGCCTCGGGCCGCGATTGATACCCATGTCTACCTCCCGCAAAGATCTCTGGAGGGTCCAGCACGTGTTGCAGATGCTATGACTTGAAGATCAGTTGTCTTCATGGAAACCTCACCAAAAAGGGTGGATTGATCAGCTTTTTCCTCAAAGTATCAGTCGGCTGTATCTTTCGCCTCATACGCGATTGCATTTTGCTGGGAGCGTGGAAAGGCAGAACCTGGTTCAACCAAGTGGACTACCCGCGGATAGAGTAGCCATGTTGGCAGAAACCCACTCGTACCTCCTGGACACGCTCACATACCTTGTTGGCACCCCTTTGGGTCGAGCCTGTCTCCGAAGTTCACAGTCGAGTTCTCGTTCTACTGGTTATCTGAAGCCCGGCTTGGTGGACCTTGAGGTGCTAGCCAAACCAGTGTACGTGAACTTTTCGAGCACGCTTGATCTCCTTTCTTCGAATGTTCTTTCCGCTATTGCTGGGTCCTGTGTAAGGCTCGCTACATGAGACATGCCGCAAGGCTCTAGTTATGCTCCATAGTCGACGCGTTCGAAACCAGGGGCTCAATTTCCCTCGGACACCCTGGTCGGATGGAATTGTCTCATTTATTGATTCGGAAAATAAATTTGGTAAGCGCTTGAGACACTAGAGAAAGCGAGGACGTAGCGCATCGACGCTCGGTCGTTTTCTGCTCAGACTCCTGGGCCTGCGAACAAGGAGGTCATTGCGCAGTCCAGTCCTCAATGTATCGGGTTAGTTTCTAAGATGGCGGTTGCTGAATACGTAAAATGTGATGATAGAAGCAGCGGTACCGCAATTTGATCCTGCAGGGAGCAACTGTGAAAGCCGCTCGATGTTGTTGACGAACACAGAATTGCAGATGAGATGTGGCGTCTGCAAGATCTTCAATGGTTGCTTGGTTTTCGAGTTCTCTCTTCAAGGCTAGACATCTCAAAAACAACACAACAACACTCTCTGCCCATCGTACAGGCGCACAAGCAGTCGTCTCGAAAGCGGGAAGGAGGGCCATGGGCCGCGAGGAAAACAAATTTCACGATGCGCCTGTGGTCCGGATCCTAGACAGAGATACCGAGGACGAAAGGGGTTGCATCTGACCGCCGTGGTTGTCTTCAGCTCTTCCAAAACAAATCCATTTCGGTCAGATGCTATGCCTCCTTGGGACGCTGGTTCGCGTATTAGCCTCCCCGAACTTCAGAGTTTTGCGGCTTGGAGCGGAGCTGGAGAGGAAGCACCTGCAAGTACCGATGCAGAGTTCTGGGAGCGGAGATGGATTTGGGGGGCGTGCTTCTTTGGGTCTAGAGAAGAGTCGTCCTGCGGCTTTGGAAAGTCTCTAGACTCTTTGGGCCTTGCGAGACCTGCTAGCAAGTTCTGACGGTCTCCATCTGGTGCGAAATGAGGATGCAGAGCCAAAAGAAAAAATCGAGGTTTATCTCGCCAAATCGATCCAGCAGCCAAACAGTGGGCATCTGACAGGGGGGTGTCCGCTCTGAAACTATCACCAAAAGCAAAAGTGGCGTTTTTGGCACTACCAACCGCAGATTCTATCACTGCGTACCAAGTTCCAGTCACGCATTGAATCACCTTCAACCCGCAACCCGAGAAACCTTTAGCATCCGCACGTCGGGAATGCTGGTCTCTGATCCAAAGACCAACCACGACTGAGAATGTTTGCCCCCACCACTCTGTTCGGTTCGTATGCTTGCCGGGTTTGTTATGGCTCGATATTATTCTCTGCCCAAGGTAACTCGTGACAGGAGACTCCTCAAAAAACAGGGTCTGTGTAGGCCCGAATTGCATCATCGTTCCTTGAGGTCGGTATTCCCATTTGTTGCTATTGATGGTGACACTGATCTCAAAAGACCCTTCCCCGCCTGGTTCAGGGACTCGACCAAAGCCTGATGCCTCACCAGAGTCGTCCTTGTCTAAACCAATAACACCTCTCCTCCCACCCCCTCTAGAATAGGCTGCATGACGTTGAGAAAAAGAAGTTGCTAGGTTGAGGACGCAGGGCTTCTGACTCGGCGAGGACGTGCGCCACCCGCTGCCCGGCTGTCGTGATTGTCGCAAATGGGACAGGGCATCCTGACAGGCTAAGAGGAGGTAGCCGCCTAAGACGCCATGGCGTCGTTTCAGGTTATGGTCCCACTGGTCCTTGCCGACGCCTCATTAAAGGAATCCAGGAAATCTCCGGTAGAGGTAGTGGAGAGGCTGCGTCCTTAGCGCCGACCATTTATTTGTGCCGGAGTGTGAACAGTGAAAGACTGAAAGGATAAGCGCAATCTTTGGCAAAAGGGAGAGAGCACTAAAGCTACGGAGTATCTACCACTGGTTCGAAGCAACAAGGCATACGAGTAAGAAATTGGGCCAAAACACAGGGCTAATTCAAGGGACAAGGTCCGCAGTCAACTCCTTGTAAGCCCTCCCACAAAGACGTCATGCTGGGTCTACAAATGGCCACAACCATTGCCAAGTTTCGTGGACCCTGCGTCGGCATTCAGATGTTTTACGTATGAGGTGGTAGGGGTATTTGCAGTATGTACGTGTCTGCAGGGACTGCTTGCGACGAGGGCCAGCATCTGTGAAACTTGACCAGCTATTCGGCGGTCCTTTCAGAACGAGCAGGCTGAGGCAACGCCTGAGATCTGGGGTCCAGCAGGTGGCGACGAATCCGACTGGACGTGTTTGGGTACAACAGCACCGACCGCCGTCGACATGGATCCTCTGGATTGTTACAGGGATGCGTACCCTCGCAATAACCTGAAATGAAGCATTTGGGTGTTGGGGCGACGCTACATGGGTACGTGGACGAGCATGCACTCCACAATCAATTTAGGACAGCTGCCCATTGTTTGGCGAGGCGACGACGAACCATCACGCCTGGATTGATACACACAGAACGCCTTGAGGGTTGTTCACTGACGCATTCCAAAATTGCGTCTGGAAAACAGAAGTTTGGGGCGGGATCAGCACA